GCAATTAATCAGATACAATCTGCTTTTATTAATGCTATGATTAGTTTAAAAGAGTCGAATAGCAACACAGAGAGAAATTGGAAGCTGTACATATTATTTACTATTGTCCATATTCATGTTTGGATAACAACAATCATTGTTGGAATACAAGGAAACTTTAAAATGGGCCTCTACGGAAATTGGGTGTGGAAGATATTGAACTATTTAGTGACATTATCTTTGGATGATTTGCCTGATAGTGTCATGTCATATAATGCAATGATAGGTGTCTCTTCTATTTGTATTACCTTCTCAGTTTTTGGGCTTCTGATATTTTACTACTCTGCCAAACAATTTCAAATTGCTAGCAGGCATATGAAATTTCTTCAATTTATAATGAGAGTTTATGGTTTTTTAACGTTTTTTGCAAGTTTTACTATGGTTTTTATTATGACCTCTTTTATTGATTGTAACTATTCTAGTTCAGTAATTTTTGAAGGATTTGATCAACCACAAATGGTTCTCAATAGATTTCCATCTCAAATGTGCTTCTCTTCTACAAATATTACAATGATTGTTTTGAGCTATGTCGGAATTCTTGCATTAATGTTATTGACATTCATGAGTGTTTTTACTAGAGGAGAGACACATGTAAAAGCAAGTAGTAGCCCCTTTGTTTCAGAGCATGTGCTATTTCAAGTAGCAGTTTTGATAATTACCCAATTACAAATAACCCTTAACTATTCTATCCCTTTTGAATACTCGTACCTGAGAAGTATATCTCATATAGTCTTATCACTAATTTTATTACCTATACTATTTTACTATTTACCCTTCTTTAAAAGAGTTGATAATTCAATAATGGTTGGATTATGCCTTGCCAAGTCCTTCCTTGGTGTCGCACCCCTAATTTCTTTTCTTGTAAATACACAAGGAGATTGGGGGATGGGTTTAGGATTTTCTCTTTCTGGATTTGGATTTATTCTCACTGGTTTCTTGATTGGTTTTATTGTTACGGAAATATATACTAGACTTCTCTACTATAGAGCAAGAAAAATTATTATTACTGCCTTAACAGAATGTGAGGTTTTGATTATTGATTTTGATGAAAATACTAGTGATGCTGATAGATATCGTAACCTTAGATCACTTTTTGAGAGAGAAGCCTTCTCGTTATTTAAACTATTCGAAGAGAAGAAAATGATGAGACACTTGTCAATGTTTTTCAAATTTTCAATGGTGTCTGGCAATAAGGGAAACTTGGATGATAGTTTTCTATTTTCTGATGTTGATTTAGTTGTATCAATAATCAAATCTGTGGCGCAACAGAAGAACTTTCAAAATTACCCTCAGCTGATCTTAACATCAAGCATAGTCTGTGCACATTTTTGGGACCCTGAGAAAAATGGATTGGTATCTCATACTCCTCAATCTTCATCGTATGAATACGCAGTTGCTTTACTTAAAAAGATCAAGGCAAGTCAATTAGGATTTTTGTCTGATTTAGTAATGAAAAGTTTATTGAAACAATACCATACTGCATCACAAAATGAAAGTAGTGGAAAACTATCAGAACTGAAGGGTATTATTGATATTAAGGAGTTTATTTCAAAGTTAGGAAAGAAAATGGAAGATATAACAGTACAAAGGAAAATATTTTGGAAAGAATTGATGAACGATGTTGTAGACTATGGCAAAATAATCAACATTAACAGAACAATTGCAAAATTAACCCTAGAGTGCAACACTACATTTGAAAACTTGATGAGCTATTTCCATAGTTATGACAAAAATCTTCTCAGATTATTTGCCAGTTTCAATGAAAAGGTTTTATTCAATCAACAAAGAGCTGATGAGTTGTATCAAGATGCATCCTTGATAGAAGATGAAGATTCGAAAAGAATTTCAGAAAAGCAAGCTCTGACATCATCAATCAACAATACCTCAAACAGTAGTCTTCAAAGTCATAGGTTTAAACCTGGAAATAGAATTTTACCTATAAGAGTAGGAACAAGAGTTAATGTTGACCTTGAAGCCGATTCAAATAGAATATCAGCTAAAATATTCGATGGTTTGGAGAATGGAGATTTTTCGAAAGAGCTAAACGAAGATCCAACTGCACTCGATCTTGCTGAGGCTGCTGATTCCCCAGAGATTAAAAAGGAAAATTTGATAAGAACTGCACTAACAACTCCATTGAAACCTGTTGCCATCTACTTTTCTTACATTTCTTTGATAGGACTAATTATTTTAATGTTTTCTGGAGCTGTTGCACTTTCATTATTTACAGTTATTACCTCGACCAAGAACCTTACAGATATTAAGCAATCATGCATTCCAGCATTGGGTTCAGTTCGTTTGATTTCTGATTTAAGAGTAAACCAGATTTTTAGAACATTATATTCAGGTAATACAACCTTCTCCTCCACTCTACAAAAATTTGGATTTTCTAGTATGAATGATACTGTAAATTACCATAGAGGAAAAACTTTGGATACCATTGAAAAATTCAAGCATTTAGAAAAATTAGCTTTTAGTGGAAAATGGAGTGCTGAAATGTTTCACGATTATTCAACTGACTCTACAGAAATGTACTATCCGGAAATTCCTCACCACAACAAGGAGGGACATTTTATTAATGCTAGACCAAGAAATATGTCTGTTTCTGGTGTTACAAACACTATGATTCAGACTGGAAAAGATTTACTAACCTATTCTGATTCTCAGTATAATGAAACAATAGGTTCTTTTCAGTTTATGTATCTTTGGCACAATAGAGATACCTTACCAGATATGTACGGAAAATTCTGTAATACTATTTCGTCTAGATTCTACTTTGGTATTCAAGATATGGAGAGTGTGTATGGGTACTATTTGACAGCTATTGCAATTGTGACAGTACTGATATTCATATTTATGATTGCAATGTTCATTTTCCTCAATAGGAAATTAAAAATGATTCTCAAATTGTTTGAGAGAAACCTTCCCAAAGATGTAATTGGAAAAGTTTTTCATGAAATCAAAGCCGATGATACAGTACATGGATCTTCTAACCATTTATTGCAAAACCCATCACTGAAGATTTCAATTCTGTTTATGCTACTGCTACTAACATTTTTAATGGCAACTATAGTATGCTTTGTAATTGTGATTTCAACCATTAATAGTGCAAAAGAAATAATTGGAAATATAGATGCTTCAACCAAGATTGCCACCACTTCTCAAAGAGTTTCATTGCATATTGAGGAAATTTATATTTTTGGTATTTTGCAAACAAATATGTATCCCATCAACAATGAGGAATTACTCACCCCTGAACAAATTTTTGAATATCACGAAGGAATGGATCAGTTAACAATTGACTTGGATGAACTTTGGAATCGCCTTCTGTATGGTGATATTAATACTGGAGATGCTGTTCTTGTTGGATTATATCCTGAAATAGACAAGATTATTGAGGGTTACAACTGCACCAATAATACATCAGCCAATTGTGGAGAAAGTTTGAACGACTTGCTAAACAACCTCATACTCAAAGCAACCAAGATTAATGAAATTTATGTTGCCCTTGATAAGAATGAGAGAATAATATTTGATGAATTTTTTTCTACAATTTACATGATTAGCAATAGAGTGACAGATTCAATGCTTAATTTCATTGATATCTATGTCTCCAGTGTTCAACGTAACGATTCCTATGTTATAGTAATTCTGTTTGGAATAGGTGGCCTTTTCATAATGCCAGTTTTGTTGATCTATATTTTGAACGTTCTTTCTGGTCAATTGAATGAAATTTACTCATTACGTCTCATTTTGAACTATGTGAACATTGATATACTTGAATCAAAGGAACAACTGAGAAACTTTATTCTTCACAACAATCTGTCACGAGAAAAGAAAAAGAAAAATCAAGTTTCTAATAATGTAGAAGAGGACAAGGTCAGAAATATTCTAAATGCCTCTGTCGAAGGTTGTTTATTATGTAATCATAATTATGAAATTGAAATATACAATCCAGCAGCTCAAAGGTTTGTTTTTTCTACTTTACTATTTATCTAAAACAAAATTTTAAAGAATGTTTATGAAACAAGTTAATGAAGTTATTGGATTGCCAATGTGGACTCTATTTGAAAAGAATTGCCAGGATAGAATCAAACTCATCCTTCAAAATCTAACAAAAACTACTGGTAGTATTGCAAATGGTGAAACAGCAGAACTCGATGGACTAAGAAAAAATGGAACTCTCTTCCCAGCACGTGTTAATATATTTTGGACAATGTTCGATTCTAAACCAGTATTCACTTGTTTCATTAAGGATGTAACAACAGAGAAAAAGCAAAATGCACTGTTGGCCGAAGAGAAGAAGAGATCTGAAAATCTTCTCAGAAATATTTTACCAGAATCTGTAGCAAACAAATTGAAGAATGGAGATACATTCATTGCAGAAAAACTACCAGATATTACATGTTTCTTCTCAGATATGGTTGGGTTTACTACCATATCTAGTCATTTGAATGCTAATGAGATTGTTAAAATGTTGAGCTCCATAGTCAGTGGATTTGATAAGTTAACAGATAAGTATGAATTGGAAAAGATTAAAACAATTGGAGACAGTTATTTCTGCGTTGGAGGATTACATCAAGCGAGTGACCACCCTGAGAGAGTAGTTAGATTTGCTATTGAAACCTTTGGAGTGGTTAGGGATTATAACAATTCACTATTTAAGGATACAGATCCCCAATCTGTTTCTCAAATAGATATTAGAATTGGTATTAATACTGGTTCAGTTGTTGCTGGAGTTATTGGTATTAAGAAGTTTGCATATGTAAGTTAGAAATTTAGTTATTCTATTAATTGATTCCTGTTAATTTAACAAAATAGGATTTATGGGGTGATACTATTAATGTTGCTTCGAGAATGGAAAGTAATTCTAAACCTGGCCGAATCCAAGTTTCCAGATCAACCTATGAAAGAGTTCACGATCTAGGATTTGAATTTGAGGAAAGATCAATTGAAGTGAAAGGAAAAGGAGTAATGAGGGCCTATCTTATCCACGAAAAACACCACACAAGTGCCACATTGACCAACAAGGATATTGAAATAGTTACGGGAGATACACAGTACTTTGCAAGTCCTTTATCTGGTAGTGAATCACCCCTTCCACCAGCCTCTAGCTCCAACCCACCCTCAATTAAATCATCACCCAATAATAGTGAATCTAAGAGAGAAGCTATTGATCCAATGGCTTATGATCGTTTAGCAACATTTACTATTGGACAAAAGGACTAGAGCTTTATTTCAGTAAACCAGCATATTCATTTCTCTTCTCTAGTCTCAATTTGTAGTACAATCCTGCAATTGTAACACCAACACCACATAACAAACCTATTGCCAGAATAACAACAATTGCAATAATTACACCAGTTGAATTATCACTGGCATAGTACTTGTCATAAACTGCTTGTACTTCGCTATTGACTTGGTTTCTATATTTTCCAATCTTATTTACATTCTTGTCAGGATAAACTCTATTGGTCAAAAAGATTGTGAATAAATTTCTTTCTGGATCTCCACAAACTTGAGTACCAGAAAATCCTAAATGCAAGAATGTTTTCTTTGAGAGACTTCCACATGATCCATTTCCTTCAGCATTGGTATCCCTGTAATAATTAATTATTCGAATTAGTTCAGTTTTTTAACTTACCATCCTAAAGCTCTAGAGCTTTGTTGAGTGTTCTTGACAGATGTAAAAAGTGAGAAAGTTGTTGAATCAATGAAATTTTCCCTTCTTCTGAACATTAATTCGTCCATAAAATTGTAAACATCTGGCAATGTTGAAAAAATTCCAGCCTTAAAGTGTTAATTATTTAACATGATTATTGTCAACTTACATGTCCTGAAATACCGCCCTGTGCATAACAATTTTCATCAGAAACATATCCCTGAATCAAATCATGATGATAAACCTCGTCAAGCCAAGCAGGTGGAATATTTACATCATATCTATTTGGAATGTATCCACTATTTGACATTCCAAGTTGTTCCAAAACATGTTTCCTCACAAATGCTTCAAAATAGCAAGTTTCATGACCAGGAGCATTCAATCCAATTTGTGATACGCAATCACTTCTCAAATCATCATTTGAAATTTGCAACAGATTCATATTCTTTTTAACAATTTGTCCAATAATATACATGAGTGAAATCATAGACAAATCACTATAGACATATTTTTCACCTATAATTATTTCTCAGTCACCCAACAAATAATATTTAACATACCTATATTGTGAGCCAACTTTTCATTCAACCAAGAATTAAAAATCTTATTCGAACAAGTAAACACTTGTGGTGGATGATAAATCTCCGTAGCACTACAATTAAACTCAACAGTATTATAGGTAGGATTTGGATCTGGAGCCAACCCTGAATTGTGCAATAATAAATTCTCAATAGTAATTCCACTCTTTCCATTCACTCCAAATTCAGGAAAATACTTTACAACACTATCATGCAATGAAATCAAATCCTTCTGATACAACAAGGCAACTGCTGATGTGGTCGAAATTACCTTGGTCACCGATGCCATATCAAATTTGGTCGTATTTGTATTCATCACTCGTTGTTCATCATCATTGTAAGTAAACTTTCCAAAGGCTTTAGAATAAATTGGACCATCCTTATTGGCCACTAAAAGAACAGCACCCGGAAAAGCCTTCTCAGCAATGCCACTATTTATAATATTCTCCAGATTGTCCCAACGATGATCATTTGTTTGACCATTCACTTCATTGAAAGTAATAAAAAGTATCAACATCATAATCATCATGAATATTTTCCTTGTCATCATCATGTTGTCGATGGAACGACAAGTGCTGCAAGAGGATCCGATTCGATTTTTGATGCTTCCTTTTAATGATGAAGAATGCAAGGATGGCAATTTGGGCATTTTTTTAATGTTAAATATTATTTAAATAATTATAATTGAAATAAATAAATTGTGTTTACAATGAGAGAATAATTAAATTTTTAGAGGAGAGAGAAAATTAGAGATTGGATTGAAGTTGGAGGATAACAGTCTTGAGGGAAGTCCATGCCTTCATTCCCTCTTCTCCTGCTTCTCTACCAAAACCAGATTGTTTAACACCACCAAATTCGGCAACATGCAAAACATTGTGATAATTATTGATCCAACAAACTCCACATTTGATTCTGTCAGAGAAGGTGAACATATTGTCAACATTCTTAGTGAGAATGGCAGCTGCCAAACCAAATTCAGTATTATTACATCTGGTGATAACTTCATCGAGAGTCTTCCATGGCTTCAGAATAGATTGAACTGGACCAAAGATTTCTTCTCTAGCAATACGCATATTATCATCAACCTTATTTAAATTGAACAGAGAAAAACAAGTTAAATTATTGTGTGTTAGAATTGAGATAATTGTCAAAATAAACTTACATCATAGAAAATTGTTGGCTTGACGAAATAACCCTTAGTAGGTAAACCTTCAGAATCACCACCAATTAATAATTTAGCACCTTCCTTTTTACCAATTTCAATATAGCTCTTAACTCTGTCATATTGTTCCTTGTCAACCAATGGTCCAATATTAGTTTCATCATTCAAATTGTATCCAATCTTGAAAGTGGCGACATGTTCCTTGAGCTTTCTAACAAATTCATCATAGATATCAGCATGAACAAATGTTCTACTTCCAGCAGTACAAGCTTCACCATTATTATTGAAAATACTGAAAGCAGCAACCTTAACAGCTTCATCAACATTGACATCAGGACAAACAACAACAGGTGATTTACCACCGAGTTCCAAATGGACTTGTTTCAAATTAGATTCGGCAGCTCCCTTCATGACAAGACGACCAACTTCAGTAGATCCTGTGAATGCAATCTTACTGACCTTCTTGTGACTGACGAGTGGAGCACCAGCATTTGGACCATCACCCATAACAACATTGTAAACACCCTTTGGAATACCAACCTTTTGACAAATGTCAGCAAGTTTGAGTGCAGTCAATGGAGTTTGTTCAGATGGCTTCAAAATGACACAGTTACCCATAGCCATAGCAGGAGCAACATTAACCAATGAACACCACATTGGGAAGTTCCATGGAGAAATAACTAGACAAACGACTCAATTATTAAATTCTAATAATGCTACCTACCACCAACAACACCAACTGGGCTTCTTTGAGTATAAACGTGGAATTTCTTATCAGTAACACAAATTCTTCCACTCAATTTATCAATCCATCCAGCACTATATCTCCAAGTATCGGTAATACTCTACATTTCCACAAAATAATAATTAATTTTAAATTGTCATATATCCACAAAAACATTCCACAAAATAATTAATTGAAATTAATTATATCAATACTACTCCGCATCACATCATCAACCTACTTTAATAACATAACGGTTAACTCCGATAGGTGTACCATTATTAAGTCCTTCCAACAAGGCCATTTCCTCAACTTGTCTATCCCATTCATCAGCAAGTTTATAAATAAGTTCTTGTCTCTTTTGTGGTTCCATATTTCCCCATTCTCCATTCAATGCTTCTTCAGCAGCTTGAACAGCCAATTCAACATCTTGTGCACAACCATCACTAACACTACACAAAACTTGTTCCGTAGCTGGACAAATCAAGTCCAACTTTTTTCCGCTCTTACTCTCCACAAATTCACCATTGATGAATTGTTTGAGTTGGGAAGGTTTGATGGCTTCAAATTGCTTCAAAACTTGTACGTGGGAAATGTTGCTCATTTTTTTTCAATTCAATTTAAAAATATTTTTGGATTTTTATTTTTTTATGAATATTTTAGGTTTTACGATTTAAGATAGCATTATGTATAAAACAAAAACAATACACTTTAAATTATTAATAGAAAATTTTAAGATTTTTATGAGGGAATTTTTATACAATATGTACTTCTACTTCCTTAGTTGCCTTAATTGGTTCGAATCTATACAGGTGTATAATGGAAGTGAAGGCGCTGAAGCACGCAACGAAATGAATGAAGGAGTTAGCTGAAGAGATTTTCTCTAATGAAAAGGGAAAATCTGTTGTGTCGTAAACGATAATACGAGAAGAAGCAGCGTGCTTATTGATTTGGATATTTATAAGAAATTTCCATTTTCCAATAGGCATGATCAAATTTTAAAAACCTTTAACTCTAAAACATTTCAGAAACAGATCGTGTGAGGGGTTATTACTTAGGAATTAAATTTTAGAAAGGAAGTTGGGAATAAAATCAGAATACAACCCTATCTCTGTAACTCTAGCGGGTTGGTCCTCTTGAGCCAGAATGAACTTTGATTCTACTAATTCTGAATGTGATACCACTACTATTGCTGATCACAAAGACAAATTCATTGGGGTTTCCATTTTCAAACAGAATTCAACCTATTTAGAAATGGTGGAGCCAAGTCGGTCCTATCGCTTCTTGTTTACCTAGAATAGAATGATCTTTATATTAAGGGAAAACGCATTCGATTATCTCTCTTTAATCTCTTTTGTTTTGGCTCCGCTTCGCTGTTGCGAATGAATCAAAATTCGGGTTAAAAGCTTGATTTTCATTCTCTGCATACTTTTCACAAATAAAACAAAACAACTCAACAATAAGCAGTAAGATGCAAAGCGTTTTTAAGGTTCAATCACAAAACTTGATGGCGGTTCAACAAATTCAAGTCTACCTCTGTACACTCATAATCTACTTGCTTAATTCAATGTATAGGTCCCTGGTGTTCGATTTGGAGGAGTTCTTCATCGTTCATCACTACTCGACATCATTGGAGATTGGCAATATTATGAACACTGAAGAGAAGCAACAATTGAGAAGATTGTCCCTTATTGATGAGCAGGGATTTATGGATGAGTTATTGTTGAGTTGCTCCGAGGATGAGCAATTTAATTGTTGTCAATGCCTCTGTGGTGCTAACAAATCACAACAACTCTCCTAAGAGCAAAATGTCTTGTTTTGGTAGGGATATGGCTCTTCCAAAAGCAAAATCAAAAACACCAATTTAACCAACAGTCGAGAACGAAGAATGAATTGTATTTCACAATAGAGTACAGGCCGAGAAATGGCATGTCGATGAAAACAATCTATTCGATGAATAAATTATTTACTTGAATACTTTTACAATTTGAGTTATTGGTTTTCTACAGGTAGGACATGATTTGTTAGTGAGCTTGTTGGCACAGCCATCACACATTATCATGTGACCACATGGAACCAAAACTACATTAATCTCCTTATCCATACAAACGATGCAGTGATTATTTTCTTCTTGCTGCTCGTGGTGATGATCAGTAGGTGTGGTGATTTGAGAAATATTGGCTGGTTCTGGAATTCTTTCTTCCTCTGCAAGCCAATCTCTATTAGTAAAGATGGATGGGTCCTCTGTTTGGATTCTTGAATTGGATGGAGTTATTCCACTATTAGAAGAAGAGGATTGATTGTTGTTGTTTGATTGACCTGTGTGTTTTTTTCTAGTTTGTACAATTTCTCTCTTTCTCTCACCGGCAAGGAATGCAGTTCTGTTTGACTTTTTCATTCTGTAGAGAAGTGAAGAGAGTTTGTCTGTTTCTCTCATTGATGAATCATTTTCACATTGTCTCAAATCTTCATCTAGGTCTTGAGTATTGTTTACAAATGCATTCATTTCTTCTTGCTGACCGTATGACTTGGAGACTTCTTCCAAGAGTTTGTTCATACTCAAAAGTTTCAATCTGGCATCTCTAATTTTGCCACTTTCAGCAAGAATGGAGCTTTGTAAAACTGCATTTAAGGACAATACAGAAACATCTACATTTTCTAAGGAAACACTTCTGTCAGATGTAATCTTAACTGGTTGATTAACCACTCTCACATATTTGCATCCGTTTGATGAGGCAGTATAGTAAATTTGTGCTTGAATCAATCCCTTATCCTTCTTATCATCTTTTACTTCCATTTCAATGGTAACATCTGTCTCAGCTGTTGCACTGCTAATTGATTGAGTAACCATTGAATACTTATCCAATTTAGATACCTCCTGATTCTTTGGTGATATTGGATTGGAGAAGAGCATTTGTACTTTAACATCGGTTGCAATAACTGGATTATCAATAATTTGTCTCATTTGCCTTCTTAATTCAACTGGTTTTACAATGTTTGTCAAACCTCCAGTATTATCAGCGAGCTTTCCAATTAATGACAAGTTACAGTTTGAGCCCTCAACACCAAAAACATTAATATTAATGCCATACTCGCAGGATAAGTTTGCAATCTTTGTGCAACACTCTTCTTGATCCTTGATACTTTTAGCTCTCTTTGAAATTTCCTCACTAATACCAGCCAAACCTGTTGTTGCAACTCCGTCAGTGCACAGGATAATTTTGCTACCTTTTTGCTGACTTGCAATACCCAAACTAACAAGTAAGGCAGGGAACAGTGCTGTAGCACCATCTTCTGCAATTGAGTAAATATACTCAATCAAATTATCATTGGCAAGTGAAACATTGTTTAGAATAGAGGTTCTATAAGATTGTCCTAACTTGAACAATCCTTCGAAATTATCAAGTAACACAGCTGGGACACTAGCTCTAGTTTGTGATCTGGCGTCACCAATAATTTGCACATTGCTTGAGAAGGTAACAATGGCTATTCTCTTATTGGGAGATTCTCTAGCTGTTTCAGTAACTTGAATATCTAGAGCCATCTTGAGACAGTCCATTCTAGAAACATAGGATGAAGATCGACTTTCGTTTGGAAGAAATTGATTATGAACAGAAACTTCAGATTCTAATCCCAATTCTCTCAGTAAACGTCTATTCTTTTCTTGTTGGTCGGATTGTCTCAAATCCAAATTAAGAACAGAGTAGCTTGGTAATTGCTCAGATTGACACATACTGCCAGAGATATCAATACAAAAAACTAGTAAGCCGTCATCATCATTTACAGAACTCTCTTCCAACTTGTGTTCAATCATTTCTGGAATGGATGAAACATTGGAAGGTAATACATTTTCAGTATCGCAAAATGAGCATTTCCAATGATTTCTCTTTTTTTCACCATTTAACGCAGCTTTACAATTTGAACAGGTAACAAGAGGGCCTAGAGCTTTTGGACATTCTGCTAAAAGGCCATTCATACACAAGGCAGCAACATTGGCATCAGATTTTGGATGTTTGATAGTTTGTTCGTTTGAAAGATCAATAGAGGATGAACAAGCTTGTGAAACTGTTGAGGCAGTCTTTTTTTCACTCTTCTTGAAAAGTCTCGATAAGAAACCTCCTCCACTAGACTTTTTTTTGCTTGTGGAAGATGATACTGAGCTACTTTGGGCATCATCGAGAGGAACATTTGAAACAACTATTTGTTTTCTATAAGAATCCTCCTAATAACATTTGTTTGAAACATGATATTCAAAGAAATTCACTTACACTATAATAATAACATTCAGTAATATTCAAAGAAGCAACTTACATTGTTGGGTCGTATTGTTCTACGAACACATTTTGAATGAATTGTGTGCAATAAGCACTTTTTCCTACACCACCAGAGCCAACAATAGAAAATCTGTATTCATCCAATCTTCCACACATTCTTACTAGTTCATGAATAGGTTCGTCTACATTAATCCTTTGTTTGGCACTTGTTTCAAAATAAGGAATGCCCAAACGAAGTGCAACTTCCTTAACTTGTTGTTTTGACACTATTCTCTCCTCTTCCAAATCACTCTTGTTTGCAATAAGTACACAAGGAAATGAATCAACATCCTTTGTCCTCAAAATTTGTTCCCAAATAGTTTGACAATCTTCCAACGAACTTGAATCTGTTATCGAAAAAACAATAAGAAAACCATATGATGTTCTATAGTATTGATCTCTCAAACTACTATATTCTATTGTTGAGTGAGTGCAAAGAGGTTAGCACACTTGTTAATAATGAGAGACAACAAAAACCAACCTTCTTGTCCAGCAGTATCGAGTAAATCAATTAAAGCTACATGATCGGAGCCTCCAGTAGTATTACTTTCACCACCAACAGAAGAATATCCAAGCTGTTTTCTTCTAGAATGTGTGTATGCCTTCTTTAATGAGTGAGACTCTTCCAATAATCGGAGAGGAAAGAAATCATATTCTTCATCCTCTTGTTGGTCAGTCTTCTTCTTGTTGTGATACAATGTTTTGGTAGCCAATTGTAGAGACATTTTCTTTAAACTTTTTAATAAATTAAAATAATGATGATTAACATAAACATGATGGTTGTTGTACAATATCTAACAACGGGTAAAACTGAGAACTATGGTTCCATCATGTTCTAATGTAACTCTGAACAATATTTTGAAAAGTCACTATGATGAGAAGAGATATTTTATTTTTTAAAATTCTTAAAATAATTTTTAATAATTTTTAAAAAGCAAAATAATTTGTGTGAATAGGCAGAAATGAAACTACCGTTACAAACAATACCATCTATTATTATCAACTAACTGAAAAAATATTCCTCACATCAAGAATGCTAACACGAAGCAAGAGAAACAATCTGCAAAACAAGAGGAGACTCTACTCTGAAGCCATTAAATATTACTCTTCATCCGAAGAATCAGAAGAGGACGATGAAACAGAAAGTGAACAAGAAGATAACCAACCAAATAATGGTGAAAATGCTCAAGGAGATGATGAATATAATTATTCTTCACCCGAAGAAGAATTCGCATCAGATATTTCCAATGATGATGAAACACCAAATATCAAACACAACAAAAAGAAGAGAAAACGCAATTCATCACCGGAAGAGGAATCCAGGAATACTTTTGAATCACCAATTATTATTGATGATCAATCCTCTCCTATTGATTTATTAACACCTCCCACCACAACAACAAATTCAAAATCAAATTCTTCACATCATTTAGGTGATGAAACAATAATTCTCTCCGATTCATCTGAAGTTTCAGTCATTATTGATATATCAGATTTTTCTAACAACAATAGTTCGTGCTCATTGAATCAATGTGCAGATGATCATCAACATGGTAATTCACCATCACCACCACTGAATTATCCTCCTTCACCACCACATTTTCAAGAGATGATGGCGCAACCAACTTTAAACGAAAAGTTTGCATCATCACCATCAGCAACATGTTTGGAAAATAAAGCAGCTGAAGGTAGTGAAGATCATGAACCCCCATTGTTGGAGCCAATTGAAGAGTTTCAAGTGAATACTGAACCAGAAAGTCAATTAGAAGATGATAACATTTCTTTGGACTTTAATATCCTCAAATTGGCAGGTCAAAAGTCTTGTCACTAGCGAACTAAAACAAATTTTAGATCTGGATCCATTGGATAATGGTGAAGAATCGAATAATGAAGAAAATGTTGGGAAGTTACTGGCTCATTTTGGGGAAACAGATAGAGAATTTCTTGCACAATATGCTAAACTAGATGACTCTAAGAAACAGAAACTCTTAGAATATATTGCAACCCTGCAATAGCTTAATGATTTAGTGGAGATTGTTATCCTTCAGCTGAATTATCATTTATTGAGAGAATATACCAACTCATAATTATTATTATCAAGATTATACTTGAATAGTGTTCAAATAAATTCATTGATGATCTATGAGATTAATGAGTGTGAAATCTTTGAATCACCTTAACAAGTGTTGACTATTATGAAAATAGGATGCAAAACTATTGATTTTCACAGTATTTATCAAGATATAATAATTCAATCATTCATCCATATTTAAATATTAACAAGTAAAATAAATTAGCACCACCTGCTCAGGCACTATTTAGAAACTTTATAAATTATTGCATTTCTCATTAAATACTGCAATACAATGTGATGAGGGAATCTTCAATAGTGCATTTTCAAATAAAATTCAATTCTTCCTGTTATAGTGGATGGGATATCAGTTTTGGATCCACAGGTTTCAACTTTGAAACACTGTTCAAAATCAAATAGTGATTTCCATTTAAAAATTTGTCAAGTCAAAAAACCGTTACACATCACGTGTCAATTGAGTAAATTGTTCACTATCAATAAACTGTTTCATCAAAACAATTAAAAAAATGGGTAAGAAGGATTCGAAAGTGAAAGTAGGTTGATGTAGTAGAAAATGTCAAACTAATCTTTAATTATTCGAATTGTGTACTAGGTAGTTGCCGTAGGAGATGGTGCTGTCGGCAAAACATGTTTATTGATGGTTTATGTAGGTGTTATTGTTTTGCACTTTCTTCAATGATTTTATTCGATTCTTGTGGAAACTTGTCCGAATACGCCATTTCTATGATGTTGTATTTTAATGTTCGGAATATCACACTTCATCTGTATCATCATAATTTTCCTATTTTACCAATAATATTTCATCAAAATTTTGTTTCGAATAACATAGGTAAATAATGAATTTCCAGAAGAATACATTCCAACAGTTTTTGAAAATTACGATACAAATGTCAAACACAAGGGAAATAACATAACATTATCTGTTTGGGATACTGTACGTAATATTGTAACAACAACATTATACGAAACATCACATTGATCTATATATTCTAAACATTATGAACTATTTAGGCTGGTCAAGAAGATTACGATGAATTGAGACATTTATCATTCACATTTTGTAATTGTTTCCTAGTTTGTTTTGCAGTTACCAACAAGACCTCATTCAACAATATCAGTACCAAGTGGATACCTGAAATTAAGAATTTTTCAGCAAAAACTCCATTCATTCTCGTTGGAACTAAGGGAGATATGAGAGGAAAGAATTCAGATGCTGATGTTGTGAGTTATGCGGAGGCTGAAAAGCTAGCTAAGGATATTGGAGCTGTTTGTTATATTGAATCATCTGCTCGTACAAGAAAGGGTGTTGATGAGGTGTTCCAAAAGGCTATTGATATTAATGTAAAGAAGGGATGCGAAATTATGTAAAATAGAAAATGGATTAAAAAATATATGTTTGAATTTAAAAAAGGTTACAGCGAGCGGGGCTTGAACCCGCGACCTTAAGCGTGTTAGGCTTACGATCTAACCAACTGATCTATCGCTGCTTACACTCTTATCATCTAAAATTTTAATACTATTCGTATCCCAATTCCTAAATTAACCAAAAACTGGAAATAGATAAGACCCATAAAACCAAATAAATCCAGAGCTTATCAAAGAAAAAAATGCTCGATTTCCCAACTGACTCTGAGGACAGAACTTCAACCTACGATGAAAACCTCTCCAAGGCAACTTACTATGCAATGAAACCAACTCATTCACTCACAAATCAATCGGGAGTAAGGAAAACTCGATTTTCCTTTCGAAAACCCAATTCTCATACCCAACCGGAGGTTGTTGTGAATGGGGAAATACAACATTCTCATCATTATCAACAATCGAATCAATCGAATCTAAATTATTCGAATTACAACCATCCTTTCGGCGATCAACCAGCAATTCCATACGAATCCTCAATGGCTGTTCTTCAGAATACTTCAGATCATCACAATCAACCTCCTATTTATTCAGATAAACCAAGTTTTCGGCTATCAGAAAGTGATGAGCAACGAAAACTCCAACAAGTTATTCGAAGAAGTTTCGTCCTCGCCATTTTGAGTTGGTTGTTCTGTGGTGGATGTTTCTACAGTTGTCTATGTTTCCTCCCTCTATATAGAAAGAATTACATCTTTTACAATGTGGAAAATTCATTTCTCGATGATACTTCCAGTGGCTACGGTCTTCGAAAGAATAACAAATCAGTTTCCAATAATGCAATGTACTATTCGAATCAAGATGAAGAAATCCAACAACAAGCAACAGCCAACGAAGACCAAATCATTGACCAAAACAATAGACAGACCAATAATGGTGAATGGAAATATGTCATGAAAAGTTTCAAGGGAAATCGTTTCAGAGATTCTCCCTACAGAAGTATTAAGCATCGAGCTGAGAGTGCTTTTGATTGTGGATTTTGTGGATGTTTGGCGTTGAATTGTTTGTTGATGTTTTGGGTGGTGGCTTTGGGGAGTAGTGCCCTGATTATTGTCCTGTTGAAATTCTTCTATTCTGGTTATAATAAAATGTAAAAAGTTGTGTGTGTGAGTTGAATTTCGAATATTGATGAAAATATGAAATTCGAAAGTGTATTGTAAAGTAGGATTCCTGTTAGAAAGGCAAGGAATTTGATCAATTTCTATTGGATATTGGACATTAAGAAGGAATACGGAGTTAATGATAACCTCCGTGAGCTTTTAGTTTTTTTTATCCTAAAATGAAACGTTCAAACAATAACTATTCGAATCATTCACTAAAAAAAATGATCAAACAACAAGCGCTTTTCTTCCTGTCAGTAATCATCCTGGTGCTGACTTTCATGCAAACAACAAATTGTGAAATCTTTTCAGTGCCATTCAATGTCACAGTTGGATATCCTTTCAAATGGAGAACAGAATCATTCACCGATATTGGATATACCTTTCTAACTGAAAAGACATCTGGAGTTGCTGTTTATACAGACCTTTCAGATTCTACTGATTTTAACAGCTATTCGATTCCTTCCAATTTGAAAGGATATGATTTGTTTGGAGTTTTCCAAATTGACATGCAAAAAGTTATTACTCCACAAGGTGGTGGTGCATCCTTCTCCTTTACACATTTCTTTTCTTTTGGCATTTTGAATGTGAATCCAAAAGAGTTGTGTCTTGTTGGTGTGGACAAGGACACGAAGAAGTTTCTTCCAATTGACTTTACAACAGATTCAACACAATTCACTCAAACAATCACTCTTCCTATCGAAACAAAAGTTTATACAATGGCCATTTTGGGTTTAGAAAGAGAAATTCCTGCATCATTTGGAGTTTCTACTTTGGTCAACTATCGTGCCTCTCTCAAATATGAAATTCACAAGGATTTGAATCAATATTTGAGTGCTTTCATTAATAGACCTCTCACATATCCTTCCCATGAATATATTGCTCAATTGGTTGACAATCAAATTGCCCTTCCCTCAAATCAATTAATTGAAATTGCTTCCTTCTCATTCAATCCAATGTTTGCTCAAAGTTATCAGGGAAGAATGGTCATTAATGATTTCATGTTTAGTTTTGATCTTTCTAAAGGATTTGTCGATAGAAATGGAAAGCAAGTTGAGATTGATTTTGAATCTCTTCAATGTTTGTACATTGTCGATGAAAAACAAGGTTTCGTCCAAAGACCTCGCTCAGATGTCTTTCCTACTTGGCAAAAACTGGCGTGCTCTCCAGGAATTGGACAGAACGACTTTTATCCAAAGTACATGACCATTGTTGCCAATCGTAAATCAGCACCTACACCTGTACCATCCAAAAGTTCAATTCCTCAACCATTGGTTTCAAAATCCAGCTCAGAACCAATACATCCTTCATTCTCCAAGGGTGTTTCTGGGTCCACTAATCCACAAAATAGTTTCCATCCTCGAAATAATAATCAAGCAAAGACTGTAGTCAATACTGTATTGGTTGCATTGATGATTATTTTGAGTTCCTTATTAGTTGTTTAATAAATTAGTAATAAAGGAAATAAAGGAATTCATTTTTGAATCAAAAACTTCGTTCGAATTCGAAATTGCTTAACTAAGTATAATAAACCAATTTTGCCATCCAATTTAACTATTCCATGGCACTTGCTAACTTTTTCAAATCTGTCCAATCTTGCTCGGATAAACACTCACATCCAGGATAATTCTTCCATTTTTCAATATTGTCAAAAACTTTAGAATTTCTTTCAATAGCTCTCCTCAGTAGATCCTTATTGAGAAACACTTGATAACCTGGATGACACAAATTATCTACAAAATTATCTGGTGAACTATCCCACAAATGCTCACTGAATGCTTGACATGCTGTAATTTCCTTGATTGGAACACCCATTTCCATTGCCAGATCAATCACTTGTCTATTTTCTCTAAATGTCTGTCCAAAATACTTGTAGCAAACTTTGTTTTTCCTAATGCATTTCATGACAAAGTCTATTGGAAGATACTTATAGTATGATTGTGGATGGTAACGACTGTCCATTAACCAATCACAGAAATCCCTATTATTTAGTAACAGGTCGTGATGTATGTAAGCGAGTGGTGTCAGTCCATGCCATTTGACTGCTTGTTTCATAAGGTCAATATCAAATGGGAATGCTTTACAAACAGCATAACAAATTGAATTACTTTCTTTCCTATAGTGATATGAAGGTGTTGTCAATATATGGGTCATTATTTCTCTATCTGAGTAACAAGCAGAAGGAAGTTTTTCAAAATGAATATTAACCCCAATTTTAAAAAGCAGTAGCTTAACAAGAGATGCCTCTTTCCTTAGCTCATCTGATAGCTTATAATAAAAAGAATAATTCTTACATATAAATAGTGAAGCAAATTGTAGATCGGTAATAAGTGGTGCTGCTCTGCAAAGTTCTTGGAAGTTAAAAGAGGCGATATTGAACTCTATTTCATTCTTTAGAAACTTGTAAAATCTTATAATGGAAAATGGGTAGACTGAAATAATTTGTTTCATCAAGAGTTCTGATGATAGATTATTCTCATCATCAACTGGAATACCGTTAGTGACAAGATATTCTTTCAATATTTCTTGGTCATTTAACAAAGCCTCTCCAATGCTAAGAATGGAAATCATTCTCTTTCTATTACTGTGTAATTGAAAATATCTCAGTACAAAATTCTTATCATTTCTCAATTCTTCTTTACATGTAATGAGACCATTTGAATGGTTTTTTAAAATGTACTTTTCTTCCTCTGTTTCCATTGAAAGATTTTCCAAATGAGGATATTTCGATTTTGTTAATTGGAGCAAATGATCTTTACAAGCACGATATTTTTCACAACATCCAATGGAAATAAATTTCAGAGCTACATTTGGATTTTCAATTGAATTAAAAAGATTGGTATGATTTCTCAAAAGGATACTTTCTTGAATTTGGAACGGAGACTTTTCAATAATTATTTTGAAATTGTTGCAAATTGAGTCAATTCTAAATTCAAGACCTCTCTCTTCCAATAAATGATAAAATTTGAGAACCATTAGTGGTCTATTCTTCAAAATCTCTTCAATCAATTCAAAAGTATTCAATGAATCAAATCTTTCATGTCTCCACTCTTTTTCAGACATCATTCCTCTTCTCAATACTTGTGAATCGGATAATAAAGACTCTCCCACATAGTGCAGTGTGTTAAATCTTCTTCCCAACACTTTCATTACAAATTCCTTATCATTTCTCAAGTCTGAGCTGGCAAATTGTAAAGCCAATGGATTGTGTTTACATGCATCAAGAACAATCTCTCTATCATTTCTAAAATTAGTAGCTAATTGTAATGCTAAAATGTCCTTCTTGACTAATTCTGAAACTACATGTCTTATTTGGAATAATTTCTCTGGTAGTGCATTTAATGAATAATATTTAAAGTTAAACAATTGTTTGGTCAACTCGGGAGATTTTGCAAGAGCAGAAACCAAATTCACCCAATCCATTTTCGGATGAGAGCCAATAACAAACAACAAGCTCGGTTGATTTTCATAATCTCTAAATAAATTATTAATATGATAATACATAGATTTGTAATTATTTTCAGTAAGAATTCTAACAATTTTGTCAAGTTTCTCCATTCTTTCCCAAATAGATTCTGCTTTGTCTTTCCTTTTGACCTTTCTTTGATTCATCTTTTTATAACTCTTCAAGAATGGATATTTAAACTTGTGTAATTTGCTTGATACTATCAAAGGGAAGAAAATGTCCTCGGAAGATCAACTCTACTGATTTGTAACATTCTACAAAGGATTCGTTTAATTTCAAACGATTCTTACTCTCTTCACGAATAATTTTCACAAATTGTTGATAATTACAATTATTGGAATAAAATTCAGCTCTTAAAGTTGCATCTCTGTTGTTGGCAACATCTAAAAGCAGCGTAACTTGTGATGACATTTTTTATTCTAGTGGTGCAAACAGGAATTTGTGTTGGAGCAGTTTGACTGGCTTGTGCTCTCTCATAAGATGATTCCATTGAACTATAATCTTTTTACCACAACATACAGTTTAGTAAAAATTTCGCGGTCTACAGGATTCGAACCTGTGCGGGTCGCCCCAATTGATTTCTAGTCAATCACCTTAACCACTCGGTCAAGACCGCTTCTCGCTTACTTTGGTTAAGGTAACGGTACAATCAATTTTTACTTTATAAGAATATGCATATTGCAAGCAAACATGAAAATTAAAATTTCAGACGCAGACTGCAGGATTCGAACCTACGAAGGTTTCCCCAACAGATTTCAAGTCTGTCGCCTTAACCACTCGGCCAAGTCTGCTACATCATGAATGTTTAGTAAGGCATTGGTATGGAAAAAGGTAATTCTTCATGTTCTTTTAAATTGGTGTTGTAATTTCAAATCATTTCATGAAAACTTCAGTTTATTCCAATATCCTATGCCAACAATGATCTTCTCTCATCACTTGTTGAAGTCTTATCATAAGACTTTTGGAGAGCATGTTTCGAATTCTTATCCGAATTCATTCTTTCTCTCACTTTTTGGATACCGAGATTGGATCTGAGTTGTTTGTAAGGCTTCCACTTTCTCTTTTCTCTTTGAAGAAGCTTTTCTAAAATTCTACCAAACCAAGACTTATCGTTAGCACATGTAATGGCTTTGATAAAACGTAAAATGTTGTAAATTGTAAAACCTTTGATTAATTGTCTGAAAGGAATTCTCCAAATTAAGAACATCTCCCAAAAGTATCCAATAAAGTAGTGAGCTGCACAATATCCAAAGAGACGTAATTTGAATTCCATTGGGAAACTAATAAATTGGAATGCTGTTTTTAAATAATGGCATGGTTCAAATAATATGTAAGTGGTAAACAAGTACAATATAGTAAGGAGCAAGACATAGATAAAGTTGTGAGTTATGAGAGGTCTCTTAAATGGCTCACTAACACTCTGACTGACAGCTGAATTCAATACTGCAAAGCAACATGCAAGGTATGTAATAGTTGTTTCAAAACTAACAATATTGTCTTTTGGATCTTTGTGAAGTGGAGCAGGTTTGTACCATGCTGTATCGAATAAAATTTCAAAGAAAACTCCCAACATTAAAGCAAATCCCCAGAAAATTTGACCAAGCAAACTAACAAGAACAAATCTAGAGAAGAGAGATTCTGGTGGTTTTTCCTTATGGAGAGTTTCTGTGGCTTTGGAATTGGCCATCAATAGAACAACAGGTAAAATAATGAACATGTCAATATACAAGTATTGTGTGTCACCAATTGTTGCATTTTGTCTATAGATGAGAACGGCCGCAAAGAATTCAAACAAGCTATACAAGGCCATGTACTTGAACATTTGGAAACTGGAAGAGAGTGCAGCTCTTCCTTCCTTAACTACATCCACAACTGATCGAATTGAATTTTGAACTGATGTAAAAGGTGCAGCAATACTTGCTTCGGCCTCTGAAAGAGAAACACCCACATGTGCTGCTTTCAAAGCCTCAACATCGTTACTGCCATCTCCACACATTACAGTCATGTAGCCCATCTTGATCAACTCTTCTACCACCTTCATTTTACCAGAAGGTGAAACTCTAGCATAGATATGGCAACATGAAAGAATAATATGGAGCAATGAAGGATTCTCAGCATCAACATACTCAATCTTATTTCCTCTTCCCATCTTGGCATTTTCATTGGTCTTTTCCACATAATCCTTGTGTGAGAAAACGATTGTGTCAAAAATCTCACCAATAATTGCCAATTCAAAGTTTTCATTTCTAAAGTCCTTTCTGATAATTTCACGTGAGGTAAGGGTAGGGGCTTTTGGATCATCAACATTTCTCCAAATAATCTTATCATAAACTGCAGGGAGATAATGTTTCATAGGATTGCCTAGTATTGCATTATCGTTAATATCCTCATTGATTGATGGACCATTGGTAGTTTGCACATGGTTGATGGCAAGTGCTTCCTTGCTTGCAAATTCAGCCAAATAAAGAGTCTTTCCCTTTGGAAGCATATAACATTTACGAGCAACACAAATTGTCGTGTATGGATTATCGCCAGTAATGACACACGCTCTCAAGTTAGCTTGGGTTAGTGTTCTAATCACAGATGGTGTTTCTGGTTTAAGTTTGTTTTCCATGCAAATTAAACCAAGGAAATCCAGTTTAGATTCAACTTCCTCTCTTGTGAGCTGGTCAGTATATTTGGCAATAAGAGGATCCACCAAGTTTCTTCCAAAAGATTCAGGTTTTTCTAGAATTTTTAACAATTCCTTATACTTGATAACTCTGCTGGCACATCCTAGAACACGATAACCCTTATGTGCATACTTGTAGAGAACCTTTTCAAAATCACCTGGAATTGTTTGAGCATGTGAGAGAGTCTTGAGCATTTCAGCGGAACCCTTAACGAAAAAGTGCAAATCTCCAGTATTTTCGTTTTGTGCTACCACTGACATTCTTTGCAAACCAGATTTGAAATCAAAAATCTTGAGGATGATAAATGATGCAGTCTTTTGTGGTGCAGAGATGGTAATAGAGTTGGTAGACGATGCTTTCTTGTTATTTTGATTGGTACTAGCTTTATCTGATTCGACCAAATCCCAGGTTGTGGCTTCGAATAATTTAACGTCCAAAGGATCACCTGAATTAAAGTATTATTAATTTGAATTACAATTCGATTTAAAAAAACTTACCCACTAGCTTTCCAAAAACATATGACAAATTGTGACAACAAGCCATACAATGAAGTAATGAATTGGTGGCATGCTTTAAATGATTCAACATTTCATTATCCTTAATCAAGTGTTCGAATCCCTTTGGTCCTATTGGAACAACGCCATGCAAATCAAGACCATCTCTGGTTAGTGTATTTGTCTTATCGAAACATGCCATATTGACACGCCCACTGACATTAATTCTTGGAGGACTGATTATTTGAGTGAATTCAACAAGCAGCGTGTAATAACTTACCTGATACAAAATATTCCCTTTTTCTTGAGTCTAGAAATAGCCATAGAAACACAAACACTCATTGAAATAGGCAATGCAGGAGGTACAATAGTAGTTAATAAATCAAAACAAGAAATGATCATTTCACCCAATGGAGCATTCTTAACACTTTGATTGTACAAACTGTACGAAATACCAGCAATACCAAACAAGAACATCATGAATAAGAATTTCATAGAGTCACTGTAAAAAGAAAATTGGTTTGGCTTGGGATACAAAATTGACAAGACCAATTTTCCTTTTGCTGTTTGAAAACCAGTTTGAATAACCATGGCACAAACAATCTCCTCTTCTGAGGATTCATAGAGAGCTGTTGGCTTATTCAAAATTACTTGAGTACCAGAGAAGAGAGTATGAGTCTTATCGCGCATACAATTGTACTTTTCTGTTTCAGTTCCAGATTTTGGTATTGGAACTTTCTTAGTAGGAGTGCTTTCACCTGTGAGCATACTTTCATTCATAATGGTTTGTCCATGAAGCAAGACGCAATCGCAAGGTATTACCATACCATTTTCAATTTCAATTAAATCCCCAGGAAGAAGCTCCGTTGAATCAATACGATGTTTGGAAATACCTTTCCAAGAGAATGCATCATCTATTGATAAGACAGGTTCAGAACTTGATGATACTAACATTGATCTCTTTTTCTTTGCATTGGATGCATAGTGTTGATGAATACTATTGTGTTGAGAAAGTTTGTTAACTCCACAATTAAATGTTGTCATTTCCTTAAGTTTGACCATGTTTGTTCTTGTTTCATACATTGAAATAATGGATGAAATACTTGACATGACTGCAATTGCAACTGCATACACATAATAATTTTCACTCAACCAAACACAAACACTGGCAACCTGGAAAATATAGAATGGATGTAGCACTTCATCAAGCAATAGAGAAATGATGTTTCTAACCTCAGTCTTGATGGAATTAGATCCGAAAAGCATTTGTTTGAGAGTGTTGGAGAGTGTATTGAATGCAAATTGACTGCTAATAGTGTGAGCCATTGTGTGAATATTAGCAAATGGGAAGAGAGTAAAATGGTGAGCTCTATCAAATCTATCAGTTTCCTCATTGTAAATGTAAATTAAATTTCTATATTTGAAGCATGAAATGGTAACTTCAATTGGCTTTGGTAAGGACAAGTGTTCATCACTACTCGTCTCTAATTTACCAATCTTGTTCAAAACTTGATACAGGTTTTCATCAATTTTCAAAGTTTTCTTTTCAATCATGCAAATAGTAATTTGACCTGTTTCTCTCGCTTTGATAAACACTGCAGTAGCATTCTTGAATGATGTTCCTTTGAATATATCATTCTTTCTCAAATCATCATCAGCATTAATTTTTGCAAGATACTCTTCATGGTTTTCATTGCTGGCTACGGAGAGTCTATTGTGTTGAACTCTGTCTTTCAACCAATCATACCAATAGCAGAATAGCAAAACCAAGCCAAGAGAAAGAATAACCGAGAGCCAAAACAAGCAAAACCAAAGCCAAGAAAATTGCAAACCAACACAACAAGCCATTTCATGAACCTCTTCATCACCCTTTGAAATATCTGGCATGCTTGTAAAACTCTCCACAGGAGAAGAGTAATTCTTGAGAATCAATTTAACAATTCTCTTTTCAATGTTTTCCACATCTTCCGAAGGTGTCCTCTCTTTACAACAAGAATCGAACCCTTCATTGGTTTGTTCTTGAATTACCACAGCAGATGAAGAGTCTTCAAATTTATCCAATCCTTCATCATCATAGTGGTATTGTTGTTGATGTTGTTGGGCAGCATCACCTTGTTGTTGACCAAATAGTAATGGCTTGTTTTCCATTAAATTTCCCTCCGTTATTGGTGAAAATAATCGAGATGCAAAAGATGGCGACACTGTAAGGATATTCGAGAGCAGTAATAACAACACAGTAAAGATATTGCTCTCGTTTTTTTTCAAACATCCTTCAATGAAATTCTCAGCAAGGAGTTTGAATACATGTAGTGCAAGTGGTAATGTTTCCTGGTAAGTCAAACATCAAATATTATTTTCTGTCCTGGCTTGTGAAAGTCATAGATTTTTCGGACTATAATGACAACCAGTATTTTGAAACAAAATCGAATGTTGATGATGCAAAAACATTTGGCTATGTATGTTATTAATAAGGGAGATTGTTTACGATTTTCTTAATTATATTACCTGGACAACAAATTCTCCTCTCGTCAGACTCTAATATTCAGCAGATAGATGCTCTCAGTTCCCATATTTGAACTACTCATCGAGTAGAGATGCTCCTTGAACTCTCAACTTTTTGATTTTCATAAAGCGCTGCCTTATTCACTTAGCATCTTGCCCTCACTTCACTTGCATCCTCTTCTTTTAAAAAAAATGTTGCTTCATCGGGCAAATTCATCACCTCAACTTCTTTCCCCACCAACTCCAACCCGCAGATCTTTTAGCATTTCCCAAGCCTCACCTCCAACAATTACCTCTCCTTCACCTCAATCACCAAATAATGTAGAATTTAATACCAAAAGACGTTCCCTCTCTATTTCTCCACTCTTTACTGATTTGCAAAAAAGTAGGCTTTCAAATCCTAATACCCTACCGCAAACACCAACTTCTCCATCTCAATCTCTCAATTCACCAAAACAAAGTGGTGGAGCAGGCACTTTTCCCACATCATTCAAACCTCCAAATGTTGTCAGTGATAAAAAAGGATCTCTTCATATGGACCTTGATAAGCTGGATGAGTGGCTTCAACCAGATGATATCCTTCGTCCAACTCTGTCAATACTCTCCCCTAAATCATCACCAACCACAAAACCAACATCTCCCACACCATTTGTACGTGAAAGATCTAATTCATTCACAAGATTTGAAAACTCTAATTTAGAGAGATTGTGTACCTCTCCAACATTCTCATCTCCAAAGAATAGCTCACCACTTAATAGAGTTCTTCAACAAGAGGGAGCCTCAACAACTCCGAAAGGAAGAAACAGATCGATGAGTACTATGAGTAACATCTCTGCCTTTTCAGATTTGAGTTATCGTTCCTCATTGTCTAACCTGTCTATTCAATATTTAGAACCTGAGGATGATGATTTTGAAGAGGAGGAAGAAAGTGAATCGGAAAACCTTAGTTGTCGTTCAACAAGTAATAGTAATGCGGAAGAACAACAGATTTCATCTTCGGAAAGTTCAGAATCAGAAGATGAGGAAGAAGTGATTCAATCTGCCACAACATTTGATCAATTATTTCACAAGAAATTCACCAAATTACCGTCAGCAAACAAAGTCAGTCCTTTGGACAGTCTGTTAAAAACTACTGTGGATGATGAATCCTCAACAAACTTTGTTGCATTCAAAGAAATGTTAAAAGCAAAACTTCAAGAGGGAAAAAAAGTTGGCTCTGCTGAAAAGAAGAATGAACAAGAAATCTTAAAGAAAAAAGGTATTAAATCTCTTTCTTGGCTCAAATCATTGATAGACAAGTTATACACATACAGTCATGATCTCTTTGTCAGCAAGGGAAATAACATTCAACAGTTGTACACAACTCCAATGATTATTTATTCAATCATGAAAACCAAATTTGTTTATAGTACAGTAACTAACATTGTAAGTTTTTGGATGTTCTAATGGAATTTTAACTTTGGAAGAATTGGCATGATATGCTCAAATCTGCCAAAGCATACAGAAAGTATGACTTTGAGGTAGAAACATTTTACAAGTTTATGAGTGGAGAGTATACATTAGAGACCTTTGTTTGGTTTGTTTGTTCTCGTTCAGTGGCAAACAAGGCTGTTGAGGAGCTGGATAAAAAGCTAGATGACAGTTCATTAGGCTCGGAAAATGAAACAATTGCTGAAACATCATCCATAGCACCACCTACAAAATCAGTTGTTTCAGAAATATTGGAAAAGAAGAGAAGAAAACTGCAAGCACTCGAAAGAAAAGAAGAGAATAGGCACAACATTGAAAAATCAAAGAGTTTCATCACTATGCAAAATGCAATTCATGCTGTCTGTAATTTAGTTAACAAAAAGCTCATTCAAAATTTACCTTTTTTAGGTGTCAATGCTGTACATGACAAAGCAATAGATCCATACACATTGAAACATAATGTTGAGAATGTGTTGATAAGAAAGTTCGGATTAATTAGATCAAAAGAATTGTAAGTCATCTTTTAATTAGTTTAAAATAATTCCAAATTTAAAAATAGGAGGAATGAGGAAGCAATATCTTTACCACAATTCTTAGGCTATGTTGTTTCCATTAAAGCAACCAAGCTCGAACTTGTTTTTCATGAATTGAAGAAATATCTTGTGGATGAAGATCATGGAATGCTTGACAAATTCTCAGAGACTTCCTCTTCCCCACTTCCAGTAAAACCAAAGCCAAGGCGGATGAGATCAGATAGTGGAATTAATATTTCTTCAGTTCTGGAAAAATTAACAGATATTGCTCACAGAATTGAAGATGGTGAGTCAATTGATTCCCCTAGGGAAGAAAAGAGACAACCATTTTCAGAAGTTTCCAAGAAGGAGGATATTTCAGAAAGTAGTCCTGTCACAGAACATTCTCCATCAAGAACTCCTCCTTCGTTAGAGAAGAGTTTGTCAAACCTTAATTTAGCTGACGTTTCTAATTTCCTATGTAATTACAAGGAAAATACTCCAATTGAGGAGCCACCAGTATTGGAGGAAATTATTCAAGATTTCAAACCACCAAAGGATGAAGAGGATGTAGAAGCTAGTCTCTCCAATGAAGTTGTAAAGATGATCACAATGCTGAGTCAATTAGTAGATGATATGCCAAGAGATGAAGACGGAATTTCGGCCATTTCAGAAGTTTTTGTTCCTCATGTTGAGCATATTTTGAACTGTCTTCCTGCCTTAGGAAAAATACAAGAGCAATATGCAACTGTTTTGTTGGAAGACTTACTTTTTAACACGAGAGAATTACTTAATAATTTACCTTTCTTTTCCAACTTTGCTGCCAGTTTGATTTTCAAAATTAATGGATGGTTAGTTTCAGAATCAAAACAATTCGAATCAAGTTCTCAACCAATGGTTGCTGAACTAATCACCAAGTCAGAAGTGGATATCTCTGAAGATGTTGTAGTAAACGAAGATTGCGAACCAATCCAAACAGATATCAGATCATCATTTGAAGAACAACTTACAATGAACAAACTCAAAGATCTAATTGAAGATGAGAGTGCAGCTTCAGAATTAATGGACTTGCTTTCAGAAGTAAGGAATTTATAAATTATTTAAACCTTGTTGAGCAATCCGTGAGTACTTAAATATGGGGTGGATGCAGTCAAACTTGTCTTTTTGAGCTCTTCTAATTGTTGAGCTAAATAGTTTTTCTTGGCTAATTTCTTTGCTTGTTTTGAGATTAAAAGCCAATACGAACCTTGCAGAATTGCAATGATTGCAAGACTAAGAGTAAAACCTATCCATACTCCCAATAATCCCCAATCTAATACGAAAGCCAAAACACAACCGAAAGGAAAGCCAATAACAAAGTATCCAATCACACCAATTACAGCACAAACAAATGGCTTGTTTAAACCTCTCAGAATACCACCAAAAATAGCTTGAAAACCATCAACAATAAGGAATATCAAACAAATAGGTAAAATTCTAATCGATTCATAAATTAGAGTTGAATCACTGGTATAAATTTTTGGTAAAACAACAATAGTACATGCCACTACAATTACTGTTATTACCATAATGAAAGAGGAGAGTATGATATTTGCATGTGAACTGTATCTTACTGATTTGTAATCACCTCTTCCAAAACGATGAGCAATACAAACAGTACTAGCCATAGATAAACTCATAGGAATCAAATAGGCAAAATTAGAGATGGATAGAACAATACCGTGAACAGACAATTGAGTATTACCTAAAAATCCAGCAATAAAAGTTGAAAGCTCACTTCCCCAAATTTCAGAACTCATCATTATGGAACCAGGAAAAGAAATTTTCAAATGATCAAATATTCCCTTTAACGACTTTTCTTTTTTGAATGGAGTTACGTTGATAGTGGTTGGGAGTTTTTCATCTTGAGGCAATTCACCTGTTTTGGATGTGGTAGCATAGATAATCTCTTTAAGTGAGAAGTTTTTGAACATTTGTCTCATTTCCTTCTTACAAATGATTACAAATACCATCAAGATGAAAAAACCAATGAACATGAGCCATCTAGTGGACGAGGTAGCAATGGCACTTCCATAAAAACCAATACCCTTAAAATCACCGACTCCACCCACAAGGAAGAAGCTCATCAAGACATTATACACAACGCATACAATACAAACTGCAATACTAGGCCAATAAATCTTTTGAGCGACCATAAACGAATACAAACTTCTGGAATAAATGAAAGGGAACAAACCTGGAATAAGATATCTCATAAATGTTATGGTGAGTTGAGTAACAACTTGTCTACTAATTAGACCTTCTGGTGTTGTTTCAACCAACTCGAATAGCATTGCAATATAACCAGAGAAGAACATTATAATGGAGACAGGTATCATGAATAGAGTTTGAAGAAGGAGACTTCTAATCCATTCAGCAATAATTAAATTACCATCCTTGTTACCAAAAGCTTTAGAGATCAACGGCTCTTGACCATTACCAATCAATCCAAGAACTATAATACTTAATCCATTGAATAGTGAAGTAGCTAAGGTCAAAGAAGCTAGGTATTCAGATGTTGTGGGATAAAGTGAGGTAGAGTTGATATTCAGCGCATAATCAAATCCGTAGAGTTCTGTAAGTGCACCTGGTTGACTAAAATCTACTTGTGTAACAGTATTGTTCAGAGTGGCAAGTCCTGAACGATTTGAGTTAATGTGTCCAACAACAATCATATCCTCAAGACCGAGAATAAGAATGCACAAATTGAACACTAAAAAAGGAATACAAGTAAATATGAGTGGCAACAATTCCCTTCTCACATTGTGGAAATAATCCATTCTGTTCTTGTTTCTGAGGCGTGAATTGTTACTGAGTTGAAGATCATCACTTCCAATGCTTGATTTTCTGCTCTCACTAGAAATGTCAGAAGAGCTTTGCTTGGTAGTTGATGATGAACAGTGATCATCAACACTGATATTGCACTCATCAATATCAGCATAGTGAATGGTCAATGATTTGTTCGAACCAGGATCAATGTAATCATACCATGTAATATCAAATACCATGGATAGATCTTCAGCATTGAGAGCAATTTGTTGATCTTGTTGGGAAGTGCTGGTAGTGGCAGTAGAAGTGGTGATCTTGATTTGTTTATCATCATCACTAACTTCCTCAACACTTAATAATGTGAATGACTTGTTTTGATTCATATTTGTTTTCTCACCAAAAGAGAATGAATAGGTGCACTTTAGAATAATCTTGATATAACTAATTGATGAATATCAACAAAAATTAGAATTAATGCTTTTTCCAATACCAAATTATAATACAATTGACTTGTGGTAATTGCGAGTTGACTATTGAAAACACAATTTTGTTTACTGTTATTATTGGTAACAATAAATTTTGAATAGTAATAACTACTCTGGTCGTTGCAATGAAGAGATTTTGATTTAGTTGAAGAAGAATATAATGCTCCCAGCATTACTTTTCTATAATATTGTAATATTGAGTTTAAATACTATATTCTGTTATGAGAATATACTAGTTGTGATAGTATTTGTTGGTGGTTTGCAGTTGAAGTTGTTTAGTGTTTGCAGTTGAGTTGTTGAGGAAATGCAGTTTTTTTCAATCTAGTCTGTTCACCAATCTACTCGTCTTTATAAGTAACTAAATATAGATGCTCTCCTAAAGGTCGAAAATGGTTGATTTATAATTGGTACATTCTAAAGTTAAAAGTTGGTCCGTATTTGGAAGTTTGTGTAATTAACATGTATTTAAAACAGGTAGGTTAATTCAGAAGAGTATGTGATGCATTCGTGTTGTCCTTAGGTTTCTTATTACAATATTGTTAAAAAGTATAATATTCCTTAGTAGGGAAGACAGATATGTGGTCTCTTGGTTTTCATGACTGCATGAACAGTTCTTTTGGTCGTACAAAGAGGCAAATAATTTGTCACTGACAATCGTTGAAGTGTTTCACAACCCATCACCACCACCTGCATGAATGAGTGCACCACATTAAGCTTGTGTGAAAAATTTCAAATTGTTATTATCTTTTTTAACAGTGATGGTAATAATACACTTTTTATCATGTGAGTAACACTAGAGTGGTGGCATTGAAAATGTACTATTATCTAATCCTCTTCAATAGTAATTTTAGGAGTTGTTGATTGATTATCCAGTTTCTCTAATTCTGCAACTACATTTCTAGCAATTTGTAAGAAGGAAGCAGCTCTGTCAGATTTTGGATCTGAAATGACAACAGGTCTACCTGAATCGCTAGTCTCTCTAATTTGTGTATGTAATGGAATTTCACCAATGAAATTCAATCCCATATTTTCTGCTGTTAGCTTGGCACCATCGTGACCAAAGATGTGGTCCTTATGACCACAATTTGAACATTTGAAATAACTCATATTCTCCACAACTCCCAATATTGGTACATTCAATTTACGGAACATATTCACACCTCTCTTAACATCAATGAGAGCAATATCTTGTGGAGTACTCACAATAACAGCACCCGATAAATGTACTCTCTGACAAATTGATAATTGAGCATCACCTGTTCCTGGTGGTAAATCTACAACAAGAATATCCAATTCTCCCCAATCCACTTGATGTAATAATTGATCAACAGCAGTCATTACCATTGGTCCTCTCCAAATTGTTGGAGCATCTTCCTGTACGAGAAATCCCATACTCATTGTCTTGACACCATAATTTGATTTTGGTATGAGTTTTCTGGTGGCTTCATTCACTTGTGGCTTACCAGATAGATTCATCATACGATGAATACTTGGTCCATAGATATCAGCATCCATGAGACCGACAGACTTTTGGCAAAAGGAGGAGAGAGCAAGAGCCAAATTAGTTGCTACTGTACTCTTTCCAACACCTCCTTTACCACTCGATACAACAATAACATCTTTCACTCCTTCAAGCTTTGGACCGAGTGTCTTTTGGTTGTTAGTGCTAAATTGTCTAGTCATATGTGTTGTAATAGATGAAGAGGAGGAGGAGAATTGTGTACAAACTCGCTTCTTGAAGGACAACATCTTCTGACCAGTTGTTGTATGAGAGAAAAGTTTATTTCTTATTGTTGATGAAAACATTTTATTTTGCTGATAATTATGAATTTTATTTTTAATTTTATATTTTAAAAAAATGAGTGACTCTTCATCAGACTCGGACGATGATTTATTCTCTCACAAGAATGCAAAATCAGTACTTGATGTTTCATGGTCTGATATTTCAAAGAAGAAGGATCCAGTGCCAAAAGTAAAGGATAAAAAACCAAAGAAAAAGAAGAATTTACTTGATCTTGTTGAAGATGAGGAGGAAGAAAAACCAAAAGAAAAGGAAAAGAAGGAGGACGTGTTGGATGTTGATTTAATTTTGGCAAAGAATGAACTTTATAACAAGAAGGCTAGAAGAAATACTAGTAGTAGCTCCGAAGGTAAAAAAAAGAGAAAGCAGGACGATGAGGAATTTATCAAAAAACAACTGGCCGAACAACAAAAATTAGAAAAGGAAAGAAAAAGGAAAAAACAAAAACAAATGGAAATTATTCACAAGAATGATGAGGACGTTATTGATTTGGATAGTGAAGTTGTTGAGGAGTTACCACCAGTTTCTCTTCCTTCACCAGTGACATCACCACTTTTAATGAAAAAACCAATGATGAGCTTCCCATCAAAACCAACAGTAGTCAAACCAACAAAGGCTATTGATTTTAAAATTCAACTTATGGCTAGTGATGCTTTCCAAAAGTTAGAAGCTGCAGAATCTTTCACATTTGATGATCTGGAGGATGATAGTGTTCAAGAGGAATTATCAGAAGCAGAGAGAAAGAAAATTGAAGCTCAAGTTCAAAGAGAAATTGAACAACTTAACAAGAAGAAAGAGCTAGCTCCTATCACCACAGAGGATGTAGAGGAAGTTGAAGATGAAGACAAGGGAGAAAAGATCACCATTTCAATCAGATGGAATGATAAGACAATATCTGTAAATATTCACGAGAGAGATAAATTCCAAAAACTCAAAAAGACAGTAGCAAAGAAGTTTGAAGTGCATCCTGATCAAATATCATTCAAGTTTGACGGAGCCACTCTAGATTTAAATTCCACACCAGAGGATCAAGCCATGGAAAGTGATGACATTATTGATTGCATTGTGGATTTGAAAAAGAAAGTTTCAACAGTATCTCACACTCCTGCCACCGAAAAGGAGCCAAAAGAGAATAAGGGTGAAAAAATTGTATTGGAAGTTAGAGGAAATGGAAAGAGCATTTCAATTAATTTCTACAAGGGAGAAAAGTTTTCAAAACTTGCAAAAGGAGTAGCTAAACAATTTTCTGTAGCCCCTGAGAAGATTAAACTCATGTTTGATGGGTTGGCTTTGGATTTAAATGAAACTCCTGGCGATCAAGACATGGAAAATGAGGATATTATTGATTGCAAGTTTTTGTAAATATGCTTATAGCTATCTAGGATTTGAGACATCAGTTTTTTGTAGAGTTTCTTTTTTGACAATATGCTTTATAGGAAGATTCTTACATTCTCCTTTACCTTGGTAACGATTTGAGAGATTAAGAAGACCATTTGGGCAACTATTGACAAGATTTTCCAATAAATTATTGTCAATCTTTGCTCAATTAACCACAAGTCTTCCATTTACATTAATTGCATTATCCGTTCCTCTTACAAACTAAATTCTACAATTTTCCAAAAATGATCAGTTTATACTTTTTACAAAACGAAAAAAACGAATCAGAACACTCCCTAAAAGCTTTCTCATGTTCAACCAAGAGTTTTCATTTCCAGCAAAGAAAGTACCATCATCAACTCATGAATCTCCGAGTATTGACAATGAGCAACAGCAACCATTCGAGAAACCTGTAAGGATGGAAAAACCACCCATTCAAAATGATATTGAAGATTATGGCCTTATTGGAAATTGCCACACAGCTTGCCTTGTTGGTATGAGAGGATCCATCGATTATTGTTGCTTTCCACAATTCGATTCTCCTCCAATCTTTTCCAAACTCATTAGTAATCAACCTGCAGAGACTTGTGGATTCTTTTCCATTCATCCAATGCGTATTGAAGATACCACGAATAAGCAACATTACTTTCCCGATTCTAATGTATTGGTCACCAAGTTCTTGTTGAGTGAAGGTGTTGGTCAATTGGTTGATTTGATGCCTATTTGGTCTGATAGTGGTGTTCATCCACAACAAACCGAAACGATGAATGAATCATCAACAAACTGCTCAACAATTGAAACTTGTTGTCCTATTACAAAACTCTTCAATTTGTATCACGGCTTCCATAGACAATTAGTGAAAACCAATAGTTCACAGTATAGAAATTGCATTATTAGAAGGTTGGAAATTGTGCATGGAAAGATTGAGTTTCAAATTGTTTGTAAACCAATATTCAAATATGGAGCAGAGAAACCTCATGTTGAGATATGCTCAAACAAGAAGAGTGTCGTCTTTTCATGTTCTGACCAGGCCATTATTCTTGAATCTAATAGACCATGCTTCGAAAGCATAGATGAAAAGGGAGCAGTCATTGGTTTGATTGAAATGAGTGAAATTGATCCAGAGAAGAGTTGTGTATTCTGTCTGAGATATTTAGAACAGGGAGATATGAAGGGAAATCATGATTGTCAGACCTTATTGGATGAAATGTGCATTAATGAAGATTTGATGCTTATCACCAATGATCTCACTATTAAGACCATTAATTATTGGCAAAAGTACATTTGTAATAGTAATTACCAAGGAATTTTCAGAGAGATGGTCAATAGATCACTTCTAGCTCTCAAACTTTTAATGTTCAACGAGACAGGAGCTATAATTTCATCTCCAACAACATCACTTCCCAAGTCAATTGGTGGTAATAGAAATTATGATTATAGATTTTGCTGGATAAGAGATGCCACCTTCTCAGTTAATGCTTTCCTCAAGACTGGAATGATTGAAGATGCTGCAAAAATTGTTGGATTTATTGAAAAGACATTTGATTCTGAAAAATCAGATTCCAAACCACTTTCCAATATTTACACAATTATGGGAAAGAAATTGAGCGGTTCCATTCAAGAAATCTCCAAGTTTAGTGGTTTCAAGCAAAGTATGCCTGTACGTGTTGGAAACATGGCTTCCAATGCAATAGAATTGGATATTTATGGTGAACTGTTGGATTCAATCTATAACTTTGACATTGTCAGACCAATTTCTTACAACTTTTGGATTAAGTTGAAAGATGTAGTTGAATTTGTAATTGAAAATTGGAGAAATCCGGATCATTCCATTTGGGAAAAGAGCAATAATAAGTGTCACTTTGTATATTCCAAAGTCATGTCATGGTGTTGTTTGGACAGAGCATTGAGATTGGCTGATAGAAGAAGTTTCCCTGCTCCAAATGATAGATGGCTCAAAATAAGAAATGAAATCTATGAGGATGTAATGAAGAATGGATACAATGAAAAGATGAACACCTTTGTACAATCCTATGGTTCTGAAGTTCTTGATGTTTCTCTCCTTATTATGCCAATTATTGATTTTCTTCCAATTTCAGATCCAAGAATGGTCAACACTATCAATGCAATCAATAAGAAACCAAAAGAAGGTGGATTAGTTACCTCATCCCTTGTCTACAGAACCAGTGATCATCACAAGAGTGAAAAGTCAGCCACAGAGGGCACTTATAATATGCTCACTTTTTGGCTATTGAGAGTTTTGGCCATGATGAGTGATTATGACAATAACAAGCTCAGACAAGCCCAACTCATGTTCGAACAAATATCCACCTTTAGTAATCATGTCGATCTCTATAGTGAATTGACCTCCTTTAGTGGTCTCATGTTGGGTAATTTTATCCATTCCAATACTCATAGCTCACTCATTGTAGCAGCTGTTGAATTGGCCAAAAGAATTGACAATACAAACCTCTAACTACTCTCAAAAACGATTCCCAACTCTATTGAAAATTCAAGATCTCAACATCACCAGACCTTCAAAGTTAGTTTCTAAAAAGTTGTACAATAAAAAAATCCTTAGAAAAAAAATGATTAATGGAAATATTACTCTCCGTCGTCATCAGAGACATTTATTGGAGGAGGGCGTTAATTTGGTCCCTGATCCTAACTTGATGACTGTTCCACCTGGAGGAGCTGGAGGTGAAAGTTTTAGTGAGGCAATGCCAACAATTTTATTAACCCCACCAAAGAGAGAGCCAATGCCTTTGAGAACACCTAAATCGGTATCACCTGCATTGTCTAATGCATCAACTTCATCATTGTTTTTATCGGTGAATGCAACACCTCAGGGAAATAATTTTGCCTTTCCATCACCAAAAGGATTTAATAATTTGGATACCCCTAATAATTTGTTTTTAAGAAAACCTTCATCAGCCATGCAATCAAAGTCTGTTTTTGAGGGTCTTCCAGGATTTGTAAGTATTCCTTATTAAATTATTAGTATTTATTTATTTGGAATACAACAGAAAAAATGTAATCAAGAACAGTTTGAACATCATGCTCCAAAGGATGAAAAACAACAAAAGAAGAATCCAACTAAATATTCTGTAAGTTTGTTGTTGGATCTTTGAGACTAATTTTTATGGAATTAGAAAGATATTGAGGAGAGGTCAATTAATGCAGCCAAATCGTATAGATTTTTTGAGGATTCAATTTTGAGAAAACCTTCTTTAACTATTGGGCAATACAAGAGAAATAGCGTCCTGTATGAAGCTGATTTGAAGGATTACAAAAGATTGAATATGGTTGCTGCCATGTCTGCATTGGAAGAAACTCCAATTGAAAAATATAATCGCTTAAAACAGGAAATTGAGGATTTTATTGGAGAAATGGGAAGAATGTCAGTGGAAAATCCAAAAGTAAAACTTGTTGGAGAAAATGTAGCAGTGTACTCTGAAATATTGGAGCAATCAAAAGAATTGAGGCAAAAGTTGGAAGTTGCAAAGGATACCAATACTTGCTGCTTTTTAGAATTGAATAACAAGGAGGATGAGTCAACAAATCAAATTCTTAGCCAAATTCAATCCGAACTGGATAAGGCATTGGAAAATCAGTTAAATACTCTTGTTTCTCCTCAACAACAAACTCCAAAACTTCAAAAACCAAAGAAGGAAACTATTTCTCAGGACTCTTCAAGAGTGTTAAGATTGGAAAGAAGATTGGCTCACTTGGAGAAATTAGTTGGAACTGAGGATGAAAGGAGAAATGTCCTGCTTAATGATAAAAACTCCTCTGCCACTACGAAAAAGTATGCAAGTCTTGAAACAGCCATCAACATTTTGGAAAAGAAGGTCAACACAATTGATCCTTTCTTTATGCAATCGTTAGAGTCTAGAATTAAGAATATTTTGAAGGATTTGGAAAATATCTCCACTCTTGAAGTTGTAAACTCTTCATCAATAAGCTTTAATGGAACAAAAATTGAAAATTTATATCAAAGGGTCAGAAAGTGGGATGAGTTAACAAAACAAGTTCCTATGATTGTTTCAAGACTGCAAACATTGAAAATTGTTCATGATGAAGCAATATATTTTGCAGGAACTGTCTCAAAATTGAAACAACAACAAGAGGAACTTTCTAGATTGTTGGATGGGAATGAAAAATTACTCACTAACATTTCCACTAATTTTGATGATAATTTAGTGACTATTAATAAGAATATTAAATTAATCCAAACCAGGATTGAGAATATCAAAAAGTAATCTATAACATGATTACTATCAACATTGAAATCAATGTCATGACTGTAACAGAAATATTAATTACTGCTACGCTCGAAACTTGTGTACAAGCACTAACAGGAGTGGCACTATAATTGATTACATCTCCGCTTTGTCCAACCAATCCTGCACTATTCTTCACACAGAAATACTTGAATTTCTTATCCAAATCAGTATTCAAGAAAAAGACACCCTGGTAAAACCAGTTGAAAGGATTGTAACCTCTGTCTCTGTTCCAACATCTATAAAGATGAGAATTTCCAAACTACAAATTACTTACGAATCAGTATATTTCATACATTCCGAATAACAGACAGGCAAGGCAGTATTATTAGAAGGATAACAGGAAGGAAAGTTTCTCAAACAAGAAAACCTTTTCCAAGATGTGGTGCAAGACTCGTCATCTGGTAAAAATTTAGAATTTTTCTTATAATTAGATAACAATGAAGCATCAACACTTGAATAATTGCTTGGTAGACAGCTATTTGTGGTGATTAGTTGATTGATAGTATAAATATTGATTAATACTCTATTGATGTGATTAAATTATTGTAACATACACATATTCAGAGTCTGGTAAATGTTTGTAACACATGCCGAGTCCGGATTTATATTCACTTGATGCTTTGACGTCAGAAACGAGAAGACATTGACCATTGCAAGTTGATGTCGTCACTTGAGAATGAACATTTATAATCATCAATAAAAGAATCACAAAAGCAGTGAGAAGTTTGGGCACTGAAGTTAGAGAATGCAGTATCATCCTTTTTTTTTGATTTTTCATGATGAGTGACGTTTAATTGGTGTGAAAATGGCTGCCAACGATCAACAATCCTAAACTTTCTAGATGACCTGTTGTAAGATGGGATGGAATTACATTCGATCAAACTTTTTTAACATGCTTTGTTTGAGGATAATCACTCCTAACAATGTATCCAAGGATTAAGGAAAATCCAAATCCTCTCCATTTTCCCCACACAAAAAACTCACAATATTTGAAGGCCATTAAAAAACATTCCATCAAGTCCAACTGCACAATAAAAAATGGTCCACCTTTTTTCGGGTTGCAGCTCAACATACTGCTCATAAAGTGGGGTCAATAAGAGTGTGTTAGAACTAACTTCCAGTTTGAAAAAAGTAAAAACACAACACATAGCACGATGCAGTCATCATCTTTAGCAAATTACCCATCTTCTTCATCACAATATTATAATATTAAAACAACTTCAATGAAGGAAATTAAAGCAATGAAGGAAAAGCAAAGAGTTGAAGCAATTTTGGATGGAGAAGTAACAATCATTGACATGTCTCCAAAAACTAATATTTTCCTCATCAAATGTAATTGGGAAGAATGTAATTCATCTTCAATTCAGAATCAGCAACCAACTTCATCAACCGATAATAATAATAGAGACGCTCATGAAATTGAAATCTCTCACGAATCAACTCATTCCACTCCTCAAGAATCATCATCTTCCAAATATTCTCACATTAAGATTAATAAGAAGGCAAAATATATTCTGATTGATACTGGTACGAATGGACAAGAGGAAAAACTAATCAAGGTTTTAGATAAGGAACTAGGCATTACACCGAATGATCTCTCCCTGATAGTAATTACTCATGCTCACATGGATCATGCAGGTACTTGTTGGTATTTGAAAAAGCACTTCCCTCATGTGCCAATTGCTGTGCCCGATCTGGAATATGAAATGCTCAGGAGGGGAGAACCAGCACCTAGCACACCAACTAATTTAGTAGCTAAAATTCTGTACATTCGGGGGAGTAGAAAGAAGATTTTACCTTTCGAGCCCGATTTGAGATTTAAGGGAGGAGAACATTTGGAAGAGTTTGGAGTGAAGGCTTCCATTGTTCATATGAAAGGTCATACGGAGGGCAATATTGCAGTCATGCTCGATAATAAGAAGGCTGCCATTATGAATGATGTCATGAAGGGAGGTTTCTTCTCTTATGGAAAGCCAGGTTATCATCTCTTCTATGATGACAAGATGCAAATTTTGAAGAATATCAAATGGGCCTTTGATGAAGGATTTCAGACCTTCCTAGTAACTCATGGATATGCATTCACAAGGGAACCACTGATTACTTGGCTAGAGAAGGAATTGAAACAAAATAAATTAATGTAAATTAAGGATTAACTGCAGCTGCTAGTATTATTATTAGGTTATCATAATACCCAAACCATAGCGGTGATTATTGAATGTTGCATTCAGGAGATTGTTGAACGATTCGTGATAATTAATGCGATCTCTTCATAGTATGCTTATTGCAACTCCCGAGAAAAGGGCGTATTTTCTCCCAAAGTTAACTATTTACAATAATTTCATCCACCCTCTCTCATCACCAAATCGATTTAAAAAGGATGCATTAAATAGATCAACAAATCAAAATCTACACACAAAAAAACATGTCCACTTCATCAAAGCTCGTCGTTATTACTGGTGCTTCCTCTGGTATTGGAGAAGCTGCAGCTGAACTTTTGCATTCAAAGGGTTATAAATTGTTGCTCCTTGCTCGTCGTTTGGAACGTATGCAGGAATTTGTAAAGCAACATTCCATGACTGAACAAGATACTCTCATTGCCCAATGTGATGTTACTCAAGTTGATGATATTAAGAAGGCCATTGATCATGCTCAAGATCATTTCAAATTACCAGTCGATTGTTTAATTAATAATGCAGGTGTCATGTATTTGCAACAATTGGCCGATCAATCCTTACAAAGACAAGAAACCATGATCTCCACCAATGTAAATGGTATTTTGAATGGTATTAATGTTGTTCTCAAATCAATGCTCGAACGTCAAACTGGTACCATTATTAACATTAGTTCAATTGCTGGTAAGAAGAGTTTTGGAAATCACGTTGCTTATTGTGGTACTAAATTTGCTGTTCACGGATTGACAGAAGCTTTGAGATCTGAAGTTTCTGGATCCAAGGTCAGGGTCATTGTCATAGCTCCCGGAGTCACCCAAACTGAGTTATTGGGTCACAACGACAAGGATCAAGTAGATCCATACGAGGATTGGAAAAAGACCATGTCTTTGGGTGTCTTGAAATCTGAAGATGTTGCTGCCAGTATTTTGTTTGCCTATGAAGCTCCTCCTCATGTTTGTATCAGAGAAATTGCCTTGGCTCCAACTGAACAACGCGATTAAGCTTTTATGTTCCTGCCTATTTTATACTACCACCCAAATTCTTTCCTTCCCTCTTTTCAATTTTAAATGTTCTTGAAGCTTTGAACCTTAATAAAGAAGAACATCATGTAATCTAAGATCAAGTTCTCAGTCATTGACCAATTCCGCTCAATTAAATAAACAAGGATCCTACATTCCTGTTCAGAGTCGCTTAAGAATTTGGCGCCAATCGACAAAACCCAAATACAGAAGCGAGAAATGCCAATCTCGTCTTGTGAACGCTTTGATATGTAAATATTAATGCCAAGGCGCGTTGTGTTTCGCCTCAATGAAAAAAGATGAATCCAACCCCATCCTCATCATCGATGACACCTCACAATATTCATCATACAGCCAATAACAGTGGTGGTGGAAGTAGTAGCACACCAATAACATCAATTGGTGGAGGAGGTAATAATAATGGTGTTTTTCCATTTCTGATGAGTAGTAATTCAAATTCAAGTTACAGCAACAGCAATACGAATAATAATTGTACAAAGAATGGCCAACAACAACAGGGAGTAGTGGTGACGAATAGTGGACAATTTCACTCCCTATCCAGTATTAATTCAATTCATTTGACTCAAAATCTTCCTCAACAAACACCTCTTTCTCCCCGAATAACAAATAATAGTAATCATCGCGAACAATTGCAATTAACAGCTGCTCTTCATACCAGTACAGTATTTTCACCATCAAGTGTTACCGAGAAGACTCATGATGGTGACAATTCTTCGATATTTAATGGATCTGCCTCGAGCACAGTTCTCTCAAAATCAGCATTCAACACTGTTGTCAATAAGGTAAAAAATCATTTCATGAGTTTTACCTTATTCATGCAAGATAATGAAAAGAAACAGAGCAAAATGGATAGAATTATGATGTTTGGAATGTATATGTATATGATATGGGTAGGAATATGGATTTCAACATTGAGTCCTTATGATTATCATTATGGAGAGTGGGGATCATGGTTCTTTGCAGTTGTGTTATGTGGTTGTTTTCCTGTCGTGTCCAATGAGTTTTGCCATGTCCACCTTTATAGATTGCAAGTGGATCAATATGGAAGGGTTTTCTCAAACCTCCTCTACACGAATGATTCTGAATAGATTCAATACATTTTTTCAGGAGGAGAGATATTGCTATACGAGTACCAATATTGTCTTTCTAGTGATATTTCTGGTCACACATTTTCTGTTATCACTAATTTGTGCCTTCTCCACAACTGTCCTCTCCAATTCCCACCCACTCTCAAAAACTGTTTTTGTTGCAGATGCTAGTTTTGTTCCTGCCTTAATGTTTATGAGTAACTTGATGGAGATTTTATTTCACTTTATTATTCCATCTAATTATGCATTTGTGAGATCGATCATTCACATAATCATGGCCTTAATATTTATAATATTCCTCTTTAAAAACATTACATATATGAGGAGAACAGACAATTCGATAATATCAGGATTTGGATTTGCCAAGTTGGGAGCAAGTGTTGGAAAGCTGATATCATTCTTTGTTAATAGAGATAATGTCAATAATACTCAAAATTACAACACGTATGGAATTATCATGACATGTGTGACAATAGGATTGGTAATATTTGGGTTTATTATAGGGTTCATTGTAATGGAAATTTACACCAGATATATTGTTTATACCATACGTAAGGTATTGGAGAATATTATTATGCTAGCTGATAGATCTCAGTACTACGAGCAAAGTAATGATGATTTGGATATGCAAGATAATCAAGAGAGTCAAATCATTGTTTATGAGAAAATAATTGAGAGGGAAGCACCAATGTTATACCACAAAATTGACTCTGAAAAGAGAATGAAATTTCTGGTATATTATTTGAACTTTTGTATGCATAGGAATGTCGATGAGTTGATGAATAGCTCTCACCCCTCCGCCCATAAGAAGGTTTCCAGAATTGAATCAATTGGAATGACAGATACACATGTCGCTTTATGCTTTATCAAGGGTCTTTTTGGAGGTTCTACTTCGATTGTTACAAATGTCGGCCTCATGTTAACTTGTAGCTCACTTGTTGCTTACTACTGGCCTTCTTCAGCAGAGTCAGTTAACACAACATTATTTGCAAATAGCTTGTTAAGAAAAGCTCTCAAAAAGCAGCCATCATTTATTCAAAGATTCTTGATAGGTATCAAGATTAAGGAAATTGAGGTGAACGCTGATGAGAAAACTCGACTCATGTTTGAGGCGAAACATCTGGTGTCAAAGTTAGAAAGAAGACAACAAGAGTTGAAAGCTCTTCATAGAAATTTCTGGAAAGAACTAACCCATGAAGTGGTCAATTATGAAAAAATTGAATCAATCATATTAAGGGCAAGTGAATTATCAAGTAAATGCGAAACTCACTACGAAAACCTCAGGCTTACATACCGTCATGATAAATCACTATTGAGATCACATGCCCAATTCCTTGAGACCTGTAGATTTGATCCAGATATTGCTCACGAAATGTACAACGAAGCAAGCCTTATGGAGGAAGAAGATTCTGCCAACCATGCAATGAAATCCAAAAGTAACTTGATGGCAACGGTCAATATTGCAGAAAGAAGGAAAATGTGGAGGGATCAAGCAAAAAACAGACCTAACAATAGAGGAATGGCTAATGGAAATGTGAAAGTGGTTCCAGTGAATGGAAATAAGGATATGGTAAGAGGTGATTCCACAAGCTCCATCGAGGGAAAAGAGGGACAAGAAGAATATGGACACCACTTTGAAATGATAGACCCAAGAACATCGCTCAGTTATTCAGATCAGTTACCATTCGATGGTGTTGAAAACTTTGGAAATGTGCGAAAGGAAACAATATTTAGAACTTCACTTTCTGTACCTCACAGACACACTTTTCAACTTGGTGGATTTATTGCTTTCTTTATCTTGTCTGTATGTCTTTTAATATCTTCATCCATTCTGAGTGGTCTGATATCCTATGAGGTTACGGATGATTTACAAATTGTAAAGACAGGATGCATTCCAACTTCCTCTATAGTTCAAATGATTACAAAATTGAGATCCCTCAAGTTTGCTAATAGTCTTTACTCTCAAAAATCTTGGCCCACTGAAATGACATCGCTTGGGTTTAAAAACTTGACCGATTTCAATACCAAGATGTGGACAGATTTTAAACAATATTATTCATATTTTATTGCTCTAAGAGATATGAGTATGAAAGATAGAGTCCTAACACCAACCATGTATGATGAGTTCCATGAAAGATACTACCCAATGCTGACACCTGAAATATCATCTGGAAGCGAAATTATATTATACAATTCTACCAAGGCAGTCAATATTTCAATTGCTGATATTACCAACTTGGTAATCAAGTACTCTGAAGACTTGATAAGAACTCGTGATTCAGATCATACGTTTACTAATTATGGCTTTATGTTCTTTTATGATAACCATGATTACATTACCAAAGCTTTTAGCCAATTTTGCTCTGTTCTTATTGATGAATCCAAACATGAAGCTTCACAGGTAGATATCGCTTATATGGCCTTCCTTATTGTAGCCCTTGTGGTTTATCTTCTCTACGGAACTGGTTATATCATTTACACTCACATTTCCCTTAAATTTGTCAAGTCACAAATCAAACTCATTGAGCATGAAATTTCTAAAAACATAGCTGGTCGTTTATTCCATGATTTAGAAAAGAAAGTGAGTGATGACGTAACTGTTCGTCTTCCAAAATCCAAGTTATTGAGACCAAAGAATATCATTATCATGCTGAGTATTTCATTAATGATTTTAATGGCCGTATGTGCTGGATTGCTTTACTTTGGAAATAGATACAATGCAGAAAAGATTGCTTCCTCTTTTATTTCATTTAGACATGCCACAAACAGTATGTTTTATGTCCAGAGAATAGCCTTTGCTGTCACTGAACAATTTACAAATAAGGTTTTGGGAGGTTCATTGCAATCAAGTGAAGAACTATATTTAATGAACCAAGATTTAGAGGAGAATGTTCAAAGTCTGAGAGAGAACTGGAATTTGTGTTTATACGGTGACTCAAAAGAAGTTTATACCTCCATAATGAATAGAGGAATTTTAGGCCTGTTTTCTGAAGTAGATAATCTAATAATTGGAGAATCTAACTGTACATTCTCAGAATTCAGGTATTCATATAATGTTTCTTCAAAATGTTTCCTTAGTTTGAATTCTCTCCTCACCGATTACATGTCTTTGTCTACTCAGTTCAACAGTGTGTTAAAAGTCAAAAATATCAATAGCAGTGACATGGACATTGTGGATCAGTATGCTCAAGCTACATTCCTCTCCAATATGATAACAATGGATGTAGTCGAGATTTCCTCTGTAATTTCAGAAAATTACTCTAACCCAGCTTTTGAAATATTGATCACTTTCTCTATTGTTGGATCTGTGTCCATTTTGCTATTCTCGTACTTGATACATTTGTATCTTACAAAATATTGGAATTCCATTCAAGAAATGAGATTATATTTCAATTATATCAGTGTGGAAACACTTGATTCAAATGAAGCATTGAGAAATTATTGTATCCACCATTTGGTTAATGACACCTTCTTGCTAAAGAGGAGAAATATGAACAATACATCCCTTCAAGATTCCAAAGTGAGAAGCTTATTGAACGCTTCAGTAGATGGTGCAGTCATGTGTTCTGGGCAAACCTGTGATATTGATATTTTCAATCCTGCTGCTCAAAGAATGTTTGGTTACAATCAAACTGAAACTGTGGGAAGGCCACTTTTTGATTTGTTTGATTCGTTGAGTCAGCAATCTATTAGGAAAATGGTATCAGATATGCTTCAAGGGGCTTCTGAAGCTCAATCAAAAGGAGATGCTCTCGATGCTGAATGTGTAAGAAAGAATCAAACAACTTTCCCTGCAAGAGCCAATATTTTCCTAACCAAACATGATAACAAACCAATCATTACCATATTTATCAAGGATATAACATCAGAGAAGAAACATTTAGCCCTCATTGCTGAAGAAAAGAAGCACTCTGAAGAACTGTTATTGAACATTTTGCCTGATGCTGTGGCTTCTAAACTCAAATCTGGTGAAACATTTATTGCAGAAAAGTTTGCTGATATCACTTGCTTCTTTTCTGACATGGTAAACTTTACAAGAATTAGTTCTGACATGAATCCTTCTGAGCTAGTTTTGATGTTGAATTTTATTGTAAATGGTTTTGATGAATTGATAACCAAGTATAATTTAGAAAAGATCAAGACCATTGGTGATGCTTATTTTGCTGTTGGAGGTCTTCATGGTCTGAATGCACAATCAGATCACCCCGAAAGAACTCTTAAATTTGCAATTGATACCTACCAAGTTGTCTCCAATTATAATTCCAAGAGTGGAAAACCAATGAGAGAACAAATTAACATTAGAATTGGAATGCACACTGGAAGTGTTGTGGCAGGAGTTATTGGAAAACTCAAGTTCGCTTACGATTTATGGGGAGATACTATCAACATGGCATCAAGAATGGAATCGAATTCAGTGAATGGAAGGATTCAAATTAGTAGAACGACCTATGAAAGAGTGTATGATCTTGGTTTTTCATTTGAAGAGAGAACGATCAATGTTAAGGGAAAGGGAGAAACTTTAGCTTATTTGTTAGATTCCAAACATCATACCTCAGCTATTGTTAATCATGAGGTGATTGAAGACAGTGAGGAGATTGAATCGGTTGTCTTACCTCCAAGGGACACTCTTGAAGTTATTCCACTGAGAGAATCAGCTTCCAATCACACAGACCTTGTAGATTTAGCTCCCTCCACTCCTTAATGCTAACACTCGGAAGAGTTGGAATGCTTTATGAATTAGCATTTGCTTTTAAAAGTTTGATTTATTATCAGAGAGCGTGTTTAGAAAAGTGTAGCCAAAACAAAAAGTACCATAAAGCTTAACATTCCAATCATGTTACTTGATGGAGCCGCATTTCTTGCTGGCAAAATGGCAGAATCATAGACAGAGTATGAGCTCAAACTGACACCATCCATATCACCCTTTGTGGCAATTCCAGCATCAACCCATGATTTTCTGAGACATGAATAGTATTTGCTGTAGGCATATCTACATCTAGTAAATAATGAGCTGTCCTCATCAACATATTGATATGAATCAGTTCCAACCATATCAGAACTTGCTGAGACACCCAAATTATAGATACATGCATATACATCATAAAAAGACCCGTAACACTTGGCAGCACATTTTCCACCACTTGTTGAGCTAATTGCCTTTCCACCACATGCACAATAACTTCCTGTAGGACAAGAAACTGTATCAGAGCATTTCAAACCAGACGCATCAGCACATTTACCCTCAGAGGAACAGTAAGCACTGTAACATTCTGTATCCTTCTTACAACTTCCACCCAATGAAGTTCCATAAAGTCTTTTACACTTATTATCAATACAATCAACCATACCTGAGCTAGTGTAGGCGCAATCACTTGCAACAATACAGAATTCACCATAGGTAGCAATTCTTTGACAGGTGGTTGAAGTATCACCATTAGAAACTTGACGACAAACCAATCCAGAAACACAAGGAACGAAATCAGAACTAATTGCAGATTTAACACAAGGTTGACTATATTGAATTTGCTCAACACAAGTAGCAATAGTCAATGAAGTATATTTACAATACAATCCATTATCACACACAACCTTCTTTGAAGTATCAGACAATGCACAATTTTCTCCTTTTTTAGCAATAACTTTTTGAATACATTTACTGGTACCTAAAATACCAGAGCAAACACCATCACTATAAAGAAGAAGAAATTACAACACCATTCTAACAACCACACAAAAACAAAGAATATAACTTACTTATTACAATCATAGAAAGTCTTGGAATTTGAACCAGAATCTTCAAATTGACAATTTTCACCAACTCGTCTCGATTTCTCATATCCATAATAAGTACACTTGCTATTGATACATTTTGGACCGTATAATTGTGCAACATTTGCTGAAGGAAGACTTTCTCCAAGACACTGACTATCACTCACACACGAATCTCCAACCATTCTAAACTTTGGAGTACATTTCTGATTATAACAATCCATGGAACCAAAGATACAATCCTTGCTAGTGATACAAGTAGTACTCGATCTCTTTTCCTTGTATAAAGTTGAGAATAAATTACACTTGTTATTGTAATTGACCCAGGCAACTGGACATTGTCCACTAGTTGGAATGTAGGTTTCAGTTTCAACGTACAAGTTGCTGGTACATGATTCTTGCACGGAGAGTGATACTAGGCAGAGCAGAGCTGCTATTGTGAAAAGATGGAGTGTTGACATTTTTTTTTTGTTAAATAAAAAGACTTGCTTGACATGATGACATTTTGAGTTCAATATATATCATAGAATAGTAAAATGGAGGGTGTTAGGGATATTTGAAGGTCATGAGACTTTTTTTGATTGTTTGTCGTTAGAAAAGGTAACCCAAGATTCGAATCGAATTTACAAACTCTTTCTGTTACTCACTGTGAGAATTGAATTTACAGTTTTTGTTGAAGCAAATTTTCTTGACAATGAATACCAACTACGATTAAGTTGCAGATGAAGAAGGATGACCTTGTGGAATTTTATTTCAAAAAAAAATTAGCACAAATTAGGGAACTTGCTTGGAATATTTCTATAAAAATGGTGTAGAATTAAACTCCAAGAATATGATTTTGAATCCATTCCTTATATTATTTCAAAACATTTCACATTGTGTGAAGTATTTTGGAACTTTTAAGAACTGTCATCCATCATCAGATGATAAAAAAATTAAAAATCAAATCAAAAAAATAACAATAATCTGTAAAACAACAAAATGAATTTCGATACTGAATTTTCCCTTTTATTTGCAGAATTAATTCAAAAGATGCGTGAAATTGACTGTGATATCTACAAGGTTGATGACACCAGACAACCCAATGAAGGTAAAATTCCCATTCACCAAGTTGATTCCACACTCATGAATATTTCCTACAAGATGAGAGATGAAAACATTTCCAACTATCAGAAAATGACATTTGTAGCATCAATGGCCAATTCCAATGTTGAATTATTGTTTACTTTCTTTCAGGGAGGAAAACCAGGATCACATCCAGGATACATGTCATCGAATATGATGTGGAGTTTATTTAGAGATGTTTTGGTGGGGGCAAAGAAGAGTCCTTCGATTACTGATGGTGGAATTATGTTATTTGCAATGGTTAGTTCAATGTTGAGCTATTCAACTGATCGATTTATTTATCATTTTCCTGAGGTTTTGTTTGATTTGATTTTGGCACCTCCTCGTGTGATAAAATCAGGAACCACAACTGAGTTTTCTAAATTTGCACTCAGTGATGATATTGCACGTATGTATGAAGTGGAAAATGCAATTGGTTTGGGAAATTCCATTGCACAGAATATCATTTCCTGGTATCAAATTGCTTTGGAAAATAAGAAGGAGAAGGCAACAATATTCTCATGTGATGTGGAAACTTTTGAAATGATTTTGAAATTGACAAGAGATCGTATTTTCATCTTTGTTGTGGAAAATTTAAAGAGATGTAAGAATGATAGAATGATGTCTGGAGTCTTTTTGGACTCGTTCAATGATTTGATGGGTACAATGAGATTGAATGAGAGAGAGGATTTCCTGTTGGGTATTAATGTTGAGAGAAGCTTTGAGGAGTCCAAAGGTTCGAGTTTCTCTGAGGAAGTTGAGGGAAGAATGTCCTTTTTGAAACACGTTTTCATGAGTGATCAGAATACAAGAGAAGAACATGTTAATTTTATTATTGAAACATTTTCTAATCATCCATCGAAGAAGATTAGAGATACCATTACAACGGTATTGGGTCAACATTTGGTTAGAAAGATTAAGAAACGTATTCAGGAGAAGAAATTGAGTGAATTGAAAGCAAGCTCACTCTCTCATCAAACAGAATCCAATCAAGAGGAATATTTGCTCTTAATTTGTGAATTTGGTGGCAGGAAGAGAAAATTCATCCTCGACAATGTTCACTCCGTTGTAGATGTGCAGGAATATTTAACAAAGGCCTACACTGAGAGAAAGAGAAACTCTGAGGCCATTTCTACAAAGGAAGACCAAGAAAAAATTGTTTCCAATTCATTGCAATTGTTCTTGCCAGCCAACCAGCTTAAAGTTGAAGAAGGAGCAACCCCTGTAGGAGATTGGGTTGACTTGGACGATTTTAACGTGTTGCAACTTTCATACAGAGATATCAACACAAAGAAAGTCCTCTCTGAAAAGATCAATCAATTGAAATTTGTTAAGAAAGTCACCACTAAGGAGAGTACCACCAAGAACAGCTCACTGGAAGGAGGTTCCTTTGTTTCCAACTCTTTCGTTCCATCAACATTCGAAGAGGATGAAAGTGCTCTTGCCACTAAGGGAAGTGCTGGTTTCACACAAGCTCAACAATTCTCAGGAGAAAAGACCAATTCATTATTGCCATCATCCTCTGGAGCATCAAGTCTCAACTCTGGTAAGATATCTGCATTAGATAGTGCCTATTCAGCCGAAGTTAAACCACAAGGAACTAGTGAGATGAGTGGAGTAGAAATGAGTGGCATTGAAATTAGCAGTATTGATGGAATTTCAGTTTTGGAAGATTCACAACCTCCTCAATTCTCAACCATTGAGGGAATGTCCTATGTGGAAGGAGGTGCCAATTACTTCTCTTCGGATGATGAACAAGATTAACATTCAATAAAAGTAAGCTTTCCCTAATCAAGATTACAATATCTGAGTTTTGACCTTTTCATGATATGAAGAGGTGTAAAGGGAATGAAATTTCCAAACAAGGATGACCGTAACTATTACACTGGGCATGCTCAATAGAAAAATCAATTCACGCATTTTTTACAAAAAGATCTTTAAGGATTTAGGGCGTGCAGTAATTGCCAAGATTTAGAACTTTGTAAAAAAAACAATAGATCATTAATCTTTATAATTTACAAGATAGTCTGACTTTTTACAATAACTTATGGAGCTCCTTCAAGAGTGAGCATTGAAAGAGGATACATTGGTTTTCCTTCATGAACATATTTAAACCATTGGAATGGTTCCATTCCTCTCAGTTTCTTTGTTCTCTTCTGGAGAAAATCATTTTCAAATTCCTCATATGAAAACCATTTAGCACATACACTTTCAAAATCAGGAATTGATTTCAAAACTGGATCTTCTTCCAATGGTTCAGCATAGAAAATGACTCTTGATCTAGCACCTCCATCGTGATAAGGAGAATACTCAAATCTCAAAATATTTTTCAATTCGACATGAATTCCAGCTTCTTCCAAAGTTTCTCTCAGAGCTGCTTGTTGGAAAGTTTCACCAGGATCCACTCTACCAGCTGGTAACCACCAACCCTGTGAACAGCCCTCCTCAACCAATAGGAATTTACCACTCACTGGATTTCTAATAATCACCAAAGCAAAAGAATAGGTTGGCTTTAAAGAATTCTGATAATCGATTTCATCCTTCTTTCGTTGTTCTGGTGTAGCCTTAAAACCATGCTCATTGTAAATGTGAGTCGAGAATCCCCATTGCCTAGATCCCTTCAATGAGTCATCAAGATCCCTCTTGAGACAAATTGGACAAACCTGTTTGGTATTCTCTCTGCAGTGGACTTGCAAACAGTGAGTAATTAATTCATCTTCGGAAAATGTCTGACCAGAATGAGTGCAAGATTCATAGGAACATTTGAATCTTTCTGGTTGTTGAGTGAGGCCTTTGGTTTTGTTCATGAGTGATGAAAACATTTTTTTAATTGATTTGTTTTTAATAATTGTCTTCTAGGGTTTGATAATAATAAACGAATTGATGTTGTTCCAAGTTCAATGTTTGAGGAACTTTAAGAAATTGATGAAAAATATGAAATTTCAAAACCTGAAAAAACTGTTAAAATTCAGTTAAAATTAGAATCATTCTATCGCGATTATTATTAAGGTATGATTACAAAAGTATCACGTGGAGAAGAAAATAATTTTCGATTGATCAAGTCATCATAATGACCATTCATGGAAAAGTTTCAAAAAATTGTCTAGATTGATACTTGATTATTTGCTTTTTAATTCTCTCTCTGATCATCATACAATTTTAATATTAATTGAAACTGACAAATTGTGTGATATATATCCAATATAAATTAAATTATAATACAACATGGAACGTGATGATGAAAAAATCCCTTCCGAAGTGTGGCAACATCTCATCTTTCCCTTCATTGATGGGTTTTCATTGATGAGAGGATGTTTTTATGTTTCAAAGAATTGGTCACTGATGGTTTCAGAGATGAGGAATTGCAGTTTAATTGTAGATAAGAAGAATGTGCATAATCGAATCTTGAAAAGAATTTGTAATCATTTGCCAATCATGCATGTTACCGCTTTGGATATGTCATACAATATTTTCGATAAGAATAGCATTGAAACTTTGAAGAATGGAAAGAATCTGAAATTGGAACAATTGAATTCCTTGCATTTGGTGTATAATAATATAGGATTGGAAGTATTAACCCCATTGTTGGAATGCAATGTATTGAATAATTTAACTCGATTGAATTTGGACTCTAATATTGTACATGATGGCCTGAAATACTTGTTGGAGTGTAAAAATTTGAGAAATTTAGAATATCTAATTGTGAAGAACAATGCCATGACCAATATTCGTAAAACACAAATAGAATCAAATAATAATTTTCCAAAATTGACCTACCTGGATATTTCCTCAAATACCATTGGAGCATATGGTACCAAACTTTTATCAGATTCTGGAATACTCAATAATTTACAAACACTCAATATTTCATACAATTTACTAAGAAATGGTGCCAAGTATTTGGGTAGAAATTCTACATTTATGGAGAACGTCACCCACTTGGACTTGAGTAATAACAATTTGAAAGTGGAAGGATTAACACAACTACTTAAATTTCTCAAATCTAGCAAACTGAAGATACTAAACCTCTCAAACAATAATATTGGAAATGATGGAATTTCAAAATTAATCGAGTGCACTCATTTAAAGAGTTTGGAAAAACTATCACTCATTGAAAATGATATTGGTGCTCAAGGAGTTAACCTACTTGCCAATACACCATTCGAAAATCTGACCTTCCTCAATCTGAATAGAAATCCAATCAGCCACAATTCAAGAAATCTCTTTCAACCAAACAATTTTCCCAAGCTCAAAGAAATCAAACTTTCCAAAGAAGTTGCGATAAAACAAGCTTCAAATTATGAATCCTATGCATTCATTTATTCAAGAAATAAATACCGATAGCATTTCTTCTATTTGAGTATTCTCTTGTTTTTTCCAAATCAAAACCTGAATTTATTGAGAATCACTTTTACCGCCAAAATTATTAAAGAATCAAGTGAAAAGAAAAATTGCAACAACTCATCATCACCAGGTTGTGCTGTTTTTATAATGCTGCTATCCTGAAGATCTGTAGCGTTGACCATTATGAATTTAAATTATGGAAAGCAATATCACATTCATCACAATGTAATCTATTCATTATCCGTCTTATAAAGGATAACAATCAAGCCAAGTTTGTGGTTTGAACAAAAACAACAAGATAACAATGATAACCAATAACATCAAGCCGATTAACATTTTCGATACGCAGTATTAATTTCATCAGCAAAAACCTTTTGTGGCATATTGACCACAATATCGGTCCAACAAACAGTTGTTTATCATTTAAAATTTACACTAAATATAATTGTTGATACAATCCGTGCTCTGTGCTCAGTACAGAGGAGCATATTGTATATTGTACAGCGTAATAACAATTAACCACATAACGCACTTAGTTATTGTGTCTACTACAACTCATCATCTTTTTCTCTGGTTCAACTTGCTTGCATTGAATTTGCCCATAACAAGAAAAAAAATTACTTGTCTCTAACGAAAAACCGGTTGTTAATCGACAATCATCATAATTGTATTTTCATCATCAACCTAACGAAATTTTCGTTCATCAATTTAGACGAATATAATACAATGTTTGATCCTAGCGATATGAGCAATATTCCTCTTGCTGGGACAGTTTATCCAACAGAAGAAGAATTTAAAAATCCAATAGAATATCTTGAATCTGTAAGACATTTAGGAGAAAAGTATGGTATTCTTAAAATTGTACCACCTGAAAAGTATAAATTAGACCCTGCTGAAGACTTTGACGACCTTCAGGTAAAAGCCAATGCTTTTAAATTTATTTGCAAAATACAGAATATTAACCAACTTCAATTCAGAAATAAGAAACAAAAGTTAGAATTTGAAAATAATATTAAATCGGAGGTGGATGAATCATCATCTTTAGAAAATTCATTAAAGAGAAAAGCTGAAAATCTTTCAGATTCGCCACAGAAAAGACTTAAAGATAACTCTGACAAATCCTTCAAACCAATAATTACATCTATGGGTGGTGATGATAGTTTTGGCTTTGAAAGAACCAAGAAGGAAATATCTCTTAAGAAATACAAGGAAATGGCTGATGAATTTTCAAGACGTCATCTCAAGTCTATACAGAAACAATTATCCCCTTCCTCACCTGAAGAGAAGAGACTCAAGACTTGTGAAAATGCAAAATCATCGACAAACTCTTCCAATCTTGATATGACTAGTCTTAGTGATGATGAAATTGAAAAAGAATATTGGAGAATTGTGAATAATCACGAAGAAACTGTAACTGTACAATATGGAAACGATTTACCTGTTTCTGATTATCAAACCTTTTTCCCAGCCAGTTGGAAACAAGGATGGGATGCAAATTTATTGCCTAAACTTCCTGATTCACTGCTATCTTTCCTTAATATTGATATTCCTGGTGTGAATACTCCAATGTTATATGTTGGTATGCTTTTCAGTTCTTTCTGTTGGCATGTTGAAGATCATTTCATGTATGCCATGAATTTTATACATCACGGTGCTCCAAAACAATGGTATGGTATTCCAGCATCAGGGGCAGATAAGTTTGAAGAGGTGTTTCGTAGAATGTTCCCTAATCTCATGGATGGGCAGCCTGCTATTTTACACATGCTTGTAACACAAATAAGCCCAGCCATTCTTGCACGCGAAGGTGTTCCTGTCTATAGAATTGTACATGAACCTGGTACTTTTATCATTACATTCCCTAGAGCTTACCATGCTGGCTTCAATCAAGGTTTTAATATTGCCGAATCTGTAAACTTTACCTCAACATCATGGCTTCCTTATAACCGTTTGGCTCTTTCCAAATATTATGAATGCAAGAGAGCAACCACTTTCCCTTACGAACATCTAATTCTCTCAGCTGTTACATCGATAATTTCTGGCAAGTCCAACCCTTCAACTTCTAAATACACATTTTCAACACGAGAATCACTCAAAGATGAGTTATCATACATTTCAAAGGATGAGAAGGAATTAAGAGAATGTTTAGCAGCACTCCTAACAGATAAAACGCCAAGACAAATGCCACAAATATCAAATAGAAATATTGAAAAGTTAAGAACATGCTCCAAGAAGGATAATAACATCAGATGTTGTCAATGCAATTCTGATTGTTACATATCTGCTGCTGTTCTTAAAGGAAGAAAGAAGGAAGATAACTTTTGTTTAAGGTGCGCCATAGAAAAGGCAAAAGAAAGTGAAGACTTTGCTAAGAAATGTTACATGATTGAAAGAATGACTTTGAAAGATTTAGAAATCTTGATAGAAAAGTTCGAAAAGGTGTTAGCTTGAAAATAAATAGCTGCCAGATTCGAAAAACCAGTTAATATGGGTCTGTAGTAAACACAGGTTATTCTAATTTTTATCTAAATATAATTTAACATAATGAGTATATTTTCAATATGAATAAGATTCCCGTGTAGTCCAATGGCTAGGATACCTGGCTTTCACCCAGGAGGTCCGGGTTCAATTCCCGGCATGGGAGGATAATTTTGCATTCAATAATAATTTAAGTTAATAAATATTTCTAACTTTATTTACAGGTAATAGAGAAAAATTTGTTAACTATTTTACAAGGATGGTTTGACGACTGGCTTTGATGGCTTCTTACATGTCTTTCTCTTTAAGCAAATCTTCTTCTTAATTGACTTGCAACACTTCTTCTTTCCACCCACTAATTTAAATTTCTTACAAATCTTCTTTCCCTTTGAACGTTTCAAACACTTCTTATAGTACTTCTTCTTGATACATCTTGGTGGAATGACAATAAACTTGGCACAATACTTCTTCTTTTGATATTTGACACATTTAGACAATGTCTTTCTATGCTTACAGAACTTGATGGTCTTATGCTTGGCACAGAAGAATTTTTTCTTAATGAGACAACACTTCTTAACTGATTTTCTTTCCTTACAGTATTTAACCTTCTTATACTTGGCACATTTCTTTGCCCATGAAACAATCTTACACTTTTTAACATATCTACATTTGGAGACCTTCTTATTGTAGGAATCAACAGTGTACTTGTCACAGACCTTCTTCTTTTCACACTTCTTGATTGGAACCTTCTTGAATTTCTTACAGACCTTCTTATATCCCTTCTTGAAACACTTGTTGATAATCTTGTGCTTGGCACAGAATTTCTTGAAACCCTTCTTGATGCAAATCTTCTTAGTTCCATAAGAATCACAAACTTTCCAATACTTCTTCTTGGCACATCCAACAATCTTGTATGCATGCAAGACACACTTCTTTGTTGGCTTGCTATACTTGTCACATTTGGAATATTTCTTATGTTTGAGACATTTACCAGCACCGACAATGGCGTATTGATCACAGACCTTCTTTTGACCAACGAGTTTGTGTTTCAAACACTTCTTAATCCACTTGTGCTTTAAGCATTTTCTCTTACAATGCTTTGGCTTGTGATACTTGTCAACTACAACGACTGGAGGTTTTGTTTGATAGCTGTCAGTTGCTTGAACTGAGAGGATTGCAAGCAAGAGAAGAAGTGCAATTGAAAAGAAAAGATTTGCTTTCATTTTTTGTTTTGTTGGACAGGATAGTTCAACAATGGTGCTAATTTAAACCATTTCGAATAGTTTTTCATTTGGAACAAACTCAAAAAGTTGGATGTAAGGTTCCAAATTTGGATAGAAAACTGATTCGATATACTACTATTCAAATATCAACTCATCTTTCCAAAACTATTCCTGGTTCTTGCATGATTTACTTATAATCAATAGAAACCTCAAAGAACTGGTTCTTTCATGTTTTACAACCTTTCATTTTGTTAAGGTAAATTAGTAATTTGACTTGTGAAAGATAGATGCATCTTGTCTTGGTACAGAACCACCGACAAGAATGACTCTTCCTGGATATGTTTGAAACAGAACAATTATTCACATCCCACACAATTTTATTAAGACTTTTATTTGTGTTATTTTTAGATAATCACCAAAGTTCATCTAAAAAAAATACACACATGTTCGTCTCCATCAAACGAAAGAATACCCATTCACAAGATCAAGCTGCACAACAATTTCAACTCGATGAAGGAGAACCCATTGTTTCCTTTGTCGAAGGTCCTGTTACTTTCACCTTGCAAGTAATTTTCCATCATCAAGATGTGAATGCTAATCCTCTTCGGGATGCAACTGTCAGAATCACACAAAAAGGAAATACAAAGCAAAATACTGGACAAACTGAAATGTGTGAGGCTGTTGTTAATGTTTTGGATAGGAATGATCCGAATTTTTATGGAACAGTTTTAAAGGTGGGAAGTAGAACATTCTTGGCAAAGTGTTTCAGGTTGGATGAAGTAGAGGATTGGTAAGAAATTTAGTAGACTGTTTGGAATTTTGGAAATGAAGAGGAATTTAAAATTATCTGAATCTTATTGATTGGAATATTTATCATAATAACAATTAACAAGACAGGATATTAGATTTGAAGATCTTAAACAACACATTTAATGTTCCAGTGCAACAGACAACTTTTTGTCTCCCACCAAAACCAAATCTGTACTAGGGGCCCCCTTTCTAATCTCGTCAAAATTGTTAAAATCAATCATTCCCAAAGCACCACATTTTTGTTGTTCCTTAAAAATCAATCGTTGTTCCCTTAAAATCTTTTGAGTATTATCCAATGCTCCAAATCGAATTGGCTTTGGAAGTGGTGCTCTCGCATCAACAACTGGTAAGGCATTATGAGGGATTCGTTTTGCAGGAAGAATAACCTTTACATTCTTATCTTTACCACTTGTCAGCATGACTGTTTTGTTTGTTTCATGTGAGTAAAACATTGTTGGAACATTTGCAGTCTTGATTGAGGGATTGTCAGGGGCAACTAGCTCAGCATCAGAGGGTTTGTAAGATGACACATATGGAATTGCCTTCTTTGATTTTGAAAAATCATAATATCTCTTGGTGTCTCTGGATTTTGGTAACTTGATGTGATTGTCCATTTCCGTGGCAACACTTGAAAGTGTCTCTTCCTGAACATCTTTGTAAGGTATTGGAGAGCTTTCCAAATTCATCAACTCTGTATCATCGAAACTTATATCTGCTACAATTTCCTTCTTCTTCTCAGGTGATCTGAAAATCGATCTAGTAGGAGAAACAATTCTGTTGGATAAATATGACTTTCTTGAATAGGGCACAAGATTAATGGTTGGTGTGTATTTCAGATCAAATCTGTTGGATGAGGGCGAATCCTTATCTCCAAAGGTAACAAACAAGAATTGGCGAGGTTGATCATGATATTGCAAGTGCTCAGCCATATCTTGCTTTGGTTGAAATTTGGGTTTTTTCAGAAATTCGTATTTTGCTTCCCTTTCGGAATACATTTGATTATTTTCTGAGGGTTGATGAGCATGGGGAGCATCAGTCAGATGGTGTGAAACAATGAATAATCTTTCATTCTCTGAAAATGAAACAATAAAATCAAAAACAGGAAATGAAAGGTCCTGGCAATCATGTATAGTTATTCTCAAATGCTGATTGAGAACTGATTTAACAGTGCTTTCGTTTAGCCATGGTAAACATTCTACGCACGCAAAAATACAATCGTCAGAATGGTATTCTGGAACAATATAGCCTAGCTCATTAACCTACAAAATAGTTTCAATACAAGTAATTAAGTAAATATACATACTGGTTGATTATATAATGTTACAAATAAATTAGAATTGAAAGTATCAATGTGGATATAGTGAGGGGAACGGAGTTGGGAAATACTAATGTTAAACCTAGATTTCAATAATTTATATTCTGATGTGGAATAATTTACAAGCCTCATCTGAAAAAGATTAATTAAACTATGTGAAATGGTAAAAATACTTACTCTAAATACATAGAATAGTGGGTGGTGTGGATCGAGTTGAGAAATGTTAGTGTTTTTCAGAAAACCCAATTCACTTCTTTTCCTTTTTAGCATATCTTCATCAGGAGTTATGGATAGAGGAGGAAACTCTCTACTATTAGTATTCAGTCTATTATTCATGGATGATAAACTCTGAAATACGGAGGGTATTTGAGAGAGTGACATATCATGTGTTTGAGAATGGCCATTGTGACCATATCGTCTCATGTTTTCCTTATGTTTTTTGGAGACCTCCTTCTCGATTTGTTCTCTCGTTTTGATATCTATATTTACAACTTGATCAAATAAGCTTGGTTGTTTTGAGCACATGTCGGGCTTCTCAATAATTTTTGGCTCTGTCTTTCTTTTCGTAAGTTTGCTTCTTGGAGTCCCTGTTGCACTGCCAGGATCTTGAACAGGTGTCTTTGGAGAGGCAACTTCTGATCTATCAGTACTTGGAGGGTCAGAGGAGAGAGCTGCCAACTCTTCGTTTTTTTTCTCCCTCACATAGGCAAGATATTCTCCCAATGATAAATCATAGGGAAGATCAATTACTGACTCTGACATTTCTAGAACTGGAATTGTACGAGTCGATTTTTCTGGTGTCTTTTTTACACCTCTCAGAGCTGCAACAGGGGAAGGCAATAACAGACCAGCTCCAGATGTAATTTTAGGTTTGTACAACTTAGCCTTTCCAAACATTCTGAATCTGTAACCAACAGCAATTTGTTGCTCCTCCTCTTTCCTCAAATCCTTCTTTTGTTTTTCAGCCCTGACAAGATTTTTCTCAATCAGGACGAATCTAGTGTTACAATCATCCAAATGACTCAAATCTTTCCAAAATCTATGAATTGAAAATTATTTCAATTAAAATTAATTACCATTTTAAAGACACAACCTACCTGTGTCTCACCCTTAAGGGTATTGAGGATTTTGTCACCTCTCCTTGATTTTCACTATCCAAATGCTCCTTAATAGCTTTAAGAGTAGTAGAAACTCCATCAACTTCATACTTTTTAGAAATGGATTGATGCTTCTCCTCTACTCCTCTCCACTGCCTGTCAACTTCCCTAAAATTAATAGGCAACGAATGGTCATCATTTTTCAAATATTTTTTACTATTCTTTACAAATAATTCCAAACTTTCATCAGCACTCGCCTTAACATTCACTTGCTTATTTGTAGCACTCGCAGATCCTCTTCTTTTCTTTTTTTGTGATGACAAAATTGACCTCCTCTCCAATTCACTCCTCCTATTTTCACCTATTGAATCCTCATCCAACTCACTCACATTTCCAATTATCCTCACTGTTGAAGTGGGAGAAGTAACCGTGGTCGGACTGATGGATTGCATCCTTTTCTCTGCTACGGTACAATGAGTAGGAATATATTCGTTGTTCTTTCTAGTTGTTGTTGCTTATTTTTTTTAAAGTATTTTAAATTGTACCGTGCAGAGATGGCGGTTTTTTCAAGCATGATATCTTTGTTTTCTGTAGACAATAACATTGATAAAAACCGTTGACAGCAAGGTTTGAAAATTGGGACAATTGTGTTTCATGAGGTATCGTAAATATTATTTGGAATGGTTGCACAAATTCACTCTTCTAAAGTTCCTTTGTATGGATTTCGGGATGTAATGTATTTCTTGCTGCAAACATTTTCCAAGTAGAAATAAACCATTTCTGATCCTCTCAATAACCACATGCTTCATATGCTACAAAGGGATAGTCTCGGCAATGAGAAGGAAGCATTTGCCTTGCTCACATCACCTAAGAGCGAAGGAGGTCTAGGAATTGAAAGGGAACGATTAAATAGATTTGAGGGAAATTGGCAACTTATCCTATTCAACATTATTGAAAATTTAGAAATTGGTGGGGTAAGACTTAGCAAAGATTTTGATGGGAACAAAAGAAGAAAATGAGAGAGAGGTTAGTCCACCTACAGGAATTGTGAAAATCAAGTTATGCTCGCTTGGCCTTGAGGGTGAAGATAACATGAATCGTTTCTCTGATGGAATTTATCATTGTTTGATAATGCCACATTACCCAAGAAGTTTGGCTCTTTTGGAAAAACTATTAACTCCAGAAATAATACTGAACGAGGGGAAGAACATTTATGGAGCCTCTTAAATTTATCCACAAAAAAGGAATGGTTCATATGGATGTAAAACCTGCTAATATATTTGTTAGTACTGAAGATGACTGGTTTTTAGGAGATTTTGGTTCTTGTGTCAAGATTGGAGAAGCAATGGTTGGTTATGATTTTTTCATGTTGGCTGTGAGCAAGATCAAAATCAGATTTTGCAAGATGAATTGCTGTTTGAAATTGTTTATTCAAAAGTTGTTAAACAAAGCCAATTTGGAAAAAATAGAAGAATTATAAAACCAATAATTGGATTAGTTCAGTTTCCGATAATTCTACTTTCCCTACATGCTGGGCAGTAAAACTTAGTAGAGTACTAATACTTTGAATGTATGACATGAGTCTACGCTTGTACTCCTCATGAAATTACTCAGTTAATATTTGAAATAAGCACTCTGATGCTCATATGGTTGTATGACATACATCTATCTGTAACAAGTACTTCTGGCAAGAAGACAACTTATTAATAAGGCTCCACAATTGGTCACTGTATAAAATCATCCAAATCTATGGATATGATGATAATTCTAAATGAATATATTTTTAAAAATACATAAATGTACATCTTCTAATGAATCATTAATGCAAATCCAATAGTAAATAAATAATTCAATAAATTATTAATATTAATAGCATTAATAATAAATAAATATTATTCGGAACGATATTTCCTAAAATTTTCATCCTCAAACAACTTCAACTTAAATTTCCGATTATTAATAGGCCAATAATTCACCAATTTAATCCAACTACAATTCAAATACTTTTGTTGTGATGATATTGCGACAGAATAGTATTTTTTTAAGTGTTGTTATCTTTTCAAGCATTTTGATATCTTTGTTTTCTGTAGACACAAACATTGCAATATCATTTGGAATGTCTTTGGATTTCAGAACAGATTTATATTCCTTGATGGTAACATGTATTTCCAGTAGAAATGAACCAGTTCTGATCTCCTCTTAACAATCTTGCAGCCATAATGGTGTTGACCAATCACTTTTTTTCATGGACGTTAATCAATCACTTCTTTTTCCAAATTTTCCAATGACAGGCAATCATTTAATGACAAGTGCTTGCTTTTACAACTTGTTATTTTTTCATCAGCTTTGAAAGCTCTCGCAGTATGTTGTTGTTCCTTTCCACATCACACAAAAATCAATTTTCACAAACAAAAAATATCAGTCTCGCATAACGGACGTGTCTTTGTTAGCGGATCAGATTTAAATTTTAAATAATATATCCATTATTTACATCATCATCAACAACAACAAGGAGTTTACTCACATTATAACAAAATATATTTTCTGTAAAAATGTCCCAATTATCTACTGATGAAACTCTTCGTATTGTTAGACATTTCCTCTTGAGTTCTCCACCTGGACAATTCGAGGATGTTCTCTTTGATATCAGAGATCTTGTTTCCAATGATCAACTCTTGAACACTGGTGCTTTTGATATCTTCCGTACTTACAATGTTGAACAATTAATTCCTGTTGAAGTACCAGAAAAAAGCTACAAGGTTATTCTCTCTAAATACAATGAAATTTCACCAGATACATATCTTGATCCTGTTTCTGATCAAGTTCTCACTGTTGACCATGTTAAAGGTGTTGTTACTCAAGCCTCTCCAGCTAACAGTGATGTTGATAATTCATTGAAACAAAAGAAGGACAAACTCGTCAAGGCTATTCAAAAGTACGTTGAAGACCACTACCTCTCTGGTATTTCAAGCGTATTCCCATCCCAAAGACAAGATCAAAAGGGTGAACTTATTATTTGTATTACTGCCAGCAAATTCAATGAAAAGAATTATTGGAGTGGTAGATGGAGGTCAGTCTATCGTGTCAGCTTTGTTGAAGACAAGGTTAAGCTTTCTGGTTCTATGAAGGTCAATTGTCACTATTATGAAAATGGTAACGTTCAATTGAACACTTCAAAGGAACACGGAGAAACTGTTGATGGAGGTGATTCATTCGCTGATAATATTGTCAAGATGTTGATCAAGGCTGAAGGTAACTTCCAAACTCAAATTGATAGCTCTTGTGCTAACTTGAACGAAACTTTCAAGAGTTTGAGACGTCCATTGCCAATGACCAAGACTTTGTTCGATTTTGCTTCTACTCAACACAAGTTGGCCAGAGAATTCGGTGGTAATTAATTTAATGATGTAATATTTTAGTGTGTTAAATTCTACACGGATTTGACAACAATTGTGAATTATATTTGTATTTAATAATAAAGAAAATAATTTATTTAATTTTCTAATTTATTTCACACAACAAAAGAGTTGAATTCAACAACTGTTGTTAGTGTAAGGTGTTGACTGAGCAAAGAGTTGGGTTGACTTGGTTCGGCTCATCATTTATAAATGTCAATAATCTAAATATGTAGATTTAATACTTTGTTGATAAATATCAAAAAAACCTCAAAACACATGGATTCAGGATTTGTACCAACAGCTTCTCTCGATCAATTGGCAACCAATTTTCATCTCAAAGTTGGAGAAGAGGCAACGATTATTGAACACATTTGCCCAGACGACTTTAATTTGAAAGAGCCAAAGATTTATTGTGATCATGATGATGAACAACATTTGTATGTTGATCAGCACCTTCAATTATCAGTCATCAATGAAGAAGAACACTGTAAGGAGAGGCAATTGTTCAAAAGAAAGTACAAACTCAAAGCACTGAAAAAGGGAACTTGCTTTATTAAATTTCCCAAAGATAAAAAGACAATCAAGTTTACAATTACTGAATAAACATGAGAAGAATTGATTCTGAGTGTGCATCAACTCCATATGTGAAGGAATGAATAATACTAATTGTCAATTTACTGTACAACATTTGGATTGTGGATATATTCCACAACTTGATCATCATTGGAATGATGGTGTTGAGTGGATTGGGAAGGAAGCACTCTATTGTCCTTAATCTCAATTTGAGAAGAGGAATTCGGATGACTTTTCAATGGATCTTCCGCAAGAGCAATAGTAGATGGGTCAGCCGGTTTATCTGTTGAAATAGAAATGCTGGATTCATCCTGTTGAACATGTTGTTGTTGATTCCCAACTCCTCTCATTCGTCTTGTAATGAATAACATCTTCCTCCTGAGAGCAACTGAGTAGGCTCTATATCTGTGAACAAACATTATCAATGAAATCATGAATAATGTCAAGGAAATGACCAGAAGCCAAAGTGGCCACCCATAAAGATTTGTGAAATTTCCATGCTCAATTGACTGATTTTCCTCTCCACCACTTGTTCTAAAATTTAGCACAAATATAAAAACAACATATAAAGACAATGAGGCAACTAATAAGAAAAAGAACAAGGATAGAAAAAACGAAGCAATAATCAGAAAGTTTTTCTGTTTCCTTTCAACAGCGATTGGATCAACTAAACGACCAGCCACTGTTGTTGAGGTGGTTTGATTTTGAACTGGATCGTTATTAATGTAAACAACCACAACTTCCTGTTGTTGTGGTGGAGTAAGTTGAGGAGTATAGGCAGATGTTTGTTGTTGTGTAGGTTGAGCATTCATATTAACTGGTTGCATCATATTGTTGGTTGAAGTTTTTGTTTTTTGCATTGGATCACTCTCAGCAATAATTGATGATAGAAAAAGAGTCAGAATTTGAGAATGGAAATTTTCAATTTTAGGAACTATTCAACATTTGAATGGGTGATAGTTGAACTCTAATCGTGTAACTTGGCTATTAGGAGGAAAAGTACAAAGTTATGTAAATGGTTGCTTCAAATTTTCAGATTATCGTCCCAATTTGGTAAAATCTCTCTTTATTACCTTTACAAAATCTTTAAAATACCACAATATTAATCATGAGAATTAAATAATTAAATATTAAGGGAAAAATGGATTGTTGGAAAACTTGAAAAAAAATGCTCAACACCATCACTAGGAGACATTTCTCCCTCCAAAAAACAATCATCACAGGAGGATTCTCAAATTTTCATCACCATCACCAACAACAACAATTGCGAAATTATTCTCACTATAATCCCATTCCGGACATTACCTACAAATCAGTAGAACCAGAGCAAGATGTTGCGGGATCTTCTTCAGGTAATCATCATCATCATAAATATATTGATAGTAAGAAGGTTCCTCTGATTGTGTTGCATGGTTTATTTGGGTCCTATTTGAATTTTTCTACATTTGCTAGACAATATAGTCAGAAGCATCATACCAAGGTTTATTTACTCAACTTGAGAAATCACTCGGAAAAGCAAAATCACTCAGCAGTGATGAATTTTGCAGTGATGGCTTCTGATTTGGCACATTTTGTGAATAAGCATCATATTGAGGAGTTTGATTTGTTTGGATTTAGTTTGGGAGGAAAGACATCAATGGCAGCTTGTTTGGGGAATGATTTTAAGAATCATGTTGCTAATAGAGTTAGAAAATTGGTAGTGGGTGATATCAGCCCACTTCCTTTGCGTGATAGTGAGTGGGATATTCCAACTGTTATGAATGGATTAGTTTTACTGGATAAACAATTGGATAGCATGACTACAAGATCGCAAGCTGATGAATTTTTAAAGAACCACGTACCTAGTCCAGAAGTTAGAAGTTTCCTCTTGAGTAATTTGAAAAAGAAGGATTCATCGAGTAGTAGAAGTGGAATTTATGATTGGAAATTTAATTTGAGTGCATTAGCTTCTAATTTACATGAAATTGCTGATTTCCCATACAAGACTGACAGCGTAATTCAAGAACTAAAGCAACTAGGAAGAGAAAATATCACTCAATTGCCTTGGACACCTTTTGAAAAGCCAACCCTTTTCATGAAGGGAGAATTGAGTCCACTCATTAATTCCAAGAGTGAGAGAACACTCAACACAATGAAAACTTTCTTCCCGAATTATGAACTATTCCAATTCGATGGATGCACTCACTGGATACATGCTGAAAGATATCCTCTCTTCTTTTCCAAGATGGAAGAATTTTTGAATGCTTCAAACAAAGAGTAAAGGGATTTTGAATTTAAATACAGATTTTGTAACCTACAAAGGAGACTTTGCAAGGTGTTTGCTAAGGGAATTAAGGTACATTGGTACAATTAACAGTAGTTGAATGCAAGCTGGCGTAGCTCAGTCGGTAGAGCGTTGGTCTAATAAGCCATTGGTCGCCGGTTCGATCCCGTCCGTCAGCAACAGTTTTATTAAACTAAGTCAACCCTTTTGCCTTGCACTATGTTGATGTAAACGGATATTCTTGCGAATATGGGCACTGGAGATGTTTTGCATATTTGGTGTTTAGAATATGAAGACGGTTCAATCTTTGTAAACAACTCTGTTGCTTGACAGTAAAAAAATGCAACAACTCGAAGAGGAAGTAGACAATCAATTCCTCTTGATTCAAGGTCTTTCACACGAAGTTTGGTTTGAACACATTCTTCCCTTCCTTTCCTCCTCTTCACTTCTCTCCAGTAGACTAATCAACCGAAACTTTTCCTCCCTAATCCTCTCCTACATTATCAAATTCAAGAGTGAATTCAAAATCCAAGTTGGTTATCCGAATGTTTTGTTAGCAAAAATCGTTCAATCCCTCCTCACAAAATTACAAAATTTAAAAACCATCACCTATGAAGATTACAATCTCTTGGAGGATTTTTGTTTGACTGATCAGGGACTTTCCGAATTACATCCTCTACAATATGTGGAAAATGTTGATTTTGCAAGTTTGGGTGTCAGATCAAGTGATGGATTGTTTATTAAAGAGTGGATCGATAGAGAGAGTCCAATATTGCAGTCACTCAGGAGATTATCTGTGAATTATGTGATAGATGATGTATGTGTGCTGTTAGATAATTTTGAAAATTTGAAATCGCTCAGGATTGTATCAGGTTGTGTGAAAATTAAATTACCTAGCCAATTAGAAGAGTTGGAAATAGTTGGGGGAATTGAAATAGACACCTTACATCAAATAGTTCAACAATGTCCAAATTTGAAAAGATTATGTGTTAATTTATTCTCAGAATTTATTACAGAACTTAGGGATGATTTGAAGCCACTGAAAAATTTGACTTGTCTAAGAATTGATGTTGATGATGTTGTGGTTTACAGATATGATGCAAACTTTTTTGAATCATTGAAAAGTTTTGAAAATTTGACAGAATTGCAAGTTCCGTGGCCTATTTCAGATACGAATTCAATTCCGTACAAGAATTTGAACCATTTAGGTCAACTATCACAACTAACATCTCTCAAATTCAAAACTGTGCTTCGTTATAGAGATATTTTCCCAAAATCAATTGGAAAGGTTGTGGAAACAATTAGCTCTCTTCATTCTTTAACTAGTCTTTTTCTAGATTTTTCAGCTATTGATGTAAAAGTTAATTTTAGTCACGAATTTTTCGACAATATTCCAAAATTGCATAATCTTGAAGAGTTTACTTATGCTGATGAAGGTGGTTTTTCTGACATTTTTAATCATTTTTGTGTTACTACTTTGAAACATTTGAGTTTCAAGTCGGTTGGCCTAACTATCCAAACCGATCAATATTATCCTAATCTTGAATGTATTCAAATGGTAACCAATGAAATCGAAGAGGATGATTTAAATCATTTCAAAATGATTCAACAAGTTAATCTTTCAAAGGTTAAAATATTGAAAATTGGTTCAGTCAACTTGGAAACTTTGGAATTAATATCACAAATGACAAACCTGGAGGAATTATCAATAGTGAAAATGAGAAACATTTCTTCTTTCAAAACTGTTAAGCTTCCAAAATTATTGAGATACTTGGTATTAGAGGAATGCCACTATTTAACAGGAAACGAAGAAGATTTCTTTGAAAGCTTTATTGAATCATGTCCATTGCTGGAAAAAGTCGAATTTTGTACAGTTCCTTTATTGCAAGACTCGTTTGTTAAAAAGATTTGTGCTTGGATTGAAAATGGTGCTGACCATAAGAAGCTCTTCTTCTGGAAATGTGCCAGTTTGACAAATGACATGATTTACTCATTCAAAGATATCACCAAATGCAAATTTGTAATCTTTCAAGAATGCCCCCAAATTCACTATACAAGAGAAATTTCTGAGATTTTGACAAACCATGAATTTATTCAAATATTTGGAGGATTCAACAGTAATTCCCTTGACACCACAAATACTTCCAACTATGTAATCAATGATCTGAATGTTATTAATTCACTCGAAACATTCGAAACAGTTATTAGAAACTCACTTGATTTGAAACAGCATCAAAAAGCATTCTTTCAAATGCTTACCAATATGTTTGAAGGGTGCATCTCAGAAAATACTAAAGATGAGAAACCATTATATAGGGAACTGCAGAAATCAGAGTTTGAAACTCAATGGTTTTTCTACTATTCATTTGTGATGTGTGCAGCTTTTGCTGATAGAACAATTGATCATTGCTTTAGGAAAGCTATGGAATTGGTTTTTACAGAATCGAACGAGAAGTTAATTAATACTCAAGAAAAGAAGAAGCTACTAATTGATTTATTAGAAGATTTGGAAGATCAACTTGAAGAGGATACATTGAAATTTGTTATTGAGAAACTATTGGAAAATAGATATTTCGATAAGACACTGAGTGTAGGAATTGAAAGTCATGAATGGCATGAAAAATTGGTTGATTCAATGAGTGAGGAGGATATATTCCAATTGCCATATTTACACAATCTTCTCAATTTAAATACTGATCTCCTTGGAAGGATTGTTAAAAAGAGTCAATTATTCAAAAATTGTGCATCATTCATCCAGAAATTACAAGATACTTCTATTGGACCAATTTCTGACCCCGAGAGTTTAGATATTAGAGATAGAGTTCCTGAAAGATTTAAAAACGCCTTCCTCACTGAAGTTATGGTTCCAATGGGGAAGACTGAATGGGATGAAGAACAATCAGGGGAGTCCCTTCCGTTTGAGGCATTTGGTTACAGATGGGTTCTTAAACTGTCAGAAGAAGGTGGTTGGTTGTCAATTTATTTGAGTCTTGCATCACCTATTCCAATTTCTAATGGATCTGAAACATCTGAATATGAAACACTCACTGGAAATGATGGAAGTTCAATTGAAATTTCATTCATGTTATTGAACTTTGATAACAACCCACATACGTACTTTAGTGGAAGAAATATCTTGAGTCAATCTGAAAGGGACTACTATCTCTCTATTAGATCAAATTTGGTTCAGAAGTTTTCAGAGGATAGTTACAAATTTCTCATTGGTATGAATGCCATTTCTATTAAGGAGAAAATACCTTGCCCGTTCCTATCTTCCAAATATTCAATTCACAGGATTTCATTCCATGTTCCACTCGAATTGAAAAATTATTATTACAATGAAATTAAGGTATACTCTGATCCCATAACTACATTAGGAACTAAATGGACTGTAAAATTGGAAAAGAAATTAGATAGTGGAATTTTTGGATTATACTTAATGTTGTCATCTTTCGATTTGTATGATGAAAAATCTGCTCTCAGCAAGTGTCGTGTTTTCTTTCATTTTGCCAATAAGAATCTTCATCCTGACTCGACTCACTCTTATAGAAAAACATTCTCTGATACTAGTTCATCGGTTGGAGGACAAATTGTCAAACATCGAGAGTTATTCAAACCAATGATTATCAATGGAGAAAGATTTGAAACATATGACATTTCACTCATTATGGAAATCAAGTCAATTTTTTAAATAGAAAATTCAACATTACAATATTATTCCAATTACAACGGTCTTTTAATAGAAACTTTTGGCCAATTCAAATTACCTATGATCAAAAATTGAGAAATGGAATAATTGATAGAAATAATTCAAATTAATCGTAAATAATTGTATTGTAACCTCACAGCAAATCAATCTTAGAAAAAAAGCATAAAAATGTCCAAAGTATATTTCTGGGGTGCGATTGGAGTGAAAGGTGTTCAATCGGATGAACCAGCACTATTGGCCGGAGGAAAGAAGAGTTCAGTGACCTCATTGAAACCATTATTGGCTGCTGCTGAGATTGTTCAGGTGAGTGCTGGTGGAAGTTTTTGTGCCATGTTGGATTTGGAGGGAAATGTTTATTCGTTCGGGAAGGGTGCTGATCATCGATTGGGATTGGGTGATGAGAGGGATCATTTTGAGAGTCCTGCCAAGATTCCTCAACTCAAGGCTTCAATTGTTAGTGCTGGTTATAGTCATGGAATGGCTCTATTGAAGGATTGTAAGAATAAGGTAGTTTTGTGGGGTAAATTATCACCTCAACTGACTTTTATGAAACCAACAGAGAAGGTTGTTGAATTGCAAGACGATGATGATCAGATTGTTTCTCTCCGATCAGGAAATGGATACTCTGCAGTGATTACAAAGAAGGGACATGTTTTCATGATTGGAAGAAATTCTTTTTACAAGTGTGGATTTGCTGAGAATGCTGATTTGGACTCGTTTAAACAATTGGTTATCAATGACAATGGAAATAAGTATGATACATTTAAAGATATTGATTTGGGTTATGATAGTACATTGGCAATTACTGCTACTGGAGAGGTCTTTGGTTTTGGCAGTAATAATTGTTATCAATTGGGAATTGGAAAGGTCATTAAGGTTGGAGGACACGTGCCAACTCGCTTGACCTTCTCCTCTCCGATTAATCCAGTTCAGGTTGCTTGTTCTAGAGGTTCTGGACATCATTGTCATGGTGTTGTGTTGGATGCTGATGGAGTACTTCACTCTTTTGGATCTGGATACAAATACAAATTAGGGACTACCACAACAGATGATCAACCAGTTCCAGTCAAGGTTGACTTTGATATTAAGGTAAAGCAAGTTATTCCAGGTGGAATTCACAACTTCTCTCTTACTGTTGATAATGAGCTAGTCAGCTTTGGTTGTGGATCTGATGGAAGATTAGGACACGAGGAATCAAAGAACTATCGATACTTGTACAAGGAAACTGAACCAAGAAAAATCGAAGGTCTGGGAAATAAGGTAGTGCAGGCTGATTCAGATTATTATTTTGGCATTGCCATTGTAAAATAAATTTGTATTTTATTGTTCAAAGAGAATGAATTAATAATGAAAGATAATAAATAATTTATTTGATTTTTCTGAAAACTGCCAAATGCTTGTTCAGTTTTTGTTCACTAGTTCTTTGACCATCTTCACTAGAGTTCATAATGAATGGAATGATTGGATCCTTATCCAATTCTTCTTGAGAGACACGTTCAAAGTATCCTTGTGGAACAATTTCGTCTTCAAAACTAGAGGCCATCCATTCACCTAATTCTTGAACATCTGTAATTGTATAAATCAAACCTCCTTTTTCTAACAAGTATGAATATTCAGGAATGAGACATGGACTGACAATTCTTCTTCTGTGGTTCTTTTTCTTAAAGTGTGGATCTGGGAACATGAAGAAAATCTTTTTCAATTGACCTTTTTTAAAGTAATTTGGAAGGAATTTCATAGCATTGGATCTCATTGCCCAAACGTTATGGAAATCATGTCCAGATTCCAACTTTGGTGTATCTTGTTGTGTTTCTTTGAGTGCTTTTCCTTCACGGAGAGATAAAATTCTTTGTTGTGTAAATTCTGCAACCTTCTTTCTAATTTCAACTCCGAGAATGTAGGTTTGTGGAAGAACTGGAGCAATTGATGTAATTAATCCACCATATGCACAACCCACATCAAGAATTTCCACTTTTTCTGTTTCAATATTCATCATTGGATACATTTCCTGCCAATTTACATCACTAGGCTTCTTAGGATAATCAAAAAAGTCATCACTCAATGGATTACAGTGGGCTCGGACTCTAACAGGGAATCTAGTCCATTGATTATTTTCTTTACCGGCAGTCTTTTTCTTTTCCTTGTAAGTTTGTGTTCCAGGGAAGTTAGCATCACCTGTTGTTTGTTGTTCTTCAACTTCCTCTTGTGGCACGATGGCTTCACCTTCGTTGGTTCGTTTCATTTTTTTCTTGTTGTTTTTTTTTGAATTTATTTTCTTTTTCTATTAAAATTTGTTTCGTGTGGTTTGTCTTCCAACTGGTAATTGCATTCACAAGACATTGAGTTTCAACTTTCATGTAAAGTTCTTGTTGTTGTATCATTTTATAAGTTAAATTGGTTCATTGTATGCGAGAGTCCTTGGATGGCCTTTGCTCAGAGAGGGAATATCTTGACGCTTTAAAATATTTCCCACCAAAAAACTACAAAAAAAAATGCAAAAGCAAGAGCCTTCGCCAACGACGGCTCCAACAAACAACCACACCGGAAAGACTTATTCCAGCTCGATCGATGATTATCATGTTTTGGAATTAATTGGTGAAGGATCATTTGGAAAAGTCTTTAAGGGAAGAAGAAAATATACAAGTCAAATTGTCGCTATGAAATTTATCCCAAAGAAGGGAAAAAACGAGAAGGAGTTATACAACCTCAGACAAGAAATTAACATTTTAAAGAAGCTTAACCATGAAAATATAATTTTATTATTGGATTCGTTTGAAACTAAAGAGGAATTTTGCGTAGTGATGGAATTTGCTCAAGGAGAGTTATTTGAAATTCTTGAGGATGATGAACGTCTTCCGGAAGATGTTGTTGGCAAGATTGCTAAACAACTCGTAAGAGCTTTACACTATCTTCACTCTAACAGAATTATCCACAGAGGTATGTAATAATATAATTGAAGATTATATCTTATCCCATCATCTCTGTACAACAATAGATATGAAACCACAAAATATTTTGATAGGATCAGATGGTGCCATTAAATTGTGTGATTTTGGTTTTGCCAGAGTCATGTCTTGCAATACCATGGTTCTTACTTCTATCAAGGGTACACCTTTGTATATGGCTCCAGAATTGGTCCAAGAACAACCATACAACCACACAGCCGATCTGTGGTCACTTGGTGTTATTCTGTACGAGTTGGTTGTTGGTAAACCTCCATTCTTTACTAACAACTTCTTTTCTCTTATTCAATTCATTGTGAAGGATCCTGTAAAATATCCACCTTATATCAGTCCTCCAATGAAGAGTTTCCTTAGAGGATTATTGAATAAGGCACCAAAACAAAGATTGGACTGGCCAAAATTGCTTGAACATCCATTCGTTAGGGAAACAAAAGAAGAAAAGGAACAAAGAGAAAAACTGTTATTGGATAATATTGGTAGAAAGAGACTTGAAATGTTCGAGAAAATTGTTGCCCTTAATCAAAAGCAAGATTCAAATACAAAGAAACCAAAGCAACCATCCAAGACTCCTAGCCAAACAAGAGTGAAGAAAAAGGTTGAACCAAAGAGAGATAGTAAGTTTTTAAGATTTTTTTGGAATACTAATACTATTGATCAACAGTACCTTTGTCTGAGATTGAAACAGCAATTGCAAAGGATGAAAATGGACCAAAGTCAGTAATGAAGAATGTGGAATATTTGGATAAATTGGCTAATCTTATTAAGGTTACTCAAACAGCTTACAAAACAAAATCAACAAAGACTGTCCAAACATCTCTTAAAATATTATCAAAAGCATTGGAAAAGTGTGAGGAAGAGGATTCTGATAACTTGGTGGATGCTGGAATTGTCAGTAGCTTATTGGTATTTTTGAAGGAATTTGCAGGAGCTAAATTTGACACCAAACCTATAGTACTCGATGCGTTAGTATCCTTACATTTTGCTCTTCCTTACGGAATTGAAGTTCTTAATTCCACTATAACTGACTACTTTTCAGTCATACCAAGTCTGATCGATTACAGATATGACACCACACTTGCCGTTCAAATATATACAATGAAATGCTTGAAGGAATTGGGTCTGAAAGTAAGCTCGTCCCCACTTCAAACACAACCAGCTTTTGATTCTCTAAAAGATCCACTCATTTATGAATCATTGGCCTCATGTTTAGATTACAAAGTTATCAAGACTGAGAAGAAGTTTGTTACACATCTTTCCACCACAAGTGCAAAGGCATTGGCTGAGTTAATGCACCCAACTGATGGAGATGTTTTCCAATTCCCTTGTGTCTTCCAATCAGAAAGTTCCTCATCTACAGAAAATATTGACTGCAACCAAGATATCAACATAAGAACAGCTATTGCTAAGGCTCTAGCCAAGCAAAATATAGTGAGCAGTCTGAGTGATCTTGTAAATTCACCTGATTACAACAGTAGAATTGGAATTTTGAAGGTACTATTCCAGTCTTGTAGATTTTTGCCAGAGTTTGCTAGACAAGTAGCTCTCGATTCTCCTCTTGTTTCTTCAATAATGTCCTTAGTCAAGGATTCAACAGATATGAAGGTAATTTACGAAACTGAGCTCTCTTGTCTCTTGCTGGCAACTATCTTCAAAGAAACACCAAAAATAATTCCTCAATTTGGTCGAGATATTGACACAGTCATTAATACCAGTGTATCTATCATCAATACTGCTCTAGATGAAAGATATAAATGCTTTGCAATTCTCCTTTTGGCCAGACTTTCTTCCAATCCAGACTCTAAGAAGAGAGTTATTAGCGAATTAATGACGCCTGTGGGAATGTCGAAATTGAACGATGTTCTGACTAAGGATGTAAGTTAATATTTTTTTTATATTTTTCTTATTTTATTTCAGTTCTCAGTTTATCAATGGCACGAAATTAAAAGAGTGGAAGGTTCTGGATTTGGTTTCCCTGATATTGGTTTACTGGATGGTGTTGTGTACTTGTTTAATCAAGTGTCTGACATTTGGGCTTCATCATTCAATAATTTGCTTTCCAAGACTGGTGTTTGGAGATCTCTGACTGAAAGATTGAAATCAAGCGATATTGAAATGTCTCCAGATGCTGCCTTGGCAAGTATTAAATTAATGTATGATATTGCCTCGGCTAATCCTGACACCATTCCAACCCTTGTGGGTGATATGAGTATTGTTAGAACTGTTATTCAATGTTTGAAAAAGAATATTGTGACTGCATTTTCACACTGGCCTGCTTCAAGAAGTGGTGGTTCATCCTTTGTAAACATCTTTATCAACTCCTCAGTGAGCCTTCTTCACTTGTTATATAATCAAGCCACTCTTCAAGAAAAGGAAAATGAAAAATTGTTAGCTGAACTAATTAAGGTAACACACAAGGAAGAATTAGTCAAGTATTGTATTGGAAATTTGGAATTTACTACAATGGAAAACTTTGGCTCATCCCTTAACTTCCTAGCTAGTATGGTTATTACATCACCTTTTTTCACCAAACAATTCATCAAGTTTGGTGGTCTTCAACCAGAGTTTTTACAACAAATACTTAACACTTCGAATCCATCAACAGTTCTTATGGATGGACTTTCCATTCTCAGTCAAATTGCTAGAACCAGCAAGGATTATTACAAGCAAATTCATCAAGCCAATATCTACACAAACATCAAAGATCTTCTTAAGCATAAGGAGAATGATGTCAGAGCGAAGGTTTGCAATTTGATAGGTAATATGTGCCGTCACTCTGCGTTCTTCTATGAAGCTTTGAATCAATATGGACTTATTCCAGATCTGATTCAAAGATGCAGAGATAATGATGCAAACACAAGAAAGTTTGCCTGCTTTGCTATTGGTAATGCTTGTTTCCACAATAATAACTTGTACAAAACCCTCACTCCTTCCATTCCTCCACTAATTGATTTACTGTCTGAGAATTCAGATGAAAAAACAAGAGCAAACGCTGCTGGTGCTCTGGGTAATCTGGTAAGAAATTCAAACGAGCTTGTAAAAGACTTGTTGAAGAATGGAGCCATAGAAGCCCTTGTTAAAACATTAAGCGATGATAATTCGAGTGCCAAGAAGATTGCTCTATTTTCTCTTGGCAACTTTTGTCAATATGAAGAGTGTTGTATTGTATTGAAACAGCTTAACTTTGAAAAGACCATTACAGAAATCATGGCTAAGAGCCAAGAAGATACTGGTGTTCAAAAATATTGTGCCAGAATCCAAACTAATCTCTCCAAAATAACTATTTAACGTGTTAATAAATAATCTTTACTCTTAGATATCTTTTACATTATTATACAAATAATAATTTTACATAGCTCTGTAACAACAAAATTATTCTTCAATCTTGGCAACACGTGCAGTACCACGTCCAGCTCTCTTTGGCTTGGAGAATTTCAAAGAAGAGTCAGACTTTGGAGGGTGAATATACTTGACGAGGAATTCGTGAGTCAAATCTTCAACATCTGAAATTTCCAAACTAGCTTCAAGCTTCAAAACACCAGATGAGGTAGCAGTTTGAACTACGTGACCCTTACTGGCACTGGCTAACATTCTTTGTTTGACCTTGGATTTAGTTGGGCAACTATAGATGAAAACAGTCTTTCCTGAATTTCCTTGATTTTCTTCATGTTCATATTGGAAGTGGAAGAAAATGTAACGTGGTTCAGAATCAGAAATATTTTCCTTCAATTCTTCAACACTAATAGCATTGTTTCCAGTACGTTCGTTTGAAAGAACAATAATTTCCTTTTCAGTGTCAATCTTCAAAACAACCATCAATGATGTACCCTTTTCTAAATTAGAAAGAGCTCTCTTGGCAGATTCTTCAAATGGGAAAGAAACACCACGTGAAGCTCCACCGCTACTACCGCTATCAGAAGATGATGATGATGTAGGTTGAGTGGTTGGAGACTTTGACTCGGCATCCTTTTCAATTTGGTCAAAAGCTTCCTTTTCTTCCATCAATTTTTGTCTTTCTTGTTCAGTGTATAATTCAATGTCATGAATGTGACGTTGTGATTTGTGAACAAAGGAAAAGTTTTGATATTTCAAATCATCAACACAAACTGTGTGATAATCTCCAGCCCAAATATTAGCACCATAAAGTGAGTTGGAAAAACCAATTTGTGCCTTTAATCCAGCCATAGATGAAGAGTACAACATCTTTTCACGAACCTTTGCTCTCTCTGGAACATACCAAATCAACAACCATTCATAATTTTGATTTTGATCTGAAACTGTTGTATCTAAACGGAAGAAGAAGTAACAAGGAGCCAAAGGTTTCTTTGCAACACTTTCAGACATGGCATTATAATCAGAGGAAATATCAGAGAGTGGATGGGTTTCAACAAGATCCATGATTGGAGGTTCATGATCCAAGAGAATACGTACTTTAATCCATCTGATTTTATCCTGTTCGGTAAAGGCAACACTTGATGAAGATGATGAAAGAACAGAATCAGAGGCTGATTTAGCACGTAAGAAGGCAGATAAAGCTTCGTTTGTAAGTTCAATTCCTATTATTATAAATAATTATTCATTCAACAAAGATGATTAAATCATCACATTTTCATCATCAAATGACGGCAAGAGTTTAGAGTTTCAAAAGAAAGATTTTTTAAAAACTGAAAAAATTTCCACCTACCTGTCTTGGCCATTTTTTTGTTAGAAAAAATCACATTTCGCTCAGCCGAACGTTGTGAAATCGTCATCAACTTGACTTTCAATTTATTGTTGGACAGGTTGTTGGGTAAAGCTTTCAACAGAGCTCATAACATTAAGGCGATTAGAGTTTAAGTTTTCTTTAGCTAGTGGACTTTCGTGATGTTTCTCCTTCAATAAATAGGGTTGAGAAAGTCCTTTTCCTTTCACTTCAACCATTCTCTCTTCAAACTCAAATAAATCATAAACTCTGTAGGTAGATCTGGAAATTTGAATTCTTCCTGGATGACTTGCTTGAATGTAAACCACTCACACAGAAATAAGCATCTCCAATGGTCTTTATCTTGTCAACCAAGTGAATTTCAGTCAACTTGTTAAATCCTTGAACAATTAAATTCAATATTTGAATTCAAAATTTGGACCAGTTCACTTGGTAATGTTGAACTCCGAGCTGTAAATCCAACCATATCACTGAAAATACATTGTTTTTTAACCTTTCCTGTTTCATCCTTAAAAATCACCTCCTCACAACTGCTCCACTTCTACATTGATATAATTTCAAAGATTGTACTATTTTTCCAAAATGTGAAAGAAATCTCTTTCTGATTTTTGCATCATGTTCCATTATTGCATAATTATCACCACCAGATGAAATATCATAAATTCTCCTCTTCAAATAAGGTCCAATAATTTCGAATAATACAACCAAACTCTTTCTTGGATAGAAAATCATCAAGGTTTGATTCGGAGTGTGCACAACCTTTGTAATTGGATCCACAAATTCCTTTCCTCTATTAAAGTACTTCCGCCTGTGACTTGCAATGTTTGACCTCTTGGTATTGAAATATCGGGATTGATTATTGTCATCAATTTGTAAACTGGCAATATAATTGAACATGAGTTTTTGTTGAATAGTTTGATGACCACAACATGTTGCTATCAGACAAGGATCCTCTTTGAAAAGAGATGAGAAGTATGTCCACGGTAGATATTCAAAAATATGACCAATAATTTCCGAAGGGAGCACCTGATTCATTGTTGTGACCATTTTTTTTTGATGCCTTTACAATATCTTTGGACTTGATCAAATTATTTGGAAATAATAATCCTTTTCATCAACCCTTTCCCAAGATAAAAAAATATGCCAAACGCATCAGTCTTGATTTTTGTAATTTGGGATACGGATATTGAAATATTTTACGTAAATGTTTAAGTATTTTGTATATTCTAGCTTGATTTGGAACTAAGAAACAGCAATAAGGTGATTGTCAACCATGGGATGATCCAAATTGTTCAACAGAAGCAATTTGAAGAACCCATTTAGAATTAAGCCTAATGAAACGATAGCCTATAATACTCATAAAGGTACTCCTGATTCTAATATAAAAATTAATTTATTATTTTTACTTTTCATGACAACGGCCGTATAGCTCAGTGGTAGAGCTTCTCTCTCGTAAGGAGAAGGTCGTGGGTTCAAACCCCATTGCGGCCAAATTTGAATTTTAATCTTTTGCTATTCCTCGCTTTGTTTTTTGATATTTTTACTTTATTTTTTCAAATTCTCACATTTACAAGTTTATCTACATGTGGTTCAATTTTCCAATCTTTAATTCAAGAAATGATTGAGAATGAGCTGTTCTAAAGTGGGTACATGATTTTTCGCTTGAATTTCAGGTTAAAAATGAGAAACTACCACAATGCATACATTACAAAAAATGCACAAAACATCAACTGCACATCACACAATTGTGAATGTGTCGTCTTTGCAGAGTGGTTCTTCAGCCACTATTAGAGGATCTGCAACAACATCATCACCCAACACAATAACAATGTTGCAAACTACGAGTTGACATCTTCAATAATATCATTTTTTATGATTGGAAATATCACTAATATCCTGGAAATGAAGTAATTTTATTGTTCAACCAGGTTAATTGGAAAACTAGTAGTACGTGGACAAGTCACTCGAGTTGCGTAGCCTTAATTTTTTCAAATCCAACAAATCAAAAAAATGGCAGTACCAGAGGGAAAACTCTACCACAATTTTACAACTACTTTGTCCCAAATCATCATCACAATTTATTATTTTTCCATAGACAATACTCTTTGAAAACTCAACAAGTTCACCATTCTCTCCTTCATTCCTAAATCAATAACTTCCGATCTTGCATGCTTTTCCATGTGCTCAAAATAATGGCACCCATCGCAAAGCAATTCAAATTCCTTCAATTTTTCTACTTGTTCCTCTTCGGTCATTCCAAGAATTAACTTGTACTCATTAACATTATTGGCTATTTCCCTCTCTTCCTCATCGATATCTTCTGTTGCTTGAGCTCTCTTCTTCACACCATCCCTATTCTTGTGATGCACATGGAATATCTTTCCCAATTCTGAATTAGATTCAAAAGACAAGCCACATTCCTGACATTTTCCTCCCATCAGAGTGATCATCTTTTCATGACAATATTGCCAATTAGAACCACCTTCAACATTCCTTGCATGTTCCAAACCATGACAAGGTCTGCACAATACTTCCAACTTTTCATTCTTCTTGAACCAATCAGCTCCAAGCTTTCTGAATTCGGGAATGAATTTTGTTGTACTCTTAAATGTCTTTGTAAAGTCATCATCTTTATACATGACATGATGAAGAGTGAATGCATTAACCTCATGTAAATGTTCCATTTCAATACGACATCTATTGCACTTGATTGACAAATCATCCCTCTCCAACACTTCTCTTAAAAAAGTATGAATGGCAGCTTGCTTTTTTCTGGAAATGTAAACAGCACATCTGGGACATGTTTCATCATCCTTCAATTTAACAGAACCAAAACAAAAATGGCAGTTGACACCTTCAGCTCTAATCTTGTTAATCCTGTCACTCATTTGAAGTATAGTCTTTTTGGAACATTCCTTGCACTTGTCCCTATTTGTCTTCGAAACAAGTTGGCCGCATCCACACAACCCTTGGTCTCTACGAGTGCATTTTCGTGCTCTTTCCAACTCGTTAGCTCTCTCACGTTGCTCATTGGATTGAGCAATGTGATTACTTAACTTCTTAACAAAATCTCTAAAGCCATTAGAGTATTGAAAAGTTCCATCATGAATAGCATTTTTGAATTTCTACCAAGTTTCTATTCTCTTTTCATTATTCTTGAATTTATCTGGGAAATGATCATACAATTCTTGGACATATGCAAGATAAGCCCTTGCCAATTTCGAACCATATTCATGAGAAATATTGGATGAAGGTCTTGGAGGACACTTGTTGAGTTTAACATTATCCAATATGGGAAGGAATTCTTCCAAGATTGAATTGTTGGGTTGATTTCTCTTCTTGGTTGGTGGAGTTGATTCAATGGTAGAATCCCTTCTCTTCTTACTATCATTACTTGATGAAGGCTTGTTGGAATTATTTGAAGATTGACCAGAGTTGCTAATAATAATACATGATGATTGACTAGTTGATGATGATGAAGCCTTTCTGGTAGACTTTGGTTGAATTGATAACGTGGTTGATGATAACACTTGATTTCCTTTTTAATCTTTTGCTATTTTCTCCACCATTTCGCTAATTTTCCAATCTTTAATTCAAGAAATGATTGAGAACTAGCTGTTCTAATCTTGGTACATGATTTTTCGCTTGAATTTTTGCCTTGAAAAACATCAGATTTTCATAATGTTGTAAATTTACCAATGCCTTGAAAAACATGTTTTCAGTCGTAATTGAGTAAACAATCAGGAGTTTGGCTAATTTTAAAAATGCATGTTGTTATTGTATTGTTATCACCATCAAGTTCTTTCACAATCTCCATTTTTGAGTGACAACACATTCATTTTGATAAGGATGTACGATTTGTTCACATTTCACACAAACAAACCTTCTATTTATGACCAATTTGAAGAAGAAACTCTTTTCAACAAAAATTTTCACGTTAATGAATCTGATTATCAATACATTCATTGTATTTTTGAATTTCACTTGATTGAAATTTTTCAAGGCTTTGAAATTTCAATGGATAGTACGTTTCATAGTTCAGTAAAGATGAACAGCACATGTGTCGGCTGTACTGTCAAGGCTTGGGATGAGAGTATACTAATATCTGGAATCATCTTCTTCATCTTGTCACTCATTGGGATTGTATTCTTTTTGGAACATTCTTTGCACTTGTCCCTATTTGTCTTCGAAACAGGTTGGCCGCATCCACACAACCCTTGTTCTCTACGAGTGCATTTTCTTGCTCTTTCCAATTCATTAGCCCTCTCACGTTGCTCATTGGATTGAGCAATGTGATTACTCAAGTTCTTCACAAATTGATTTTAATAAACTAGTTCCCAATTTTATTCCAAACGTTTTTCTTGTCCATTAAGTTTCTTACTTCACTCTTTTTCAATCAATATGGAATTATTTACAAAATTCTTCAAAAGAGCAAACAAATCAGTCACCTTTCTTTAAATACCTTTCAAAAACATTAAAAAAAATGGAAGTAATCAAATGTGTCGTTCTCGGTGATGGTGCTGTTGGCAAGTCCAATCTCCTCATTTCCTACACTTGTGAAGGTATCTTTCCAGAAGATTACGTTCCCACCGTAATGGACAATTATTGCAAGACCGTACAAGTCTTCCTCCCAGAAGAAAAACCGCACACTCACCACCATCACAACGATACATCGAGCGTGAACAGTTTGAACTCGTCGTCATCGGTTGGCGCCAACCATCAACAACAACAACAACATACAACCAACAATAATATTAATAATACTAATAATAATAATAATAGTAATAATAATAGTGGTGGTAGTAGTAGTAATGAACAGAGTAATTCACCAGCTTTGAATCAGTCAGCCTCATCCACTTCGGAAAAAAAGTTGACCATTGTATCATCACATGCTTTGAATAATTCAAACATTTCAACTGGAGGAGGAGAAGAAAATCAAGTTTTAGAAACAGAGGAAGATCATACCTTGCTAACACCAACTTATATTTCTCTACAATTGTGTGATACATCGGGTCAAGAAGGTTTGTTTTTATTGAATTTCATTGAACTTATTCCAATATTTTTTATTGTTTAAACCTTTCGAATAATTTCATTCACTTTCGAATAATAGAATATGATCGATTACGTTCTGATCTATCTGATTATGCTTCTGCTGATGTATTTTTGTTTTGTTTTTCATTGGATAATCCTCAGTCATTGGAAAATCTTCATTCCAAGTGGTATGATGAAGTGGTCAATTATTTCCAAACTCACAAACACCAAGGAGGAGGTGTCTTATCACTTTTTGGAGCTATATATTCATACTTTGGTTTTGGAGGTGTGACTTCTAGTACCAACACTGATGAAACCAGCAAGGAAGGTCACAACATTACAGACAACTTGCCACCAATCATTTTGGTTGGTACCAAATTGGATAAATTAAAAACAACAACTGTGGAAATAACCGAATCAGCAACAGGTCAAATATTGGAAAAACCAATTTCTACCGATACAAGAAGGAGAAATAATTCCATCTATCACATGTTTGGAAATGTGACCAAGATAAATGAAGCTCCACAATTATTGAAAATTAGAGAACAAGCTCTCCAAGTCAAGAAGGATATGAAGGCAGTTGCCTATGTGGAGGTTAGTTCAAAAACAATGGAAAATATCAATGAAATGTTCGAGGATATTGTCGTTCCAGTTGTTTTGAAGAGAAGAAAAGAAATGGAAAAGAAGAGAAAGGGTACTATATCACCAGGTTCTACAACTGCATCTTCATCATCCAATCAGTAGTTATTTTTCCCATCTAGAAATCCTATATACTTGAACCTGTAAAGATCTTGTACTCTCTAATTGAAAGGGTTGGAGAAGAAACATTCTCTTCAGAGAGAAGATAACATTGTAAATAGTAAAATAATATTAATAATTTCAAATTTTAATTAAAAAAATGCAAAAACAACTGTTAGGAAGAATTCCATGCCATGGAGTTTCCCAATCACTTCGGAGGTTGAATAATAACCATTATCATCTTTGCAAAGGACCATTTAATTACATATCAACTAGACAAGTCAATAATTATTCTACAGTGCTGGGAATAAAATCATTGGAAAAATTTCAATTTGCTCAAGATTTGGATATTTACTTTTCATTCGAGTATGCCAAACAGAGTACACAGATAAAGGAACAAAGTTCAGGAATTCATTTTGTTTTTGATGGAAAAGAGAGTCAAAATTTAATGAATATTTTGAATTTGGGAATGAAAATTCTATCTTCATCAAATGCACAAGAAAAAGTACAACTCACTCAACTTGTGGAATTTCTTCCAACCCTCAGTAATAAACTAACGAGTAGTAGCACTAATACTCACCAAAATATGGATAAATTTATAAAAGAGGAAGAATTTAAAACTAAAATTAAGGAAATGCAAAATGAATATTTCAAATCCTATTCTGGTACAGATTACATTCCTGGAAGACCAGAATTACCAATCCTTCTCGACGATATGAAACGAATTCCAACAACTTACAAACAAGCTGGTGTTAGCTTACCAGTGTTTTTACTTCATAATATGGCACACATTGAATTGAATGCCATTGATCTATGCTGGAATACCATAGTGATGGCTCTGCTGCATCCTATTCGATATAAATCTGAATGGGATATTACAGATAACACTTGTTTGGATTTGTTTGATTTTATTAATGATTTTATTAAGGTTGCCAAAGATGAGGCCAGACACTTTTCTGACCTCTCTCAAAGATTGGTGGAATTATCGAGTTATTATGGAGCTGTCACAAGTCATAAGGCAATTTGGAGTATGGCAAGGGATACTCAATATTCTCTTCTAGAAAGAGTTGTGATTGGAAATATGGTTCTCGAAGGAAGAGGTTTAGATTCTGGGGAAAGACTAATTTCTAAAATGATTGGTTGTGGCGATATGAAATCCTGTGCCATTGTAAAGACAATTTGTCACGAAGAGGAGGATCATGTTAGAATTGGAGTCAAGTGGTTTGATAAGATGGCTCGAATTACACATGCCCTGATGACCTCACAACAAGAAGAAGACAATCTTTCCAAGTTATCATTTGACGATTTTCAAACTGAATTATTCCAACAAATAGTTCTAACTAATTATGGACCACTTCCTTCTCCTTTTAATCATGATTCGAGAAAGGCTGCCAATATGAAAGAATGTTGGTATGAAGATATTGCCAGGCCTAAAATTACCAAAACTACTAAAACTACTAAACATTAAATCCATCCAATTTAAATCCTAATTCCAAACTTGATCTAATATTAACCATCAAATTAAAATAAATTAATTTATTTGGTAAGTATTAAATTATTGTTGAAATTGCTCTGGGTGTCTTTCTTTAAAATCTTCCAAAACTTTCAAAAAATCTACAAATCCCATTCTAATAATCTTTTCCGATTCTTGTTCCAATTCTTCAATTTCCTCGATGGTTTGATCAATTCTTGTTTTTTGAATCAAATCCTTGTTATTTTCTCCAATCTTGTGCATATAATGTTGAATTTCCTCTTCCGAAGGTTTTAAATTTACAAGATTTAATAATTCACCAATTTTTCTAACATCCACTGAACCATCGGCATGTTCATCAAAATTTGAAAAGGCCTGGATGAAAGAACCCATTTGTTCCTCATTGAATCTTGGCATTTTTTTAGATGGAAAAAGAAAGCAAGAACGAATCTTTCACTTGATCATTCATCATCCCGCCAAAATTAAATTTACAGTTGTTTCTGTTTTTCAATGTTTAAAAAATTCAATTTTAAAAAAAACAACAACATCAGAGAATGGCCTCAAAGAAAGGAACCTTTGGAAGTGATGGAAAAAGTTGGGCTGATAAGTATGACGCTGTCTCCCTCAATTCGATTTATAGAGAAACATTCCGTAAGGAATTACAACATCACAAATTAAAGGAGGACTATTCGACACATCCTAGTAAATGTATGTGTTGTATTAATTTAATTTAATAATAACCAGAGATGAACAATATTTACTTACAAATATAATAGTCGGAGTTGTTACAGATAAACCAAATAAGCGAGGAAAGAAATTCTTAGATAAAGATCAAGCTCTATTGGAGAGTATCTTTAATAGTCTTACACCAGAGCAAATTGAAAAGTTTGAACAAACAGTTGGAGAACCAGTTGACAATCTGATCGACACTAAAATCACACCAGAGAAGGAGGAAGAAATGATGAGAACCCAAAGAGAGGATCAAAACTTTTTAGAGACAAGGAAAAACCTCTCTAAAATACCTACCGATAGATTCCCAAAGCCACAAACCAGTTCTCAACAAGTAGGGTGGTTCCACAATCAAGATACAGCCATTAGAAGTACCACCAGTTTCAAACCAAAGAAGAGTTGTGAAGAAACACTTTTTGCTAATCAACTTGTTCAATTCAAAGCCAATATTAGAGAAACATCCAAAGGAAGTGCTCCACCAAAGAAGTAATGTAAATAAATTGTAAATAACAAGATTAATATTTTGTAATAATTGGAAATCAGTCCAACTCGTGGAATTAAATTGAAAATTAAAATTGAAAATTGAACCTTCGAAAAAAAGAAAATGATGAAATTATCAAAGGTGAACCTTGTAATCAATAATAGGTTTCCCATTTTGAATAGTATTAAAATAACAGATAAGAAACTTGATTTTCTTTCTCTACATCAAAAAAATAAAATCACAACACTAGCTAGTCTAATTGCATCATCATCAAACATGTCCTACAGTCAATCCAGCAATAATTCTTCCAATAGAGGAAGAGGAGGTGGTAGAGGTGGATATAACAACAAGGGAGGAGGCTTTTCAAATAATACACCAAGACCAACCCACTTCTTTGCAGTGAGAATTAACTCTCCACAAACTATCAAGGATTTAGTCGAGTGGCAACAATCAGTCCTCTCCGAACATGACTCACACTCGGAAGATTATGATTTGAGAGATTATTTAATAGAGAAGGAAAGAATGCACTTTACCTTGTTTGTTTTGACATTGGATACTCAAGATGATTTGAAGGATTGTATTACAGTATTCCAAAAATGTCAAGATGAATTGAAGAATATTGTAAAGAATAATTTGGAGGGTGGAAAATTCTCATTCAAATTGTCAGGAGTTCACACATTTGAGGATAAGGCATTTAAGAAGGGAAGAGTTGTCTTTACTGGACCAGAATTCAGTCATGAAAATGGAAGACAAACATTCCTTGATGTTTCTCAATATATCAATGATAAATTGAAGGAAAATGGATTAACAGTTGATAAAATCAATAATGAAATTCACTGTACCTTAGCCAAGACAAGTAAGGTCAAGAAGAATAATACTCCAAAATCATTCCCTGAATATGTATACAGACACCAAAAAGATACAGTCTTTGGTGATAATGAAATGATAACAGAAGTGTTACTCTGTAGAATGAAAGGACCTGGCTCAAGTGATGGATTCTATCATATTGAAGAAACTGTTCAAATCTAAATAAATTGTAAACTTGTGGTCAACCTTTTGTTAAAGAATATGTTCTGAATTTTATCTTAATCTAGATTGAATATTTGAAATAACGCTGTGAGGGTGGGTGAGTATTTCCAGTGTTGTGTTAAAAAAGTGCTCAAAAAGGAAGTTTAGGTTGAGACCAAAAAAGAGTTGTATTGTGACACAATGAGATCGTGAAGCTTTGAGAGAAGGCTCTCAATTCCATTCACTGGTATTTAAGAAAAAAAGAACAAGCACACTCGATGGCTGTCATGTTTGAGTGTCCAATTAATTGTTGGAGTTTTTATTGGGTTCATCATGTTATCTTGTCCATGATAAAAACTCTTGGATTTGGACACCTAGACATGACAACCATCTAAATAAATTAGAATTATAAAAAGGAACTATTATTTTACAGTCTTTTGAAAGTCCAAGGATTCGGAATCGTTGTTGTGATAGAGTTGTACCTCCAGAATTGAGTAATTAAAGATGAGAATGTACACGTCTTGCTCTCACTCAACAAACCTTAATTTTTGAGTCTGTTCTGCTCGAATTTAAGATTAGTTTTGCGTCCGCAGGGCAGGTGTTTGAGGTAAAAAAAAATCTTTTATTACGACAATAACGAATCTATTCAGATTCTCATAGTTGAGGTAAAAAAAAATGAATAGAGACGATTACTATGATCTCAGTAAAGAGGAACTTTTATCCTTACTTTCATCTCCCTTCAAAGAAGGAGGGATTGGGATTGAACATGAACAGCTAAACCAACTTTTTGAGTTTTGTGGTGGCTCTTTTTTAAATGTCATTGTGAAGAATTTAGAAATTGGGGATTGCCTGGTATATTTTCGTAAAAGATGATTTGATTCCAAAGTATTGGATCCAATACAACAATCACATTTTCAACAGATGAGAAATTTCCGTAGGAGTTTGATATTCATATTTATTGTAAAGGTTCTATTAGAAATGGATTGTTATCTGTTACATTCGCAAAATTTCCATATTGATAAGAAAGGACTAGTTAAAAAAATGAAAGGTTCCATTGTCTGTATTGTTTGTGTTGTGTTGTTGGTGTTGACGATTCAATATGAGAACAGCTTTGCATCTCTGACATCAAAACAACAACAATTAACACTCTTTCTAGATTCGAATAGTAATTTTATAAATTCTAATTGCTTGGAATCAACATTTCCTTGCTCTAATTTTACACAAATTATTCAAGCCACTAGGAATTTATTAAACGAAACTAACAAGCTCGATAATTTGGAAGTTTTGGTTAGAATTCGGGGGGAAATTACTACTTGTGATCATGTCATTAATTTTTCACAATTTACAACAAATTTCAAGTTGAGTTTAGTCTCATGGGATGTGAACAACCAATTCTCTATACCACCACGTCGGTGTGTTTTCATTGATGAAGATTCTAGTTCTATTAATGAACTCTATTTGGAAAATGGACACATAGAGATGGATTTAACAAATCGAGAATTTGATATAGTTTCGATTGTAAACTCTACAGGTGAAATGTATTTCAATACGAAAGAATTTTCATGTGATAGTTCAACGATTAACATAATCCTCAAAAATAGTGAAAACATTCGAATTAAGAATTCGAATATCGATATTAATTGTAAAGCAGGTACTCAATTTAATGATTTTAATGTGGAAAATTCAATTCTGATTATGAGTGACTCAGAAATTTCTAATTTTAACACATTCTCTATTAGAAATTCTATTTGGAAGTTGGAAAAAGTTAGTATCATCTATACTATCCGATTGAATCTTGGAGCATACGTTTCAATAACTGATTGTGAAATTATTGGAAGCAATGCCATGTTTGAAAATATTGACGTATTGGAAATGACAAGAATCAAGTCAAGAGAACTCGATCATTTAACAGATGAGGATAGTAGTGTCACTATCTTTACACTATTCAATATTCGCAATATTAAGGTTTCAACCAGTAATTTCACAGAAAACAAATTTGCAGGCAGCGTTTTTGATATACAAGGATGTTATCAAGTGGAATTCACTAATTGTAATTTTTACAATAATTTACAAAAAGAATTCATTAGGGTGAGAGCAGTTCAAGATACAGATCTTTCAATTAGTGATTCAAAGTTTTTTGATAATAGGGTTGCAAATGCTCTAATTAATCAGGAACCATATCAGTTATTATTATTTTACATCACTAATTGTGAATTTATGAGAAATTATGGTGGTTCAACCGGTTCAGTATTGAATCTCTATAGAAGTGATGTATATATTGAAACGTCAAGCTTTTCACATAATATGGCAATTAAGGGAGGAGCCATCTATGGATTGAACACTAAAACTCTAGAACTTAAAAACTCAAATTTTACAAATAATGAAGCAGATTATGGAGGTGCTATTTTTTTAGTTTACTCTCAACTCTACAAAGGAAATGCACTACATCTGATTAACAGTTTATGTGATGGAAATGTTGCAAATATTGCAGGTGGTTGTTTGTTCAGCAATGATAACTATTCAATGAAGTTAATTAAAGGAGTGAATAGAGCAGGATTTTATGGTAATACTTTGGCCTCTGGTTTGGTCGGATTGATTGTAGAATTGGAAGATAAGAATGGAAAGTATCAAACTGTTACGAATCAAACAATTAATGTGTTTCCTGGTGAATACATGAACTTTAGAATCATTTTATATGACATGTATTACCAGAAAACTTCAAAATTGAGAGATGGTGACTTGTTGATATCATTAGAAGAATCTCAATCATTCGTTATGCAAAGTCAAAATTTTGCAAATGGAAACGAAAGCATTCTATTGAGTAATACTCAAATTTTACTCAAGAATTCCAAACATTTTTTTAATTCCTCAACATTTTTAAGACTCAACATTCTCGGTATGGAAAGAATAATTCATTTGAACATTGTAGAATGTCCATTAGGATATTCAATGTCAAGAAATTCTGGAACTTTTAAATGTGAAATAATTCCACTTGAAATTATAATTCCATCAGCCATACTTGGAACAATATCCTTGATTATTATTTCGATTAGTTTGATTATTGGATCAGTTTACATTATTAGAAAATTGAAGAAATTGAGGAAACAAGAAAGAGCAGAAATGGAAATTCAGAAAAAGTTTACAGATAATAATTTCATATTTAACAATTCAAATTCTGATGTGTTATCTGAATTACATGTTCCATTGATAGAATCTTCAAAAAGCAATCAATCATCTTACCAATACACAATACCAATTTCGGATATTAACATAATTTCAAAAATAGGAGAAGGAACAAATGGAATAGTTTATAAAGGAAAATGGCAAAGGACTGATGTAGCCATAAAACAACTGAAGACTTCAGAAGAGGATAGTGAGGAATTTGAAAGAGAAGCCATTTTAATGAGCTCATTGAGACATCCTTCAATTGTCAGTTGTTTTGGAGTCTCTCTGACACTCAATAGCAAGTATATGGTGGTAAGTTTTCTGATTTTTCGATTAAAGTTTAAAACGAATTTATAATAGGTTGAATATTTGGAAAATGGAAGTTTAGATAAAGCTCTTTATAATTCTAGAATTGGAAGAGAAAAATTACTATTCGAAACCAAGTTGAATATTCTATTCGATGTTGCCAAAGGAATGGTCTATCTTCACTCCATCAATCCTAACAAGATTATTCACAGGTGAGTTGATTGGAAACAATTTTTATGATTAATTTCCATTTAGAGATTTAAAACCAGGAAATATTTTGCTTACCAAAAATATGAATGCAAAGGTTGGAGATTTTGGATTGAGTAAAATAGTCTCGAATAACACTGCAACCATGACTACAAACGTTGGAACTTTGTTGTATATTGTAAGTTTAGTTTCATTATTTGAAATTTTCTAATAAGAAAAAGGCCCCTGTAAGTTAATACTATTTTGAAATTTTAAATTTAGGAATGATATTTTATGATAGGAATTATTATCAAGTTATCACAAAGGTCAAACAACAAAATTAGATGTTTATTCGTTTGGGGTAATCATGTGGGAAATTTTATTCGAAATAATACCATTTTCAAACGAACTTTCAGATGTGAACACTCCATTTGCAATGTGTCCACTCTTTCTTTTGATAATTATCATTGGAATACTAAATAGAATCATGACAAGACAGAGAAATGTCAAAATTGATGAAATGATTGGAGTAAATATTGAATCGGGACAGATGGTTGTGTTTGGGGTGATGGTTGGCTCGTAATTAAGGGCTCCTAATTGAAATAATAGAGGATGACATGGTGAAGTAATGTTCAACTGAGATGTGTTGAGAAGTGACATTTTTTTTTGAATCATTTTAGTTATCTCTGTAAAATTAATGGGATCTATCCTTAAGAGATATCTCAATTGACCTCAATGTAATAGTATAAATGGATTGCCCAAATGAATTCATACAAGAAAATTTTACCAATAAGGAAATTCAAAGATTTGGAACTGAACTAATTTCAAATTGTTTGAGGGAGTATATAGAATTGATGAAATTATGTTGGCACACCAATCCTAATGAAAGACCTGAATTTATACAAATTTCTGCAAGTTTAGAATCCATAATTGATTTGTTAACAGGGAATTAAACGTTATCTAAATGATTAATTATTACAACTAGAAACATCTTGTAATAGTTAACTATTATCTTATTTATTATTTACACCAATAAAATCATCAAACAGATCAACACAAGAAGAGTATTAATGAAACTATTGTTAACACAGTTACAACTTCAATTCTCTCCACAACATCATTTGAATTTGTTAATTTTTGAAATCTAGCAGGTAATCTAATAGAGACATAATAATTTATAAATTCCAAAGCAGCATTTCTATCCAAGGAATTGATGTTTATTGATATCAAAAAGCTACGATAATCGCAGAAATCAAGTATGAACCATCGCAAGTATTTATTCAAGACTTGATTGGGGAAGCAAATTTAAAATTGTATTCTAGTGATATCTATCAATGCTGAATTTATGCATTTCCTAATCCTCTTTTCCGCCTTAATTCAAATATATCATTAAGTTCATCCAAGATATGAGATTTCTTAGGAAAAAAAATGAAAGAACTCGACTTTTCAAAGAGTATTTTCATCATCACGATATTATTATTATTAATTCTTCATCATTTTGAATACTATTCTAATCAAGGAGGGTTCGTGTTGGGGGCTGGTGTTGTTCGTACCCTTGTTGGTAGTATGAGAGGATTGGATAAAGTATTAGCCACTCAAACTTCTCTTAATCTTCCCTCGAGTATCACTCATGAAGATGCGAACGGTGAATACTATATTTCAGAGTCTTACATGGGGGTGATATGGAGAGTATTCAATAATGGGACAATGGTAAGATTTGCAGGAACAGGTTTTCAAGGATATAATGGAGATGGAAAATTGGCTTTAGAGACAGATTTGAATTATCCAGGAAGTTTAATGATGTATGATGGAGAGCTATACTTTTCCGATCTTTCCAATTATTTAGTTAGGAAGGTTGATAGGAATGGCTATGTGAGAACAGTGGCTGGTTCAATTAAATCATATGGATATGCTGACAATGTCCTTGCAAATGAAACAAATATTTATCCCACTGGGATTTATGTTACAAAATTGGGAGAAGTTTTAATTGCTGATTCTTCCATTCACAGAATTCGAAAGGTGCTAAATAATGGAACGATAATAACGATTGCAGGAAATGGAAAACAAGGTTATAACGGAGAAGGTTTATCTGGTTTAGATTCTGCACTTAAGGAACCATATTCTGTAGACATGGACTCTGATGGAAACATCTATTTTGCAGATAAGGGTAATTCTATAATTCGAAAAATATTAGCATCCAATGGAGCAGTGATAACAGTTGCTGGAAACGGAACTAAGGGATATTTTGCAAATACTATTGATGCCTTGTCTTCTCAACTTGATACTCCAGTCATGGTGACTGTAGGTAAGAATGGAGAATTTTACATTGTGACTGGTAATTTAATAAGAAAGGTTTCTAGTGATGGATTAATTTCTACTGTTGTAGGAACTGGGGCTACAGGTCCTTTTGAAGATAATATTCTAGCCGTCAATGCCACCTTGGGTATTCCTTCGGATGTGAAGATTAGCAGAAATTCAGAGTTGTTGATAGTGGATACTTTCAATTATAGAATTAGAAAAGTTCTTTTGAATGGAACGATTCAAACAATTGCAGGAAATGGATTCGACCGATTCAATGGAGACGGATTACAAGCAAAGGACACATTACTAAATAGCCCATCCTCTTTAATTGTAAACCCAGATCAAAGCTTGTACATTGTTGAGAGAGATAATCAGAGAATTAGAAAAGTTGATCCAAACGGAATTGTGTCAACTTTTATTGGTACTGGAAAGAGAGGCTTTAATGGTGATAGGTTGGCTTTGGACGTGCAATTGTACAATCCTACATCTATCTCTATTGATTCGAATGGAACAATTTGGTTCTCAGAGGCCAATAGCCATCGAATTCGTAAATTATTAAGCAATGGAACAGTGATAACAGTGGTTGGGTCCACCACTGGAAGTACAGCTGATGGTCCTGCATTGCAAACAAAACTCACAATTCCAAACGGCATCGGTTTTGACTTGGATGGATCTCTATTAATTGCTGACAGATATAATCACAGAATTAGAAAGTTATTAAGTAATGGGACTTTAATTACTATTGCAGGAACAGGTGTTTCTGGAAAGGGAGGTGATGATATTCTAGCCACTAATTCCTCCTTGAATCAACCTTCTGGAGTTTGTACCATGCCAAATGGTGACATTCTAATTGCTGATAGAGCCAATCATCAAATTCGTCGTCTGTTTGTTAATGGCACTATCAAAACAATTGCAGGAACAGGCAGTAGTGGGTATAATGGAGACGGTTTACCAGCAACAAGCTCCACACTTAATTATCCTCAAACGGTTACAATGTTTCATAATGAAATTTATATGGTTGATACTTCTAATAGTCGAATTAGAAAGATACTCAATAATGGGACAATGATTACTATTGTTGGCAATGGAATAAGAGGTGACAGTTTGGATGGATTAGATCCACTTGAATCTAAATTGAAATCACCCTATCATGTCACCTTTGATTCTAGAGGAAGAATGTACATTTCTGATTACTCGAATCATAAAATTAAGGTTGTCGATTTCAATTCAAGCCCAGAAACCAATACAACTTTCAATAATAGAACATTACCAAGCACTGATAGTAATACTACATCTGCAATCAGTAATTCAACCTTAAACAATAATTCGACAAATTTATATAATAGTACAGTGATTGGAAATAATAGTCTACCAAATAATGGATCTCTCATTCCATCGACTAGTAATAGTACAATAGTAACACCAACATCGAATCATTCTTTCACAAGCATACCAATTAGAAACAGTACTTTTGTTTCACAATCTCAAAAAAGTTGCATTCCAACAAAGTGGTTGGTTCTTCTTCTGTTCGTAGCATTCTTATTGACAACAAATCCACAAGATTATGACAATAAAAATGTTGAATAAAATCAAATATTGACAATTGACGGATCCAATGGTGTATCACTTGCGATTGAAGGCATGATAGATGTTGGAGTGCTCACCTGTTGATCGATTTGGATCGATTCATTCCATTCCTTGTAAGAAGAAGTCAACTTTAATCTGCCAAAGGTATCATTCACATTTCTAATGACGTCTGCAATAACAAAATCAAACTCCTTGATAAAATCTGGATTTTGGAATAGTTGAACAGTCCATTCTTCTTTTGTTTTTTGAATCCACTTGGAAAAAATCTGTTTTGAACCATTAGAAACATTCACACAAAGAGGAGCTCCTTCAGTTATATAGGTTTCGAACAATTCACAACACAGTATCTCCCTCACTCTCCCCAAATCTTCCTCCCTGACATATTCTCTCAGAATTGGTGTCTTTTCCTCGTCATTATGCTTACATTCGTATAAAGAAGAATACACCTTCTCAACATCTCCAATAAATGCAACATTCTCAATAGAAAACTCGTGCTTTGAAAATTGTCTCAACAATTCAAATCCATTTTCATCAATATACACCTGAGTAAACTCCTTCCCAAACAACTCAAAGATTGGTGAATCCATTCGTATATTACATCTCATTCGAATATTTGTTCCAGCATGAAACTCTTCCTTCTTTTGCCTTTTCAACTTGAAACTCTCTCGCAAAGTCATTACTGTTACAAATCCTCCACCAACACCAAAGATTTCCAAAAGCAAAGCCACGCACTCAATTGGTAAATTAAAAAATGGAGAAATGAAAAAGAAAGGTGAAGCCCTTTCGTCTATCAAATGTTCAATTCTACCAGTTTCTATTTGAGCAAAACCTCTCAGTATCATCATTATAATATACAGAAAAGCAAACACAATTTGAATAACCATCTCAAATCGAAAGTATAACGGATCATTTTTAAAAAAGTATTGAATTAGTCCATTCTTTCGAATAAGCATTTTTCTATTGAAATACATGTCAATAAGGAGAGTGATTAAGGCAAACACTGTAGCGAATACTATTGAAATAACGGCTAACACCTGGGCTACTGTAATAAAAACAGATAGATCTGCAACAAGTAAAAGTGGTGATAAAACTCCCAAAGCTGCGAGAGTTGTCAACAATATTGAAATCTTGACGAAGATTCTAAGTTTTGTCGACTTGGACCACTTCAGGGATGTTTTGGTGTGATCATTATTTGTGGAAGTAATTGTGGAAGTAATTGTGGAAGGACTCGAGGTAGGAGAAACTATTTGAGAATTCGAAAGGTTTCCAATATTTGAAAAATCCATCCTACTAAACCTTTTCACCAAACTCTCATCCATCACTTTCATATCTCGTATCGATTTTCTCTTAATATCACAATAGACCTGATTATACACCTTCCTATTATAGAAAAAAAAAAGTGAATTTGTAAAAAATAGAATGAAAACTATTCCACAAATTATCACTGGTAGATACAGAATCATTAAAATGTAATCTTCCCCGTTGAAATAATAATATAAATCCTTTGCTTCATTTGCTAAAATGTGAGCTACTACTATATATGGAACGAAATGTCTGGTTGACCTAGGTTTCGTATTATGGAAATAAATAGTGAATGGAGTAAGAATGAGTAAAACTAAAAATAAGATAATTGTCGTTAATAGACCTAGAATGTAATGTGCAACAGTTGCAACTTTTTGTAAAGTCAATCTATTGTCAATTAGTTTATCAGATAAACTAAATTCTGACGAAACTTGAACGAATTCAGGTCCTTCTTGGTAAGACGAATCTAATGGAAACTTCATTTGCTTTCTATATTTGCCAACGAATGCATTAACTCTCAATTTGGAAGAATCCAAATCAACAAATTTACAACCTGATTCCTTTTCCAAATTAGTTACTCCAAATAAATTGTTCAAATTGATTTGGAAATATAATTCAGTTCCATACAATCTTCGTGTACAATTATCTGCCCGATAAACAAATTCGTCTTGTTTCGTATTTGATTCATAACTTGGATTCACTATTGAACCATTCACAAAATAGGTTGAATTAACAATAAATTCTTGATCCCTTAATAGAATTGACTCGCCACTAATATTCATCCTTGCATTCATCTCGAAACTATTCAACGAATCCAAATATTGATAAGCAATCATCCATCTATTCGAAATATACCATGTTCCATTAAATTGAAAATCCAGAGAAACTCCAAACATTGTCTTGTGTAATATATTTGCTGTAACAGCAATCAGTACCATTTGAATGTAATGAGTCGTTTCATTTTCCTTGGAATGAGACGAAACTAATCTCCATCGCCCAAAAACATTAGGTTTCATTGGAAAGTCATGATATTCAGCTAAATTTTCGTGACCTCCCCTGACTGACTGGCATTGGAGCCACAACATCATAAGCGTTAATATTCCAATTCGTGAAAGAGTGCCAAGTTTCCAATGCTTGTTTGTTATCTCCATTTTTTTCTATTTCTTGTTTTTTTGAAATTGGAATAATGCAGTCACGTAACACATATGTTGTGTATTATCATTTGGTTACATCTTTGTCATTTATCTCCACTCATGAATGGGTTTGTTTGGAGTTATGCAAGGTGTTGGTTGCATATTTGAAGAAAATCTCTGTAATAAAAATAGGAAATGAGCATTGCAGTAATTGAGAATATCTCTTGACATAAATAAGAATTTTTAAACTTTATCTCAGAATATGGCAATAAAGTACAGAAACTCGGCTTTTTAAGGTTTATTTACAAAATTTAATCGGTCACAACTGAACGAGGAGGGAGAGAAGGCCCATTAAATTCATAAAATACATCGGTCAATGTGATATTTTCAGCATTAATTTCTGCCATTCTAATGACCTTTGTATTAGTCTTGTTACAGACCATTTGGATTGGAATGTGAATCTTCATGGATGATTTCTTAGAGGCCTCAAAGTCCTTTGTACTGAATTCATATCCTGTATCAGGAACACCTGCAACCAGAGGATACAGATATGGACAGAACATGTGTAAATCTGGCTTATCAGATGGAATGTTATGCTCAGAAGGAACATAGACTGTTGCCCTTTCATATTTGTGTTTCTTTTCCTCAATTCTCTTACTTAGCATGGTTGGCCTAGTGAGCACTGAAATTTGTTTGGAATTGTTGTGTCTTTGAGAAGTTACACTCTTCTTCTTATTTGGTATTGGAGAAGCAGATGTGGAATTGTCATAATTTCTGATATGAGATGCTTCTGAAGCATTTTGCTTTGGATTTTGGTAGGAGAAGGAAGAGAAGTGTCTCTTAAGCTTTGAAGGATAAAAGACATCATAGCTCATCATGCCATCTGGGTTGAAATCTTCTTCGAGTGATTCACCCATTTCCATGGTATTTTCAACATAGATTGGCTCAGGGAGGTTTTGATTTACAGAGTGAGAGGAGGTAGCATGTGTTGGGAGAGACTTAGACCCCACACTTTCAACGTTGCGAGGGGTTGTACGAGAAACATAATTAGGAGCTTGTTCATAGTTTGACCCATTGATTGACAATAAACCTCTAGCCAAACGTCTAGCAGTTTTTTGTTCAGATTGTGGTGATTGTGAAGAGGAGGTAAAGGATGTCTTGGATGATGAATTATAGTTGAATGACCCAGTGAGGAAGGTGAAAATTGTAAAAACAAATAAAATTCCCAAAATTATTACTGCAGATCTCATGATAGTATTTCTCTTTCTATTATCAGGATTAGAATTATCTGTTGTAGACATGGTATAGCTAGAATAGACAACAGCTAATTGAGATTGAAGATAGTGATTTTCATGAACTAGTTTTTCGTTTTGTTCTTTGAGTGATTTGATGGTAACTTGTGCCTCGTCGAGCTTTTTTTGAAGACCATGATTTTCATCTCTCAATGTTTCCAATTCCTTCTTTTTTCTGTCTCTGGAGACCTTGGCTGTATATCTATTTCTGAGTTTCTTCTTTTCTTCCTTTTGTTGTTCTGTCAAATCTTCTGCATTTTCCAAGGCGAGTAATCTTTTCATGTCTGCATCAATTTCCTCAGCATCTCTTTTTCTTGCATTATTAGCATTCGATTTTTTTCTTGCCTTTTCCTCATCACTTTCAGAACCAGATGAAGTTTGCTTGGAAGTTTTACTGTCTGATGATACCTTCTTCTTCTTTCTAGCAGGTGCCTTCTTCTTGGTTGCTGTAGTGCCACTTGATTGTCCACTTGTTGATGATTGATCTGTTGTTGTTGTTTGTCCACCAGTAGGAGACAATGAATTACTACTCACGGACCCTGTCATGAATTGTGTAGGTGAAGTATTGAATGCACCAAAGAATGCATTCGAGAACATGGATGGATGCATAGCATTCTGTAACACAGCTGGATAGTTATTGTTAAACATTACAGGAATAATAGGACCTGTTGTGGTTGGAAAGGTAACTGAAGGATTTTGATTATCTGCTGACATCGGATTATAAAAATCAAATGTGCCCATGTCTGATGGCATGCCATAGAAAGCGTTTACATCTACCACTGTTGGCTGTTGTTGTTGTTGAATATCGGATGTTGTTTGTTGTTCATCCTCACCAAGAAGTGATGTAAAATCAAAATCTTCATCCCCTCCCGAGAGAAGTGTTTCATAATTGTCCATTGTAGATCTCAAATAATAATTATTCTTCTACAATTCTTTTCTTCACTAAATAGTGTTGCCGACTGGTACCACCACGCACAAATTATTGTAGTAGTAAAAATTTCAGAGAGAAGTCTCTGGGTGATGAAGAAAATTGGCCGTTAAGTAAATTTTTTTAAAGAAGAAATTGCTGAGGGTCATTTTTGATGAAGGCTTTGATACAACATGTTCCAGAGCGAAAATGGCTCACTATTAGGTATGGTTGAACACGTGTTTTCTTCTTGCCAAGTCAATACACTATTTTTATAAATTGATATGGAAGAGGCTTGGAAGGAGGATTTTCAAGGAAGAGAGAATATACATTCTTTGAACGTTGCCAAACTATTGAAAAATACGTGTTTTTTTTGAAGGCTATTTGCCTTTTTGTAATATTGATTGTATTTAATATTTAAATGTACAGAAATATATTGAAAGATTACAACATTGCCATAGATGGTTCTATTTAAAAAAATAACCAAATGGAAAATTGAGATTATTAAAAAATGTCTGAAAATCCAACATCGACTAAAACCTCGCGAGAAGAACACATTTTCAAATCGGAGGATGAAATCCAAACCAATTATTGGTTCATCATTGATGGCATGGTTGTCGATTTTTCGGATTTTCTGTGGGGACATCCAGGTAAGAGTTTCATCATTATCATTTGATCCTATTATTTTGTCATAATCATCTTGATGCTGATGATGTGATTATTGGAATATTTTAATGGTTACATTATTTTCCTTATTTATTATAATTTGTCAAAATGATGACGATTTGATTTAATTGTGATGATGATGATAATTGTTTGGGGTGATCTTTGGAAAATATCATGAAATTCATTTGTTGCTCCTCTCCATTTCATAATTCTTAATTGGATGTTGAAAAATTGTCCTTATAACTTTCTGTTATTGAACTTTGAAATGAATTACATTGTTATTGTAACTACAATTTAATATATTTAGGAGGACCTTCTTTTCTTAAGGAATGGAATAAAAAGGATGCCACTCAGAAATTTAAGTATTTTTCACACTCTGAAAGAGCTTGGGAAATGGCACGTGAGATGTCAATTGGAAGACTTGAAAAAAAGGAATAATTGGAATGCTCTTCATCATTCGAATAAACTAGGATTAGTGACAACTATTTCAGTTTATTCCTTTTGACACTAAGGTGATGGCTATCGTTTTATTTGAAAAAGGCAATCATGAGAGGGATGCAGACAGGATGCTTCATTCCATTACAAACAGAGAGAATCGTCCAGTGTGCTGTATCAGAAATGATTTAAGGTCGTTGCTGTTGTTGAGCTGTTAGAAGTCACCAATTTGGGTGATTGTAGCTATTGAAAATGATAAGTTATTGTTCAGTTAAGCGAATACCCTAATGCACTATCCATAGACGAAAGTGTTGCCTCCATTCTAGTGCAATATTTTGAAAAGATATCAAAGTTTGAAAGACAAGTGACCACTCACTTTAATGAATCTTTAAAGTGATGTTTCACCATGTTGTGGATACCCTACCGAAATACAAGATAGAAACCATGTGTCAGCATCAACACTTTAAAAACCTTAAAAAAACAAAAAGATGAATCCTGCTTTCGTTTCCTTTCGAACACAACCAAAATTTGGTCAGACATTAATTCCCATTGAGATTCGTTGTGGATTCTCCCAGCTAGTCACGATTTTGAATTATAATCCACATGAGCCACAAACTGTTTCGACATGTGTTGCATGTGTTTCGAATAGTACTCAAGAAGTAACAAACTCTTACAAGCAACATTCGCATGCGAATTACCTCAATACCACATGTTACAATTCCATTCCACAATTTGCTGTCCAACATGGGAAGGAACAATGTCTTTCGAAACGAAACGAAACTAATCTTTATCCACCTTCTCTTCACTATGAATGTGATAAACTCTATCAACGTTACCTTGAAACAACCCAATGTAAATCCAAACCGCCACCAATTGACAATTTCATTGAGGATTCTTCAAAAAACGAGTCCACCAAATCAGTTGACAACCCTTTCAGTTTAGAGTTGGATTGTGAAGAGCTGTTCGCTTTTTGTAATGCCAATGGGCACGTTTCTAATTGTGATGTGGGCATGTCTCAAAATGAAACTGATGGGGAGCCATCGTTTCGACCATTTTCAGATACAGATTCTAATAACATGTTTTCATTTTCACCTCATACAATTGTACAACTAACAACAGAAACTAATGATTCAGATGCAATTCCATCAGAAATAACAACTAGTGTTGGAACAATCCTAACAAAACATTCTTCCAACCGTGTTTCGAATAAGAAAAAGAATAAGAGAAAACGACCATTGAGTGCTCAAAGTCTAAAATTGAACAAGAAGGTGAAACCTAGCTCTACATTGAACTCGAGTCAAATTACTTGGCATCACGTGAGTATTGACTCCAAGATGAATCAACAAGAGAATACTTTCGTATACGAGAATTCGTTTAACATGTTCGAAACTTTCTCACCAGCAAATAATCCTTCACCAATTACTACACCATCCAACTCAGCTAATACATCACAAGAGTTTTCTTCAATAATCATTGAAACACCAGAAAGTATTTCAAAGAAAATGAAAAGAGGAAGACCAAGGAAAGATTTTCAAATTGAATAGACTAAACTATTCTTTACAATTCATCTCAATAACAACATTAATGTTATTGCAACGCTTTGCACAAAGTTCAATAAATGCAAAACGACCATAATCCAAATAGATGCATCAAATGTCATCAGACGATAATCACATCAAAAAATGAGTTCAAGCGCCAACAATCACCCAGCCGTTGGTCTTTTCTTTTCTTCCTTCCTCTCCCTCTTTATCTTCTTGTAAGTAATTCTGCCACCTTTCATGCCAACCATCAACATAGAATGATGGGCGGATTTATTGTTCTCTTCATCTTTAACGTTACCAAGTGGATGGCGAATAAGAAAAATCTCGGAGGAGTTACTCAGTACCCTGATGAATATTTGAATTGGTTCTTATTTGGAGCAGTTGCTGTGTTTTTCTGTTGGGGTGCTTCGTGTATTGTTGTTTATAAGAATTTGAGATCGTGTATTACTTTTATGAGACTTGAAAAAGTCAGTGCCTAAAGTGTTTAGTTGGAATGAAACGAAACACATAAATTTTCTACTACCTATTGTTGATGTAAAATATATTGAATTGATTAAATGAATAATTCCTTTATTGTAATAATCTGAAGTAAACTATTTAGTAATTATTATTGAATCAATCCATAACTGTTCTATAGAATAATTTTTATGTGAATTTTTTAAAATTTATTTCAAAAATTGAAATTGTGAATGAAATACAGAGGTTTTTGGTGATAGAAACAATAAGTCTGTATTTCCTTTGTGGTGTGAGTGTGAAATCGTCCTCTTCATATATAAACAAAATTACTTCTTCATTCCTTCAATTCTCTTCTTGAAAGCAGTCATGGTTCTTGGAAGACCAGTTCCAACCAAAAAGTCTCTCAAAATTCCAGGAACCCAAATGTTCAATTCAATATTTACAGAATATGTGGCTTCAACGTTACCATTACCCAAATCGACCAATGTCCAACAACCTCTATTCTTGGCAAATGGACCATGATCAGTTTCAACCCATGAAAATCCGTTATCACCATCGACTCTAAGTCTGAGAGTATATTCAGTGTTGATAATACCACCAACTGAAGCCTTCCAGAAAACATCAAAGGTTCCGTCTTCATTATCCTTGGTCTTTCTAGCTTCCACACATCCTTCAATGCTAAATATTGTCAATAATGTAATAATTAGATTTTGATTATTATTATAATTTTACACGAGTCATCACATTGTTAAATAATATTATTAATATTAATAATTAACGAAAATTGTCCGGTTATTCATCACCAAGAAATATAATTAATAATAATAACAACAAATATAATATGTTAAGAATATAATGTTATGAATCATCATCATCAACACCAAAATAACAAAGTAAACAACCCACACTTCAACAATCAAAACACTTACAATTCAGTATACTTTTCACAATTAGAAATAACATCCAAACATTCCTTAACGGTAACTCCTTCAAAAACAATCTTTTCAGTGGCACCTCCACCCAAACCGCTGCTTTCCTTCTTTTCTTCCTTTCCTCCCCAGATCCAATTCAACATTTTTTTTAGATTCTCAAATAAATCTACTTGGTGGCGCATTTATCGTTGTTTGGAAAAAAGCTAATAGAGCGCATTGTGGATTTTTGCATGGAGCTCTTGGCAAATGTTGTTTTGTGCGCGTTACAACGGAGGACTTTGATGATAAGCGATGATGTAAGTGTTACCAACAGCTTTTTGAGAGAAGTTTGTTGAAGTGGGTTGTTGGTTGACTAGTAAGGGAGATAGGTAAGTTCTATTTTGAGAATTGCTTTGGAAGGATTTTAGGAAGTGAAATGAACAGATTGAAGGTTTCGAAAAAAGGTGATGAATTGGAAAGTATTGATATTCGAATGTAAAGTGTTCCTTAATTGATCTCTTTTGAAATAAATTCAAATCATCAATAATTCCAATTATAGATATTTCTATAAAATATTTTGTCCAGTTAAGATTTTGGAATACTATAGTATTAATAATAAATAAATTTGTATATTATTGATATAATTTCCTAGATTTCTTATTTTCTTAGGTTTCTACTTATCTTCTATTGTTGTTGGAATAGTATTTCTTATTGTTTGAATTCTTCTTATTCTTATTATTATTACGATCCTTCGAGTAGCTTCTTTGAGAGTATTCCTCTTCCTCATCTTCATGATAGTGACGATTATTGTCATTATATCTTTTATCATATCTATCATCGTCTTGATATCTATCATTATCTTGATATCTTCTATTATTGGATTTGTAATTGTAGTTATTATTATTTCTATTATTCCTGCTATTACTATTATTATTGTAATCTCTATCTTGTTGTGATTGACTATAATTATTAGATCCCTTATATTTCTTATTCTTTTTAAATTTCTTCGAGGAATTTTGAGAGACATTCACATGAATATATTCATCCTCAGAGGCACTATTAGCTTGATCAAGCTTTCTCTTCTTTCCACCTTCCTTATGTTCTTTCAGCTTGGTAAATACCTTATTGAGCTGTTCCTTTCTACCTGAATAATCTGCTGGAAGGGCACCTCCATAGAGAAATTCATCACTCACCTTGCCAATATCCTTGGAATGAACTTTGTTTTCTGGAGTGGCACACTTGTATGATTCCAATTCATGTGAGGTTAATTTTCTCCTTGTTCGTTCAGAGAGTTTTATGGCCATATCTCCCATATCTAGAGCATTGTTCCAAGCAGTATTTCTATCACGAGATCTCGTATGTCTTGGGTCGATTGATTCGTAAAATCTTGAATCATTCGATTTGAAACTTTCCTTATTAAGCTCAATTTGGTCATAGTCAATTGGGAGAGTGCAATCACGAATAATGTGACCAACACCTAGGCAATTATAGCAAATCTTGTTAGAGTTTGGTGGTTTGTCCTCAATTTTAGGTTTTTCTACATCAATTTTTAAAGTTTTCAAATAGTTGGCATCGAAATTAATCTTCTCGGTGGCAAAGAGAGGATTGGCCTCTATAATACCAGAGCATAGCGTTACATTTTCCCTTTTTCTTCCCTTCTTTGAATGATTAATATATTCTTCATCTAATAATTTTTGAATCTTGTCAATTAAATTGTGCGAAACATTTGTGAAAGATATTGAAATAGTTGATTCCTTTTCAGAGCTAGAGCTAGTATTTTCCGAAGCAGAGTTTTTTCTAAATGTTCTAATAGGTGCTTTTTCTGCACTTGGTGTAATTGCTAGTGTTGGTGTCTTGTTTGCCAACAAGTTGACCATTTCCGTTGTTGCAGAGAATGATGATGGTTGTTCTTCCTCTTCTCCTTCTTCTTCTAAATTTACTGTACAAGTTGAAATTGTTTTATCGGGAATAATACTTGGTTGAACAGATTCCTCTTCCTCCTCCTCTTCTTCTTCATCACTCTCAAACCCAGTATCTTCCTGTTGACTCTGTGAATCATCAATCATAATCACATCCTCTACTATCGATTCTTCCAAATCTTGTCTTGTTGGTGATTCCTTTTCCACATTATTTTCTTCCACTCGATCATTTCCATCATTATTGTTATTATGATTATTAATTTCTTTTTCCTCCTCATTATTATTATCACGATCACTGATGATGATTATTATTATTACTAACAACAAGAGCACTAATTGGTGTTATCAAGTCCTCCTCCTCATCATCAATATTAATCAGTGATTGAGTTTTCTCCACTTGTATCGGAACTTCCTTATCATTTACACCATCATCATCATCATCAAATATATTACTATTTAATTGTAGTGATAAATTGTCTCCAATGGTTGGCACTGTCGATGATGGTGTTGCACAGGCACTCATTTGTGAATCAAGAACTTCTACCACCTCAGGAATACTATCCGAAATGATAATTGCATGTTGTTGATCTGTCATTTTTTTTTCAAATTAAATTTAATATATTTACATAATTAAATTCTTACAATTAATTTCAATTCCAATATCAAATTAATTCTTTACAAAATTAGAATATTTCTATTAGAATGTGAACCACAACCGAATTCAAATCACATGATTCTCAATTCTCTCACCGTTTCAAATATGGAAAATGTTCATAAAATTGCTTGTCGAAAAACAAAAAAACACTTTGAAAACTTCCATCAAACGAACTTTCTAATACTCTACAAAATTATTCGAATTTAACTTCTTCCAATTCCTCTTCTTTCTGCTTCTTTCGAAAAACAAAAAACTAAAAAAAAAAATATGAGAATAAGCAGAGCCAAGGTTGTAATCTTTCTCGTGTTTGGATTGGCCCTCTTCTTGATTCCCTTCACCTATTTTGTATTGTTACAGAATAAGCATGTGCAGGAGGTTCTTAGGACATCTCCTCCCCCTCCACCGAGATATAAATTATTGCAAGAATTAACGACGAGTTATTCGAGGAGTATTTTGTTTGATTCGGAATCATTGCAGGATGGCAATAAACAATTACCGGAGGAAATTAGTAAATATTTGGAAAATGTGATGGAGAGGGCACAATTTCCGGCCGCTAGTGGAATACCACAATTGATGACCATTGTTGAATCGGAAAATGATTTTAAATTCGTGGAAAACTTGATTAATTCGGTGCATAATTTTTATGAGAGGAAGATTGAGACTTATAATGTGGATGCAACGGTGCAGAAATCTCCAAACTTTCCAAAGAGTGGACTTATTCATGATCAAGTTTCTAACTTTGCAACTGATGCCGAGTCAGTTTATTGGATGATTTGGAGTGCCTTGACATCTCAAGATTATAGGAAAGTAATTATTTGTAATGTAGGAATGAGTGAAGATCAAGTAAAGATTGCAAGCAAGTGGAGAAATGTTCAAGTTGTCAAGGTTTCTACATATGAACTGCCCGAACAAATGAAGAAGAATTTAGAAATCAAGACACTTATACTCTATTTATTATTGCAGAATTATCATTCTGTTTTATATTTGGATCCGAGGATTCAACTTCGTGAAAATTTGGACGATTTGGAAAATATTCTCAACTCTCAAGGATATGTCCAACTCACAAAATCAGCAATATCAATGGCTCAGGATGGATCTTGTACTGATTCTGTAATTGGATTTGTACATGGCAGTAACAAGTACGATATCCTTGTTGATACACTTACTTGTCAATACAAGGGTGAGAATTGCAAGTTGATGGACATAATGAAAAAGGCAGGATCTCATTGCAGCTCTGAATACTTCCCAATAGATTACATCTCAAGTGAGAATCAAATACAAAATGTGCAATTACTAGACGAAAAAGCAGTAGCTGTAGTAATACCATTTTTAGAAAATCAACTCGGAAAAATATTGGGAAATCTTATTGAGTGGAACGAGCCACAATATGCTCCATGTGGTAATAAGAAGGATCTGAGGAAAACTTTTGATTTGATTTTTTATATGAATAAGGACGTGAATCAAGGTATTGAAAACACTTTAATTGAATCACTTTCAAAAAAGAAATCTGTAACAAAATGTTTCAGACAAGTAAGATTCTTGTATGCTCATTTGAATGAGGAAAAACATGACAAGTATCCATTCGGTCCAACCAATCAATTTTTTGGCATGTTGGTAGATAATGCAGACTTTTATACGACATATTCACACTTTCTTTATTTGGAACCTGATGTCAAGGCATTGAGGCCATTCTGGTTGGAACATGTTACTTCAATACTCAAACATTACGAAATAGTCAAGCCAGATTTTTGGGTTATTGGATCACAGTTCAGAGGAGGAGGAAAAGTCTGGGCTTTGATTAATAGATTCCACGTGAATGGTAATGCTCTCTACACCACAGATGCCTCATTCAGATATTATATGAAAATGATTAGAGATCATGCTCACGTCTTTGATATGGATCCATATGAATTTTTACTCACCTATGACAATTTCCAACTCACAAAGCACGTGTGGAATAGAATGATATTCCATGAATTTATTCAAAATTGGTACAGAACTAGGTGGCCAGAAAAACAGTTACGTAAACTATTCCCAAGAACATATTTAATCCATGGTGGTTACAGAGAATAAAGGTAACAAGTTACACTTTTTCAAAACACGTCAAAATCAAGATAAATACAGAACAAATACTAAAATTCATAGTGGATTGATTGTGATATTTAAAAAGGATAATATTTCAGTAGGCAAGAATTTAAAGTAATCTTATTATCAAAAGCTGAGTTATTGCGCATTGCGTAATTACATAAATTTCATAATCCTCAATGCTTACTCTTCTTTGCACCACTCTTAGCTTGTGATGACTCTGCGAGTTTACGCTTATTAGCTGAATTTGAAACAGATTCTCTCATGTAGGAATCGACATAAATGATTGGATCATCAAAATCCATTTCCTTCATCCACTCCTTAAATTTGTTGGTCATCTTTGATTTTCCATGCAAAAATGGCCAATACCAATGATAACACAAAGTATTGTAAACTCTCTCAGTATTCAATTCTGGTGGTATTTGATCTTGTTCTACACTAATAAAGTGATTCATAATTTCAAACGTGTCCGCACTCGTTCCCTCTACATAACCGTCCTCTGCATAGAAAATAAAATTGTCAAATGCAAAAACTCTCTCATCAAAGTGAGTTATTCCTTGGATTTGATTGTAAATACCGGTAAATGAAAATTTCAAGGGATAACCAAATCCCATATAGACAGTGGCCTCAATTTCAAAACCTCCTATCTTTGCATTTAATTCAGGTTTTAACTGCTTGATTGAGTGGACAATGATTTGCTTGCATTCACCTCCTTTCCAGAATTGTGAGACATCTTTAATCTCATAAATAGTGCCACCATCATTAATAATCAAGTCACAATTATAATAGTGTGAAAATAGTTTTTCGTGAATTTCAAAGGCCATAGATATTCTGGAAATGGTTTCTTCAATTTCCTTAACATATGGCAAGGTGTCATTTGCACAAAACTTGGAAATTACACTTGTCAAATTTCTCTTTGGAATTAAACTATTACTGATGAACTCTTTAAAAATTGCCTGCATTGATTCATAATTTTTCAACTTGTGTGAAACCTTTCCTCCAATACCAACCATTTGATCCAAAAGACCAACTTGTTCATTAGAAAGCTTGAAAACATTGGCCATGTAAAGTCTTGCAAAATATTCGGAAGAGAATACTGCAGAAAATGTTCTACTAATCAGAGGTGGTTCATTTCTCAACCAATCACTCACATTGGAAAAGGAGAGGATTTTCTCTACTATCAATTCTTGATTAAAAACTGGATGGGAACTTGGGTGCATTTTTTTTTATCTAGTTTTGGGTCGACAATTAGTTTTTGTTACAATGTATGTCCAATTTTCAAAGAAAAAAAATTGGTTGCTTTTAATATAAACATAATTAAAATTACTTCTGCTTAACCACTGCTAGCCTGGCCCATAGTTAAATACGAAGTAAATGTTAAAAGATATTTCCCGTGATCCCCCTTAGCTCAGTCGGTAGAGCGTCAGACTGTTAATCTGCAGGTCGGTGGTTCGAGCCCACCAGGGGGAGACAATGTTATTTTATTTTTTTCTTTTCATTACTAATTAAATTCGCAAAGCTCAATAATGCATTAACTTCTTTTTTTTTGTCACTTCTGAGGTTTGATTCGAATTTCAATAGCATGTCTTTCTGTTGATAATTCCACTTCCATATTCAGCATACTCTTCACTTCTAATCCAGGTGGATTCAAAAGTTGAAAGGGATCCTAAGATATTAGCACCAATCCAAGCTGAATATTTTCTTTCTGGAGGTGCAACAACTTTAACCTTATTATCAAAAGCTAATTGATTCAATTCCTTCAAAATTCTCTCTGAAAATCCATCAAACATTGTACTTCCTCCACTCAATATTATATTCTCAAAAAACTTGTTTTTCATTTTGGCATCAGTATTCGAATTAATCGAGTCAATTACCATTTTGTGAACGCCATCCAAATCCATTCCAATCATTGATGGTTGAAACATTATTTCTGGGCACTTGATGCATTCACTTCTAATGCACAGATTATTTCCATCAGGTAGCTCATAATTTTTCCCAGAACATTCCTCATTCAATTCTCTTTCAAAATCCAATGCAACACGACATGTTTTTTCCTTAATATCTGTGACTAAACTTCGATCTCTGAAAGTATTACCACTATCTTTTAACAGTTTATCCATGTGGTCTGTTAGCTCATTGCCCGCTAAATCCATTCTTCTTACTCCATTTCGAATAATACATCCCTCATAAATAGGTACTGAACTAGATGTTCCCTCTCCACAATCCAAAACAACTCCACTCGATCTTCCAGACGAAATCAATACCAGCAATGCATTCGGACAACTATTCATAAGTGGAACTTTAAATTTTTCAAATAACATCTCAGCCAACTTTCTCCTATTTTGTTTCGGATTAAAACAACCTTCTCCCAAAATTATTCCCTGATTCTCAGGCTCAACCCTAAGCTCATTAAAAAACACATGTTCAAATAAAATTTCCATATCATCCCAATTTGTAATCACATCACGATCCATTGGTTTGGAAAGTTTGAGAATGGCCTTCTTAATGACGGCTTCATCACCCACAAAAACATTCTTCATGCCAGGAATGATCATTCCCTTTATTTTTGGTCTGCCAATATAGGGAGGAAAGACAGCCCGTGGAGCATCCCTGCAAACAAATCCTGCACGAATGTTGCCGAAACCAATGTCCATACAAATGGCTCTGTCCAATTCTGTCATTTTTTTTGTAAAGTTTAAAGTTCATCTATGTAAATATCAACACCTGAGAAATCTTTACAATTTTTAATACAATTAAATATAATAATTTTCATAACAATTTAAAAGATACTTTCCTTTTATGAAAACACGTGTTTGTTTAAATTATTTCAATTATTATTTAAAAAAAAATGTTTTGGTTAATTGGCTTGGGAATTGCACTGATTTTATGTCTCGCTCGACTTTTTATGATCCTTCCGAAGAGGATTAAAGAAGGAAGTTTTAAATTGGATAAATCAAACAAGAAATTATCATCACCATCATCAATAATTAAAACTCTTGTTGTTTTGGGTTCAGGAGGTCATACGGGAGAAATGATGGATGTTATTCAAACTCTTGATCCGAAACGATACAAGTTGGAATTTGTATTGGCTGATACTGATTCTACGAGTGAGAAGTTTGTTAGGAATTTATTGAAGGATAAGACTGATTTTGAACCTCTTTCTTTCCATTACATTCCGAGAAGTAGAGAGGTACATCAGTCTTATTTTACTTCTATATTTACAACTTTGAAAGCCTTGTTTTATACTACTGTGATTACGAATGTAAATATTAATCCTGATTTGGTAGGTTTCATTGTTGGATGTGTTTTGAAATTTATTAAGGAATTATTAATGTTTAGATTATTGTAAATGGACCAGGAACGTGTATTCCAGTTTGTTTATCTGCTTATCTTACAAGAGTGAGTTTTTCTTTAATTTCCAATATTTTGACTATTGATATTAATTAATTGAAATTATGTGGAATACATGTTTCAATTCAGTTTTTGGGTATTAAACATGTAAAAATCATCTTTATTGAAAGTGTTTGTAGAGTAGAATCATTGTCAGCCTCAGGTAAGATAATGTATCTCCTTGCAGATAGATTTCTTGTCCACTGGCCACAACTCCAACACAAATATAAGAATGTAGAATACCACGGACGAATGTGTTATTAAGGAGTAATTTAACACCCAATTACACACTTAATATAATTTTAACAGTTTAATTTTACCAATTTCACTTTTAATTTCGAATCAATAGTATAATAACAATCAATGGAAATATTCCAAATGGTCCCAAATAGCAAGATGGCAAACTTCGTTAAAGTAATCGTTTATGAAACAGTAAAATTGAGCGCCTTAATTCTTCATCATCAAAAAAAAAGCCATGAGTCATCGGTTTGATGAGTTGGCAAGTATTGACACTCTATCGATTCCCTCTATTGATGATGAGGACGATATGATGTTATATAAAAAGTATTTAGGAGAGGATGAGGAGCTGATTCAGCTGCACAACCTTGATACCAAAGTGGGGAGTAATAGAAAACCTTATCAACAACAAAAGAAGAATATAAGGAGAAGGGAATTTGGAGAAATTGTAGAGGAGGTAATAATCAATGATGATGAAATCTCTTCTTCCGGATCAGAAAAGTACATATCACCACGAGAGAACAAATATTTGGATGAAGTTAATGAATTACTTGGAAAGGCTAAAGCTGAAAGAGAAAATTCACCAACAAAACAAACAACCCCGGACACTGCTCGTTTCCTCACGAAAATTAAAAAGTCTTTAGAGGATAACTTGGATGATGTTATTGAGGAGAGTACACGACTTTTAAAAGAAGCCTTACCAATGTTTTCCTATGAAACCAAGCAAGGGACGAGAGAAAACTTTTCCGACATGATTAAGAGGCAGCAAAAAGCCACTGCAAAGAAGGAAGAGCCATCTTCTTCATCTCTGTTTACTTCTGATTTTGATGATGATATTCCAATGATGACAATTTCAAAACCAATTAATGAATTTCCTAATTACTCTTCCGAGTATAGAAATTATGAAGTTTTTGAATCAAAAAAGAATAAGAAACTTTTGGATAAGGATCATGATGATATCTCAACAAAATTCTTCCCTCACCTTCATGAAACAATTCAAAGATCGACTCCACTCAAGAATAGGAGATTAAAAGCAAATGTTGTGAAAACTCCAAAAGTAAATCCAGATCAGAATAATGAGTACTATGCAAAATCAACTGAAATTTTACCAAGCAATATGGAAAATAGACATGTATATGAAATAGATGAAGATCCATCCCCTAACAAAGAGGAAGAACTCAAGAAGGATAAACCTCAAAGGCAACATCTCGATTCAAGACAGTCACGATTTACAGGACCCAAGAAGCAACGAGAATCAGTACAGAAAACAGAAAATAAGATACCAAAAAACGAACAAAAAGAGGAACCAAAAGTTGTTGAGACAGTTCCAGAGGTGATTGAGGACAAACCTCTCATTTTTGAATACATTAAACCGAAAGTGAGAGAAATTGAGTTTGCATCTCCTTCCTCTCCAGTTGAACCATTTGAACAGGTTGAATCAATGGAAGAACTAAGTGTAGAAGAGACTTCTCCTCGTGTGGTAAATATGATGAATCAGAATCTTAATGTTTTTCATGATCCAGTTAATATTCAAGAAGAACAACCAAATCAAGTTTTCAATGAAGAATCACAAGAAACAACAGATCAATATGAAAAGAGAGAAGAACCACTCACTGTACAATCATTTGAAGAGTTCAACTTTGACTCCAATGAAATATCACCTGCCATTAATGAAGAATCAAAGCTTGAAACAGAAGAAACTATCCTCAATAAGGATGATGAAAAACAAGAGGAATCGTTCTATGAAAATGAATCTCCAATGATATCCAGAGATTTGGATAACATTGGTTTCCAAGATATCATAAGAGATTTGAACTTTACAACTGAAACCATTTTAAGAGCTTGTTCTTCGTCAGTGGTTGATATTGAGCCAATCAATATTCCAAACTTTATTCCTCAAGAGGAAGATCAAATAGCCAAAGAAAACACACTGAACCATGATGAGCCTCACACTCCAGCAAGAGAACAAGTACCTATAGAGGCATTAATTCCATTCTCACCAATGATTTATGACCAATACAGTCCTATCCATAACATTCCATCACCTCAAAGTCCAATTGAAACTCCCCAACCAACCCCTCCAAAGAAGAAGATTTCCTCCAATAATTTAAATAAGAAAAAGACCATAGCTACACCAAGAGAACACAATGCACCACTCGAAGAATCATTCATTCCCTACTCTGGAGTAAGACACTTACAAAAAACCACCTACAACCATTCCACAATTGATTGGTATTTAAATTTGTGCAGTAACAAGTACAGTAGAACTCCCTCCACAAGTCAAAACAATACAGATAAGGGCGTGGTCAAGTGGGTGTAAAGATGAATTATTATCATTCAAATTGTACCATAAGAATCAACAAGAACGGATTCCACCATAGAGTCAACCCATTAATATTTTACACAACCAACAAACATTTTAAACAATTTAATTAAATAAAAAATTTTGAATGATAACAAAAGGCGCCAACACATCTCGTAGAATTATTGAAGACCTTCCCCTCTCCTACTTTATCCTTCGTGCACAAAGTTTAAAATTATATCGTCAAACATTGAGACAAACACAACAAATACAAAGAGCCGATACAAGAAGAGAGGTTCGTCAGCAAGTCAGACAATTCATCGACCCGTACAAACATAACAAGGACGTTGAGTTGGGTAAACGAGCACTTTCGGAAGCACGTTCTCAAATTAAATACTTGGAACAACTTATTTCTATGAGTCAATAATAGTAGGAATACATAATAATCATCATCATTCGAGAAGAAAATAATTCATTTGGAATTTATATTGAATATTTAATAATTTGGAAATATAATTTTTGGAATTTAGATATGACTATTACTAATCGATCATCACAATTGCTCATCACAAAATCATACAATGAATTTTTGTATTATTTAAAGAGTATTCATCAACAGCAGCGTCAAGCAACAAAATTTACTCCGTATCCCTTGTTGGGAATGGATTTGGGAACAAGAAATATTGGTTTATCCTTGACTGTTCGACAACAATTGAAAGATTCGGATGATTTAAAGCTGTTGGTTCGGTCTCTTTCTAATTTTTCACAACACAACCAGAATACTCTAAAAAGGACGATTGTTAAAGCAAAGCCATTGACCACCTTATCAATGAATACAGATTTGGAACCAGAATTAATGTATAGAGATCTTAGTTTAAATATTGAGCAATTATGTGAAAAGTTTAAAGTGAAAGGAATTGTGGCAGGTTATCAAACGAATTATAGTTCATCTGATGAGTTACTCACAGTTTTAAATAATATGATAATTTCTGGCGATTTTCTCTACTCAATGCCAATACTGTTACAAGATGAAAGCAGATCCTCGTTTGAATCTTACATTCACTTGGTAGATCAGAAAACAAATGCCAATCACAATATGGGAGTCATGGATGCCTTCAAACGATACAAGCAAGATATTGATACTATGAAAAAGCAAGACAAGATGAAACTAAACTCTATCAGTGCTGCTGTCATTTTGGATAGAGCAATTAAGGAAATTCAAAAAATAAACAAGTAGAATTGATTATTCTTTCATTAAAAATCAAAGTAATCAAATAACTTTATTCATAGATAAAGAGACCCTTATCTAAACCACATGAAGCAATTTGAGAACCATCAATATTCCAAGTAACACCTGTAATAGAACTGGAATGGCCATTCACAACTAGAACAGCTGATCCCATAGCCTTTGTTGTTTGAGGAGTCAAAGACCAAATGAATAATTTACCATTGGTGCCTCCAGCGGCACAATATTCACCACAAGGAGAGAAGCATGCCTTATTGTAAGCAATGGTATTCTTATAGTCAGTATGTTTCAAGGTATCGAGAACCTTTTGAGTCATTCTCAAATCATAAATGTTGAGCAAGTTGTCCTTACCATTACTCAACAATTTAGTGCCGTCCTTTGAGAAACTGACACTGGTAACTTGTTGGCCATCGTGAGCTCTCTCAATTTCAGAAATGAGTTTAAATGACTTCATATCCCACAATCTAACAGCTGAATCAAAGTGAGCACTAGCAATAGTGTCACCTCTGGAAACTTCTACATCATTGACACTGGACTTGCAAGTCAACAAGGTCTTTTCACAGGTACCATATTGGAGTTCCCAGAATTTGATAGTTCTGTCGTGAGCTCCAGTAACAACCTTCTTAGAGTCTGGTGAAAAGTCAGCTCCGTAAATCTTTTTAGTGTGACCAGTGAGTGTGTGTCTTACACGATCATTTCCCAAATTCCAAATTCTACAAATTGAATCAGCACAAGCACCAAGAGCCAATTGACCAACACTGCTAAATTTCACCTTGATTACACTGTCAGTAGATCCGTGAAGGGTAGTTGTGAAATTTCCTGATTTGGAATTGAAAATTCTAATAGTCTTATCACTACAAGCAATAGCGACACTGTGAGTATCCTCTGAAAAGTCAATACTATTAATTTGAGTATCAATAATTTGTTTACAGACAACTGTCTTTGGAGGAGTGATCAATATCTTTTCAGCATTATTAGTGGTTGTTGAAGGAGTATTGATGTTCATCGAAGTTGGTAAACCTGCTTGACCTCCTTGTTGTTGAGAAGATCCAACATTTCTAATCTTATCAAAGAATGAGAAGAATCCAGAGTCTCTTCTATCCTTTGGTGGAAGGTTATCTTCTGGACCTGGTGGTGTGGAAACTGAACCAGCAGAACCAGTAGTTCCATCCACTGAAGTATCCAAATTTCCAGTCTTGTATTTTGCTTGCAATGTTTGAAGTTGTTGTTTTTGTTGCATGACAGTCTTGTACAATTCATTGACTTGATTCATAGAGTCAACTTGTTTTTGCTTTTGTTCCACAACGTGATTGACCATCTTTTTGTTTTCTTCAGTTAATTCCTCAAGTTTTTTATCCTTTTCTCTCAATTCATTGAGAATGGTATCTCTTTCATTTCTCAATACTTCAATGCCACTTTCCTTCTTTTGAAGTCTTTCTTCCAACAATCTACTATTTTCTCTAGCAGTTTCCAATTCAATCATTAATTTTTCATATCTAAAATTTCACAAATTTGAAACGAATTATGTTGGTAAGAATTTGATAGCTCTTAGAAATGATACATACTGAATCTTTTGATCTTGTTCTTGATTCTTCAATCTCTTGACTTCATTATTCAAATCAAGAATAGTTTGAGATGATTCAACCTTTGCTCTAAAAGCTGATGTCAACTCTTCTTGAAGGCAATACACCTTTTCTTCCAATTCCTTGACTCTTGCAGAGGATACACCACTTGATCCTGGTGATGATGGCACAGACATTGATGTTGGTGCTCCAGACTTTAACTTGGATAATTCTTCCTTGTAAATATCATTTTCGGCTTGAATGGAAGTTAATTTCTCCTTTGTTGTTTGATGTAATTTTCTGGTTTTTCTCAATTCTGTACAAATACTTTCATCTGTGTTGGAAATGATTATTGTTATGATTTAGAAAATAATTGTTTTTGTTGATCGTGATCAGAGGAATGAAGAGATGATGAAAGATCAAAATTATTTAAAAATAGTAAAAAATTGATCGGAATACTATGAATTACTAGTTTAGTGACAAAAACTCACATTGTTGAATCAAATTACTAAATTGTTTACTCTCCTCTTGGTTCCTCTTCTCCAGAACGGCAGAGAAGTTTGTCTTCCAACATGGTGAGGTTGTGAGTGCGCTCATTTTTATTTTAATTGTTATTAGAACGTGATAGGAAGACCTTCGTAATCAATCTTGATTGGAGGTTACCAGAATGTGATCGAACAAGGAAAAGCATAAGCTCAAGGTTTACTATTTGTAATATCAATATTAAAAATAAGAATGAACAGTGGTACTTTTTGAATATATTTTATGGTTTATGAAAATTTATTGCATGGTAACAGCGAAACGTCTAACTGGGAAGTTGGCTTCCTTCTTTTGGGTCTTCAACAACTTCTTCTTCAATTGATAAGTCTTGAGGGATCTTCTGAAGGCACGGGTTTGCTTAACTCTCAAATCCTTTGGCTTGAACTTGGACTTTTCATAGACCTTCTTCAATTCATCTCTTTGCTTACTGACGATAACAGTCTTAATTCTAGCAATATTCTTTCTGACGACCTTGATGTTCAAGAGGTTGGCAGTGGAAGCACCAGTGACCTTTTGGACTCTCAATTGGAAGAGTTCTTGCTTCATAGCATCCAATTGCTTCTTGAGGTCTTCGTTGGACTTATCTCTCAATTCGAAAGCTTTGACTTTTTGGACCATTGTCTATTGATGTTGTTATTATTATGATGAGTTGTGGTGAATAAAAGAATTATATTTGTTCAGCAAAATTAACGACAAGGTGATACCTACGATTTTCTGATTTTTTTTTTCAACAAAGTTTTAAAAATTTCTGGATGACTTTGAGGTGGTGTAGTTTACAATGAAAAAATACTCGTTAAAAATTAAAGCAAGCAAAAAAACAACATTGGCTTCAAAGACAAGAATGGCTTGATAATTATTGCTGCACCAATATTGAGAACCATAGCAGTATTGCTTCTTTCTCTTTAATGATTTGGAAACATTATTTTTATGAACTGTGTGATTGTGATTAATACCTTGGATTTTTTAAATTATTGTTATATCCATTCCGATTTAGCAAATCGTCAATAGCTAAATAGTAGTAATATCATCATTGATAACATCCTTCTTCTCCTCCTCTGCTCACAACAAGTATCACAGATGAACAAGAACAACAAATATTAATAAAACCATCAATAACAAATTTCTTTAACAATTCCTTTCTACTCTCTTCTCAACGATCATTCTCCAATTCAACAGTTTCCTCCTTCTCTCCAATCGAAGAGAAATAATAAAAATCATTCACTTCTTGTCCACGTTGTTGCTGAAAAAGCACTTGCTTCCAACTAAATCCTCCAATTGCGCCCGAATCGGAAGAGAGAATTAACCAATGTCCTGCTTCTCTTAGCAGTTACAAACGCATAAGAACAATCATTCAAAAAAATGCCCTCAAATATTCTTGGTGTACCAACGAGTGGTATGCTTCCATCATCATCTTCTGCAAATAATAAACAGAAAAAGATAAAGGATTATCAAGGAAGAATTTATATATTTACACAAAAAGAATTGGGTAATGATACTGATTATTTAAAAATTAAGGAAATTGTTGAACAAAGTGGAGGTGATGTATCTGAGATTAAAGTTGAAGGAAAACCATACTTGATCGCTTTGATGAAGAAAATTGTTGGAGATTTGAAACCACCACACGTTTTTTTCAATGATGAATATATTGGAGTATGTTTTTAATTTATTTTGGAGTGAATAATTGAACAAATTAATTTCCGATCGTGTTCGTTAATATCGGCATTCCATCCCATTATTTCTTTTATTAAGGGCTTGGAAGAGATCAAAAATTTAAAGGAAAGTGGGTTATTAACAGTCAAGATTCAAACATGTAAGAATGCTCTCACTCCAGGAGAATTGTACAAAGTCTACAGAAAACAAGGTGATTTATTTGTCATTTCACCAAATCACTTGTATTTCCCTCGTAAGTAGTTTAACAATTTAACATGCATGATAATAACATGATGAATATAGCTCCTTCAAAGAGATTGATTACTTGTTGCATTACACTCTACAATAGAACAGACAAATATACGGCCTATAAATTAAAAACAACATGCCCTAACAGATATATTGTAAAACCAAAGAAGGGTATTGCTCCACCCAATGGAACAGCTCAAGTTGAAATTACCATGCAAAAACCAGTTACAACTGATGAGAAGGGAGATAAATTTAGAGTGGAATCACTGGCACTTCAATACTACAAACCAGAAATGGAGGATCAAGTTGATGAATTGTTCAAAGAAGCTGAAGAACGAAGAGTTGTCAAACAAAAGATTTCTTGTCGTTTTGAGGCTCCTCCAACAGGATTCACAGTAAGCAATAATGAAGATGGATCAATTACTGTAAAGAAATCTCAATCATCTGTTGATATTTTTGATGGTTTTCCAATTGATCAATTTTCTCAAGCTGTCAAGAAACAAATTGAGATTAATAATTCCAAACACAAGCCTCAATTTAATATTCCTGTATCAACAGAAGCCAAGCTAGAGACAGTTGTTTCTGCTACCTCACCACTCTCTGAACTCATTTTTGAATCTCCAAGAAACTTTGAACTTCCAAAACAATATTACGAAACCCCTACTGAAACCGAAAAGAGCCCTGTAACAACACAATCACCAACTATTGTCAAATCTACTTCCAATGATTTGGCCTCTCCTATCGCTGATGAAGAATCAAACAAATTGGAAAAGTTAAAGAGTAGTTCTGAAAAAATTGTACAACAAAAGACACAACAAAAAGCTGAAACATCAAAAGGACTGGAGGAATTGTACAAGGAAGAATATAATCGATTGGAAAAGGAATATGATCAAATTATTAACAAGTTAAAAACCTCAGAGCAAAGAGTGAAGGAATGCGAGCTCACCATTGATAGTCTCAATGAAAGATTGAGAGAAAGTGAACAAAATTTAGAAAAGGAAAGAGCTAAGAAGAGAGTTGATGTCTCTGTATTGGAATCATCCCTTGGAAATCGTTCAACCTTAGAATTTGATGAAAAGAATGGCTACTCACTCATAGGAATAATTGCAGTAGCTCTAATTTGCCTCTTGATTGGTAAATTAATGCCTTAATTTTTGTAATTTTACCAATTACAATGTCTAATGTGTACATTAAACGAGTAAATTTTGTTGTAAATCATTGAATTCAAAAATAATATTTGTGTTTACTGTCAAGTTGTAAGATTTGAAAATTGAATCACTTCAAATTGTGCTCACTCTTGCTCTCATATTGTTGTTACTTAAATATTTACAAATTATCATAATGATGATTTAGAATCCACAACATCCATGTTCAGAACTCTTCTTTTCTTCATCCAAGGTAGTGACACCAGGAGTGTTGCTCTTCTTTCCTAATGTTTGGTGTTTGATACATGTTTCAATCAATTTTCGGAATGCAACATGAATATTATAGTCATTCTTAGCTGATGTTTCAAAGAATGGAATTCCCAATTGATTTGCTAAACTTTCACCTTCAGCTGTTGAAACAACTCTGTCCTTTTCCATATCTGCCTTATTACCACACAAAACAATGCAAATACCTTCTTGTGTGTTTTGCTTTACTTCCTCATACCAACTCTTAACATGTTCAAATGATTCACGATTTGTCACATCAAACACTATTAAAATTCCTTGTGCACCCTTGTAATAACCTGTGATAAGTTGAGGTTCAATTAGGTCATGTACAATATGAAACTTACCTGCAGTAATACTACGGAATCTCTCTTGACCAGCTATTTAGATTGATGATAATAAAACGTTATTCAATTATCTAATGACTTTTTCATTAATCTTACTGTTCAAATTATTTAATATTCCGAATATAATTTTGAATATTACATACCCTGTATCCCAAATTTGAATTTTAGCTTTGTAATTTCCAACACTCTCCTTTTTTAATTTAAAATCAACTCCAATACTATTACGATAATTGTGATCGCTATTTAAATTTCTTCGGTTTGAAATCAAACTTACGTTGCCATATGATTCTAATTTTAATCATCAAGTATTATTTTCCAATTCATTAACGATGAAAAACACCTACCTCTAGAAATCTATCATCAGAATATCTTAAAAGCATACAACTTTTTCCTACCGATGAGTCTCCAACCACCAATAATTTACAAATGAGATTATAGTCAACATCATTCAACATTTTAATTCTTTTTAAATTGAAAAATATACAATGAAAACTTCGGAATGTTTTTCCAACAACTATTATTAGCTGATGATATAAAATTACAGAATACCAAGATGAGAAGTAGTATAAATATTGAAAAAGACTTTGCAATGATGATGAAACTCTCTTCAGCACGTTTGATACTCCTTTATCCAGATATTTTTTGTGGTTATTATTTTGTGCTTTTTGCTGTTGTTGGATTAAGAGAAGGAGTCGGCTTGACAGTTCTAATTGGAAATGATAAATTAGATTCGAATTGGAGAGGACGTGTGAGAAAAGTTAGACATAAACTACATAAAACAGTAAAGAAAAAAAAAAAAAAATCGATTAATTGATTAAGGAGATATTAAGTCAAAGTTCATAATGAATGAAAGCAGCGATAGATCAGTTGGTTAGATCGTAAGCCTAACACGCTTAAGGTCGCGGGTTCAAGCCCCGCTCGCTGTATCCTTTTGCTCAAATTCTTGTTTGGTTAAATTGCAATAATATTTTGACAGTACCAGTGTGTAAACAACAGGTACGTAGATTTTGAATTTGAATGAGGTACCGTTTTCACTTAGAATATTTATTTCTTTTCAGATTCATCTATTACAGAATTTTCATAATAATTCTTGAGTTCTTGCTGTTCTTGTTCAACAAGCTTGTTAGAACTCGAAGGAGTATGATAGGAAACTTCTAGATCACATCCAAGTGGATTTTCATGATGTTTCTCCTTCAATAAATAGGTTTGAGAAAGTCCTTTTCCTTTCACTTCAACCATTCTCTCTTCAAACTCAAATAAATCATAAACTCTTCCATAGGTAGATCTGGAAATTTGAATTCTTCCTGGAAGTGAAGTTGATTCCATTCGAGAGGCAGTATTGATTGTATCTCCCCACAAATCGTAGGCAAACTTTTTAAATCCAATCACTCCACCAACTGCATCTCCTGTGTGAAGACCAATTCTCAAATTAATGGCTGTGTTATTACTCTGATTGATATTTTTCAAGAAGGACATGATTTCAATGGCAAATCTCAACATTCTTTCTGGATGATCCGATGACTTGCTTGAATGTAAACCACTCACACAGAAATAAGCATCTCCAATGGTCTTAATCTTGTCAACCAAGTGAACTTCTGTCAACTTGTCAAATCCTTGAACAATTAAATTCAATATTTGTACCAACTCACTTGGTTGTAATTTTGAACTCCAAGCTGTAAAGCCAACCATGTCACTGAAAAATACAGTGATATCATTCACTTTTTCATATAAATTCTCTTCTCCATTTTTCAATCTTGAAGCCATTGACATTGGCAATATATTCAATAATAAATCTTCACTCTTCTTCTTTTCCTCTGCAATCAAAATACTCTGTTTCTTTTCAGGTGTAATATCTCGAACAAAAACAATCAAAATTTGCTTCTTTTCATGAATTGAAATTGAAACTGAAACTTTTGAGGAGAATGAAGTCTTGTTCTTTCTCAGAGCCATTGCTTCAAATGCATCATGACTTTCACCTGTTGAAATTAATTTGGTTATTCTTTGAGAATACTCATCTGTGAATAGAGATTGAATGGAGAGTCCCAAAACTTGTGACCTCGAATGTCCAAACATTTCCTCAGCTGAATTGTTGAAAATGGTGATATTTCCATCCTTATCACAAATAATGGCAGAATCAACACCTCCATTCAAAATAGTCTTGACCATTTCAATCTTGTCTTCCTTTTCATCGGAACTCATCTCAAATTTGGACATTAACTTTGTTATCTTTGAGGATGAAGGAATAGAATTACTCATGACATAATCTTTCAAAATCAAATTATTGTCAATCAATTCCAAATTTACATAATTCAACATCATTCTCAAACATGCTCTTTCCTTCCAATATCTTTTCAATGAAGAGTAACAAATCAATGCGTATAAAAGTGTGGCAACAAAGCACAACACAATCATGCTAGCTGTTAGGCCAATACTTGAAATCTTCTCGTGTTCTACAAGGGTGGATATAAGAAGTTGTAAATTGGTAGTTATTGTTTGTGTTATGTAAAAAATGTCTGTAAAATAAGCAGTCACCATTTGTGTCATACTCTTTTGTTGCCCAAAGAATACTTCGTTGTAATCTAAAGACTTGGTAATATAATCCGTCAGTGCAATGGTCAAACTATGACAAGGATCTTCCATAGGAATGGTATCGTTACAAAAGTCTCCTAATATATAGTCTACATCTTGATATTTTCCAACAACGGCTGATTGATAGGATGTTGATTCATCACCCACAATCACATAATTCCAGTAAGTTCTCAAGTCAAGTAAATCTTGCTTATTTTCCTCATTGAATATCAAAGGCAAAGTAGTGAGGTACTTTACTCTTTGAAAGTACCAAAGTAACCTAAAGTTGGTTCTACTTGTTCTTAGGGAAACTGCATTGATTGAACCAACAACATTCATAGATTGGGAACTATTTTTGGTATTTGATTGTAGCTCTACAACAACCAAGACGGAACATAGGCAAACAATTATGACGAGTACAAAACTTCCCATCATTACTAAATTTCTCATTTTAAAAAAGGAATTAGACGAGCTTATTGAGTCATCAATTTTCTTGTCAAAATTGTGATAAACCTTTCCGACTTCGTCTTTTGCAATCCTTCTGAATACCTCCCTTAGCTCAGTGACTATTCGTCTGGCATGCACAAAGATAATGGAAAAGTAAATCATTACAATTAGTAGATACGTGGTTAGAACAGAAATCACAGTAATCCATAATTGCTCAAAATTAGCTTCCAAAACATCAATACTTTCTTCAACAAATTTTGAACACAGACCATTAAAAGCTAGAGACATGGATATTCTATTGTAAAATAGAAATAGGTATGGATAATTATCATCTAAATGGGATGTTAACACCTCAATATTATTAAATTGCTTCAACAACGTTTTACCGTGTGTTAATATTGAAGACAAGTAGAATTGAATAGATGTATTGGTAGACTTATATCCTGGAATATCGCTTGTTCCGTCCAGTGATTCATTAGCAATAGGAAGTTTAAGATCATACTGATTTTTCAAATATTCCTTAGCAACTTCAGGCATTAACAAATTATTATCGCCTGCATAGATGACAGTACCAACTGTATCTAACAATGTCTTTGTGTATATAATTGTAGAGTTGAGTAATTTTTCAGTATTGTTTCCTCTTGAATAGAACTCGGTTTGAAGAGCTCCTATTTGTGCCAATAACTTGTAAGGCACAGATGTCATTAAGCATACTTTCTCTTGCATGGACATTCTTTGGTTAATACTCTGAGAAAATGAAAAGGCTATTGGAGCAACAATACATATAGTAGACAATGAGACAACACAAAAAATGAAAAACAATACAGAATACACAACCGTTGACATTGGTGTGTTAATGGCTGTGCGCAAGATATGATCTTTTCTATCTTCATTATCCTCGGCAGTTACACTTACAGAATCCCAATTTTCCAAGTTGGCTCTTTGTGAGTCTATACTGAATCTAGAGGTAGTTCCTTTGTGAAATGATTCGTGGGCTTTGGATATTTGGAGAGTTGATCTATTCTTCTTATCATCATCATTGTCCTGTGCTTCTTCAAATAAATCTCTTGCCAAATTGATTTCCCATTTGTATTTTTCCAAATATGAGGCATAGGATCTGAGAAGTGTCTTGTTGGATCGGTTGGCAATCAATAAATTGTCATAGATGGTGTCACATTCATTGTAAATGGAACAGCTTGTTCTATTGATGTGCTCCAATTTATCAATGGATGGTTTGTCATTCAGTAATTCTTTGAAGAATGATTTGTGACATCTAGATAAGGATTTGACTTTCTTTTCAACCACTGCAAGTTTTCTCAAAACTTCAAGATTATTTCCATGGAATGCATGATATTCAATCTCTTCATTTCTCAACATGATGTTGAACAATTGAGCTAGTGATGGTGAATTTCTTTGAGCTTTTTGTAAAAGAGCCAAACCAATACTGTATGATTGAGAATCATCATATTCCTCAATTCCACCAAATGAAACAAATAATGCACTCACAATCATCAAATCAACATTTTCAATTGATTTCACAAATGTATTCACACTGTGCTTGGCCAAATCAAAATCACTTCCTTCTTCTGTTTTGAGCTCTGATTTGCAATTCATTGAAAATCGAATGAAGAGTGCCAAATTGTCTTGTCTCTTTTTGGAATCATCCAATGTTAATAAAATATTTGAACTATCTGCCTTGTTGGAAATTAAATTTCTGATTGATTTCAATTTACGTGAAATGAAAAAGTGAGCACCAATAAAACCAAGAATGAATGAAAGAATGGCAAGTACACAAGTAACAACAGTCATAATTCCACCAATCACTTGTTGGTCCAATGAAGTTGAAATGAACTGCAAAATTAATGGTGAAATTGGAGTGAATGCTTTCAATGAAATGAAGGCAATATATAAACAATTCTCCCATTTCCTGAAGAATGGCAATGTTTTCAACATGATTACCAATAATAGTAAATTCATGACAATTTTCAAAATTGAAGCAATGAATGAATATTGAGATGTGCAAAGAATGGTGGCAACTAAACTCAATTGATTTACCAAATTGAAGAGTATGAATGTTGAAGTTGAATACATGGAGAATAAAATCTTTCTATTCAATTCAGCACTTGTTTCAACTGTCAAATAACTTGCAAGCATTGTCAGGACAATATTCAACAGAATACCTATGCATGCAATGGCCGTAAATATGATTTGTAGCACTGAAGAGAAGTCTTCATTTGGAAAGTAATAGAGTGATCCAATTGAAGAAGTACTTGGAGTAATTAAAATACAATGAACTGAGAGCATGAATAAGGAAAAGGTTCTCTGAAATATCAATGAATTCAAAACAAATGATTTGAACTTTTCAAAGAATTTTCCTCCCTTTCTTGATGCCCATTTACAATAATAAATGGCCAATCCTGTCATGATTTGTAAAACAACAAACAACACAGATAAGGCAACAATAAGATAATAAGGATAGAATTCAGAGGCCAAATTGAGTGGAAAATACAAAGCTCTCCAAATCCAACCTGGAATCACTCCCCACATCTTGTTAGAAATGCCACTTGTCAATGTTGTTGAGTTATCATCCACCAAAGGTGTTGTAATGGAAGAAACAATGATTGAATTATAAATCAAATAGGCATGATAGAATATCATCCAAAAGAACATGTAAGTATTCTCTTTCCCAATCAATGACTCTTTGGATCTTAGTGTGGTTACAAATGAGAACAAACTAATTCCTGCAGTATTCACTATGCTTTTCCCTGACAAGGAGGAAGCATACGAACCAGATGTGGCAGAAGTCCCTCCACCAAACTGAGAATTACTATCACCACCATCATTAGTGGTTCTATTGGGGTGAATAGAGAATTGAGGTTGTGCTACTGTCGAACTTGTAACTGGATGTACTCTTGACGCCATTTGTTTTTAAACTGATAAATTGACTAGATTGAGTTTTGCACCCTTACTTCATAAGTTATTTAATGTCGTACTGTCTTTTCTTATTATCTTGTGATTGTCCAATGGTATATTTATCAAATAAGGACACTAAGATTCTGATTTAAAGCGAATGTTTCGAGCTTTTTTGGTATGATGGTTCCGAAGGGAGATATGCATCATGATAATTTGTTGTGAAGTGTTGTTACATGGCCACAATATTGAATTGTAAAAAGCTAGATCGTATGAAGTGAATCTAGCTTGTCAACACTTGTTCATTTTGTTTGGAAGGTATGGCTTTTAATTTATAATAATTGATGATTCATGATGTATTGTCTTCCGATCAATGGTTTACTGATTTCCAATTTCTGATCAGACTTGTTTTTGCCTTTTTACTATTTAATACCACACTACTTTTTGATATCTTTGTTCGCAATATTTCTTACTTCATCAACTTAAGAAGAAAACCCATGATTTAACCACAAACAAAGAACTCATAATTTTGTTTTTTTTGAATCATGCTTTTAAAAGTAACGGATGGTTGGCGGGAAATAACAAGCAAAAATAATTGTTGTCCACACAAATTGCAATCTTTCATATTAAAAAAATGGTAAACAAGAAACTGGCGTTTAGTTTGATAATTTTACTCCTGTCACTGATCACGGTTTCATGTACAACTGCAATTTTCAATCTTCCATACACTACCATATCAACATCAAATTCCTTTTCGTTTCCTAAAGCAACCGATTCTTGTTCTTTAATTGTTTCATTTAATAGAACTTTATCCGAAGCTTTACTTTTCACAATGAACAAATATTCAACTTTTGATTATAAGAATCTTCTTCCTGACTCTTCATTTTCCTTGCTGGGTGTTTATGAAATTATATTGAGAGCTGATTATTTGGATTTTGAAGAACTTTCGTTTGACTTGAGTTGTCAAAATGGAATTACGAACGTTAGCCCACAGAATATGCGTATTTATACACTAGAGTCTGGTAATATCTTTAAAGATACAAATTCCTATGCTTCTATTCCAACAAATATTGTTTACTCAACCAGTTTTCAATCAAATTCAAGTTATTCAAAAATTATTGGATTTGCTGGAAAAGTTGATAGTGGAATTGCAATTATTGGATATGTTAGTAATTTCTTTGGACCTTATGAATTTAAATATCGATTAAAAATTGATTCAAATGTTCAAACAGTTGAAGCACTAACTCTTTCCTTACCAAATATTCCTCCACAATTGATACCTTATGGACTCTTACTTGATTATACTGGATTTTATTATGATTCTAATGGATATACTTCACTGTATGCATTTAGTGTTAGTAGCAGTGGTGTTACTCTTCCTAATTTTAAAGGGGCTACTTTACAATATTCATTCCAAGATGGAAATACTTTTAGAGATGTGAAAGGAAATGCAATTCAAATTTTAAAGAGTTCTCTTGCATGTTTTATCTCAGCTGATGGATATTCCTTTACAAAGATAGTTTCTACTGTTACATCTACAGCATTGACATGTAGTGGCTTTTCAAATGTTCAATATATTGCAATCGCTGCTACACCAGCAGTTGCAGGTGCTAGTAGTAGTTCAGGATCAAAGGGTTCAGCCATTCAAATGTACAGTGGAAATTATGTCTATACCAATACGATTTATTCGAAAGTTTATTACGAAATTAATGTGGAATCAGGAAAGACTTTGACATTGAGTAGTATTTCATTAAATACAAAATCTAATGGAAATGCATACATTACCATTGATTCAGGAGGAGATAGTAGCACTATGGAATTTATTTTCTCAACAACACAACTTTTCAGCTTGACTTATACGAATTACAACAGTTATTCGAAAACAATTTATGTTTCAGTTGAACCTTCTTCCAGTTCAACTAACATTTCATTTTTACCTTACATTTCAGATTATTACAATGTTTGGTCCTATCGACTACCTGTTATCATTACTGTTTTGGTAATTATTCCATGTTTCACCTTATTTACCATCATTACTGTCATGATAACCATCAAGAAAAATTCACGTCAATCACAGTGAAATCAACTAAACTTTACAATTATCTAAAAATAAATACAGGTTCAGTTGACTATCTCGTTGTTTTAAATGAAAAGACATAAAAAAAATGTTTGCAAAATTAAGCTCAGGATCTTTTAATTCAGTTAATTTTAGAGAGGTTTTGAATTCTGGGAAACTACCATCTAGTTCTTCAATTACATATGAAGGAATTATGAAGGAATATTTCTATCGGACAGGAATGAAAGTTTCGGATCAATTATTGGAAAGCGCCTATTCGGTTGCCATTGATCATGATCCAATTACTTTGGAAAAACAAATTCATTTGGCTTTAGGTCTTCACAGTTGTAAAGATGGAAAGAATGAAAGAAAGGATTTAAATTTGGTGGTATGTGAAATATATTTAATATTTATTTTATAATATTTTACAAAATATTAAAGATTGTTTTGGATATCAGTGGATCCATGTCAAGTTCCATGTCTGGAAAGGGTTCAGAATCAAAAATGAAAGTTGCCAACAAAGTAATTTGTGAAATAATTGATAATTTGAAAGATTTTGAAAGATTGGGAATTGTTTTATTTGATGATAAGGCAGAAACTTTTTTACCATTAACTATAGTTCAAGATTTAGAAAAGAAATCACTTAAAGAGAGGGTAATGAAGATTACTGAGAAGGGATCAACAAATTTTGAAGCTGGAATGAAAAGAGGAATTGATCTTTTTTCTACAATGGATTCGTCTGATTTATCCAATTCGAATAGAATTATTTACTTGACAGATGCTTGCCCAAATGTTGGAGGAACAGACAGTCTTGATGTTCTCACAAAAGATGCTAACAGTGGACCTTATGGAATTCTTTCAACTTTTATTGGAATTGGTTTAGATTTCAATTCTGAAATTGTTGAAGAATTGACCAAAGTTCGTGGTTGTAATTATTTCTCAGTTAAATCCTCTGAAGAATTTAAAAAGATTTTGAATGAAGATTTCAATTATATTGTAACACCAATTTGTTACAATGTCAAATTGACACTTGAATCAAAAGATTATGAAATTGAGAAATGTTTTGGAACCAATATGGCTGAGCAAGCAACAGGTGAGATTATGAAATTAGATTCATGCTCAGCTGGTCAATTGGATGAAAGAGGTGTTAAAGGTGGGATTGTTTTATTGAGATTGAAACAAAAAAGTCAACCAATTGAGGATTCTATCATTAAATTGACACTTTCATATGAAAATGAGGAGGGAAAGAAATTTAGACAAGAAAAACAAGTCACAATTAAAACTGATCTTGATGGAAACTTGTATGAAACCAATGGAATTAGAAAGGCTGTAGCCTTGGTGAGATATGTAGAAATTGTGAAGGATTATTTGGACAAGAAGGGAAACCAACACTCAAAATCAAATACATCTCCAGAATGGAATTCTAAATTTTTACAATTATCAGAAATTTTTACCAATGAAATGAATGAAATAGGAGATGAACTAATGAAGCAAGAGCTTGAAGTTATCAACAAACTAATTTACTATTCCAAGTGATTGTTTCAATAAATTCCATCGAGTTTAAATTATGACTGATGCTGCCAATAGACCTCATCTTCCAGTAATTGACATCTGGATCGATTTCATCCTCAATGGTAACTATTATGCTTCACTTAATATTTTCATCTATGTGAAGATATTTCAGATTTCCTCATAGATATTCCTCCACAATAAAGTTTCAATGCTCGGTTTTATCACCTCTAACTAATTCCCCAGAACATGACACTTTCATATGAAAACTTTGCAAACATCTTTCACTAAATAAGGAAATATCAGGTAGCATATATTTCAATTTTGATGGGAAAGGAATTAATTCCTTCAATAATAATAAATAAATTAATCCAAATGTGTCCTCCACTCGTAGATCATTCTTGAATAATTCCCAATCATGATTGCTTTTAGAATTTCAATTTTTTGTTTCATAGAAAATTCCTCAGATGGTGCATTCGAGTGGAAAGAAACTTTCTCCTGGTGAAAGCATAACAATCTTCTCATCAAAATTGCATGTTGTACTTTCGGTAGAAATGTTAGACGAAAGAAGAACTAAAATTGTCAAAAATGTGGTGAGTTGTTTTTGCATTTTTTTAAAGAACACAAAATTTTGTTGGACTTTGAAATAAATAACAAAAATACTTGTTATCACTAACAAATTACAGCAAAAAAAAACCAACAATGACCATTGGAAAGAATAACCGCGTTTCAGAAGATGGCTCCTTTCACTCCAAACCATTATCCCCATCTTCATCCTCCTCTTCTTCATCTACCATTAAAACATCAAAGACATCAAAAAAAGACAAGCAACAATCAAAGGCCAGGAAAATTGGTAAATATAAAAGTTTGGCTTTAAAAATCAAATCAGATTGGGAACCACTTCTTCATAAAGTGATAGAGTCTTTCTGTCAAGACGACTCTTCTTTAACAAATTACGGTGCACCAAGTTGTTTCTATGCTCAATTTAGTTTGTTCAGTGCTCAAGATAAGAGTAATAACAGTGATCAAATTTTCATCTTGAACAGGAGAAGTAAATCGAAAATATATGCCCCATCAGCAGAAAAATGTTGGTTTTTCCTTGTGAGAGGCAATGAACTCGACAAACCCTACGAATGCACGCAAGATAAGACAGTTGGACATTATTTTGTTCAAGATGAATGGATACAGCATGGTACTGGTGAAGAGTGTAAATTAGGATTTGTGGTTAAATATCAAAACGATTTGTACATACATGTGGTGAGTGAGCTAACTTTCATGGGAGTGATTGAGAATATTGGTAAGGTGAGAGAAAATACAAACTATTGTAATGTTAAAGAGTATGAACCTGATGAAATGTTAAATCTAAAACAGAAACCAACTATGAATGAATTATACCCCTCTCTGAAATATTGCAATGCTGAAGAATTGACACAGGAAGATGTAAATGAGAGTCAGCTTGATAAACATATTCAAGGTTTCATAGATCACTTTTGGAAAGGTCGACAAATCAAACCTTCATTTGAATTATTTAAGAAGGAGATTAAATCCTTGGCCAACTCAATGCTAGAGAAGGATTCAGAGAAAGAGTCTGGCTACGAAACTGAGGATCAAGATTGAATCATAATCCCGAATCTCTCAATAGATGAGTAAATAATAATTTACTATTCATGAATAATATTAAAACTTTATTAAATAGAGATGGTTGTAATGTTTGGAGTGTCCAATTTGTTAGAATTTCTATTCAATGAAGATCACACATTAAAATGGTGCAACTACTAATAAAAACTCCAACAATGGGACACTCAAACATGACAGCCATCGAGTGTGTTTGTTCTTTTTTCAAAATCAAGAGTGAATTGGTCTCAATACAACTCTTTTTTGGTCTCAAAATAAAATTCCTTTTTGAGCACTTTTTAACACAACACTGGAAATACTCATCCATCTCATATTTGATCTAGATTAAGATAAAAACTCAGATAAATTTGATTAACAAAAGGTTGACTGAGAGTTTACAATTTTAAATGTACTCAGCAAGGCATCCACTTTCAAAGTTGTCAAAAAAGACATTTGACTTGCAGGTCCATACCTCAATAGAGATATCGATCTCATCATTTGGTCACCACACCACCAACCTCAATCCACTCTAGTTCTCCACCTTCATTCTTGTTATCTTCCCACTCACGAACCATCACAAAACGTGAGGAAGGAAATGCCGTATTCGTTTTTGGCGGCAATTTTTCTCACGCTTGAATCAAAACAAGCTAAAAATAAAACAAAACATTTAAATCAGAGTTTCATCATCAGAACAAAATTCACAAACAAACAGCAACGGATTGTTACGTTTATTTTAGATCAAGAAACAGCAGCAACAATAGAAAAGATTTTGATCAGTTAATTTAAAAGATTTTTAATTATCATCATCAAATAGGAGGATTTAATTATTAAACAATAATATATACACGTGGAAGTATTAATTTGCCTTGACTATTACTACCGACGATATTTATTAAAATCATTATCATTGAGACTTGTTTTGGTTTGATTGTTGATAAGGACAAGTTCAAGGCACTCTTCATCATCACAACTACTTGTGAATATTCTCTTGTAAAAGAATCAACATAATAACAAAATGCTTACATTACCAGTAGAGCCGGGCTATAGCATGGGAAGTTTTAGGATTGGAATGCCCATTTCCGAAGCTATTCAGCATTTGAAACAGTATGTGGATCAAATGGTCAAGTTTTTCCAAAACAAACAAGCTGCCAGTGAATTGGTAATGATTCAAAGTAATTCTTCATCATCAAATAATGCTGAGGTAAATGTTCCTTCATATTCTATAGTGAGTTTGGATGATAAACCAAATGCTGTGGAAATTTTGTACAATGAAAAGGATCCTCTGAATAATGATACTATTGTGAAAATTGTTGAGGAAGATATTGTATTATATTTCGAGTCAAAAACACAACGATTGAAGTTAATTCAAATCAATAACGTTAAAAAAGTTAAATTATCATATGGTGCTAGCATATTTAGTGGTCCGAATGTTGATGCTAGTTTTGTAAAGTAAGTACTATTCACAATTTATTAACAAAATTCTCATCAATATCTTTCTATTTAAATAATATTTCTTTAATAATAACAATAGTATTTATAATGTATTCGGTCCAACTTATCCAGGCGAGTTTGACACAAAATCAAACACGTACAAGTTGACTTATCCTGGTCTGACTTTTGTATTCCCAATCCCTCCAATGTTTTCTCATTTGTACTCAGATGGTAAAGAGTTACCAATTGAATTCCCAAATAATACCACTCCAATAGCCACCACCATTTATCTTTTCCATGGTCATGATCTTGCAAAACCCAAACTACCTCCTGTAAAATCAGAATGTACTACCAACATTACAAATGGATCAAATTCTAAAAATAAGGAAGAAAATAGGAAGAGAATTGATTCAGCTACTCCTGACAGTTATTACGAGCCAATTATTGTCAATCTTGGAAGGGGCATTGAATTATCTTACTCAAAGAAGAAAATCAAATTTGGTTATTCAACTCAAGATGTTTTAATGATTCTTGGAGCTCCAGATAAGATTTATTACAAGAGGAATGACAAGTTGAGAATTCACGCTATAGGAGCAGGCCAATCTGTAAATGGACGTTTACTCTCTGAAAAGGAAGAAGTTGCCCAACCAACAGAGCACACTAATGGATACGAAAGAGTTCTTCAACGTGACAACTCCCTTAATACCATATTGGCACCATCAACTAATAATAGATCCAAGCAAACTGTTGGAAATGACTATTTTTATAATTATTTTAGTATGGGCTTTGACATTATGTTTGGAGGAAATACACACACAGTACAAAAGATAATGCTTCACACTAACTTCCCTGGCAGTGTTGATTTTAATACGTACTCTAAATGTAACTTCTCCATTCCAGTGTCACAATTCGAATTTCAAGAGAAGAGGGAAAATCAATTTATTGGTCCAGATGAAAAGTTTTCCAATGTTCAAAAGATACTTGATGGCACTCCTTGTAGCAAACCAATTGTTCATGACCACACCAAAGCTAATAATCCATTTGGAGGAACCAAATTCTTTGCTTTTAGAAATTGTATATTTGAAGTGATTAGTAGAAATGATCATATTAATTCATTGACCTTATTTAAGGATGAAAACAGCTAGCAATAAACTGTTTAGTAACCAAAATCATCCATTCCATCATCGTCTTCTTCCTCTTCTTCATCATCCCATTCTTCTTCTTCATCATCTGGGTAGCCATAAATATCATTGTAATTGTAGTTATTTTGTCTGTGGTGTTCATCCTCTCCTTCTTCACTGTCTTCATCATCTGGATACTCATTGTTTGGATTGCCAGATGCATTGGAATCTTCAGAATCATATTCATCATCTTGAGCAAAACCATACTCATCCTCCAAATTACTTTCAAGCCATAATTGATCATCAAATCTTTCAAATCTCAATACATTTTGTTGATCTTCATAATTTTCAGAGTCAATATCATCCATCTTTGTACATGTTTCAACAGTATAGTAATCAACTTCAAATTCATTATCACAAATATTTTGCATTGATTCAGTGGCTCCCTTTCCATAAATTTCATCCAACATGGAAGCATAATTTGACAAGTCAACCTTTTCTTCCTTTTTCTCTGTTTGTTCTCCAGATAAAACTTGCAATTCCACAATTTGCTTATTTCCTTCATTTCTCATCTCACTAATTCTCAACATTCTCTTCTTCTTCATGTCACTTTCATGAGCTTTAGTTCTCTCAGTAGTTTTAGCTTTAATATTTGTGACTTGTTTGAGTGAAGATTGTTCCGAAAGCTTTGTCTTTTCTTCCACCACTTTCTTTTCACTCTTCACAATGGTAAATTTATAGAGTGAGAATGATGGCTCCAGAGAAAAGGATGAAGAATCCTTCTTCTTATTCAATGAAGTAGAAGCAAATTGCTTCTCCAAATCAGACATTTTAGTCTTTTTCGATTGTTGAATAGATGGAATGTAAAATGTTTCCAAAGGTTCTTCATTTCTCTTTCTCTTGACACAAAACACCTTTGTTGCAGATGCACTCTTACTCTTTTCATCAATTTCTTCAATGAGAGGTTGATCCTTCTTCTTAGTTGCTTTAGCCTTGATTGATGGCTTCTTTTGTTGAGGAACAGAGAAGGGTGTTGGTTGAGCATAATTAATCTCCTCTCTATATTTCAACCAGAAGGACATATCATCAAGTGTGAGTCCTTTAGGTAAATTGGTAAATGTCTTTTGTTCCGATGGTTTTGTTGATGCGGTAACTCCCAATGATTTGTCCATGTCATCAAATTGATTATTTAAAGCCTTTGCTTTTTGTTCAAAATTACTAGTACTTGATGGAGCATCTGATGATGATGATGGTGCACTATTAGAATTGATACCCGAAGATTGTGCTGATGATGAAGGTAACATTTTTTTTGAATTTATAAAAATTAAATTACTTCACATACTTCATCTAGTTTAATAAATTAAGTTTAATTGAACATGAAGAAGAGTGGGAATGAGTTTAAAAAATGTATTTTTAATAAGCATTTTCAAAAAGGTTCACAATTAAAGGTGTGAACCAATTTGATTATAAGAAGAATATCAGTTGTGGTGTTGAGATGGTTTTTCATCTAGAATATTGTCAACCACGCAAATTTGTTGGACATTATCATGCTTGTTATGTCTGTAATATTTTGAATGATATTCAAATGTGATTTCTATGGATACAGTGCAGATCAAATTGTGTCACTAATCAAATAAGTTGAATGTGTTTGATGCTCCATTGTCATTCTTCTTTCTATCTCTGAATGGGAATGGAATAAATCCAGGAGATTGATCACCAGCCAAGTGTGGAGAAGTGTGAGATGGAGGAGAGTGATGATTTGGAGTTTGTTGTGGTGGAGAATACATTGAATTACTAGTTGGATATCCAACTGGAGAAAAACCAAACGGATTATAAACAACATTAGGATTTGGCATTTGAGCAAATCCTCCCAAGAATGGCGTTCCTGGAGCAGTTCCCCAATTGGCCTGTGGATTAGAGGAAATTCCACCATTATGCCAATTTCCAAATACACTGTCATAAACAGATGGAGCATTGGATTGTTTTTGTGGTGGTGAGCTTAATAACTTGCTCATCAAATTTGACTTTTCTATTGGTGAACTTAGTCCATTATTTACAGGAGTTGAAATTCTCTGGTTGAATAATTGATCATTGATGAATGGTGAATCTACATTGTTTCTCATGAATGGCTTTTCGATATAGTCGTTTCCAGCTTGGCTTGAAATGTTAAGCTTGGAAAGTGATGAAGGACTATCATTTTTCATTTCTGGAAGGGATGTGCTGTCAGTCTTCCAAATATTACTGCCTCCTGCAGGAGTAATGAAGCCATTGGTGCTTGTTGTAGCATTGTTAGGAAGAGCAGTAAAACTCTTTGGTTCAATATGTTGATGGTCCAAAGTCATACTGTCACTAATGTCATCCACAATAATTTCATCATTAATATCATCCAACAAGTCTCCGTTAATTACAATACTCTCGTCATCAATTTTATCGTCATCTTCAATATCATCTTCAAAGCTTGCTGTTGAGAAGGCTCTGTCATATTCTCTGTAATAAAAACTGATAATCTTGTCATTGATGAGTTCATTCATTTGCTTTTGGAATATCTTGTTCAATGATTGTTTCACATTGGAGTTTTCATTTCTAGTTGAAAAGGTTCCAAGATTACCATTCAATGGATTGTATCCTAGAATGTCGTGATAAAATCCATTTTCTCCATCATCAGCAAGTCTTTGATCATCGACAATTTTAGCATATAAGAAGCAAAGGTTATTGCACAATGCTTCATTATCATAGAGGTAGATTTTTCTATTTTGAAGGAAATATTCAATGTAGAGTACCAATGAATTGTAAATATCAAAATTCCTAATAGAATCAGATTCATAAAGATCTGAATAGTGGGAGATGAGCTTGGCAAAGAAAGCTTCGTTGAAAATCTTACTATAATTATTGGAATTTTGTTGATCCACAAACAAGTTCATGATTGTTGCTTTGAAAAAGTAGGAGCTGTCATTTTCAGGAACTTCTGCAAAAATTTCCTCAATAATATTCAAATTATCATCATCCAATTCTTCAATAGTAGATTGAGATTGGAATAACTTTCCATGGAGAGTTAAAAGTTTGAAACTAGGTTTTCCTTTCATCTTTGGAACGTTATTCTTGAAAAGAAGAATAATATTATCTCTAGCAGATTTGAATGGTCTGTGAATACAGCTCAAACTTCTATAATATCTATAGATGGCCAAAAAGTAGTCATTTTGATAGGTGGAAATTACAGCCAATTGATTCCAAGCATTGCCGAAATTGTAAGATAATTGAACGGCTTTCTTGTAGTACTTTTCACTCTTTGAAAAGTCCATATTCTTAGCATTTAGCAAGGTTTTATATCTGAACAAGTCACCTCGTTGGAGAAGAACTTTTTCCTTCTGGAATAGTTCCGAAATCTTTTTATAAAACTCCTTATACTCCAAAATACTATCATTAAGAAACTTGATGTATAGATCCTTTCTCTCCTTCAATACAGGGTTTCTTCTGAATAATTCAATCAATTTGTAATAAAAAGTTTTCCAAATTTGCAAAATCAAATCATACTTCTTGTCATACTCTGTATCGGAGAGTGCAATATTTTGATATTGTTGAATACAAGTTGAACGAAGAGAACAAAAGTCTTGTGGTTCTCTTTCTCCGCTAAGACTTTTAATTACATTAGGGATCTTTCCTTCATCTGAGAGGAATGCCAAGTATTGTTCCTCATGTTTTTTAACTAGGGAGCATTGAAGTTTAGTTGATTTTTCATTGCTTGGTTTCGGAGTTGGATTTGATGGATTTTTCAATAACTGTGGAACAGCAGTTACATTGTTTGTTCTAGTTGATGATGTTGTTGTAGTTACATTATTAGGTATCATCATAATATTTCCGCGTTGTTGCTGTTGATTATTTGTACTAGATGATGTTGCTCTACCGTTTGATGGATGACCACTAGTGGTTGTTGTTGTTGCTGGTTTTTCTTGTTGTTGGGCAGTTGTTTTTAGGGTGAGAGGATTTTTGTAGAATCCTTTTCCTTCCACTCCTTGTTGTATTTGTTGTGGTTTTTGCCCACCATTATTAATACCACCATTGTTTTGCTTGTTGTTGATCATCGAACGAGGTGGATTCGTTGAGGATGACATTTTTTAATCAAATCAGCAACTTTATTAATAGAACGAAACTGCGTTAACTTTTAAGTTGTATTGTAATTTGCACACAATACCAATTTTGTTTAACACAAACATTTTACCTTGCGATTTTTATTTCGTTGTTTCAATTAGGGAATGAATAACTTCTTCACAAACCAGTATCCACTCTAATTGTTCAGTTTCAGTTTGTGTCTTCATTACCAAATCTCCACGGCTGGTCTGTGTGATTGTAAAGCTCAGTTCCGTGTCTGATTTCTTAACATTTGATTTGGCTGTAAATTTAATTTCTTCTGGGTTGATAGATTTGATTGTCTTGTACACTTTCAAGTGAGGATCCATACTTCCCAACACTATCCAACGTTTTTTCCAAACATCCTTGCTTGCTTTCTGTAATTGAAAAGTTAAAATACTTGAACTAAAAAAACACTTACCTCACTTCTGGTCATGACAAGTACATTTCCACACTTGATCATTTCGTTGGTGAGACTATCCTCTTCTTCCTCTTCATCCAGAGAGTCATTAAGATTTTGTTGATGTTTCTTGAACCCTCCCTTGATTGGAACGACAAGCTTTCCTCCTGTTTTTTGTCCTATTCCTTTAACAGTTTGATTTTGTGAGAGTTGATTCAAAATACTACCCTCCTCAAATTTAACCTCCTTGTTGTTTGTTAGGAAAACATCCAACTCATCCTTAATCATCTTACTTTGGTTTTCCAACATTTGTACATAATCTTTCAACTCTTGAGTGGTGAAATTCATTTCCAACTCACTAACATCCTTCTCTGAAATATTAGAAAGAGACTCACTAGATGAAACAGTATCGGCTGCTTGAGATTGTTTTGGTTGCTCTGTGGATGTAGGATTTGTAATGAGTTGGTCCATATAGTCTCTAATTTCATTAGATGCAGTCTCCACTATTCCCTTAATTTCCGATCTATCTTTTTTAATTTTCATCAGCTCGTCAATTACTGTTGTCACTGCACTAGAGTACTGTCCATGGTCTTGCAAGAGTTCATCCTCAGTATTTTCATTACTAGCTACCTGAGTGGAGAGCTTCAACTTGAGGTGTTCATTATTATTTTGTAGTTCCGTGCATTGTCTCTTATATTCAACCAGTTCTGAAATGAGAGAGGAAGTTTTTTCTCCCATTGTAATATTCAGCTGGTTTTCTCTTCCTTTCAAAATTTCCACTTCAAGTCTCAATCTCTGAATTTCATTTTCCTTGTCTTGTATCAGTTTATCCTTTTGTTGAACTTGCTTTAACAGTAAAGAGTTTGCATAGCTGAGCTTTTCATTATTATTTTTGGAAGCTTTAAATGCAGACAATTCCGATTCCAAAGACAAGTTTTGTGCTCTCAAGTCGTTAATTTCTTGCTTGGCAACTGCTAGTTGCTTTCTATATTCAGAGTCACTAGTTTCCAAATTGACTTTTGGTTTGTTTTTAATATTTTTAGCACTGTGACCAAATCTTAGGGATGAAATTGTTTCTTCCTCGTTAATTGTACTCGGTGAGCAATTGACCATGAGTGTGGTTCTTGCATTTCCTCCAAGGGCATCTTGTAAAAGTTTAGTTAGTTTACTTTCTCTGTAAGGTACGTGGGTGCTCTGCAAACGTTGTCACACCATTATAATAAGAAAACTTACATTCTTCTCAGTTAAGGCGTTAATAACCTTAGCTAGAGTGGCAAGACTCTTATTGATTGTCTTGGCTTCCTCTAATCTCAACCCTGTGGCTTCAGTCTTGGAAACTTTTTCCTGAAAAAATATGAGAATGAGTTTTAAAAGAAATCAAAAACATACACTTCCCGCAAGATCTACAATATACAATTTGGAAACTATTTTCTGACCTTTTCTAGTGTCATGTTGTGTGACAGTTATTGAGAAGATGGTGTGACTTCTACTACTGTCTCTATTCATTTCTGATAATTGATGATTAGATTTACAACAATAATTCAAAACTTACTAGTTGAGGAAATTTTCTTATTCTTATTACCAATTTTCATCAATCTCAATACTTCCTCCTCGCTAGACACGTACAACTCTGAGAGATCTTCCACATAAAAGTTCTTTTCGTTAGTGTCTTCCTTTACATTTAAATTTTGTTTTGAAGCTATCATACAGAGATTATTTAATCACAATCTCACTAAACTTACGTTCGAATAAATCATACAATTTTTCCATGTAAACCTCAAAGAATGATACTTTGACTGTGAACTCTACATGGTCTGGTGACTGATCTATTGCCTCAAACAAACCACATACCATTCTTGGAGCGATACCTCTCTCATCCTAAATAATTAAATCAATGAATATCACATATGATGTATTAGAATCCACAATCCATCAATACTACAATACATACAAGTTTGTTCTTCTTCGGCAAATTCATCATGGTGTATGTTTTACCGGAACTAGTTTGACCATAAGCAAAAATCGTACAATTGTATCCCTTGATAATATCTTCAATGAGAGGTTTTCCGACCGATTCAAATACACTAGATTGACTTGCTGTAATTCCAAATACTTCATCAAAAGTAAAAGTAATACCCTTAGAGGGCAGAGTCACTGTCTCGTGATCATTAATTTCCATACAATGTCTTCCTCCTGCTTCCATCTCCAAAGTTGGTCTAAATCTACAAACAACTTGCACCCGACTCCTCGTAAAACTCTGACTCGAGGTAAGGGATGAAGAGCTAGAGCTGTGATGATACATTTTTTCGAGTTTGATTTTTTTGATTTGTTAAGATGAGGCGCGTTTTGTTGTTTTTGCAGTTATATTGTTGGGTAATAAAAGTGATTCTCCATGATCATCACAATATGTAATTCAATGTGATATATCTCTGAAAGCATCTACGTAGATGTAGATTGGGTATTATCGGAATGTTGCTAGATAAAACTTGTCTTTTCTCTTTCCATGTTTTTAAGGTGAGAGGACCATTGTTTGGAGAGTCGTTCTTGCTGTTGATATTCTGAGGCAAGTCGATTGGCACGTTCCTCTTCACTCTCGAGGGAGGGCATTACTACAACAAAATCAATGGATAGTATGAAACAGGCAGCTTCGGTGGCAGTTTGGAAAATGTTTCTCTTCACTCCACACGGTTCTAGAATGGTGGAGAAGGTTATCTTGTCAATGTATTTCTTTCCATTGTTGCCACTGGTGTGATGTGGTGGCAGGAGACTCATGATGGAATTTCTTGAAAGATTGAGTCCACAATAGGTATTTCCACTTTCATGTTGTAAGGATAGTGTCTCAATAACTTTGGATGCATTGAGTCCAGCATTGTCACACAGAATGAAAACAATTTCCTCTAAAGATTTTCCAAATGATTTCATGCACTCGAGAATGGATAGGGCGTGGCTATTGGTGGTTTTGGTTGACTTGTCAAGACAATACTTGTGAAGGAGAGTTTTTAAATGCATTTCAGTGGCACCTCCACCGAGATGGCAAATAGGTTCTCTGATAACATTTTCTAAAATACACAATGCATCGTGCATACTTCTCTTCGATTCTTCCAGAATATTTTCCTCTCCTCTGAGTACGATGGTCATTGTTTCATCATGGCCTGACTTTTTAAATCCAGACAAGATACAGTAAAAATCCTCTCCAACAGTTTTCTCCTCAAACATGGAACATGTTCCATACAATTGTTCATTCTCATACATGGTAGAAAGATCTTCAATGGAGGAGAATATCTGACCACCCAATGACTTGACAATTGATTCAATGGTTTTAGAATCCATCTTTCCAAGTGAGGTGATTCCATTTTGTGTAAACCACTGAGTGGCAATATCTCCAGTAGTTTGTAAATTAAGAATAAGATCACACTTTGTGTTGGTAATGACGTCCAGTTGTCTCTTTAGCAAATTCCACTCTGTTTCAATAAAATTCTGATATTGGATTGGATTATTAATAACAATTCTAGCAAATTCTTTCTGGTGCTTGAGTTCCAATTCATGATTGAGGATGAGGATTTTTGGATTTTCAATTTTCTTTTGTTGTTGTTCATATCCTGCATAGTAAAAAGGTCTCCTGAAACAAATTCCCTCAATTACGAAAGAATCTTGTATTGAAGAACCAGGAATTGGGCAAAATTGAATATTCTCAATAGAGAATGCATCTCCTATTTGAGAGTTTCTTTCTTGTTGAACTGTTCTCAATTTATAGTATGAATCCACCAGTAGTGAGGCAAAAAAGGATGAATGATTTTTCAAAATCTTACTATTGAAAGGTACTCTCACAAGTTCAATCAAAATATTTCTAGTACTTTCATTCCAATCCTCCAGATTAAGATGCAGCTCAATTTCCTTCAATTCCTTCTCTACAAGTTGATGTGCCAGCTGAAAATCAATATTAATTTCTCTCAAATTCCAAGAAAACAAACCTTATAGCTCTGTATAATAGTATGAACATTGTATCCAAGATTCAGTAAATGTTTAGCTTGCCTCAACAAGGCACAAGCCAACAATACCACACTTGTTGTTCCTTTCACATGTCAATAAAAAATCAAGCAATGACAACCTACCATCACCCACTTGTTCATCCTGTGTCTGGCTAATATTCACCAATAATTCAATTACAGGTTCCGTACTAAATGCCCATTTGATACTCTCAACTTTTGATTGTTGTTTATCATTTGGTCCTTTTTTAATTTTCCTTTTCAAATATTGAAGAATGGTGGCTCCATCGTTGGTGATTGTGATTTTACCACTCTCCCTCTCACAAAACAATTTATCTCTTCCGAATGGTCCATAGGTAGTTTTCAGAATGGATCCGATTTTAAGAGCAGCCTCTATATTATCTAAAACAACTTCTAATCCATTCCTTCCTCCTGCAATGGAAGATGAAGAAGCAGAAGAAGAATTTTCGGAAGTTATTGTTCTTTGCATTTTTATTAATAATTAGAAATGAAGCACACAATATTCATAGCAACACAAGAGTTTGTGCTTTGTTAATTTCTTCCACATTTTCATTCAACAATATAGACAACATTAGACAGTTGTAACAAAACTTGAATAATTGATGATCAAAGCCTTAATGGAAAGAAGACAAACGTTTAAAAAAATGCCTTACAGAGAAGATAGTGATGACGATGATGAAGATATTGAGGAATATGAAGATGAGGATGATAGAGAGGAAGAAGAATATCATCGTCGTAAGGAAAGAGAAGAAGAGGAGGAAGAAGAACAAGATCCAATAGTTGAGGAGGACGAAGAAGAAGAGGAAGAGGAAGAGCCCGAGGAGGAAGAAGAAGAGCACCAAGAAGAGGAGGAACATGAAGAAGAAGAGCATGATGAGGAAGAGGAACATGAAGAGCATGATGAGGATGAACATTACGATGATGAGGAAGAGGAAGAACATAGAAGAAGAGGAGGATGAAACCCTAGAAGAATTGATCAGGTTGGAAGAAGCAGTGCAAGAGGTACTACAAGGTATTCCCGAATGTTACACTAAGGGTACACATGTTTCTATTGTTGGACAATCATTGAAAAATGTTTCCTACATTGAAGATTTGGAAAATTTGAATGAACATCATGAAAAGCTTTCTGAAGCACTCTCGGAAATGGTCTCTTTTAATTATGAGGAATTTAACAAATCTATTAGGAACTTTTCAGATATTCTTCAAGAGTTGAACGGATCACAGCAGAAGATACAAAAGTTGCGAGATAATGTGAAAAAGACAAAAGTTTGCCTCAAATCACACGCAACAGATCTTTCAACACTGTATACAAATTATCTTCAACATTCAGAATATTTGAGAATTTTGAATATTGTAAATGAGGTCAAGCAAGTTCCCGATAGAATCTCTGTACTTATTGAAAAGAAACACTACTCATCTGCTATTAGACTTTCCAAAAAGTGTCACCAATATTTGAAGAATAGCCCCGAATTGAAACACATTAAGGGATTGGAGGATATAAGAAATCAATTGAAAAATTTTGAAAAACAGTTACCTGACAAGATGATTGATGCTCTCACCACACATTTGTATAGCCTTGATGTGGAAAAATGTACAATACCAAAAGAGCAATTGCCAAAATCACCAATGCACGCGAGACCAATCTCGATCACAGAGGAAAGTATCAAGAAGAAAATTCAAAACGAGCGTATGAACACCAAAAAGCAAGGTTTTCAATCTGTCCATGAAAGAGCCTTTGCTATGGTACAACAAAAGAATACAGACTCTTTTGATTTGGCAGATAATACTGATTTAACATTCGATCCAGAGCAAGACAGTAATTACTTTTTATCCATGATTATTGATGGACTTGATACGCTTGGTAAATTATCACTGCTTCAATCTAGAATGGTTCACAGTTTAAAATATGATGTGAGGTCACTTATTGAAAAGCAAATTCTTGAATTTGTTAACAATTTAGAAGAGCAAGGTGCTGATTTTACATGGAATATTTCTCAATCCATGCTAAAAGAGAGTAAGTCAGCAACCTCTATCCAACAGGGTGCAATTTTGAAAAAGCTCTTTAACAGAATTTTCTCAAACATTGCCCAATTATTGGAAAAGTATAAATTCATGATTGGGATTATGGAACTGAGAGCTGCCAGTTTAGATTTCAGCTCATTGACTAACACATCAGAGGATACGATGGTTGCTACACCGGTTGACATTAAATTGACCAAACCAGTTATTGAAAAAATTAAGAAGGCTATTAATGAGAAAATCGACCATCTAAAGATCAATTTGAAGACAAAAGAGCCTAGTAATTACATGTCACTGTTATCAGATCATTCATCAAAAACCAAGGAAGCTAATAATCTTTACTTGTCATTACTGACAGACCTTTCAAACAACTTTTTCAAGAAAAATATGGAAGAAGATTTGAGGGTTAGAGATGTCATTTCTTTCTTTGAAGGCCAATTAAGCTTGAAAATCACAAAGCAAACAGCCATGACAGATTCTATCAAGGAAAAGTTCTCCTCTCTCATCACAACCAGTGTTTCCGATTCAACTACCCCTCATACTTTTACAGCCACATATGTATGGAAGACAGCCCAAGAGGAAATCAAGAATGTTCTTAAGGATATTCTTGGATTAACAAATCTATCTAGTCTAGTTGAAACATTAGGAAGCAAGTCTTCTACTGAAGCGCTAAAGAATATTATCGATACGGGAGCTCCTTCCTCACACGACGACTACAAGATTACATTTAAATATTCATTCAATGTTGACTACTACGAGCAATCAAATGAAAAGAGTTCAGATTCAGATGTCTCTCCTATTATTTCACATTTCTCGAAATACTTTTTGCTCTCTCCATACAACATGCTTTGGGTTTACAAGGAAGTGTCAACTTTTATTGATCAGTGTAAGACTATTGTTGTGGATGAAATTGGAAAAAATGATTCAAACGAATATCAAAGCCTTAAGGTGTTTTGTGATGATATTGTTAGGCACTATTTACTTTCTGTTGTGAAAACAGATTACAGAACAAAAATGAATGAACTATTAAGAAAGGACTCTACTGCCTTCAATTGTGTAAATAGCAAAGATTTTGCAAGTTTGCTGCCTAACTCAAATAGAGAAATTTATAATCAAAAAGAAATCTTTCTGGGATCTATTAGTTGTATGAGATGGATTAGCGAAATTATAGTTATAGCTAAAACTATTCCAATAATCAAATATGAATTTTATAGTACCATAGAATTAGTTTTGAAGAGATACCTTGATGAATGTTATACCTTCTTTGATTTGGCCCTTTCTTCTAGCTATTGTCAACAAATTTTGAAACAGAGTAGAGATTATAGTTCTGTACTTGTAAATGAACCCCTTTTCCAAAAAGCACAAAAGTGGAAACCTCTCAATTTGAAACGTAAGGCTGTGGATCCAGAGGAAATTAGAAAGATTTTCGAACAATTAGTGGACAAACCAATCAGTAATATTACCTATGATTCTTCAAGAAAAACCCATGTCATTGATAGAACATCTGGGTTCATGTCTCTTTCTGCTTTAAATGGTACTTTGGAATGGGTTTTGGAGAATATTTACTTGTGGCACTTTGATATCATCTCACTAACAGCCAAACAAAACACCTCAATGACTGACTTCCATCACGCCTCAAAAGACAAGCTTTTCAAGCACACCAATAGATCAACATCTCTTTTGCTAAACTCAAGCTTTCAAGTTGTTAGACAATTGGAAGATTATTATGAAAAATTTGTAGAGTTATATAATGACTGTTTGTTGGCTATTAAGATTGATTTGAGAATTCGTTGCCTTTTCTCCGTAAAGAAAAATTTGGTACAAAATTTAATAGATTCCGACCATCCATATAGTAGTGAAGAGTTGACTGAACAGCCAGAATCATTTGTGGAGGAATTTAATAAGGATCTATTAATGATTTATCGCTCATTGAGCACATGTACATCAGAAGAAAAACTCAATTATGTTTTTTCAGGCATTGGAAAATTCATTTCTGGTCTACTAATCAATTCTCTGGTTACAGCAAGTAAATCAAGCTCTCCTAAATTCTCAATTGAAGGTATACAAAGAATGAAACGTAATATCACAGCTCTCCAACAACAAATCAGCTATGTAACATCAAAACAGGAATTATCCTTCAATTCTGTCATTCAATATTATGAACTTTTACTTTTGGACGAGATTGGTCTGATTGAGCATGCCAGAAATATTCACACCTTCACTCGAGAACAATATCTTTCCATCTTTAAATGTACAACACCAAAACAAAGTATTGACAAGAAAAAGTTCGAAAGGGACTTGGATGGAGCAATTCATAAAAGTAAGCTCATCAAGAAATCCGCATCCTCAGCTACACTTAGCCAATCCTCAATACCTACCACACCAACTCTCAAACATTCCACAACTGCTACTTCTACACTCTCCACTTCCTCATCAAAACAACAACTCAATAATTAATTCCTATTTATAAAATTTGTTTTGCTCACAATGATTGCAACGTACTATAAGATTGGAAGCTCAACAACAATTGGCAAGACAACCACTAATCAACTCTTTTTCTTCTTCACCATAATTTTTTCTAAATCCTTATTGTTTCTCAATAAAGGAATATTGTTATTATTATATCTTGATCGATTCTTCTGAAACAATTGAAACCTCTGGAGCTTGATGAATGGATTGATTCTTATTGGACTTTTTAGAAGAATGTTTGGAATTAAGCTGAGATGAATGCTTGGAAGACTGTTTGTTACTGAATTCATTTGCAACATTCTTATTGAGATCTGACAGTACCTTAGTTGTATCTGTAAAAATAGGATGATACAATGCAATGGCAACACATGCAAAAAGAATAATCCCCACATTATTAAAAATCGAATAGAATAATGTCAAATAAACCCAATCAAATAGAGCAATAGCAAAAGCCATTGAAACTATTTGGAGCAATGCACAGAGAACGAGAAATATTTCAAGAATAATCACCTTAATAATTGGTTTTCTTGATTTCTTTCTATTTTCATTGGAAGCTGTTTTTGTAATAATTTTCAAAAGTGAAGCTGCTGACAACTATTAAATACAATAAATCTTATTCACTTGAAAAAGAACTTACATTGGAAACTATTGTTTGAATCAAAATTTGAGAGACAAATACTATATATCCAGCAATGAAAAAATAATTCTGATACTCCTCAACAATATCCAAACGATTCAAGATTAGAATAATGCAAGTCAATGCAATAATCATACTCAAAGTAATGGAGAATAGAATTGTTATAGTATTTACAATTATGGTAGCTCTCTGAACACCTTTCGAATAAATCAATCCACTCGTTATTCGAACAGTATTTAAAAATACATTATCCACAAAACACATTATCAACATCATGACTACACAATTCATCAATGCACAAAACAATTCCAAAGCTCCAAAAACATGCATTGCAACATATCTTCCTTGTGAAATTCCAGCTTGTTCAATATTCGAAAGGAAACTATTATTATACATATAGGTAACATCAAATCCCCTCTCCACAATCACACTTTCATTGAAATTCGAATAGACATACGAATGAATTTGAGTAACCATTGACAAATTCAATGAATCATACAAAGTCCTACACACCAAAGACGAAACCTGAACTAGACACAATAAAATAACACTCCCAATCATGACATGTTGATTTCTCTTCATACTCTCCCTAACACTCCTCATCATTAAAAAGAAAACTATAAACAATATCAAACCAATCAACAAAAGCATAAAGAATGAATTCAATGGAATGCTAATACTACTTGTGATGATTGGTTCCAAATCAATGACTTGTGCTTTTGTTGAATTGGTAGTGTCAAAGGTCTGTTGTTGAATAGTCATGATGTCAATGGAGGAGAAGGTTGTTTCGTATGGTGAGCTAGGCATCATCGAGTTTCGAACATTATTTCGAATAAATTTCATCATGGTTTCTCTCTTGTTTTATAGGGAAATACGAAAGTAATACTTGGGTATTGCTGATGTAGTAACAGAGGGTGAGAGTGTTTGGAATTTTCTTTTTAACTTTTGAAAACCGTTATCACCTTCGCACTGAAGGAATATTTATTCAGAGTTGAGTAGTGACAGATTGCTACTGATAAGAGAGGGTGATGTGGATTTGGAAAAAGTTTACTTTTATGAAACATTTGGAAGAAATATTCCATAAATGAGATGTCGTTATTTCTCATATGGAATTTACAATAAAAAAATTTACAAATTACATTTTAAATTTTGATTAAATGAAAATTTTGATTATGAATACAAATTTAATTTCAAAAAAGAAATATTTATAAATTCAATATTAAATATTTTTGTAATCTTCTTCAATTATCATTCATTTTGGAACGCACTTGGAGGGAATGGACTTTCTATCGCACCATTAAAAAAAACAAAATCAAAAAAAATGGCGCCACCCAAACTCTCCACCGAAGAGGAAGAACGAAGAAGACACCTCGAACAAGAAGTAACCTCATCTTTGCCTTTTCATAAGGAACTGGGAGAGGTGATTATTAATGCGAAGGGAATTTATAAACATTATAATATTGCTGGGAGAACGGAATCGGTTCGGGCTTTGGAAGAAATTAATGTGAATGATGAATCAGAGTTTTATGGGATTAGGAGAGGTGAATTTGTGATGATCAGAGGACCATCAGGAGGAGGTTTGTATTGTGATGATGATGATTTTATTGATTGTTTTTTGTCATCTAATATATTTAAATAATCTATTTATTACTATAATGGATAATGGTCATCTATTTAATAACTATTTAATTTATTATTATTATTATTATGGATAATGATGATCATAGGTAAAACAACCTTGTTGAATATAATTGGAACAATTGATAAACCTAGTGGAGGTACTTTGGAAATATTGGGAGAACCAATTACATCAAAATCGAGTGATAATTATTTAGCTGATTTGAGATTGAGAAGAATTGGATTTGTTTTTCAAACATTCAACTTGATTGCCACAATGAGCGCCTTTGAAAATGTTGAACTGCCCATGACACTGTTAGGTAAATTGAACAAGAAGGAGAGAAGAAAGAGAGCTAAAGAATTATTGAGATTGGTTGGTTTGGAAGACAGAATGGCTCACTTGCCATCTGAGTTGAGTGGTGGTGAACAACAACGTGTCACTATTGCTCGTGCTCTTGCCAATGAACCTGAAATTTTGTTATTGGACGAACCAACGTATGTACATTTTGATGATTTAACAATTTTAACATTTATGACGATTGATGATCGGACAAAATGTGGATTAACTTTTCATCATGATAACAATAATTTGATACGGTATGGAATAATAATTAGAGGTGACTTGGATACAAAGAATACAGTAGAAATTATGGATTTGTTATTGAGAATTAATTTAAATAAGAAGACAACCTGTGTCATGGTTACTCACAATCCCGATGTAGAAACCTATGCTGATCGTGTTTTATTTGTGAGTGATGGAAGATTTGTTGAGCAAGCTCTCAATGAAATCCAAGTTCCTTTAATTTTCGAAAACTATTCAAACTTTTTGAAATCAAAATAATTTATTTGTAAATATTGTCAGATTGTACATGTAATAGTTGCCAAATCAATTTTTGGCGCCCAAAATCTACAAAAATAAAAAACCTCAACTGATTTTCTCAATAAGAAAAAAAATGATGCAAAATGACCCTGTCTTGACTAAGCGAGAGAAGGTCAAACAACGAATGGACAATGAAATGTATTTGAGACAACATCCCGAACTTAATAAATTAATTTCAAAAGCAGTGGAACACATTCTCGTCAAGAAACCAGAAGCTAGTGACTTGCATGAAGAATTGTGCAACTTTTTCAAACAACCAAATGTGAGAGATCTTTGCAAGGAATAAAGTTAATAGAGTTTTTATGTACATAATATATTCTTAATCAAAATAGTCTTCACTATATTCTTCTTCTTGGTCATTGGTTGTTTTAGCTGTTTGCTTGAAAACAGTGGAAAAGTAAGTTGGAAGGGCTTTTTGTTGGAGTTTCTCGCATTCATCTGTAAAGAAGTGGAATTGTTCCAGAATTTCTTGTTTGAGGGTACCTCTTGGAATGGAAAGGGAGAAGAATTTATGTTTGAGCAATTCACTTGCTTTTGGACGATCAGCTGGATTACTATATTTGTATAATAATAAAGGTGTAAATATATATTAATATGAATAAAAAAACAACTGTACTTACACTTTGAGACAATTCGTAATAAGATCTTTCAATTCTTCTGAAACTTGCAATTCTGGTATGACCTTTGTTGGTAATGTATCTAAATTCTTCACAATAAAATCAGTCAATCTATATTCGCTGTAAAGTGCTTCTGGATCAGAATCTGAATTTTCAGAATGTCCAGTTGATGATAAAATACTCTTTCTAAATTCTCGTTCCCAAATATTGTATCCGAAAATCATTTCCAAAATACACATACCCAAACTCCAAATATCAGGTGCATGAGATCGTTTATAGGATGGATCTCCCTTTAACATTTCTGGACTACAGAATGTTAATGTTCCCACAACAGAGTTACGAGTTTGTGATAATGTTTGTCCTTTCTGTATAACCTTTGCTTCGCCAAAGTCAGCAAGTTTGATTAAACCACCAGCTAACAAGAAATTGTCACATTTCAAGTCACGATGGTAAACATGTGTAGGTATCTCCTCGTGTATATATACTAAAGCTGATATAATTTGTTTAAGATAATCTTGAATTAAATCTTCAGTAAGACCTTTTCCAATACGTTTCAATACACTTTTCAGTGATCCACCAAGCATTAATTCCATCATAATGTAGAAAAATTCTCCATTTTCATGATATCCAAAACATTTTACAATATTTGGATGTTCCAACGATTGCATTACCTGAATTTCCTTTTCAATTTTTTCCTTGTATTCCTTTTGCTATATACAAGTTAAAGATCAACAATTTTCAAATAGCAATACTTACTCCTTTAGAGACGTGTATCTTTTTAACGGCCATTGTCTTGGAGTGAATCTTATCATAGACCATTTTAACTTCTCCGAATGCACCAGAACCCAACAATTTCATCTCAATCCAACCCATCTGTTCTTCAAAACTAACGAGTGGTTTGTTGAGTTCTAAACGTAATTTGATAGGTTTAGAAGATAACTTTTCTTTACATGATTTGATTTGATTCATAGTCTCTGCAACAACATAAACCTCCACTTTCGGATCATAGACATCCAATCTAACACTTGTTGATTCATCAATATTGAATATTTGTTTACAGATTTGCATAGCATCCTCTACACTTCCTCTCATGTTAATATTAGCAAATTTGTTTGCTTCCCCAAAGGACACTAGACACTTTTTCTCTTTCGGTGGCTTATTACTACTTTGACTCTTCTCATCAGGATCATCTATAATTTTAATTGTATCAAAAACCTTCTCGATTTCTCTTTCCGTTAAAATTGGTGTTGTTGGAGTTTGCTTTTTTAATGAAGGCGATCTAGCCGAAGGTGAAGAGCCTGACAAATTATTAGAGCTTCCTCCCAACACAGTATCCCTCTGTGGTATTCTAATATCAACTTCATCGGCCTCAGCTGATTTACTCTGCAGAGTGAGCGTCTTGTTACTACTGCTAATATTGATAAAATTTAGGAGGCGAACCATTTTTTTCTTCTCTTTGTGGTGGTAGCGGAAAAAGAGAGTTTGTGTTTTCCTTTTTTTTAGCTATGAAAAATGTTGATGTGTGGTATTGCGATATCTTCATCATCATTCGATCGGAAGGGAAAGGAAATGATCTCTCTTGTTGTTGAAGAGGAAAATCAGGTTGAGAGAATAATTGTTAGAGGTGCTTGTTTGATATTTACACTTGATGGTCAAGTTGTAGTTGCTGGATTTATAAATTTAGATGAGAAATTGTTGGAAACGTTGATTGCATCAATATTAATTATTATTTAATAATTTTGTAATTACAGAGATATTACTAAGAATAGAGATTGACATAATCTTGTTATTGTTGATTCAATTCGTTCAATTCCTTTGGATAAATCAATCCATGAACAGATCTGATTTCATCCATAATTTCCATAACAGAGATGGTTTCACTGAGTGGCATAATTGGACTCTCAATGTTACCTTGTTGGATCATTTCCAAAATGTGTTTAATTTCATAGAAAAATCCAGTACCTTCCTGATAATCAACACCCTTTCCAGAAAATTCAAAAGTTTCAGATGTAGATTTGATGAGGGAGAAACTGACAGGTCTGTGGAATGAATTATTCACCACAATCATTCCATCAGTTCCAGAAATTTCCAAAGTTCTTGTACATTCATTGACAAAGGTAGAATTGAAGGTACCAAAGATTGGTTTTCCATTTTCGTGTTGGAATTCAATTAATCCACTACACTGATCGTCTGTCTTGGTTTCTGGATTAATGTGCATGCTTGATTGGACTTTGGAGAGTTTGTAACCAAGAGAGGATGTAATCATTGAGATGGCAGAAATACAGTACACTCCACAATCCAAAAGAGCTCCACCTCCCAGGTCAATATTATACAATCGATGATTCTTATCTGAATTACGTTTCTCTCCAACAAATCCCAAACTCACATTGATATTTCTCACTTGTCCAATCTTGCCCTCTTGAATGAGTTGTATAATCCTTCTTGAGACTGGGAAGAATCTTGTCCACTGTTATTTTCCAAGTGGTTGAATCAAAAGAAGAGGTCATTTTTACAATGAGATAATCAAAAACTAACAACCTACCATTCCTTCCATCAAAAAGACATTATTTTTCCTTGCCAACTCAACCAATTCCTTTGCCTCTTTTGCATTAATTGTAAATGCCTTTTCACACAAGACATGCTTTTTAGCTCTTAACTGGTTCGAAATCAAATTCAATATGTGTAAAACCTACTCTAAAGCCATTTTACAATGTTCATAGTGAAAGTAGTGAGGTGATGCCACGTAGACAATATCAACATTTTCATCAGAGAAAAATTCATCATAGGACGCATAAACTTTCATATCACCATCCTCTTGCTTGAGTTTTTCACCAAATTGTTTTCCTCTCTCCAAATCTCTCGATACAACTGCCACTACTTGGACCGAATAATTTGGGCCATAATCATTCTTCAGCAATGATTCACAAAAAGTCATGGCAATAGCTCCGGTTGAAAGTATCCCGAATCGGAGTGTGAATGGCGTTTGAGACATTTTTTTTTCTATTGTAATTGCTATGAGTATTTTCTTTGTAAAACAGAATCATCTCTAAACCTTTAATGAAAAGATTTCGTTCCACTAATTGTTATTTATCATATATGGAGTTACTACTTCTTAATCATTGAAGAAATAGTCTTTTGTACAATGCCAGATCCAGAAATGTTGACTTTCGATGGGAACAGACTATCAAGGAATGGGATTAGTTGCAAATTGGCAAAGAATCTATAGTTTTCAACTGGTAATATGTCTGACAAGCTCTGTGAAAAGGAAGAGCACACCTCTTTGAATTCTTGTTCCACTTCATTCAAATTCTTTGGTATTGTCTTATCGAAAATGCATTGTAGCATGGAGAGCATTGTTTCGAACATGTGCAGGCAAGCATAATTGGCATTGTTTCCAACTGGGCACTCTTCAGACAGATTTCGCATGAATTCCAGTGAATGCTTCAATAGGGGAATAAGTTGTTCAGTTGGTGGAATACCTTCGTAGGAGAGAATTGTATCTTTAGAAAGTAATTGATAATTAGTAACCTGAGTCAAAATGAGTAAAAACATCTTCTTGAAGAGGTCTCTCACAGCTTGAGACATGTTGAAAAATGGTTTGGATTTAACGAATTGAGAAAAGCAAGGTGGGAAATAGTGCTTGGTAGTCTGAAGAAGTGAGTGATGAGTAACTTGATTCAAATCTAGGGAAGGAACATTAGTAAAGAAACCAAATTTATCCAGCACCATTTCTACAACGGTGTTGATATTGGTAGGATTGAGTGAAGACTTCATACAATTGTTAAAATCTCTCAGGAGGGAATTGCTAAACAAGTAATTTGAAAGAGAAGAATCAAAGATTTCCTTCAATTCTTGGGATATCTGTACAGAGGATGGATTGAAAATGTTTCCTTGAATGTATTGAACCATACTTTGAGGAACACATCTATTCATACAAATAAATAAGGTAATGAGAAATACTGAAATGTCGTTGCATGGTTGTTTGAGTTGGAATTGAATCATCTTCTTGATGAGGAAGGAAATTGTCTTGGAATTGGTTTGAAGAACATTGTAGAGTGGTACAATTTCCTCAGGACAAATCACTTCAAACTTTTGATTTTGTTTGGTGAGGTTGACTCCAAACTCGTCGAGCAGTTCCTGGAACTCTTCCACGGAGGAGAACTTTGTGAAAAGTAAACTTGAGGCTTCTGTTTGTTCAGCAGTCAATTTGTGTGATACATTTCTGGAGATGTGTTTGTAATTTTCAACAGAGAATTGGCTGTATTGCTCAACCTTTTGTGAGAGACTTTCAAATGATTCTCCATTCTTGAATTCTCTTCTCAATACTTTTGCAATATCGAAAATGTAAAATCTTTGAATTTCCTCTGGTAAGGTAGTATAGAGATAGACCTTTAGGAAATCTTCATTAGATTCTTGAGAATCAAGAATTGAAACATCAATATCAGTGATACCTTCATCTTCCAACATCTTTTTCATACTCTCCATCTTTTGCTTATTCGTAGGAGTTTGTTGTTCCTTTTCCAATTGTCTCTTAGTTGATTCTTCCTCGAGTTGTCTAATTTGTTCATTCAATTCCTTGTTAATTTGTTGAATTTTGAAACTTTCAGCCACTTCCCTTTTATGTTCTTCAAGTAATCTCTTCTCAGCCTCATAATCAAAGGACATGACATTGCCAAATGAAAAATCAATGACAGGCTTGTTTTCTGAAGGCTTACAAAACTGTGCATAACAATCATCATTGAATAAATCCATGCTATCTTCAGTATTTACAGGTGAAAGCTTGTTAGAGGTTTGTGACATTTCAATCATTACTTCATCCACAACTTGTGCTTCTGAATAAGATTCGGAAGGCTTGATCACTTCCTCAATATTCTTCTCATTGCTTCGATCATCAGCTCTAGATTCCAAAGATGATGAAGATGACAAAGATAATGATAAGGAAGTTGTCGAATCAGAGGACAATTCGTCCATAATAATGACATTCTGTTGTATGTTGAGTGGTACTGGCGATTCAACAGATGATTCATCATCCAATACAACTTCTTCAATAGGAGGAGGAGCAGAGAAGGCTTCCACAACAATAGCCTTTGTTTCTTCAACTTCAATCTTTCTCACTTTTGGTTTGGAGAAGAAGGTGTCGAGCCTGAGTTGTTTAGTGTCGTCCTTCTTGGGAGTGTTGGATCGGGAGGGTGAGACAAGGCTTGATTTTCTCTTCTTGTTGTTTGCAGTGGGCGATTTGAGTGCAGACTTTGGTGGCATTTTTTTTGATGTAATTTGAAACATTTTTCATTTATTTAAAATTTTAAATGTAACGGTCAGATTTTTGAAACTGCCAAAATTCAGCAAGCCAAGATAACAACAAGATCATGTGAGGAGTTCTCAACTCTAAACTTGACTTTCCACAATTTAATCCAACAATTCCCTTTCAAATTATCTACACCGATATTATCGAATTCCAAAAAGGAAGGCCACCAATCGATTCTCGTCCAAAACAGCAAATTTTTTAAGCAATTACTCCACTCTACTTCCATCAAGTTAAAAAGAACGAACTCAATTTCCAACTCTCTGATAACATTAAATAAAAACAATTGAAACTCATAGAAGAAAACAAGCTAACCTCAAACAAGCAGAAAGAGAGTTTATGAGTTTCGTATTAGCAAACTAAAGAGAATTGTATTATTATTAGGGTAAGTTATCAAGTCAGTAATCTCTGAGCAAAACAACAAACTTCGTCATCATATTCAATTTGGAAATTTTATTTCAATATTAATAACAATTAACCGCGCCGTCACTTATCTTTCGTATTTCTTCTACTTTGACTACTCTCAATTTGAATATCAAATAATGTCAACTGATGTTTTTTTGATGGAATGTGTATTGAAATATAATGTATCAAAACGGTATCATCTCTAGTCATTTGTGAATCTACTCACCCAACTATTAATGTCTGCATTGGAAGAAACTCTTTCGAATATCTCTTCATTCAACTAAAAAACAAATAAGCAACAACAATAAGAATGACCAACAACACTCAGACTTCGCCACCACCTGAGGCTGGTTCTCCAGAATCTAATAGACCTTCATCGCCAATGAATTCTTCCACCACTACTTCTTCATATTTAAATGACAATAATTCATCACCACCTTTGGAAGGAGCAACTAATCAAACTAAGAACACAACGACTGCATCTTCGCCTCCTATTCATATCTCAACAACAGATACATCCTATTGGAAACAAAACAAATGTTTCGTCTAATGTTTCCATTAAGAAAGTAGTAACCATTGCATCACCTTCTTCAGTAAACAAACCACCAGCTCAATCACAAGCTGGTATTGTCAATCAGAGCGAAAGTGGTAGATCAGGAGGTTCTTTCAGTCACAGTAAAATCACCGTACGAACATGTTGTGGTGTGGTTGAGTTGACTTCAATGAAATTAGCTTGTTTACTTGGTATGATGGTTACAGTAATTGGTTTATTAGTTTTGGCAGCTGTTGCCATTGCTGCCTTTGTTACTGCTAGCTCAAAAGCAACCGACATTTTGATTGCTGTTGGTAAAGCTACAACTATATTCGAAAGTTCAAATTCAATGGTTCTGAAATATACCTATACTGGATATTCATATGATGGTCAGAATATTGTCGTTCAGGAACAGTATAAGAATTCATCAACAACTATGAAAATACTCCTTCAATCAATTTTTAAGAATTTGGACGATTCTACCATTCAAACCATGTTCAATTCGACTGTTATTGAATCTTCCAATTCATTGGATTCACAGAATTCTCAAATTTTATTAATGATTGGTTACAATCAACAGAGTGATGCCATTACAAGAATTAATTCAGATACCTATTCCACTATTTTGTCAACTTTCCAAGATGGTTTGGATAAGTTGGTGACATTTGTGCAACAATCTGAAAAGAACAAAGACACGAGTGTGTTGGCAATTACTTTGGTTCAATTGATTGTCATTGCTATTTCATTATTTGTCATTTTGCCAATCATTGTGTTTGTCTTTACTTATGCCATCAATCGTGACTCTTTGTATTTGGAGAAGATTCGTCGTGCCAATGCCATCATGTTGATGGACACTATGGAGGATGATGGATTGAGAACATTATTTAAGATACATTGTGAAAAGGAAAAGTCAACTGAAAACTTTTTACTTTTGGAAAAGATTCAATATTATAGATCATTGTGTGAACGTTCATTGGATTTACAAATGAGATTATTTGGTGATGCCAATATGTTGAGTGATGTTTCGAGTGATATTTCAGCAGAATCTGCTCATTCTACAAAGAAGAGGAGGGAATCTCCACTCGAAAAGGAATACACAGAAATTGAAGCTAAAAAGTATGAAGTTGCTTTTGAGATATTTACTGAATTTTTGGAAGTTACTGGTGATATGGCTGTCAATATTTCTCATGTTCTAACTGATTCTGTTAAGGATAAGCTTGATAAGTATAACGACAAGCAAATTGAAACACTTCCCGATGATATGTTCAATATTTTGGAGAAGGAAACTTGTTTGGTAATGATGGATACTCACCACAGGTTTAAGCAATCACTTGCTTTCCAACGTGAAATGAAGATTGATAAGATTAAGATTGACAAACTGAAAAAGAAGAGAAATGTAGATTTTTAATATAAAGCAAATAAAAACTTTTAGTGATAATTAGTGGGCATTCCCAAGTTTAAACATCTACAGCCTACAAATGTACTTACATCTCAATCTGGCCATTTCAATCTTCCAATCTAAATCCAAACACAATATTTTCTCACGTTAGAATTTGGTTTATTTACAAAAACATGTTAGGTCAGTGAATTTACAGGTTATATCTTGGTTAGAATCAGAACAGAAACGAAAGAGATTCTCTCTCATTCGTTTAGTGTACTTGCAGGTGAGTCCATCTATTTGTTCTTCATTGCTCAGGTAGGAATAATAGTCCAAAGATTCAATAGTTCTTTGAACTTCGTCCTCTTTGAGTTCAATATCAATACTATTATCATAGTAATTGGGAATGAGGGAGAGGAAACAACGTTGTTGTCCTCTCACTAGATAAATCAATCTATCAGATGTTGCTCTTTCCATTGCCATGTTCAAAATTCGTTTGAAAAGTACTTCAACTTGTTCAACAAATTTTTCCTCAGAAAGCAGGAAGAACCTATAACATAGGAGATAGAATTTTTCATTCATACTCTTAAAGATTGAAAAATTGTTAGGGTGTAATGAGATTGCTCTAGAGAAGAGTGTTTCAGATCGCTTATCCTCACCATCCTTATAGAGACAATAGCCAAGTATTGAGAGGAGAACTGGATTGAATTTACCTTCCACTGGGAATAATCTCATTACTTTGGTAAGATTATTTGCTACAAGGTTGGATTCACCCAGAGCACACTCAATCGATCCACAGAAAGATCCACGTCCATTCAGTAGAAATGAGTCCTGAAAGTATTGTTCAGGGAGGGAAATTCTCTTATTGGATAGGTTAATGACCTCTCTTGGAGATTTAATCTTGGCAAAAATGTTGGCTTCTTTGAGAGATTTGAGTGATATCTGGTTCATCTTTTTGAGAGTATGGCCACCACTATCATGGAATACCAAATCGTGAATTTTGGCTCTCAACATGAGTTCTTCATCAGATGAAGTGCAGTTTGGTTGTTGGGGATGGTAATTTGAAACTGAGGATGAAGTATTGGTCAACTGTTCTAAAGTGTGACAAACGAGTGCAATTTGACACAGTACTCTCGATGGAATCAAATTACCAAAGGCCATACTCTTACACAGATATCTATATTGCATACGGAGTTGATCTGGTGGTACTGTTTCTGTGGAGACTTGTTGGCAATTCGATGCAATATATTGTAATCGCCACAATTCTCCCATTGTAACATCTCTATGGTGTTGGTAAATGAAATTAATATCCTTCTCGAAGTTATGTTGAAAGATGTGTTGCTGGTTGTGGTCTTTCATTTTACGAAGTGAGACAAAATCCAAATGAGAATGTTGTGAATGATTCAATGTTGAAGAATGATTTCTAGTATTTGTTCTGTGGTGATGTCGAGAACAATTAAGCTTGGAGTAAACTTCCTCTCCAAGAGCTATTCCCTTTGAGGATGTCTTTTTCATTTCCTCAAAGTTTCCACAAATGTAATACTCTACTGAATCAATCCATAATTCAATCCTCTTCAATATACTCTCCTGTGTTTGTTGTTGGACTTTTAGTGGAGAGAAGTGTATTACTGTTCCTTCCTCTTGATGGTTCTCTTTTGAATTCTGATACGATAGTGCAACCAATTTCATTTGTTTCAAATAATCTCTGGCAATTTCTATATAGTGCAGTGCTTCTTTTAATCTTTCTCTACACGGACTCAACAATTCATTTCTCAGAGTTTCATCATGAATTGTATCTCCCAAAATCTGAGCATACAATAAGGGAGCAAGAAAATGTTTCTCCTCCTCTTTCGAATATTTACAAGTGGCTTGCTTTAAACATCCCAATGCAGATTCAATTTCCAACCTTTCGTATTGAATAATTGCTTCATCAATTAGTTTCCTATACTCCTCAATCATTAAATTCCTCTTCTTCTTTCCATCAAATGCATTGATTGTATTACTGGTACAAACAGCAGTATTATGATGTATTGAATGATTAGAATGTTTCGTTAGGAGACAAGCAGAAGAAGAAGAAGAACCATAACATTGAAACAGAATTAAAAGAGGATCATCATGTGGACAACAATTACAATGATTTTTCGTAAAATCAAAATAGAAAGGATTCAAATAGTGTTGGGATAGAATAACTCGAGAGGGTGAAGTAGGCGTTCTTCTCATCTCTATGGCTCTTCAATATTTAAATCTTCTCGATCCGAAATGCTCTTTGATGTTCAAATCATCAAGAATCAAACTTTACCGCGCAGAGTTTTCGTTACGTAAAAGGCAGCAGTTTGAGAGTTTTCTTTTTTTCTTTTGAGGTTCTTGTTGTAGTTTTTGGTAGAAATGCATTTTGAGAAACGTGATAGGAAGGAATGAGACCAATTTATCTCTCTTGTTTAATGTCTCACTTTGTAAGATGATTTTTAATCAGCATCAGCATCATAGGAATGAAAAATAATAAAAATCAATGATGAAGAATTAGATTTGTTCCGATGTAGAAGAATATGTAATAATTAGTGAAGGAAGAATATTGTTCTTCTTTTTAGAATAACATGTAAGAGTAGGAAGAAATAACTGATAGATTATGCACCCGCTTAAGAGGAGAAATTATCTTCAATTATTTTTAGAGTTGACCAATCGCGTAGATTTAAAATGTGGGTCCTAAATTCATTTGTTCATCTCAATTCATCAAAAAAAACATCAACACGACATCTTTGTCATCTTTGTATTAAACCAATCATCTTTAAAAATCATTTAAAAATACAACCACAACAATGAGATCATCAAGAAAATTACTCAAACTTGCTCCATTATTTGCTGTAGCTTCGTATGGAGTTATATCAATGAAGGATACAGATCTTGTCTCTAAATTTTTTAATTATGATCGTAAACAGTTCTATCATCAATTCATGCCAAATCATCACTTTCTAGTTCAGGCCGAGGAAGAAACTTTGAAACCACAATCTGGTGTGGTGACTGGTAACTTCCCACAAATGGCAATTATCAGCATTAAATTGAAAGATTACAAGAATTATGAAAAGGTTTTGAAAGCAGTTTCTCTTGTTCCTTCAATTGTTGAGGAATTGACAGGAGATAAACAAGTCGATGCAGAAGATGAATTTGCATTGCCACCTGTCATGATTAATGTTGCACTGAGTACTAGATTTTGGAACTTTTTAAATTCAAAAGATGGAGCTACCTTCAAAAAGCCAGAAGGTTACACTAAGGATTATGAAACTAAAACAGGAGAGTTTGGTTCAATGCCATATAAGGAAACTGAAATTGTCTTGCATGTAAAGGCAGAGAATACCTCAATTTGTTATCAAGCCATTGATCAATTTTTGTCCAATCTCCCAAAGGATGCACTTGAATCAGTGAATGAACATTACGGATTCCAATATCAAGATTCAAGAGATTTGAGCAAATTCATTGATGGTATCAATAATCCATCCGGAAATGATGATCGTTCAGTAGCTGCTCTCAATTCACAAAAGGGAAGTTTCCTCATTCATCAAAAGTGGGTCCATCACCACCATTTAGATTCCAAATTTTCAGTTAAGGATCAGGAGGCATTCGTTGGAAGGGAGAGAGTTTCTGGAGCCGAATTACCAACTCTACCACCCTCTTCACACGTTGCCAGAATGAGACGACCAAATGGTGATATCATTCCAATTGTGAGACAGAGTTTCCCTTATGGTACAGTGAGTGGAGAACATGGATTATTGTTCATTGCTTACAGTAATAACATTGAAAAGTATGAAACTCTATTGGATGCCATGGTTGGTAAAGTGCACGGCAAACATAATGATGCCATCATGAAATTCTCCAATTGCCACTACTCTAATTATTATTACGTTCCATCCATCAATGAATTGAATTCTATCAAGACAAAATTTAATAAATAATGAATACTTATAATAAAGTGAAATAAGTAGCTATTCACAAGCCCTTAATCAGTAATTGATGGATAACCTTGTTGCTTCTACAGTTCATCGGTTATGAACCAGTCACAAGGCCATACAAGTTAAAGGACGAGCAAATCTCCTTAACGCCCGTAATCTCTACTACTGTAAAATCCAAAGTGCATTTTCTTATCTTTAAAAAAACGGCAAGTTTGTTCATCTGTTGCTGCTTAACAGAACCCTACCACTAGGCTAACTAAGAATAAGGGTCCTTCCTTATATTCTTCTACACACACTGAATAGATCAGATTACGCGGTAGTTAACAAGAACACTATGCTTAAAAATTCAAGAGCTGGTCTTTTGACCCTATTGTTGTTTATCGCATGCTTGATAATTAGCATGGAGGAGCAACATGTTGAGGCTCGTGGTGGTAGATATTACAGATCACTTGTACAGGTAAATAATATTATAATATTTTATTGTATTAACATGAATAATAACAATAGAAATGTACATCTTGGGGAGATCCACACATTCGCAAGTTTGGGCGAGGTGGCTTTGACTATTATTCCATCAGTGAATATACACTGGCAGAGACTTCTGACAAGGCTTTTATTATGCAGGTCAGAACTGGTCGTCTTGTCAGTGTTAGTGGTAATACTGCATTTGTTATTAAATTTGATGGAGAAACAACTATTGAACTAATTGCTCAATGCAATTGTTTCAGATTGAATGGAGAACCTATTGATATTGCTCTCAACAAACCATTACAATTGACATCAAAGGGATCTACTCTCACGAGACCAAGTGAATTTTTCGGTATTTTCAAATCAGCAAATGGTGCTACCATCATGTACTCATTCTTTTCGAGGGGAGAAACTCGTTATCTTGATTTCAGTATTGATGCACCAACTAACCTTAATTTCTCACATGGTTTTTGTGTTAGTTCTGCTAAGGGAGCCATTAATGACAATCTCTTCTACAAGCCTCTTGAAAAGACTAGAACCATCAAGGCATCAAGTGTAAATAATAAGCTTTTCGATAAGGTAACCGATACCCAACAACAAAAAGCTGAGAATACTTGTAAGAAGGCAGGAATAGACCCTAAGAAACATCCAAATGACTATAGTTCTTGTGTAATTGATGCTTTGATTGATCCAAAGAATGCCAAACAGATTGCCAAAGGAATGGTCAAGAATCAAAAGAGGGAAGAAAAAGCAGCTATTTCTGTCGCTAAGGATACTATTCGAACAATGGATAAGAAGGATCTGGTAAAATTTATTTCCAAAATAGTTGTTTCTGAGGAAAAGAAGAAGGCTGCTGTTCAAGAAACAAAAACTCCAAGTGCAAAAACTGTTTCCAAGACTTTGAAGGCATTGTCTGTTGATAACTTGATCAATACATTGGATAAGATTATTGACAATAAGAAGGTTACCGTAAAAACCATTAATTCTACAAAGAAGAAACAAGAAAAGGAACAACATAAGGCTAAAAACAATTCCGAAATGAAACAAACTCAAGGTGTTTCTCCAAAAGTTACTGAAAACAAATTTAAACAAGAAGTTCAAAAAATTACTGAAGGAAAGAGTCCAGTCAAGAGATTGATTAAAACCAAGTCAATTGATGACAAGCCAATAACAGTTGAAAAAAAGATTAAATCAAAGGTTGCTCAAGAGTCTCTCGTACCAAAGAAGAATGTTGAAAAGAGGACACAACAAACTTCAAAGATCAACTTTGGAAAGAATGACACCACCTTTAGAAAGAGAAAGAAGCAGACTTCTACAGCAACAAAGAAAGAAGCCAAACCAAAGAAGAAGTCAACCAAGGTTGAATCTGATTTCACTCAATCTTTTGATTCCAAACCAGTTGTCGAAAAGAAGAAGCCAAAAACTTTAAATATTGAATCTCAATCTGTTTCAACTAAAAAGCCAGCAACCTCTCAAAAAATTACTGAGGGAAAGAGTCCTGTTAAGATATTGATTAAAACCAAGTCAGTTGATGACAAGTCAATAACAGTTGAAAAAAAGATTAAATCAAAGGTTGCTCAAAAGTCTCTCGAACCAAAGAAGAATGTTGAAAAGAGGACACAACAAACTTCAAAGATCAAGTTTGGAAAGAGAAAGAAGCAGACTTCTCCTTCCACAAAGAAAGAAGCTAAATCAAAGAAAGCTGATGATGAAGAAATGAAACCAAAGAAGAATTCAACCAAGGTTGAATCCACTCAATCTTTTGATTCCAAACCAGTTGTCGAAAAAAAGATTAGTCCAGTTACGAGATTTATTACAACCAAGGCGGTTTCTACAAAGAGTGATCAAGAAACTAAACCAAAGAAGAAAAAAGAGGTTGAAGCGCCAAAGAAGAACTCAAAAACTACTTCAGAAAAGTCCAAGAAACAATCAAAGAAATCAAAGAAGCAAGTTGAGCAAACATCTGAAAAATCAGGAAAGAAAAATACAAAGAAAGTTTCCAAGAAGACAACTGAAATCAGTGATTCTTCAAAGAAGACATCTGACATCAAAGAAACTAAACCAAAGAAGGGTAAGAAGTTGGTCAAGGATAGCTCTGAAAAGAAGGTTAGTAAATCAGTGAAATCATCAATGAAGACAAAATCAAAGAAGGAAGTTGATTCTCAACAAGATATACCAAAGAAGACCTCTGAAGGCAAGGAAACAAAACCAAAGAAATCTGCCATTTCAAGTAAATCTGTCGATTCATCTCCAACCATTAAGCAAGAAACAAAACCAAAGAAAGGGTCTTCTGGAAAGAATGGTAATGTTTCAAATGAAACACCACAGAAATCAAAGAAGGAGGACTCCAAGATTTCTTATCAAGAAAAGAAGCAAAAAAAGAAGGTAAAAAAGGTAAAGAAGGGAGCTTCAACATCTAGCAAAAAATCAACCTCTGAAACAAGTGCTAAATCAAAGAAGGATAGTTCTCGAAATGAAGATGAAATTTCAATTCCTTCCAAGAAATCAAAGGGTGGAAAGAAAAAGGATTTAACTAGTTCAGTTGATGCTGCAAAAAAGCAAAAGAGCAAGAAGGAACAAGTTCAAAGTAATGATGAATCCACAACCATTCAAAACAAAAAGAAAAAGAGAAAGGACACAAGCACTTCTAACTCTTCTGTCGAAACTCCAAAGAAGGACAAGGCTTCCAAGAAGAACGCTAATTCTGAAGATGAAGCACCAAAGCTTAGAATTCCAATTAGGAAATCCAGACAAGCTCAAGGTAATGAAGAAACACCAATTCAATCAAAGAAATCAAAGGGTGGTAAGAAAAAGATTCCAAAGGTAGATAAATCCAACAAGTCGGAAAAATCACAAGATAAACCAAAGCTCAGAATTCCATCCAGAAAAACCAGTCCATCTCGAGATGATGAAGAAGTACCAAAACTTAGAATTCCAACTAGAGGTCAATCCAATTCTCCAAAGAATGCTCCAAAGCAAAGTGAAACTTCATCTCAACAAAGAATCGAATCAGGTATGATGACTATCAAGTCTGTTGATTCTGTTCCAGTTACTGTTGAAAGAACCCAAAAGAATACAATCTCTACACCAAAGGTTAGAATTCCAACCAAGAAAGGGAAAGATTCAAAGAAACAACCAAAGACTGAATCAATAAGTTCTTCTCAAAATGAAAGTGCAATTGACTTGGCTTCTGAGAGAGTGGAACCAACTCGTCGTCTTCGTGAAACAGCAACAACAGAATCAAGTGGTAAGAAGAAGAAGGAAACTGTTGAATCTGCTCAACAAATTCCTTCCGAAGAGGTTAGAGAAGTGAGCGAACCAGCCCTTTCTTCTGAAACATCAAAACCAACATCCAAAGGTAAACCAAAGGAAAAGAAATCCAATAGAAGATCCAAGAGAACCTCTCACAATGTATCCCGTTATGTCCCAATTGAGAAAAGTCCACAATCCAGAGCTGTAGAAAAACCAACATCTGTGAATCAATCTATTAAGACCATCATTAATGTTCCTACGCCTGCAGTTCCAAAACAAAAACAATGTAGACCCTCCAAAGTACCATCCCCAGATAAGAAATTGATCTCACAATTGTCCAAGTTGAAGAGAAGAAACGAGAAATTAGCTCGTCATCTCAAGCAAGTTACTCGCTTCAATCAACAACAAACAGCTTGGAATAGAAAGATGTCCCAATCTCTTCGTTCTGAACATGAAAGTAAGGACAGATTAAAGCACTATCTCCAACGATTAAGACTTGAATTATCTGACCTAGAGAGAAGTAATCAATTTCAACAAAATCAACAACCAACTGCCGTTACAAATGATAACCAGCAATCTATCGTTCTCAATGTTGTAGGTTCACCAAATTTACAATAAACAGTAATTTACAACGGCGTATAATATACTTCCTACTGTTCCCATGAAGGGCGAGGATTTTTATTGTATTAATAAATAGAAAATATATCTAGTCCATCTCTTACATCACAATTAATTGGATTCACCACCACATAATGTGATCAAGAATATGATGAACTCCAGTTACCTTAAAATTCCTTAGCTTTGAAGAATTACCTGTGTTGCTTATCCCGCAAAATCCTTATACACGTAACTCCCACAAAGCTAGAGATGGCTCAATATGGCAATTGAATGATATTACTAGACCAAAAGAGGCTATTGAGGATTCACTTCAGCAGTTTGGTGTGCTATTTAGCAGCGAAAAACAAGTGAGCGAGATTCTAGATGTACAGTAAATTGTTATCCGAACTCACAGTATAAATTCACTTTGTACATCTAAATTACCGTTCACTTTGTGATTCATCCTTATCATCTATAAAAAAACAACATAAAGCCATACTAAGATGTCATCGAGAGATTTATCCTATTCATTCTTGATTGTTTCCTTGTTGTTACTTGGCATGTTGCTGGGAGTACATGCTGCTGGTCCTGCAGTTATTAATGCTAAATCAGTCATCAATGCTGTTGTTAAGGTAAGTGTTGATAGTTGAAATTCTGTCGGTTGATATCGTGTTTTTATCTCATTCAACCTTACTCCTCATTAAATTCCATCCTTAATGTTTCCATTCAATGCCAATAGAAATGTGTTTCTTCAGGCGACCCTCACTTGAGAACATTTAGTGGTACAAGATTTGACTATTATTCTGTTGGTGAATATGTCTTGGCTGAAGCTGCCGACAAATCCATCATGATTCATGCTCGTACTGGTAAATTGAATGCTGTTTCTGGTAACATTGCTGTTGCTTTAGCACTGGACCAGGAAACAGTTTTGGAATATCATGCTAACGGTGCTTACTTTGTTATTGATGGTAAGAACGCTACCATTAAATCTGGTGAAACTGTTTCATTGGGAACTAAGGGAGCATCTGTAACATATAACAAAGGAAACGTTGCTGTTAAGAGTAGTTCAGGAGCTTCTGTTGACTTGTATGGTTGGTCCGTCCCAAACCAACTCTCATATTTTGACATTTCCTTTGAAGCTCCAACCACACTTGATATTAATTATGGTTATTGTGTCAGTCAATCAATGGGTACTCAAAAGGATGGAAGTTACTTTAACAAGCCAATTAAGAGAGTTGCATTGATCAAGACTGCTAGTATTAATGCTGAGCTCAAGGAAGCAACTCCAGAAGAAAAGAAACAAGCTCGTGCAGCATGTTCTAAGATTTCTGAAAAGGACCATCCAAATGATTTCAAATCGTGTTACACTGATGCCTTGCTCAACCCAGAACTTGCTTCAAAGTTTGCTAAGGGTATTGTTGGTATGCAAAACATGCAAAAGGTATCAATGAAGGAAGTTGCTAAGGATGCCCTTTCACAAATGGATAAGAAGGATATTGTCAAGCTTGTAGCTAAGGCTACTGTTTCAGAAGCTAAGAAGAATGAAGTTCCAACCGCTTCCACTCAAAAGATTACTTCTGCTTTGAACACCTTGTCAACTGACAAGTTACTTTCAACATTGGATAAGGTTATTGATAATAAGGCTACTGTAAAGATTGATCCAAAGGCCACCAAACCAGTCGAAAAGAAGATTACTCCAGCAAAGGTTGCCGTCAAGTCTGTTGATGCTAAGGTTCCAGTTGTCATGTCTTCCACCACTCAATCTTTAAAGCCAATTAAATTGGTGGAAACTCAAAAGGTTGTTGAAAAGAAGGTTGAACAAGTTGAAAAGAAGACTGAAACCCCAAAGGTTGTCGAAAAGAAGGTTAAAACTAAGGCTGAAAAAGTTGAAACAAAACCAGTAGAGAAGAAGACCAAGCCAGTCGAAACTCCAAAGGTTGTTGAAAAGAAAACAGTTGAATCCAAGCTAGTTTCTTCACCAAAGAATTCTACTCAAACTGTTTCCAAACCAGTTTCTACTGTTAAACCAACTAGTCAGCCAAAGAAACCAGCTACCAAGCCAAGTACTAAGAATGAACAACCAAAGAAGGTACAACCAAAGATCAGTAAGCCTGCAGCAAAGACTTCAACCTCTCCAAAAGTTGCTGCCAAGTCTGTTAACTCCAAGCCAGTTTCCGCTCAACCAAAGAAGCCAACTTCTTCTAAGCCAATTACCAAGCCAACAATTCCAGTTATTGAAAAGAAGAATACAGCTGTTCCAAAGACAAATTCTACTCAAACTGTAAAGACTGAAACCAAGCCAGTCTCAGAAATTAAGATTTCTTCTGTTCAATTCAAGTCAGTCAAATCACCAAAGGTTGTTTCCAAGAGTACTGAAACTATCAAACCAATTAAACAGAAGTCTGAAAAAACGAAACTAGTAACAAAGATCGTTTCTGCTCAACCAAAGCCAACAACCAAAATATCCAAACCAGCCTCTAAAACAGAAACTCCCAAGCCTGCTGCTAAGAGTTCATCCTCTACAAAGGTTGCTGTGAAGTCTGTTAAATCAGTTGCTCCAAAGAATGCTCCTGTCAAGTCAGTTTCTCCAAAGTCTTCAACCAAGAAGCCAGTTACTGAAAAGAAGGCAACCACTTCTAAGCCTACTATCAAGACTTCAACTTCTCCAAAGGTTTCTGTAAAGTCTGTAAAATCAGTTCCAGTTAAAAAGGCTCAACCAAAGAAGTCAACCTCTTCAAAGCCGGCTACTTCTAAACCTATTACCAAACCAGTTTCTACTAAATCAACTAGTCAACAAAAGAAGCCAACTGCTACCAAGACAAGCACTAAGAATGAACAACCAAAGAAGTCTTCAACAACTCCAAAGGTTGAGACAAAATATTTTGAAAAGAAGTCTGAAACTTCACCTATTAAGGTTGCCTCTGTTTCATCACCAAATGTTGTCAAGTCAGTTGCTGAAAAGAAGCCAGTTACTAAACCAGCTACTCCAAAGAAGACAACTACTTCTAAGCCAGCTACAAAGACCTCTCCAAAGGTTTCTGTAAAGTCTGTAAAATCAGTTCCAGTTAAGAAGGCTCAACCAAAGAAGTCAACCTCTTCAAAGCCAGCTACTTCTAAACGTGTTACCAAACCAATTTCTACTAAACCAAGTAGTCAAGCAAAGAAGCCAACTGCTACCAAGAGTTCATCCTCTCCAAAGGTTGTTAAATCAGTTCCAGTTAAGAAGGCCCAACCAAAGATCAGTAAGCCTGCAACAACGACTTCAACCTCTCCAAAAGTTGCTGCCAAGCCAGTTTCCGCTCAACCAAAGAAGTCAACAACCTCCAAGTCTTCTGCTTCTAAATCTGCTACCAAGACTTCATCTCCAAAGGTTGCTGTAAAGTCTATCAAGTCAGTTCCAGTTAAGAAGGTTGAAGATTCAATTAAGGTTGCTTCTGTTTCATCACCAAAGATTGCTGTAAAATCTGTAAAGCCAGCTTCTCCAAAGAAACCAACCAAGAAGTCAGTTGCTTCAAAGCTTGTTAAGTCAAAGACTGCTGAAAAGCTAGTTTCTCCAAAGAAGTCAACTACTAAAACAGATACTCCAAAGAAGGCCCAACCAAAGAAGTCAACCTCTTCAAAGCCGGCTACTTCTAAACCTGTTTCCAAACCAGTTTCACCAAAATCAACTAGTCAACAAAAGAAGCCAGCTACCAAGCCAAGCACTAAGAATGAACAACCAAAGAAGTCTTCAACAACTCCAAAGGTTGAGACAAAATATTTTGAAAAGAAGTCTGAAACTTCACCTATTAAGGTTGCCTCTGTTTCATCACCAAATATTGTCAAGTCAGTTGCTGAAAAGAAGCCAGTTACTAAACCAGCTACTCCAAAGAAGTCAACATATTCTAAGCCTGCTACAAAGACTTCATCCTCTCCAAAGGTTACTGTAAAGTCTGTCAAAACCGTTGCTCCAAAGAAAGCTACTCCAAAGAAGTCAGAAAAGAAATTAGAGGAAAAGAAATCAAAGACTGTCTCAAACCCAAAGAAACAAGTTTCCAAGACTGAAAAGCCAAAAGCTAAACCAACTTCTCAACAAAAAAAGCAAGATACCAAACCAAAGAAAAGTTCAACAACTCCAAAGGTAGAAACAAAACCATTTGAAAAGAAGTCTGAAACTTCATCAATTAAGGTTGCTTCTGTCTCCTCATCAAAGCTTGCTGTAAAGTCTGTTTCTACTAAACCAAAGATTGCTGTTTCTCCAAAGAAACCAACCAAGAAGCGAGTTGTTGAAAAGAAGTCAACTACTAAGAAGGCTCAACCAAAGATCACTTCTCCTAAATCTGCTACCAAGACTTCCTCTCCAAAGGTTGCTGTTAAACCTCAATCAGTTACTCCTAAGTTTGCTGTAAAGCCTGTTGCTTCCAAATCAAAGATTGCTGTCAAGCCAGTTTCTCCAAAGAAACCAACCAAGAAGCCAGTTATTACAAAGCCTACTGCTCCAAAGATTTCAGGTAAATCAAAAGTAACTCCAATGCAATCAGGTGTCAAGATTCCAATTCACAATGCTCCAATGCAAGTTGTAAAGAAGCCAGCTGGAACAGTCAAGAAGTCAAACAAGAAGTCACCAAAGAAGCCACACAAGAAGTCACAAAAGAAGAGAGATGCCAAGAAGAGTTCACAAGCCAAGCCTGCCAGACCATCTTCTCAAAATGTTAACACTCAACAAGTTAATGCTTCTCCAGTAGTCAACGTTCCAGTCTCTGTTCAATTGCCAGCTCAACCAATTTTGGAACAACAAGAAAGATTCAACAAAAGACAATCTTCTTGGAATCAATATGTTCAAAACACTTTCAGAAATGAAGCATCTATCAAGGGACAAATTAAGAATTATTTGCTTAAATTGAAGCAAGATGTTGAACAATTAAGAAGAGATAACACTGCTCAAAAGGAAGCTCTTCAAAGATTGAGAGCCCAACAAAGTGTTAGACCAAGTGGCGCCAACTTTAGTGAAAAGGTTCATGATTTGATTGGAGCCATCAAGAGTATTTAAATAAATGTATTGTTTATTCTCTCATTGTTCTTTTTTGAGTGGCAATGTTGTTGATATTTTAAATTTTTGATTCTGATTGAATAATCAATCCATAAATGTTAAAATTATCCAAACTCCAAGGCAGTGTTATGGTATTAAGGGTATTAAGTAATCTCTCCAAATGCAGGTGATTTCACAATATCCAAGGTTTCATCAGTTTGCAATAGAACTATTATGTAAACTTTGATTAATTTAAAATAAGGGTACTCTCAACCTTTTTCAGTCAACTGAATGTCGGATTCTGTAAAAGCTGTACTCATCAAGAAGGTGTTTGATATTTGGTAACAGCTTAGCCTTATTGATCTTTTTACACCCATTGATATAAATCTTTGAAATATTATTACATTTTTTAACAATACTATTAATTGTCTTCTCAGTAATTTCACAATACTGAAGATCTATTTCTTCTAGGTTAGGTAAATTGGAAAGAGTCATACCACTCTCATCATGTATTTGATCTTGACTCAAATTTAAAAGGAAAACCTTTTTCAAACTTGTTATCATTGAAATATGCTTTGTTCCGATATCTCCACAAGTTGAGCTTTGTGTAACAGATAATAGCTCAAGGTTAGGGAGGTTCTTAAGGTATTTGAAATCATCTCTTTCATGTCCACGTGTACAATCAAGATACAGACTTTTAAGAGACACTAATTCTGAAATACCTTCAAACAATTGTGAATTAATCTTTGTGTGTTCTAAATCAAGGAAAGTAAGCGTTGAAGGTAGTCTATTAAAGGTCGAAAGACAAATTGAGTCGTGTCGAACAGTCAGCTTTTCAATTTTCAAGTCGCTGAGAGCTTTTAAGAACTCTGTTTGTTCATCTCCTATTGCTACTTCAATTGAGCGTGAGTAAGAAGATTGAATTGATACATTCACTTCCTTCAATTCTTGCCAGTTTCCAATAAAATTTCCACATTTTCCAATGGAGACAGAAGATTCAATTATTAGTTTTTGAAGTTTAGGGGTTGATTTGGAAATTTTCTCCATGCTTTCAACAGAAAAATAATCTCCCAAATAAGCAAATTCCTTCATGTTTTGAATTTTACAGATGGAATCAGAAGCCTCAGCCATGCTGAAAGATTTTTGATACATGTACCCTTTCGTAGGCATGTTGGTGTATCCAAGTCTTACTATTTCAAGGTTTGGAAAATTATTTGCTCCAAACTCAACAGCACTTTCAAAGGTCTCCAATCTTTGCAAATCAATTTTGGTTACCTTTTCACAAAGTGACTTATCCTTTTCAAAAACATTTGAAATATAGGTGAGTCTTTTGGAAATTCTTTCTTCTAAATCTGTTGGTGCTTTTCTTCTATCTACAATATTCAGCCAACACATCGTTCTAAAGTAGTCGTCAATTGGTAAATTAAGACTTGTCATTATTGTTAACAAGCGGTGATATTCAGTTGCAGAACGACGATCATCAATAGAAACTACTGCAGCTCTCTTGAAAATCAATTTTGGGGCAGTGTCTGTTCCTCTGTTTGTGAACTTTCCAAAATATTGCTTATAAAACAATGATTCATCAAATTTCAATGAATTTAAATCTATTTCTCTAGTAGGAATCACTACAGGATTCAAACAAACTTTAAATCCTGGTCCAACATAATAATCTAAAATTTCTAAAACAATTTCTGGAGGAAGAATACTCAACAACTCTTTATCCAAACCCTTCTTCACTGGCTTTTTTGTTTCCTTGTTTGCTTGATTAGTAGTACTTGCAGTTTTAGTAATCTTCTTTCTAACTACAACCGGATGTTTTTTAGATTGTTGAGGAAGTGGATTTGATGTACGTGAGGGTGAATTTACCTTACTTGATCCGCCATAAATAGAGACTGCCTTCTTATGAGAAGTTTCTGGTTGAAAGTTTGGCTTTGAATCTCCATCTCTTGCCTTGATAAATTTATTGTTGGGTGATGGCTCTACAGTTTTTTTCATATTTTTTTTGAGCATGAACTTGCCTTGATGTTTTAACTTGTGCGTTACGCAAAATAGGTTTAGAATGGTAATATCACACATCTACTCTACTGTGGGTATTATTAAATCATTATTTGATTCTACAGGAACGTTCAGGAGAAATTCTTGTCCTTTCAATCCTTTGGAAAAATCATTTTCTGAAATTTCTGATAATTCCATAATTGGAGGAGATTAATTGTACCTTTGAAACCAAAAAAAAAGAAATAAAAATAAGGAAAATGAAGAATATTATCCTGCTATTGATTTGTAAAAAGAGTATTTTTTGTTGTAATAATATTAAACTTATATTCTTTCCAATTTTCAATTCTTAAAAAAAAAGCAAAACAATCCAAAGGCTTCCAATATCATCAAGCCTAACAAAAATTACAAAGCCTTTAAATTCCTCCAAACCATCAACAACTTCATCATCGACAACTATTGATAGTCGTGATGTAATTAAATTAATGTTACAAGTTTGTAGGGGAAATACCATGATTGAAGGTTATATTTGAATGGATAGAATTATCGGAAGGTTTTTAATGAATATTCATGTGATTTCTAATGATTTTAAGAGAGGAAGAACCTGCTAGATTTAAAAAGTTGGAACATGTTGTAAATAATGCAAAACATTTTGATAATTTAATTGCCTATGATATAAATATTATTGGAAACGCAATTCAATATCAAAAAGTTAAACAAGGGTGATGATTTTATTAGATCATACTATTAAGAATGTTAAAAAAGCATCGGAGAAGTCCATTATTACTCCACACCTGAAAACCTTTTCTCAAGAATTTTCACCATTGTAGTGTAGCAGTTATTGTTGTAGTGTAGCAGTTGTTGTGTTTCCAGAAACCATTCTAATTTTGCTCTTTTGCAAACAACTAACATCTGACCTTCAGCATTTTAAAACGATCTCTTCCTATACTACAATACCCTTATTGTGTTCAATGCTCTCGTTAATGGCCCACTGTAAATGCCACACCCCAAAGCAATGTTCAAAAAAAGAACACACACAACGTTTCTCTCTATAGTGTATGCAAAAATGATTAAGGCTAGAAGGAGTAACTTTTCACTTTTAATTGGGGTTGTCTTGGTGTGCATGATTGCATTCTTGAGCATGTATGCACATGCCGGTAAGAGCTCATCAGCACCACCACGAACTGCTGCTCCGTCCGTGGCTAGAGCTCAACTACCTCCACAGCCAGTTTCAAGAGCACCTCCGATGGCACAACCAATTTCAAGACAGGCAACTCCACAACCTGTATCAAAACCAACTCCAGTTTCTAAACCAGCTGCTGCTCAACCTATTGTTGCCAACGTTAATGAAAAGAAATCTTTCCCAAAGAAAGGAGATCCATCTTTTGTTGGACCTGTTCAACCAAAGAAACAATCATCAACACCAGCTACTTCTAAACCAGAAGTTCCAAAGGCAGGCGCCAAGAACAAGCCTGTCGTGGATATCAAGAAATCTAATGATGTTATAGTAGCAAATGTTAATGATAAGAAATCTGGTAGAAAGAAGGAAGAAACAAAACCTGAAAAGACTGTTGAACACAAGAAAGACAGTACATCTAGCAAGATTGAAAAGAAATCTGAAGAATCAAAGCCAGACACCAAGGTGGAACACAAATTTGATGAAAAGAAACCTGATATCAAGTCAAAGACTGAAAAAAAGAAAGAAGAAAAGACATCTTCTCATAAGGATGATGTAAAGAATTCTGAAAAGAAGGCCCAGAAATCTGAACTTAAGGAAGATAAGAAATCTGAAAATTATAATAAGATGACCAATGAGAAAAACAAGATGAATGATAAGAAATCTGATGTAAAGAAATCTTCAAAGAATTTAGAAGAAAATAAGAAGGAATCCGTTGAGCATAACAAGGCTAATAAGGATTCTGAAACTTCCAAACCAGATTCCAAAATGCAAGTCAAATCATCAGAAAAATCAAATTTAAAAAAGGATGAAAAAAAATCCGAACATAAGGAGGATAAGAAATCTGATAAGAAATTTGATAAGAAAAAGAAATCTGATAACAAGAAGGATGAAAAGAAATCTGATGACAAGAAATCTACCGAAATCAAATCTGATAAGACTGATCATAAGAAATCCAATAAGGATGATAAGAAATCAGAAAAGAAGGGTTCAACCGATAAGAAGAAGACTGATGGTGAAAAGTCAGATAAGAAGACTAAGGATGTAAAGTCTGATAATCCTGATTCTAAGAATACTAGTAAATCAAAGAAGTCTGTTGATAAGAAGAAGACTAACACAAAGAAGGATAAGAAGACCAATAAGGAAGAAAAGAAATCTGTAGAAAAGAATGAAAAGAAAATAGGAAAGAAGTCTACAAATACAGCCACAAAGAAGGATACTACCAAGTCCACTAAGAAAACTGATAAGAAATCCTCTGAAAATAAGAAGACAAGTGGATCCAAAAAGGCCGAGCCTAAAAAGAAAACCAATTCAACCAAACCTGGAAAGAAATCTAGCACAAAGAAGCTCTCTAGTACGAAATCAAAATCTATTGGAAAGAAATCTGATATTAAGGAGGGTAACAAGAATGCTAAACCAAAGACCACTGATACCGGTAAGAAATCAGCTTCTGATAAGAAATCCAAGTCAGACAAGAAATCTGAAAAGAGCCCAACAAGTGTAAAAAAGGATAAGAAGAGTACCAAATCAAAAACTGAAAAAAAGTCAACAACTAGAATGAAATCCAAGGATGTTAAAAAGCCAGGAATGACACCAAAATCATTTGATAACATGTTTGCTCAACAAGCTAAAAAGTTGTCTCAACCAACAAGTCCAGTCAAACCAAACACAAAGTCTGACAAGAAGTCCAACAAGCCAAAGAAATCAAACACTGGTAAGAGGACCTATTCCAAGAAGAATGATAAGTCAAAAACTAGTTCCAAGAAACCTGGAAAGAAATCTAGCACAAAGAACCTAGCTGGTAAGAAATCAAAATCTATTGAAAACAAATCTGATGTTAAATCCACAAAATCAGGAAAGAAGTCTTCAAAAAATACTGGCAAAAAATCTGGAAAGAAATCTACCAACAAGTCTGGAAAGAAATCAACTAAAAAGAGTAAGAACACTACTAAGTCTGGAAAGATATCCAATACTGGAAAGTCTGGAAAGAAATCAAAGAATGGTAATACGAAATCAGATAAGAAGACCAAGAAATCAGAAACTGGTAAGAAATCAAAAAATTCCAAAGGAAAGAAGGATAGTAAGAAATCAAAGAAATCTACCAAAAAATCAGTAACGTCAACTAAAACAACTAGTAAGAAATCTAACAAGTCTGGAAAGAAGGCTTCTAAGAATACTGGCAAGAAATCAGGAAAGAAATCCAATAAGCCTGGAAAGTCAAAGAAGATACCCAAGAAATTAGGTAAGAAGGGTTCTAAAAAGGCTAACCAACCAAGCAAATCCAGTAACAAGTCTGGAAAGACCTTAAAGAATGGTAAACCAAAGAAATCCAATACTGGAAAGACATTAAAGAATGACACATCAAAGAAATCAACTAAAAAGGGCAAGAACGGTACTAAGTCTGGAAAGAAATCAAAATCTGGTAAGAAGACTAAGAAATCAGAAACTGGAAAGAATTCTGGAAAGAAATCAAATACTGGAGAGAAAAACAACAATTCTTCTAAGAATAATAAGAAAAAGAACTTGAATGGAAAGAAGGACAAGTCCAAAAACAAATCAACTAATTTAAAGAATAATAAGAACACCAATAAGAAGAGTGCAAACAAATCAAGGAATAACAAGAACATGACTGAACAAAAGGAAGAATCTGAATCATCTTTTGGCACACCAGATTCTGAGGAGAGAGAAACTCCATATTCTGAAGATGGACCAATAATATTATTAAGAGATGATAACATCTTATCTAATTCTTACAAACAAAGAGGAATTGAAATTGAAGATGAACCAGTTAAAGTAGTTGAAAAGAATAGTATGAAGGTCAAGCAAGTCGATAGTGAAATTGAACTATCTAGTGATCAAGATGAAGAAAGGCCACTCCAAATTTCTAAGAGGCAAGTTGAAAAGTCAATTCAAAGAAACGATTTTGAAGACAATGAGGAACCAAAGGTCTCTAAATCTAAACAAGACGCTGAAAAATCCGAAGTTGAAAAGACCATTCAAAGAAAAGAGAAACACCAAGTTGAAGATGAAGAAGAAGCCCCTCAAAAGAAGTCTGTAAAAGGAAAGCATGATAAGAAATCTGGAAAGAAATTGAAGAATGAAAGATCAAAGAAGTCTGGAAAGTCTGTTGCTAAGAAAGGCAACAGGTCTGGAAAGAAATCAAATAATTCCACAGGAAAGAATGGCAATAAGAAATCAAAGAAATCTGGAAAGAACACCAAAACAACAAGTAAGAAGTACGGAAAGAAGCTCACTAAAAAGAATACCAAGAAATTAGGTAGGAAGGGTTCTAAGAAATCTGTAATTAAACCAAAGAAATCCAATCTTTCTTATGGTAAGGATTCTGGAAAGAAATCTTCCAAACAATCCAGAAAAGTGGAATATGAAGATGTTGAATATCCAATTCAAAGAAACCAAAAAAAAAGAAAACAACAAGTTGATGAAAAACCTCCTCAAAAGAAGTCTAGAAATATTTCAAAGAGACAGCAGCAAGATGAAGAAAGATTTATTCTACAATATGAAAAGAAATCTGGACACAGAAAGGTTAATAAGAAATCATCCAAGCAAGAATTCGAAGAAAACCGAGCTCCAAAGAGGCAATATGTTGAATTTGATGAAGAAGTTCCTCAAGAGAATTCCAAATCTGGAATGGATATCTTGACCTATAGAACAAATCCAATCAATATCAATAACCATCAACCTCAAAAAAGAATGATCAATAGAATTACCCCTCAAACAGTATCTCAATTAAGACCAATCGAATCAAATGCCCCAGCTATTACTAATCCACAAATTTATCATCCATTTGTTAGACCAAATAACTTTGTTACCACTGCTCCACCAGCTATTGCTCGACCAAATAACTTTACTCCTCAAACACAATCTCATGATGAAACTATGAATCTGCAAAATATTGGTATCAATCTTGTCACCAACAATCCAACTCCTACAGCTCCAAATCATAATGTTAACAGAGCCAGAGTTGTACAAGCTTTGAGAAAATTGATTGCCTCTATGAAGAAATAAACAATTAAGATTTGGTGTGTTTGAAAATTTAATTTTAACGGCTCTGGGAATATTTAAGAAAATTCACACAAGTGATTAATAATTAAGTTATGATAAGAATTAGTGAACGTTCATTACACATTCACTTGAATGGCTATCGTATCTTAAACCAGTAGCACAACCAACTGTTGAAAAGAAATCTGTTGCCAAGACTGACAAGAGTCAAGTCAAATCAGCANCTGAAAAGAAGAAGGCCGATGTAACACCAAAAGAAATTGCTAAACCAACAAAGAAGCCAGTTGATACCAAGCCAGCTAAACCTGTTGTCGATACCAAGAAATCTGATGCCAAGAAGTCAACTGATAAATCTGGTAAGCCAAAGACTGGTGCCAAGAAAACTACTGGTAAGAACACTGATGCCAAGAAGTCAACTAATAAGAAGACTGATGCAAAGACAGGAAAGTCTGCTACTGCCAAGAAGACTCCAGCTATGGCAACCAAGTCTGTTCAAAATAAGACTATTGCCAAGAAATCTGATGCCAAGAAGTCAACTGATAAAACTGGAAAGCCAAAGACTGCTACCAAGAAGACTGCCAAGAAAACCATTGATAAGGCAAAGTCTGGTGTAAAGACTAATGCCAAGAAGACTGGTTTGAAGGGAAAGTCAACAAAGAAAGATGTCACCAAGTCAACTAAAAAGTCTGACAAGAAGCCATCTGCCAAGAAGGATAAGTCTGCCAAGAAGTCATCTGATAAGACTGTAAAATCAAAGAAATCATCTGAAAAGAAAACCGGTAAAAAATCCAAGAAAACTGGTGTAAAGAAGACTGATAAGAAGGGAAAGAAGGATAAAAAGCCAACTAAAAAGACTCATAAGAAAACCAAGTTAAGTGCATTGACTAGAGCTAGAGGCCACGTCTTTAAGAAAAAGAAGAAGAATTTGACAACTGAAAACCCATCCCAATCATCCCAATCTCCAATTCTTGAACATATTCCAATGGAATCAGATGGTTTGTCAAGAAGACAAAGATATGAACGTTCACTTAAAGAAAAATCAAAGAAATCCGAAAACAATGAAGAGAATGTCCAAAAGGAATCTGAAGTTATTGCAACTCCTAGTTCTGAAGACATTTCCTCACCAATTAATTCTGAAAGAGTAGCTACTTCTGAAGATTCACCGGTCCAAAACAATTCCGAAGAAAGATCTTCCTCAAACGATAACATCTCATCCAATTCTGTTAATCAAAGAGGACTTGAAATTGAAGATGATGTTAAAGTTGAAAAGAAACAACGTGTTGGAGTCAAGCAAGTTGATGAAGAAATTGAATCTAAGGAAGAAATCAAGTCTGACGAAAAGAAATCTGCTAAGGTTTATGGAGAGTCTGATAAGAAACCTAGAAAGGATGAATCTGAAGAAGAATTGGAAGAGCCAACCTCTGTCCAAAAGAAATCCAAGAAGTCAACTAAGAAATCAAGAAATCTTACGAAGAAGACTGGTAAGAAGGGTGAGAAATCAACCAAAAAGACTGCTCCAAAGAAGAATAGCAATAAGACAGGTAAGCAGACAGGTAAGAAGGGTAAGAAATCTGGAAACAAATCAAGAAAGGTTGTTAAGAAATCTGGAAACAAGTCAAACAAGAATGAAAAGAAACCAACCAAGAAGACTGATAAGAAGGGTAAGAAATCTGGAAACAAGTCTAACAAGGGTGCTAAGAGATCCACTAAGAAATCAGGAAAGGGTGAAAAGAAATCCATGAATACTCAAAATAGAAGAATCAATAGAATTGCTCCTCAATCAGTAACTCAATTCAAACCAATGGAAATTGTTGATACTCCAGCTATCAGTAAGGCACAAATTTCCCAACCAGTTATCACTCAACAAGATGTCGAACCAACTACTGGTACTCAAAGACAACTTCCAACTGGTGCAATGAATGTTCAAAACATTGACATTAATCTCATCACAAACAATCCAACTCCTACTGCTCCAGATAGTCCATCTCCATCCGAGATTGCATTGGTCAGAAGATTTTTGGCTAATAGAAGAAGATTGGAAAAGAAGCAAGCTCCACAACAACCAAAGGAAGAACCAATGAATGTTTCTAATGTTGTCACTGTTGGTATGCCTCAACCTGCTCAAAAGCCAACCAAACAAAATATTGATAGAGCTAAAGTTGCTGCTGCTTTGAGAAATTTGATTGCTTCTGTTAATAAATGAATTCTTTAAAATTGACAATTTATCATTAAATCTGTTAGTTTCTGAGCTATCATTGATTGATAGCATCTTTTCAATGTTGTCTTCTCGAATAAACAATTAGAAATATAGTGGTTATTTTTCTCGTTACTATTCACTACATATTTAACCACTTGTGAAATGTCAAAATCAGATATCGACTTGATAATGTGATATTCTGACACATTTCCATTACCTGTTCGTAAATAGTTAGATATAATTGTATTGACAACATCCCTCTCGTGATAATCGTTTACAATTTGTTCAAGTTCTGGCATTAATTGAGCTTCAAAAGGTCTTTCAAATTTGATATAATTCCTCAACTTTTTCATCATTAAATCTGGTTTGGTAAAGAGAAGAATTATTCTCGTATTCGAATGATTTCCAATCAATTCCTTGTAGAGTTTCAAACTTTCGTCCATTCTATTAACCTTCTCATCTCCATAACATGTTTGATTAAATTCTGAAAGAGAAACTACATAAATCAAAACTGAAACTTGATTTTCCAAACAATATCTCCACTTTCGTCTTTCATGAATTTTTCCACCTGCTGTCACAAATGTCAATCTATTCTTATTAAAAATAACACTATAATCAATTATTCCAGAAGATCCTCCCTTAATATAAATATCTGGAATAAACCTCTCTCGATTCTTAATTTTTGACACAAAAATGTCAACATTCTCAAATAAATTCAATGTATCCTGATTAGTTCTATAAATCTTTCTAAATCTATCATCATTCCACAATGCAACAAGTGCATGATCATCAAAATTTCCATTCGGTACCTTTTCATTAATAATAAACTCAACTGTCCTATCACTCGATGACGATGACGATGAGTACAAAATTTGTTGAATGATAATTCGTGAAATTGTATTCGTATCGACGTGATAGAAAGAGTCGGAAGTTTTATCGATGGAAGTAAAATGTTCCTTCTTTCTATTTTCATATCGAATCATTTCACAGATGGTTGTCTTTCCACTTGATGTGTTTCCAAGGAGGACGAATCTCTTTTCTTCCACGTCGTCATTAGCAAGATTATTCGAATGGTTATTCGAAGGAGAAGACGAAATAAACGTGTTTTGAATTGCGTTACTGTTAACGACGTTGGCGTGTTGCTGTTGTTGAAGTGTTGAGAGCTTCCCACCCATTTTTTTTTATCTGATTCTTTTCGAAAGGTTTCACTAGTAATGCTCGAATTGGAAGGAAGAGTCCAAAGATGGTCTTCCAGCTGCTGTTGGAATCTGTAAATCTTTAGCTTAATATTTATTACTGTTCGATACCAGCTTGGCTAGACAGTAAATTTTATTATTAAAAAATGGCGGGAAAAGCTGTGAACGAATGTTTCTTCCCCATTTCGTTCACTATTGAGCAAAAGGAACTGAAAAACTCGTCGACACCAGATGTGGTGGTGGCAAAAAAGCGCAGAAAAAAACGACACAAATATATATCAGGTGCATATCAAAGGTTGTTTGATTTTGAAACCAACTTGTTCACTCGCTTTTTATCAATTGTCTTACCAAATGATGAAGATTTGAAAATAGTCCAGTGGTCATATATCCTTAGTGTCATTGTATTCCATCTAGTCTTCCAATTTATTTTACCGTGTTACCTCGCTTGCAAAGTGGAAGAAAAAGATATTTTGCAAGGGAAGCTATTGTGATTTTGTGTGGCTTGGTCAATTATTCACTAGAAGAAAAAAAGGTGATTGAAAGGGAAGAAAATATTTTCACGCTTTTTCTGTCCACGTGTGTTCATCATTAGAGAAGAGAACACTTTCAACATCACGTTCATCAATTTATAGAATATACTTCTTCCTTTTTGTGTGAGTATTCAGAAGTGTAACAACAAAAGAAAAAGAAGAATTTTAAACAATTTTGCCTACTACACTACTTCATCATCATTATGTCCATCGGAAAGTTAATACAGTCATCAGCCTTGTTAAGTCAAGTTGCTGGACAGGCTAATCAATTGTTTGATTCAATACTTTCCTATTTATTAATTAATTTAGGTTCTTCATCATCTTTATCAACAACAACTATAGCACAACAAGATACAAACTTGTTGCACAATATCATCAATAACAACAACAATATTATTGGATCATCCTTTGGAACAACAACCAATGATATAAATAATAGGACTGAAGAAATAATTTTGGTGAGAGGAGTAACACTTACAATGGATATTACCTTCTTGTTGGTTCCTTTAATAATCTCGATTGCCATTCCGATCCTCTATGAAATGCTTGTTGTTCGACAATTCCTGGATAAGATTAAAAAGAAGTTTAAAAGAAAGGCAAGAACACGTTCAACCTATTACGATAAGTTTGGTCAATATCAAGATAGTATTGAGGCATTTGCACTTCAAGATATTGAAAAGGAGGAGAATGCTAGAAGCACATTGTTTTGGAAATTGGTTTGCTTTTGTGGATGGAGAAATTTCAAAAACTTTTTCTTTACTACTCCATTAGGTGCAGATAATTCATTGGCAGCAATCAATGAGAATGGAAGCTTTGTAATGTATCATTCAACACCCTTTCAATTATTGGATAGAATGTGTTCCAGTTGCTGCACAACTGTCAGTACATCATCCAGTGAAGATCTCGCACCACTCTTTCCATCAGAAAACAATGTGAAAATTCGATCTGTTACATCCAAAAGCGTTCATCAATATAACATTTCATGCTGGATTTCTAGTTCAATACTCTTGCTAATACGTATTGGTAATTTCGTATTGGCAGTAGTGACAGCTGTCTACTTGGGAAAGGATGAAATATTCAAGAAGGGCAATCACAATCCTTGGTTCGAATATACCAAATATCTTACCAACAATACTTTCAATCTCTTCCTTGTCTATTCATCACTCGTGCTATTCTACCATATTATTCTAATGATGACTGCAGGTGTTCTTGTGATCAAGAAGAGAAAACCAACAAGTGGTAACACAGCTACAGTTACTTTTCCATATCATGACATTATGCCAAGAAATTTGGAAAAAGTTTTAGAGGTAATTGGTAACATGTTGTGGTTCTTATCAGAGATGAACCTTGTAACTTCTGCTCTTGTTTCTATTGGGTATGTTATTATTGCTATTGTATAATATTTACCATTAACCTGAAAATTATTTTGAATAATTATTATAATTATTAATGAACTTGCTGAATGATTATCTTAAGTTTTTGGACAATCATCATACCAACAGGAAATTTCCCAACGGATAGAATTAACTTTATCATTATATCATCACATGGATTGACATTTATTGGAAGTTTTATAGAGGCCTTCATGTCAGACTTTTATTTTAAATTCTGGCATGTCTTCATCATTGGCCTTTATTCACCAATTTATCTTCTCTATGTTATTGGATTGAAAGAAGGTGGATACATTACATCATTCCCATACGGAAATCTTCTCGATTATGACAAGGGAGATTTAGCTTTGGCTGGACATTTCACATTCATCATTGGCATTTATTTACTCTTCGCCTTGTTCTGGCTCGTCTTGACAGTTTTTAAAAAGTTGATGGTCATCAAGTTTTGTGCCAGTTATGCCTTCCCTTCAACACTTGGACATCGTTCTTCTATTCCTCATAGTGCATCATCAGGATCATTGGAAAGAAGAGCCAGTTCGACCCCATACTATCAATCCACTTTTAAAGTTGGTTCTCCCGATAGAACAATTTCACCAACTCTTCTCCAACAACATGCTCGTTCCATCAGTTTATCGAGTAGTGGTTATGGTGATGAAGAGGAGGAACAATTTACATCACTCCCAGCCAATTCAACCCTACAAACAACACCTACTCCATCCTCTACAGCTCAGCATCACAAGAGAACCTTTTCTTATGGCAGTACAAGCCATAGCCAGCAATAATTTTACATCATCAGCCCACAGTACAATAATTTCAAGTGAAATTAGCCCAACAAAATAGAATGTGAGAAGGGCTTTAAAGTGTTAAAGGGTTGGCTAGAAACTGGACCATTCGAAGTTTGTGTGTCACTGCTTGTTGCTTTGTGATATCTTGTATTTGGAAAGACTTCTCTTCTGGAGCCGTGAGTGTTACGCGATGACAGTTTGGGTAATACAAATCTGTCAGAAAGGTGTAACAAATTCGAAACTTTTGCCAAGTTAACAACGCACGTTGCTGCATCAATGTTGCCAAAATGATCCAATGAAGTTATTCACCTCCTAATCGTTTCATGAATCTGCTTGTAACGATACTTTTCACATCTCTTGAGGTAACAAAACAATCATTTGTTGTCTCTTGTTGAGAAAGATGATTCACCATCATTTCAAAACAAATACCCCAACCAACAACAACTAGAGCAAATTACTCTTAGCCGAGTTGTAGCAGTAATTTGTAAATCTTCATTAACAACAACAACAAGAATACCTTTCTTCTCTAAAATCATTAAAATTATTATTAACCAACTTTCGGTAGCTCTTTCTAACACTTTCTCACAACACCATTTTCTAAATGTCAAGCGATAACACTAATGGTGGAACAACCTCAAGTGGTCCAGTTCTCTCCCAATCGGCAACTGATGTCTCATCTCCAACCGAAATTAAAGCCAAAAAGAAGGTTGTCATTAATGCTGAACCAACCCACGGTCCAATGTCAGTAGCTTCCAACACTACAAAAACCTCTGCCTCTGCTAAAGGAGCTCTCAAAGTCAATACATGTTGTGGTGTTGTTGAACTGACACCTATGAAATTAGCCTGTTTGATTGGTATGGCTATTACTGTCGTTGCCTTTGTTGCTTTGGGTGTTATTTCAATTACAAGCTTTGTTTATTCGAGCAGTAAGAAAATTGACCTTTTAATTACCTATGCAGATATCAGATATTACAGATCACAAGCTATGGCTGCTGTCAAGATGGCTGCTTATTCTAATGTATGTTTTATAATTATTTGATCAAACTGAACTGTTATTTCCACAAATTAACAATGTTGTCAACCTTTTAACAATGATGACAACTAACATTAATTGATAACCAATAATTTAATGATGACAATTCAATAGGATTTTAATCAATACTATGATATCTACACTTCCAACAATAACAATTTAACAAACCTCATCACGTCGATCAGAACAATTTTCCAAAATGATGCCACAGCCAATGCCCTCTTCACCAAGACCACTCTGACAGCAAAGAGTAAATTGGAAGGTTTTAATACCTATATCTTTGGTTTATTGAGACAAGGCAGTTATCAACAAGATGCTATTGACACAGTGAATAGTCAAGATTATAAGGACACTGATAATCTTTTCTATTCTGGTTTAACTTCCCTATTGAACTATGTCGTTACTTCGGAACAATCCAAAGACAATAGTGTCATTGCTTCCAACCTAGTTCAATTGGTAATTATTGTGATTGCCTTGGTGATTGTTTTGCCAGTTTTAGTATTCGTCTTTACTTATGCCATCAATCGTGACTCACTCTATTTGGAAAAGATTAGACGTGCCAATTCCATCATGTTATTGGATACAATTGCTGATAGTAATTTACGTTCTCTCTTCAAAGCTCATTGTGAAAAGGAAAAGTCAACTGAAAACTTTTTACTCTTAGAAAAGATTCACAACTATAAGGCCATGTGTGAAAGAGTCGACGATTTAAATATGAAATTATATGGAGATAGCACAATTTCTGATACTGCTAGTGCTTCTTCAAAGACTGATTCAACTGCCACTGCTGAGTCAGTTCCAAAACTCAAGAAGGAACAAGTTGCCAAGTATGAAAAAGAGCTCAATGAAATGGAAGGTAAAAAGTATGAATTGGCCTTTGAAATTTACTCCTATCACTTGGATATCAACGGTGACATGGCTGCCAACGTAACCAAGAGCAAGTGTGACAAGGTTAAGGTTCAACTCGATAATTACAATACCAAACAAATCGAAAGTTTACCACTCGATTTATTCAAACAAATTGAAAAGGAAGTTTGTTTGACCATGATGGACACTCACAATAGATTCAAATCATCCATTGCCTTCCAAAAGGAAATGAAAATTCACAAGCTTAACGTTGAAAAGATTAAGGCTAAGCATAAGAATAAGTTTTAAATTTTTGAGAGGAGAGAAAAATAATTACCCACCAAGTAGAATATATCTGATACCTTGCTGCTGCTGTGTGTGTAATTAATATTGTATCATAATAATATTAAAATAATGAATTTTTGTAAATTGTAATAGAACATCATATTCTCCTCGGGTTGCCTTTTTTGATCAAACTGAATCTGTAAAAAATGGCGTTAATCAAACCGCGGGAAATCGTTAGTTGATTTTAGAAGGCTTGTTGTTGTATGGAAAGTGCATGGAGATATTACCATAACTCTCATGATTGGAGAAATATTAAAGTGGAAAGGAAGGCTATTTTGAATGTGAAAATATTCCATCCGATAATTTTATTATTTAATATTATTTTTAAAATTTAAATTTAATTTATTGGGTATTGGCAAAGAGGTTGGAAACACTTCTATTGTTTGAGTAGAGGAGTGGATTGTTTTTCAAGTGTCTGTGATGTTTGTCATTGAGCAAATAGGTCTTGACAATTCCCTTTCCTTTCACATCAACTTCTCTCTCTTCAAAATCATATCCCAAATCGAAAACTCTTTCATAAGTTGATCTGGAGATTTGAATTCGTCCATTCTTTGAAGTGGATTCCATTCGAGAAGCAATATTGATGGTATCACCCCATAAATCGTAGGCAAACTTTTTCATTCCAATCACTCCAGCAACAACTGATCCTGTATTAATTCCAACTCGAATATTGATTTGTTGAGGTGGTGGAGAGGATGATTTCACCTTTAATTCATTATCTGTTTCCTTAACAACCTCCTCTTGTTCATTATTATCAACAGATTTGAGTCGATTTGAATTGAAATCATTTATCACTCCAAATGTTTCAATTGCAAATTTTAAAACTCTTTCAGGATGATCACTTGTTGCAGCTCCAGGTAATCCACCCACTGCAAAATAGGCATCTCCAATTGTTTTGATCTTTTCCAAATCATATTTTTCAGTCAACATGTCAAATCCATTCACAATTGAGTTCAACATCATTACTAAATCAGTGGCTTGCATATTACTACTTATGGCTGTAAATCCAACCATATCTGAAAAGAAACAAGTGATATCATCCAATTTTTCAGCAATGAATGTATGTCCACTTTTCAATCTTGAAGCAACACTTGTTGGTAAGATATTCTTCAAGAGATTATCCGATTTTTGTTTCTCTTCACTCAATAAGGCATTTTGTTTCTTTTCAGAAGTTAAATCTTTCATTGTGACAATCAGAATATTTCTCATTGAACCTCTTTCACCTTGAATTTTGACAGTGAAGAGTGTTATTTTGCAAGGGAATTTGGTTTGATTTCTTCTGATACAATCTAATTCAACAATTTCACATTTTCCATTTCCTTCTTCACTCTCCTTGCTGGATTGTTTCAATTGAACATCTTCATCATCTTGATCTTCATCCTTCTTATCAGAATCTTTTCCACTCTTTTTGAAAATATACTTGATACACTTGTTGAGTTCATCTTGGTGTGTTGATTCAACCAATTGTGAAATTGAAGTTCCCAAAACATCAATTGGTTTCATTCCAAACATTTTCAATGCAGAATAATTCAAAAATTCAATTTCATGATTCTCATTACAAATAATACTTCCTTCAACACTTGAATTGAAAACATTCTTCAAATCAGAAATGGATGAAGCGGAAGATGATGATGATTTGTCCTTCTTTTTCATTCTTGTACTCAATGAATTGGTATTGTTATAGAGGATAAAGTTTCTCAATGTTTCATTCCTCTCTAAAACTTCAACTGGAATATATTGTGACATTAATCGAAGTGAATGTAATTGACCACAATAATTGGAGTAGATGATATACATCAGAAAGAAGAAAACCATACACCCAACAATTTCCACACCTGCAAAGCTTATTACTACATCATAAGAGGGAGCTGTAGAGGAGGAAATGAATGCCTTGATGAAAATTGTGAACTTGTTACTCAATGCTAGTGCCATTCTCATAGCAAGGTTATGCCGTATCCCTAAATCAGCTATTGGAAGAAGAATACCTTTTGGAGTTGCTGCCTTTTGAAGAGAATTTTGCTTTCTGGAGTCAGTCAATAATTGAGGAACCAGGGTCATGTAATCATTCAAAAGTGTTTCCAAACCGATGCAGTACATCATATTTGTTTCTATTGTAAGAGTCATATTATTTTCTTGCAAATAGTCAGAGCAATTAGATGAAACGCCATGATTAATAAGTGAGTCAACACCTGGATACATTCCTAAAATTGGTCTGGTACCAACAGAGGCATCCCCATAAATTAATCTTGACCACATACTACTAAGAGTTGGTAATCTATTTGTTGCTCTGTCAAAGAGTACATTGAAATTTGTAACAGTATTGAATAATCTTGGATCACCATATGTAACATTTCTTTTGAAATTAACTGCCAATGGAGAAATATTGTTTGAAATTTCACTTGCAACAAAGTAGGTCATTACTTCACCTGTGTTAAATGCGATTCTCTGTACAGATGTTGCAGCTTGAATACTTAATCTTACATTGTTCATCACTCTACCAGCAGTTTGGGCATTGAAGTCGCTTTCATAATAGAACATGGCAATACTTGCACATGTAAATAAGGTAATCAGCGAAATCAAAATAATTGTTGAAATGTTTGATTTCATTTTGGCAAGTGAGAAAGTATTGTCAGCATTATTGGCAGTATCAGTTGTTTTGTTGTTGAGAGAGTGAAATATTTTTCCAATCACATCTTTGCTCAAATGTTTTTCATATATTTTCACAATTTTTGTCATATGACTCATTTCAAATATCATATAACTCAAATAAGCAATACTGATCAAAAAGAATGCAACTAGAACTGCACCTGAATAATACACCAAATTTTGAGTTGTTAGATCTACTGCATCTGTTGATCTATCAAGATAACGGGCGCAAAAAGTATCAAAAGCCAGTGAAGCAGTTTCTCTATTCGCAAACAGGAACATGAAATTGTAATTCTTCAATGGGTGAAAGTACAAATCAGTTGCTGCAATATTTAGCAATAGAGTTTGATAGGACGGATCATAGTTATGGCTTGAAATATTTGTCAACAAGTTAATTGGAAAGGTGTCAATCATATTTTGGGTATACTTGATCATGTGGTTTGTAAATTCAAGAATGGATATATTCTTTTGACTTGCACTTCCTAAATCATACAAATTCAAATCTTTTGAATTTTCATTTGGAAAGTTACAAGTGTAAATGTTAGCAGAATAATCTGAATATACATCTACATCGAAAGAATTACTTTGACTCAATTTGATAAGATTCTTGTAAATATCAATATTGTCTTGCAATCGTTTGTAGGAATTCTTGATATATTCAGTTTTGGAAAGAGTCTCATATCCTTGATAGGTATTTGGCCATGGATATTCAAAAAACATGAAGGTATTAATGAAGTTCTGTGTTGCCCTAATGTTTCTAAGTACAGAGTAAGGAGAAATACTTGGTTGACAAACTTGTTGGAGGTAAGGAACTCCTGATTTTACCATATTTGAATAATAGGCACTGAGAGCCAGTGATGCAACAAACAGAGCAACAACAACCAGGGCGTAAATGCAAGTGATAGATAGTGTGAGAGTATTTGATCTTTGTGATGAAATGGCATTCTTGAAAATTTGCTCCTTTTTAATCTTTGGATTTTCAAATGCACTTGCCATATCATCTTCATTTGGTTCCTCTTGAGCCAAGTACATTTCATAAGTATTTTTTACCTCTGACACAAGTGGCATAATTCTATTTCCTCTCTTATTGACTGTATTATTTGCAAATGAAGCTTTCCTTCTCTTTTTAATTTCCTCTTCTTCAATGGAGGACGCTTCATTGTAATAGTATTGTGCTAATTCTGAATTGAATTCAAAATTTTCCAAAAAGTTTCCATATAATCTGAGAAGTGTCTTGTTATTCTTATTGTTGAAAATTAAATTTTGCAACGTATTTCTACATTGAGTGGTCAAAGCATAAATGGAACGATTAATCTTTTCAACAGATGAATAATTAATTCTTTCAGAGGCCATTTCTTTCCAAAAGTTTCTGTGAAGAACCAACAAGTTATTTTGATTCTTTTCTAGAATATCTAATTGAGAGGTTAATTCAAATGAATTGCTTGTTGATTTGGATTTTAAATTGAATGATTCAATTTGTTTCATTTTCTCTCTGATTTTAAATTGTTGGAAAATGTTTGGATGTTGTGATGAGGCTCTTTTCAATAAACTCATTGAAAAGACACAATTATTTGAATCTAACCATTGTGTTTGAATCAAGAGTGCAGAATAGATTAATAGATCAACATTATTGAATGATTTTTGATGAGCTGCACCTCTTATGAAAGACATGGCCAATTCACAATCTTTCAATATTTGATTATTTTCAGTAGTGCTATTATTGTTAGTATTATTGGATGATTTGTTTAGTGTAGAATTGGATAAACATGATTTGATGAATAATTTCAATAATGATAACTTGTTGAAATCTTCAAACATGTAATATAAATTCATTGCATTCTTTTCAATTAAAATAAGTGATGAAATGGTTCCATAATTTTCATGACCTTCAATTCCATTCAATATCATATTTCTTGCTCTCTTCAATTGTAAACGTTGATACAGTTCCATTGTCAATGTGCCAACAGTAAAGAAAATGATAATAAGAGCAAGTGTCATTAATGAAAATGCAATTCCCATCATTTCAAAATTGGCCCTCTCAGAATCTGAAGATGAAGATGTTATCGATGATGAATTGACCAATGAAGAAACGAGTGAACCAATACTCGCACCAACTCTTGCTGACATTACACCAAAATACAATGAATTTTCAAATCTTCTCAAACATGGCATGCTATAGAATACCAAAACACAACAAATTAGTGAAACTAGTAAATGAAAAATTGCTGATATGAAAATATAATTGGTTGGTAATAATTGAGACAATACCAATTGTAAAATACTCAGACAACCAATCAAACTAAAAATGAATGGATTTTCAATCAACATTGGAATTTGAGATTCTGGATTTGAATTGCATGTTATAAATTCTGATAATGGAAAGACAAAAGTGACCAAAACTAAAATTGAAATAATTGAAAGAATTAACATGATCAAATTGGTGGTGTCATTAATACATGCTTGATTCGGATATCTCATCAATGAAGCAATCATATCAGAAGATTCATCAGCATCATTCATCATCATTGTTGAACTACAATTGAGAAAACCAAGCAACACATAAACAAACAACAAGGAGAATGGTTTTACAATCAAAGCACAATAAAAAGTAAACCATTTCAATTTCTTATAATACTTGTTCTGTTTGTTGGCTAATCGAATTGAAATTACATAAAAAACAGCCATAATCAATATAATTGCAATGAAAACAGAACCAATTCCAACAACACCCAAATAAGGAATCATTCTTGCAATCAAAGTCGTTGGAAAATTGAAAGCATCAATTAAAATATAACTTCCAACATGTCCCCATTTAAAATCTGAAAGAGTTGTCATGAAAATTAAACACCACATCCAATAAACATTCACAAATAAAAAGATTGAATAATTTTTCCATCCCTTCTTTGCCTCACAATCTTGTAAAGTGATAATACTATTGGTGAGTAATATCTTTGCCTGATAAGTGATTGAATTAGTTTCGGTTGTGGTTGTATGAGTGTTGGCACTGTGCAAACTTTCAGAGCCAACATGAGATGGTGTTGGTTGTAAGAGATTAGATGGATGTTGTTGCTGAGCATTGAAGGAGAAGGCAGCGCTGTAGGAATCGAATAAATTATTGGAAGAAATGTTTCGTGTTGTTTCGTTTGGATTGGAATGATTTGAGTTGGATTCCTCCATCTTTCTTTTGGTTTTTTTTTGAAAATTGTAGTTTTTGTGCCGCCCGGGCGGGTAAGTTGTCAGAAGTTTCAGATTCGAATAACTTCAACTATACTTCTGTACTGAACTTTAGATGTTGAACATAATTTCCTTCTTGAAATTTGTTTAGTTCGACCGATAGTGAAATTACTTTGTTGAGATAAGTTCGCAATGTCTATCAGAATTACATCATGAGATTTCAAATAAAAAAATTATTCGAAATATGGTTATATCATTCACTAGAATAAATGTTTGTAAACTATATAGTTTGATTTCTAGTGATTGGTCATTAATTTTGCAACCAGGTTCATGCTCCTTATGATAAGTTTACTTTCGAATATATACAATTACAAATGAAAATGGAAATAAAAATTCTCAATTAATTTTGATGTTTGTAATTAATGACAGGTTTTGAGATAATGGTGGGCTAGGAACATAACGAAAATGATTTTCTTGCCGTTTGCCCTCTTGATGTGTTTTGAAGCCAAGCGTCATCTTTTAAATTTACTTTAATGTCCAACATTTTAGAGGATAGAACGTTTATTCCCACTAGTAATATCACCATCAAGAGTTCTTCATCAGATATCTCGAAATCCTTTCTTTTGTTCTTCAAGTTCATGTTTGATTTTTTCTTGCCTTTTTGAGAGTTGTTTTTGGTTTTTTCAATTTTTTCATATTTATTTTCAAAGGCCACATCAAAGCATCGAAGGAGATTGGCTTCACACAAGATTTTAAGCAATTTGGAAATACAGGTAAAGTGCTTTATTTTGAAACATCACAAAAAATCAAACAACAATCTTTTAATAATTAGCTGAAGATTGAGCCTTTTCAAATAATATCAAGTCTTTATTCAATAATTGCCAAATCCTTACAATTTTTATCTCACGATCTGGCAAACATTGAAATTGTTAATTAATCATGATCGATTGTTTAATAGATTGATCAAAAAACAGATTGATTAGATGGATTTTAATCGATCAACATGGATGAGATGGAAAAATGATTGGTGTTGAGTGAAAAAATTGTTTCTGGAAAACTGCAATATTCATCGAGTGGCAAATTTCACTTCATGGTGAATTTTCCAACATGGCAAAGTTCATGTTTAAGAGATTTTCTCCTAAGGTCCATATAAGGGTTGTGGCATTATCTTCCTCACGAATAAAATCATCAAAGTTGAGCATATATTTTTTCAACTGTAAAAGGGGAATAATGTGTTCAATGTAACCTCATTGAGCACTGAAACAGAAAGTTTATTCTCTTAATGTACAAATTCAGCGTAAAACGATTTTCTTTGCTTGTATTAATATTATAATAAAATTATAGGAATATATAAATATTATTTTAATCTTTCAACATGGTTTAGTTGGAGAAAAGTATTGGCATGCTTCTATTGTTTGAGTAGAGGAGTGGATTGTTTTTCAAGTGTCTGTGATGTTTGTCATTGAGCAAATAGGTCTTGACAATTCCTTTTCCTTTCACATCAACTTCTCTCTCTTCAAAATCATATCCCAAATCGAAAACTCTTTCATAAGTTGATCTGGAGATTTGAATTCGTCCATTCTTTGAAGTGGATTCCATTCGAGAAGCAATATTGATGGTATCACCCCATAAATCGTAGGCAAACTTTTTCATTCCAATCACTCCAGCAACAACTGATCCTGTATTAATTCCAACTCGAATATTGATTTGTTGAGGTGGTGGAGAGGATGATTTCACCTTTAATTCATTATCTGTTTCCTTAACAACCTCCTCTTGTTCATTATTATCAACAGATTTGAGTCGATTTGAATTGAAATCATTTATCACTCCAAATGTTTCAATTGCAAATTTTAAAACTCTTTCAGGATGATCACTTGTTGCAGCTCCAGGTAATCCACCCACTGCAAAATAGGCATCTCCAATTGTTTTGATCTTTTCCAAATCATATTTTTCAGTCAACATGTCAAATCCATTCACAATTGAGTTCAACATCATGACTAAATCAGTGGCTTGCATATTACTACTTATGGCTGTAAATCCAACCATATCTGAAAAGAAACAAGTGATATCATCCAATTTTTCAGCAATGAATGTATGTCCACTTTTCAATCTTGAAGCAACACTTGTTGGTAAAATGTTCTTCAAGAGATTATCCGATTTTTGTTTCTCTTCACTCAATAAGGCATTTTGTTTCTTTTCAGAAGTTAAATCTTTCATTGTGACAATCAGAATATTTCTCATTGAACCTCTTTCACCTTGAATTTTGACAGTGAAGAGTGTTATTTTGCAAGGGAATTTGGTTTGATTTCTTCTGATACAATCCAATTCAACAATTTCACATTTTCCATTTCCTTCTTCACTCTCCCTCTTCACTTGTTTCAATTGAACATCTTCATCATCTTGATCTTCATCCTTCTTATCAGAATCTTTTCCACTCTTTTTGAAAATATACTTGATACACTTGTTGAGTTCATCCTGTTGAGTGGATTCAACTAATTGTGAAATTGAAGTTCCCAAAACATCAATTGGTTTCATTCCAAACATTTTCAATGCAGAATAATTCAAAAATTCAATTTCATGATTCTCATTACAAATGATACTTCCTTCAACACTTGAATTGAAAACATTCTTCAAATCAGAAATGGATGAAGTTGAAGATGATGATGACTTGTCCTTCTTTTTCATTCTTGTACTCAATGAATTGGTATTATTATAGAGGATAAAGTTTCTCAATGTTTCATTCCTCTCTAAAACTTCAACTGGAATATATTGTGACATTAATCGAAGTGAATGTAATTGACCACAATAGTTCATATAGATAGTGTAAAGCAGACTAAATATAACCAAACATGCCAAAAATTCTAAACAAGCAAAAACAATGGTAACACCAAACGAAGGATTTGATGATGAGCTCACAAATACCTTCATAAATGTAACGAACTTGTTGGTAAGAGCTACACTCATTCTCAACGCTTGGTTATGTGATAGAGCAACATCTGTTGGTGCAAGAAGAATACCTTTTGGAGTTGCTGCCTTTTGAAGAGTGTTTTGCTTTCTAGATTCGGTCAATAATTGAGGAATCAATGTCAAATAATCATTTAAAAGTGTTTCCAAACCAACACAATACATCATATATGATTCCATTGTTAATGTAATATTATTCTTTTGAAGGTAGTCAGAGCAATTAGATGATACACCTTGAGTAACAAGAGAGTCAACATCAGAATATCTTCCCAATATCTGGTCATCTCCAGTGTTTGGATCACCATAAATTAGTCTTGACCACATACTACTAAGAGTTGGAAGTCTTGTTGTCACTCTGTCAAAGAGTACATTGAAATTTGTAACAGTATTGAATAATCTTGGATCACCATATGTAACATTTCTTTTGAAATTCACTGCCAATGGAGAAATTTTGTTAGAAATTTCACTTGCAACAAAGTAGGTCATTACTTCTCCACTGTTAAATCCAATTCTTTGAATAATTGTGGCAGCTTGAATACTCAATCTTACATTCTTCATAACCTTAGAACTGCTGAAAGCGTTGGCATTACTTTCATAATAGAACATGGCAATACTTGCACATGTAAATAAGGTAATCAGAGAAATCAAAATAATTGTTGAAATGTTTGATTTCATTTTGGCAAGTGAGAAAGTATTGTCAGCATTATTGGCTGTATCAGTTGTTTTGTTGTTGAGAGAGTGAAATATTTTTCCAATCACATCTTTGCTCAAATGTTTTTCATATATTTTCACAATTTTTGTCATATGACTCATTTCAAATATCATATAACTCAAATAAGCAATACTGATCAAAAAGAATGCAACTAGAACTGCACCTGTATAATACACCAAATTTTGAGTTGACAATTCAATTGAATCAATAGATCTATCAAGATAACGGGCACAAAAAGTATCAAAAGCCAGTGAAGCAGTTTCTCTATTCGCAAACAGGAACATGAAATTGTAATTCTTCAATGGATTGAAGTACTTGTCGCTAGCAACTAAATCCAACAACGCTGATTGAGTAAATGCATCATTGTTGTTATTGGAAATATTTTGTAGTAAATCCCAAGGAAATTCATTGATTACATTCTGAGTATATTTGATCATATTGTTTGTAAATTCAAGAATTGAAACATTCTTTTGAGATGAACTTCCCAAATCGTATATCGTGACATCTTTCGAATTTTCATTTGGATAATTGATGGTAAAATTATTAATAGAATAATCTGAATATACAGTCTCATCAAATGAATTACTCTGACCTAATTTGATCAAAGTCTTATAAACCTCTAGCTCTTCTTTAAGTCTTTTCAAAGAGTTGGCAAAGTAATTAGGTTTTGTAGAAATAATATTTCCCTGATAACTAATAGGCCATGGATACTCAAATAACATGAAGGTATTTACAAAATTTTGAGTGGCTCTAACATTTCTTAGAGCAGAATAAGGAGAAATACTTGGTTGACAAACTTGTTGAAGGAAAGGCACTCCTGAAATTACTGCATCAGAGTAGTATGAACTCAGTGCTATGGAAGAAACAACAAGGCACAAGCAAACAAATATGTAGAGTAAACTAATTATAACTGTTGTAGAATTTGACCTTTGTGATGAAATTGCATTCTTGAAAATTTGCTCTTTCCTCATCTTGGGATTTTCAAATGCACTTTCCATATCATCTTCATTTGGTTGTTCTTCTACTGGGAATAAGTATGGTTCAAAGTTGGCCTTGGTTTCGTGGAGAGGCATTACACGGTTAGTTCCTCTCTTATTACTAGTAGCATTACTAAACACAGAAGCTCTTCTCTTCTTTTTCATTTCCTCTTCTTCAATGGAGGAAGCTTCATTGTAATAGTATTGTGCTAATTCTGAATTGAATTCAAAATTTTCCAAAAAATTTCCATATAATCTGAGAAGTGTCTTGTTATTCTTATTGTTGAAAATTAAATTTTGCAACGTATTTCTGCATTGAGTGGTCAAAGCATAAATGGAACGATTAATCTTTTCAACAGATGAATAATTAATTCTCTCAGAGGCCATTTCTTTCCAAAAGTTTCTGTGAAGAACCAACAAGTTATTTTGATTCTTTTCTAGAATATCTAATTGAGAGGTTAATTCAAATGAATTGCTTGTTGATTTGGATTTTAAATTGAATGATTCAATTTGTTTCATTTTCTCTCTGATTTTAAATTGTTGGAAAATGTTTGGATGTTGTGATGAGGCTCTTTTCAATAAACTCATTGAAAAGACACAATTATTTGAATCCAACCATTGTGTTTGAATCAAGAGTGCTGAATAGATTAATATATCAACATTATTGAATGATTTTTGATGAGCTGCTCCTCTTATGAAGGACATGGCCAATTCACAATCTTTCAATATTTGATTATTTTCAGTAGTGCTATTATTGTTAGTTGGATGATTTGTTTAGTGTAGAATTGGATAGACATGATTTGATGAATAATTTCAATAATGATAACTTGTTGAAATCTTCAAACATGTAATATAAATTCATTGCATTCTTTTCAATCAAAGTAAGTGGAGAAATGGTTCCATAATTTTCATGACCTTCAATTCCATTCAATATCATATTTCTTGCTCTCTTCAATTGTAAACGTTGATAAAATTCCATTGTCAATGTGCCAATAGTAAAGAAAATGAAAATAAGAGCAAGTGTCATTAATGAAAATGCAATACCCATCATTTCAAAATTGGCCCTCTCAGAATCTGAAGATGAAGATGTTATGGATGATGAATTGACCAATGAAGAAACGAGTGAACCAATACTCGCACCAACTCTTGCTGACATTACACCAAAATACAATGAATTTTCAAATCTTCTCAAACATGGCATGCTATAGAACACCAAAACACAACAAATCAGTGAAACTAGTAAATGAAAAATTGCTGAAATGAAAATATAATTGGTTGGTAATAATTGAGACAATACCAATTGTAAAATACTCAAAGAACCAATCAAACTGAAAATGAATGGATTTTCAATCAACATTGGAATTTGAGATTCTGGATTTGAATTGCAAGTTATGAATTCTGATAATGGAAAGACAAAAGTGACCAAAACTAAAATTGAAATAATTGAGAGAATTAACATGATCAAATTGGTGGTATCATCAATACATGCTTGATTAGGATATCTCATCAATGAAGCAATCATATCAGTAGATTCATCAGCATCATTCATCATCATTGTTGAACTACAATTGAGAAAACCAAGCAACACATAAACAAACAACAATGAGAATGGTTTTACAATCAAAGCACAATAAAAAGTGAAGTATTTCAATTTCTTATAATACTTGTTCTGTTTGTTGGCTAATCGAATTGAAATTACATAAAAAACAGCCATTATTAATATAATTGCAATAAAAACAGAACCAATTCCAACAACACCCAAATAAGGAATCATTCTTGCAATCAAAGTCGTTGGAAAATTAAACGCATCAATTAAAATATAACTTCCAACTTTTCCCCAATTAAAATCTGAAAGAGTTGTCATGAAAATTAAACACCACATCCAATAAACATTCACAAATAAAAAGATTGAATAATTTTTCCATCCCTTCTTTGCCTCACAATCTTGTAAAGTGATAATACTATTGGTGAGCAATATCTTTGCCTGA